ATCTTAATCCCCGCCAGCTGTGAGAGTTAACAAAATGAGACACAATTATTTTATAAAAGTTTCATAAGGGGGTTGGAGAAATAGAAATGTTCTTTACGGTAGTGAAGATCTAAACAACTTAGTTCAGAACCCAAGTTCAATTAGTACCTTAAAAAGTGGATAACAATGATGTAGACTACGACATCCAAATAAAACAAAAAAATGGAAAATGTACCTTGAAAATGGGTTCCACTACATCGTGGAATACTTTGGTAGATCGTCCATGCCCTGACCTAGGGTTCAATATGACAAGCATTTTCGGTGCACTCTTACACCTGAAGACCAACTCAGGAGGAGTATCGATAGGGACCGAAAACAGCTCAGACGAAGCCTGTTTCTTTGAGACCAAAGGATGTGGCAAACAGTTGATAAAACATTGTTGATCTGCGAAACTGGCCACCCACTGAACCGCTTCTTCCACCGTCGGTGCGATGAAACGGAAATCCTTGCGGCTTCTCTTTGGTTTCGAGAAGCAAGAAAGGCCACAAGAAGCCTTTCTATTTGGATAAGCATGCACGGTGAAATGCCTGAGACCGACATTGTATGTCAACTGTCAAAAACAACAAAACATGGATTAAGTTTGTTCACTCTGTTCTGCAAGGCCAATCACTCCAAGAGACAGAGAAACATACCGAGACAACATCGAAAAGCTGTAGCATGTCAGAACCCCAAACCAGAGCCCTGCTCGTAAGCTTTGCATCGACTGCCTTTTTGTTAGAGGTATCTGTGGCAGATGGCTGCTGTGTCTCTGTTGCATCTTTCCCACTGGCGGATTTTCTCTTATCCAACACAAGCTTCCCGGAGTAAACAAGACTACCTAACAAATCCGATTTCTCATCCCCTCCACCAATATCAATCCGATGCTCGTCAGCTTTTGGTTTCACCTGAGGATCATTAGCAGTAACCTGAGGACGCCTCGAAGATGCCTTCACCTTCTTGCTCCGCTTCTCAGGGAACACCACAGGGGATGACTGCTGAGATCCGCCGGTGGCTATTTGAGAGCAAAAACCTAAGCGCCTGAGCGACTGTTGTGCCTGAGGGATCGCTACTTTCAACGAAGGACTCCGGTTCACGCCACTCTTCTGCATATCCGTAAGCTAATCTCTCTGCTCCCGAGTCCCGCCGACGAAACAAACACGCAGCGATCGGGAGGCATACACAAACAAAGAAAAACCCTAAACTCCTTGAATGAGCCACAAAGAGAGGAACCGAACAACCTTCTTGAGACTAATTTCTCTGTCGAGCTGGTCAACAAAACAGATTTCGGAGAGAATTATGGCGGCGAACCCATTCTTAATCACGCCGCGAAAAAACCCGTAGCTACCGTCTCAGATCCGTCTACGCGTTTTCGGGAAATTTTTCCTTGTTCAAACCTTCCTGTAAGAAAATTCGTGCCACGGATCGATTCATATGCAGCATTTGATCGAAATTCTATAAAAATAAGAACACTACTCGACAGATCATGCGGAATCGTTAGAAATGGAGAATTTTTTTTTTAAAAAAGGATAAAACGAATCTGAACGGAATCGTCGCTTGATTAAAAGACAAGATTGAGAGCTGCTTAAGCTATTTCATCTTACCTGAGTCTCTCGGCGAAGAAACGAAAGAGAGAGAGAGAGAGAGAGAGAAGTGTAGCAAAGTAACGCCGCCGGATCGGAGGATCTGAGAACCGTCAGAATTGTAGAGAGGTGGCGGAGAGAGAGGAGAAGAAGACGATAATGGCGGAGATGACTCGACTCGACTCTATTCGATTCGATTGGATTCGACTCGACAGCAGAAACCTTATGGCCCCTCCTTTCGGATTTATTTCCACTACAGAACCTTTTTTTGGACTTCTATTTCCAATTTCTTTTGTATTTTTTTTTTTTTTTTCGTCCGCTATATTATTGTATATATTTTTTAATTAACTTTACTTTATGTTTCTATATTTTATCCTCGCAATTGCTTTATTTGCAAGATAAAATTTTAAATTCCCGTTACTGATTTAGCATAATCTAAATTCAAACGTAATGTATTTCATGTTTAGTTGTTAATTTGAATTTGACTTACTGGTCAAAACTGCATATGATTTTGATTAGATATTTGCAGTTCATAATTGTAAAAGGTACACTTTATAAAACTTTAAATACAGTGTTGTTTAGCTTAAGGTTTTAAATGCTTTACTAAAGTTATATAACATCAGAATTTAATGTAATTAAAAAAAACTTACTACTATATATGTTGAATTCGTATATATGAAATATATTCTAACAGATCCATCACATACATTACAGACTACAAGAAAAAACCAAAAGTCCAAATTATCATCCAAAAGGTAAGAAATTCGTCTGAGATAAATTATAGATTATGAAACATTTTAGAAAGTCAAAGATACATTATATAATTTAGCTAACTAATTCTTAAAAAAGAAAAAGAAAAAAGAAAAAATCAACACCTAAATCACCGACTTTCACATTATCATACAAAAATCAGTTTTTATATGCTTACATTCATTACAAAAAAAAAACACGAGAAAGAAACAACTATTATTTTATAACAAAAATTATTAAAACTAATAACGAAGTCAACCACCGCTAAACCAAATTTAGAAATGATGCAATTCTATGTGATTGGGGATGAACTACTACGGTATTATTATATGCTCCCGAATATTCTGAATATAACAAACAAACAAAATTCTTACATGGTTTTAGCTCAGCTGTCAATATTTTCCTTCCTTGATTAGATAAATTAGCCTTTAGATGCTATGTTAGTTTGGTGGTTTAGCTTAGTAATAACCTTATAATTAAAAGGGTGATTAGAGAAGGATTAGTGGAAGAAGTTGGTAGACGGAAGATGGTCCCTTTGTCGAAAGCACTATTGCCATAAAGAAGTCATAAAAAATAATCAAAGTGGAAACTTATATGTTGGTTTGGTTCATTCAATTTAGAAAATCGACCAACAGACAAGTGATGCTTCGTGAACAAGAATTGTTAAAAGAGCATCTCTTCTCATTATAAAAGCTGGGGACATCAAAAGGCATTATTGCTTTATTATTTATTTTTTTGTATTAACTAAATAAAGTCTAGAGTTAGATTGATAATAATACAATTTATGGGTGGAATATTCAATGCGGTTTCATAACACGTCTTGTGCAAATCCTTTGGCAACAAAAAGAAAACCACACCTCTTTTTGAAAAGTTATAAAGAGAGTACTTATCGACTTCATTATTATTATTTTGGCTTAGCATAACTTAAGCATGGAAAACTGATAATATGCATATTTTAACTCTTCGATAAATTGGTTAGTTAAAACAAAACCATTAATGGTTCATAATGGCTTATAATTAAGGCTACAAGCTGAGATCAATTACGTAACCAAGTCTTCGTTAAAGCCTGCCAGTTTCAGGTTTTTGGGGTCTGTGAAGCTTCCAAGTTTATCGATTTGTTCACTCGTATTACAGTCACTTTCAATATGGAAAGACTATATATGGTTATTGGAAACGTTTAATTCAGCATGCGACATGAGGGTTCGTTATAAAACTAAAAGTATAATCAGAAAAAAATGGCAAAACAAAAGGATAGTTTTGTATGAATGTGTTGTGAACAAGGGTATGAGATGACCATAGATATACTATAAGGTTTCTAAAAAGGCCCATGACATTTTTAGTATTTTTACTTAAGTAAGGAGGGTTTAAAAATTTTGATTTGCAGATGAGATTTGGCGCGTGCGTGTGATTCTCGCTTCGGATTTGCCGATTCCAACTCCTGAATCTTTGCCGATTTCAGAGCGTTTTCAGGTGATTCTTCTCGCTTCCACCAAGTTATATAGATGAGCCACGAAGCTTCAGCGTTTACAAAACGCCTTATCCCCCAAATCTCTTGGCTCGACGACAAGAAAAGAAGCTTCACCTAGTCCTTGACTTGGAGCACACGCTTGTCCACACCAGTAGAACAATAGAACTTCACAGCTTTCTGAATCTGACATGTATCTAACAGAGGAAGCGGACTCAAGGAAAGATCTATGGAGATTCAACAGCGGGACTTCACAGCTTTCTGAATCTGACAAGTATCTAAGACCTTTCCTTCACCAGTTTCTGAAAGAAGCCAGCGAGATGTTCTCTTTGTATGTTTACACAAAGGGTGGTCATGAATACGCACAGCTCGTGTTGGAGCTGATCGATCCGAACAAAACTTACTTCGGGTTATAACCAGAAGAGAGAGTCCTGGTATGAAGAAGAATCTTGATCTTGTGTTGGCTTATGAGCGTGGAATTGTGACTGTGGATGACAAGAGTAGTGTTTGGCCTCATCACAAGAAAAACCTGCTGCAGATCGTCAAGTACGACCATTTCAGAGAGTATGATATGGTTCTCGAGAAATCTTACCGAGAAATTGTTGTTGTTCTAATGTTCTGTTTATATGAAACATTGATAGTTATTGTATATAAGAGGTACGTTTTTGGCGTATGAAATGTAATGAGAAATATGATTTTCGATACAACTTTTCAGAAACTTACTCTCAGATTAAGAATGTTTCTGGTGTTCTCACAACTTTTCAGTGAGACAAGAAACATATAATGAGAAAGCTACCATGAAAGGTTGAAGCAACATTCTACTCACTCTAACTCCCCGCAAAAGACAACACCTCTGTTTCAATTGTGTTTCATTTTTTTTCAGCTTTCCCCTCAATGTATGTACCTGAAACACCTCTGCTTTTGAAAAAGTCCTTCCTTTTGAGCTCTTGTATGCACGAGGCAGCTTTAGCTCTTAATAAGCAACTGAAATACAGATGGAAAAGAGAGAGTAATGCAAAGCCTTCCTTTGTGGGCTCTTAATTAGAAGGCAACTTTCTCTTGCAGCTTCCTTCTTCTAAATGAAGAAGAATAAGGCCCAAGCCCAATAACGCTACAACAAAGGATTAAAAAGGCAACAAACAAAAGGAATAAAAAAGCAACAAATCCGTATATAAAAAACAAAATGACGAAAGCGTGTTCCTTCTAAATCAGTAGTGACTTGCTACGTCCCTCGCAGACGCTCTCGAGAGTGTTCTCTCTCTCTTTTCAACCGCCTTCGACTCCGCCAGATCAAATATTCTGCCGGAGCTTGTGCTTTCCGTCAATTCCTTCTCGCGAGTCGTCACCGATCGACGATTCCCACTGCTACATTCGGTGGGTTTTCTTCATCCCTTCGTGCTGTTTCGTATACCCGTCAGGGTTGCTTTTCCATCACCGTAAAGCGTTTTCTCCCTTTCTATCTTTACATGGATTGTTCTAGGTTGATTTCTGGAAATGGGATTGAAAGTTCCGACCTTTCATTATCATAAAGTTCCGACCTTTTTTTTTTTTCGTTTGGTTCAACTTCTCAGGGTATAGCTTAAATGGAGGACTACAATGGAAAGGTGAAAGGTTCGAGTCAAAAGAGGCTGAGAAAGTTCAAAAGTCTTGAATTTGTAGGATGGGGTTCGAAAAATCTCATTGAGTTTCTCGAATCACTTGGTAGAGATACCACAACCAAAATTTCTGAGTACGATGTTGAAGAGATTGTAAGGAAATATATTCGGGAGCAAAACCTTGCTGCAAATCCTTCGGAGAAGAAGCAGAAGAAGGCAAAGACATTAGTTTGCGATGATAAGCTGCGTTTGCTTTTCGAGAGTCGGAAGATAAACATAATCAAACTCCCTGATCTGGTAGCCAAGCATTATGTTGAGAATCAGGACGACTACTCATACTACTTCAGCGCAGAGGATGATGAACAACAGAGATTGCCTCCATCAGATAAGATTGCTAAACAGACGAAACAGGCTGTGCAAAAGCCTAAAGGAACTATTGCCGCAATAGTGAGCGATAACATCAAGCTTCTGTATTTGAGGAAGACTTTAGTCCAGGAACTAGCAAAGATCCCTGAAACATTTGAGGGTAAAGTGATGGGAACTTTTGTGAGGATCAAGAATCCATGTCAGCTTGTTCAAGTGACAGGTAATTTTCAGCTGAACCAAACGTTTGGTGTCTCATTCCAAGGACTAAATTGTCTGTAAACTCATTATATTTGTTTGAGATTGAGTATGATTCATTTGTGACTTCATTTAACCATGTTAATTCTAATCATATCTCTTTGATAGTCAGCTTCATCATATATAACTAGGCTGTTGTATGAGGTTAACAACTCTTCTGTGTTTTGTTTTCTTGTTATCTAGGTGTGAAGGAGGGAAATCCGATTGATGGTCATTTTCTTCAGGTTACAAATTATTCGTATTATCTAAAAGACGTTCCTTCCACTGCCTTATCGGATGATGATTTCACTCAGGTGATTTTCCTCAAAACTATGCTTGTTCCACTTTTGTGCTTCCTATCGATGAAAATTAGATTTCTTTCTCTCCTTTATCGTATTTCTGTGTCTTGAGGACTGACAATGAAATGAGCTGATTTTTGTAGTTATCAGTGAAGATGTTCGTTCAACTTTAAGCCATTATCTTGTTTGAACTGACGGCTAGTCACATCTTCGTTCCAGCCAATATAGGCTTTACTTGACATATGTTGCTTCCGATGTGTTAATTCTCATAGCTTTCCGTTAATTTTTTGGCAGGAGGAATGTGAAGAATTGCACCAGAGAATAAAGAATGGCAATGTAAAGAGACTTACAGTTGTAAGTTTTTAGAGCTTTCTCAAGTAGATGTTTGTTATCACTCAACATTTAATTCTGCAACTTCTCACCGTGCTGTCGTTTATTCTTGTGCTTGTGATTTATTTTTACTTCTCTAATTAAAATCCACTCTTACCATGCACAGGTGGATATGGAAGAAAAAGTTCGAAGTTTGCATGAAGATGTGACAAAACATGTAAGTTGTTAACTTATTTGAAAGAACTCTTAAGCGGATCAATCAAATCCTGCTTGTTCTGTCTGATTGTGTATGAAGCTACAAACTCGTATCCAGAAAAAGTAACTGTGTTTGTATTTTCCATAACTAACTTTCAACCTTTTTTGTTGGTGGGGGTGTCTTTTAGTGGCTTGCGAGAGAGCTTGTATTGTTGCAAAGGCGTATTAATCATGCCACTGAAAAGGGATTGCGAAGAGAATATCCTTTTGTAGAAAGCATTGAGTAATATATAGTCTGTTTACTACTTGTATAGTGAGAATCTTTCTATCGTTATTTGTTGTTTTTCTTGACCTCCTAGCTATTACACTATCCCAGTATGTGGATAAAAGGGAGCTTCTTCAGAATTCAGAAGAACAGTCGAGGCTATTGCTTGAAGTTCCAGAAGTTGTTGCAGAGGAGCTTGAACCTGAATGTGTAGATGATGATGGGAAGATAGAAACTGACTTCATGGAAACAAACCCCGAGGCATCCATTGAGGTTCGTCAAAGTAACGAAGAACAACAGCAAGTAATTGATTCACCAGTTTCTAGTGTCCAGAAAACTCCAGAAATTTCCAAGCTTTGTGATGGAGAAGAAGAGCCAACATGGAATGCTTCTGCAGGTGCGTCCCCATACTTTGTAACTTCAGTTCATCTAACCATGGTCTTCCTTGCCTTTGACCAAACGTGTTCTGATTGATCCGGACCCGTAATTTGGTTTGTGTAATGCAGGTGACAAAGATCTCCACGAAGATGTGGAGGAGCAAACAACAGCAAATGACATCATCGCAGAGAACAATGAGGAACCTCAAGCTCAATCAAATCCAGTGGAGATTATAGAATTGAGCGATGGTGATGGGGAGGACAATGACGATGGAGCTTACAAGCAGTACGATCCAAAGCAGAAGATGTGGTGCTATGAACTCCCCAAAGGAAAAACAAATGGACCATTCTCTCTCACAGATCTCAAAAAATGGAGCGACCAAGACTTCTTTGCTGAATTTCCAGATTTTAAAGTCTGGATGTCAGGAAGCAGCATCAGATCTGGAGTGTTGCTGACCAAACTTCTACCTCATGTCGAAGCCTAAATTGAAACAAGTTGGGAAAAAGCTTAGATTTCTTGAGATTGACAAAAAATTGTTTATTTCTTCGCTAGAATTTGCAGTTGGAAAGTAAATAGAGCTTTATGTACACAATGCAAAGATCCTGAGCAAGAAGCTTTACTGTTAGAAGTCCCCTGCTTCCTCATCCTAAAAAGAGTTATGAGTTTTGTTGCAAACAGAGAGCACCAGTTTCTCACCATCACTCATTTTGTTAATTTTACTTCAGGTTTCAGATTATTCCTACAAGATGTTCCTTCCTCTGTCCTTATCAGATTGTTAACAAAATATATAATCTCTGAAGTTCATGAAGAAACACAGTAATTAACAATCCTCAAATCTAAAGAGAGAAATAAAAAGATGGAAGAGAATCTCAGAAAACGATTCTTGCGCATGGAGGAGACTCCTAATCCCTGCCGCTGGTCGGAGCTCCCTATGGACATCTTGAGATCTGTGTTCGAACGTTTGAACTTTGTGGGTTTCCACCGTGCTAAGATGGTGTGTCTGAATTGGCATATGTGCTCGAAACAAGCGGTGCGGCCAAAAGTCGGACCTCCGTTGCTGATGCTGTCCCCAGAAGATGACGGTTTTCGTGTGTACAGCCCAGAGGAAGATAGGGTTTACGAGACGAAGAGAGGCTTTTCAGGGTATCGATTCCTTGGAAACTCGGGTAAGTGGTTCCTTGTGGTAGACTCTAGGTCGAATCTCTGTATTACTGAAGTTAGAGAACACTCACGGTAGCTACTGAAGAAGTCGACCACTTCTCTCTGTTCACAAAACTTGAAGGTCGTCAAAGTGACAACGAACAAAGTGATTCTATGGCAGTGTCACTGATTAAACTTCTTCCCCAAATCAAAACTGTTTCTTTCTTCTCTAATAATTTGCAGTTGGAAAGTAAACATCAATTCAAAGCAGTTTGTTGCATAACTTATGTTACAATAAACGAAGCAAAGATTCTGAATTTTGTTTTTAAAAAGTCTCTCCTCGAACAATCTAGTTAAAGCATAAGTACTTGTTAACGTGGAGATTCAGTCAGATTCCCCAAAAGTGTTTGAAGATCTCTCAATTCTTCTGCAAATAATACTACTAAACAATTAACGATTAGTGAAATGTTAATTTAAATTAAAAAGAAGTTAAGACATATTTAAACTCAGGGTCAGAGGTCAGCGGCACACTCAGTTCCGGAATTAAAAACTGACAAAGACAGAGGGAGAGAGAGAGAGAGAGAGAGAGAGAGAGATTGCTTGAAGAAGACGACGACGACAGGGAGGACATTTTCCTCTCTTTTCAATTAATTTTTTTTTTTCTCTTTGGTCTTTTTTCGTGTGATTGCGAAATTCGTTCTTATCATTTGCTCGCAATCATACCCATTTTGTTTCTTCTAAATCTACACGCTTAATTTCCTTTTTTTCCTAGAAAATTCCCGTATACTGGGAAAGTTTTGGGTTTTTTTAGATTTTTTCCTGTTTCATTCGTGTGAGATTGGTTTTACTTTGAATGCCCAGATGAGATCATGAGAATTAACAAGAACACAAGAGCAGAAATTAGAGTCCTTTGGTCAATCTTTAGGAGATTCGATTGGGATTTAGTCAGCTTCGAGTGAGAGAAGCTGGAGGATGGAGAACGGCCATGAGGAGAGATTTTCCGGAGTGGGTCTCGAAGATTCTCCTCGCTCGCCCGAAAACGATTTCAAGAACGACGGCTTGTTACAGGTCATCAAAGCTGTTGAAGCGGCTGAAACCACCATCAAGCAGCAGGTCTCGGTCTCTCTATTTCTCTCTTTCTCTGTGTCTCTATCTGAAATTGTTTCATTGATTGGGGAGAGACATAACTGTGAATTGTTAATTTAACTCTGGCTGATGCTTAGGGGACAAATAAGTCAGTCTCTTGTCTCTTAGCATCTGCCACTGCAAGATGATGGTTTGATTTCAGTCTGATTGATTAGTTTACCTGCACGGATAGTTTTCGTTTGTCATCTCAGTGTTTTTAGCTGAACAGTGTTCTTTCTCCGTTTGCAGGTTGAGGAGAATAGCCGTTTAAAGGCTGAGCTTCAGAGAAGCACTTTGGAACTTGCTAAATATGTAAGTGTTTTGCGTATGCATTACTTCCATGGTAAGCGTTTGGTACCTCTTTGATCATTAGTTGGTAAATTTGTGATTTACATGGCAGTCTTGCTTTTGTTCTCCATATTGCCTAGAAATCAGATGAATCCTTGCTCCAAACATCTAATCTTGGAGATCTCTCAAATGCCACCACTGTGTCTCGCATGGTTCACCAGCCAGTCGACTGGAAGCAGGGTGTGGTCAAAGCTTCAGATGCTGATTCAACTGGCATGCTGGTTGTTCACCCGCATGTGAACGCTATTGGCGAAGAAGCTACTGTGAGTCCCTCTGAGGAAAACACGGCTAATGGCAATGACGGAGGAGCTATACGTGGTACCGGTCCCTCTCAGTATCATTTTTCATCTACAGTATCATCATCTCCTATGAGGTACTGAAACTCAAACTATCTCTCTGGCATGTACTGAATGTACTTTCAAATCTTATGGTTTAGACGAATTTCCATGAACACAAAGTGTAATTCTCAAGATACGATTCTTGATAGAACGCAGTTGGAAGGAGAGCATGTCCCACATATCAATTCATCTACTCATCGAGTTATGCCAGCTGGTGAAGTAATTGATTCGGGCAATGCATGGAAGCAGGTCCCTATCACACTTACTACGTGTTGGTTTTCTTGGTGTACATGAAAATTTATTTGCTCTATCTACCTACTCAGGACCTCACTCAAAAGGTCCAGGAACACGAACAAGAAATTTTGCAGTTGAGGAGATATCTTTCTGAATGTTCTGTTAAGGTGAGTCCTGCTACACATCGCAGATCTTATGTCACTATTGAGCTTTTATGTTACTTATTTGTGTGGTTCCTTGGGATTCATTTGTGGTTGAGTCGAGTTTCTTTTGATGCTTATGGTTCCTCTCTCGTGTTTGCTCTCTCTAAGTAAACAGAACACTAAATGAAAAATCACCTATGGTTTGGATCAATAGGAGTTTGCAATAAACAGAGTAGGATATTCACGGGAAAAAGATTGGCTTGCTGCTACTTAGAGAGACCTGCGGATATCTTACTCCGTTTCATTGGAGAGATGGCAAACTCCTATCATCCAAACCAAGAGCTAAACCCTAATCAACCGACTCAACCACAAAGACAACCAGGCAACCATAAGAGTAAATGACATAATGAAATCTATATCCTTTCATGCTTGCCTTTGGTTCATCCCTTGCATTCTTTGTTGGATTTGTGTTAATTCATCTGACTAACATTTTAGGTTTTTTTTTTAGGAAGCTCAAATTCGCAATGAAAAATATGTTCTGGAAAAGCGAATTGCCTACATGCGTCTGGTTGGCCTTTCCTTCTTTTTATTGACTTACCTGTTTAATTTATCTTGTACTAGATCTTTTCAATTTTGAAGTTGTTTGGGCGCTCAGATTTTTTTGCTGTTGTTACCAGGCATTTGATCAACAGCAAGAAGATCTTGTTGACTCTGCATCAAAAGCCCTCTCTTACAGACAAGAGATAATTGAGGAAAACATACGCCTTACATATGCCTTAGAGGTACTATCCTCTTGTATCTTTGGGCGCACAGCAATAGTTGTCTGTCTTCTGGCGTACCCACTTAATCACATTTCTACTATCTTTGGTAACACCCTTTTTGGGTGGACACCAGATGTTAAAATGATTGAATTTTCAAAATAGGATTTGCCTCAGCTCATCAAATATTTGAACCACTACGTAGTGCAACTGTTACATGAAACTATGCTAAGTCCGGTTGAATTTAAATTGAAGCGGAATATGCCTTTCTGTTTGTTCCAGGATACACAGCAAGAGAGATCTACATTTGTATCTTACTTGTTGCCTCTTCTATCGGAGTATTCTCTACAACCTCAGGTTTCTGATGCACAGTCTATTGTTAGCAATGTGAAGGTCAGTTACAATATCCAAAGTCCTGTTTCTTGTTATCTTTTATTGTTTTGTCATAACTTGTGTCGGAATCTTAACATTTTTGTTTTTTCGTTATTCAGTTTTAAGTTTGGACCATCTTTAGCTTTTATTTTGACTTTTAAACTGTATACTGCAACCTATTTGTTTAATGGGTTTCCCTGTGTTACACTTGACTTTAAAGGAGTGGTACAACATCCTTCACTGGAAATGCTTTAAATTCATAGAACCAAAAGAAAATGCAGAAAAAGTCATGTTAAACGGTCTCATGAGTAACTATTGATGGTTTTGAGCTTCGTGGATAAAGAAGCATAAGTACTTGCTGTGTCGTAGAATTATATGGAGTCGTGGAGGGCCAGAGAACATAGAAAATTTGGATAGGAAGTTAAATGACTGATAATATTACCTGCATCAATATATTTGATAGTGAAGTATTTCTTGCATTTCGTGTCCTGTTAAAAGTAGTGAATGACATACAGTTATGGTCATTAATGTTCAGGTTCTGTTTAAGCATCTACAAGAAAAGCTCCTTCTTACTGAGGTATGTTATGCGGGTATGGGCATATCTTATTTTAAATCTCCGTGTCTGCTTCATTTGCAGTTGCAGACTTGCAGTTTATTCCTTTCGTGGATTACACTGTATCTCCTATTGATAGATGATATTACTGATTCGTACTAGACAAAGTTAAAGGAGTCAGAATATCAATTAGCACCTTGGCAGTCAGATGTGAACCACTCAAATGATTCCCCTTTGGTCCCTTCGCGCGCAGCTGGTGTAGCGTTAACCCACTCAGTACGTTCATATTCCTCAGTGTCATATCATAAGCTTGAGTGAATTTAATCTTAAATTACTTCTTGTGTTTTCACCAGACGAAGGATTCCCTATATTCCCATGATCAAACAGCCATAGACTGGGATTCAAAACGCTGGCGTCAAGATGAGCCACGTAGCTCAACTATGGGGAACGGGTGAGTTTGTTACTGCAAATATTGCCATTTCAAACTGTATGAAAACTACGAGCACGTACTCAATATTTCATGAAGTCTATACATGGAGTTGGTAGAGCATTGAATATATAAATGGGTTGGGATCCTTCACTTGTAAATCATCCAAAGAACTACAAGCAAAACACTTAGCTTCTTCCTCTTTCTTAGGGTCGGGTCTAAATCTAGAAGGCTACCCGCGAGGGGCGGAAAGGAGTTAAGGCCACGTGTATTGATAGGAAGGAACAAGTCTCATGACATGTTAAAATTGAATCTTGACTCTTAAAATTTTCTTACAAGTTTTTATTAATAATTTAGTGATGACTTGACTCTAATTGTTGACTTTTGACCCATAAAACACGCCGACTAGTTTGAAGTAATTTGGCAATGCCTGTTGACGCTTGAGTCTTTCCTGTTAACCCTGAAAACTCTTTGTTCTAAGCTAATTCTTGATACCCCTTTTCCTGCACGCTGTGCGTTCGAAGGATTTTTCCAATGCTTTGTTTTTCTAACGTAACTTCCTGTTCCCTGGGCGATATGATAATCTCAGTTGTCAAAAGAATCAGATTAGCCATAGGCCAAATAAGGTGCTATTATTCTCTTTGTGTCGTTTTATGTCTTGATCTGTCACGAGGTCCCGTTTTATTGATCATTTGTTTTACCTTTTTGAGAATGGTTATGATTATGTTCACTTCTAACGTTTTCTCTGTGCTCTCCTGGTCGTGTGTACTGTAGTTACTGGTGGATGATGTTGAATAATTATATGATTAAATGTGTTTCATGTGTACCAGTCAGTCGGCAGCCTTTGAGATGCCTGTGCAACCAGGTACAAGTGAAGACGAAACTCGTGGTTGGAAGCAGGTAGACGAAACTCCACCTAAGCATGTTAAATTTCGTGAGCCTCTCAGCAAGACAGTGATAGACGATGCAGAAGAACAGTCAGATACCAAAAATCCACCATATGTGCCTGCGTTTGATGACCCTAGCTCCTCAAATTCTCCTCTTTTGTCCCCTGTTCGTGAAGAACCTTCTTCCTCCTTTTCTGAGGGTAATGTTTAATCATATTGGCTGCAATTTATTAATTCCATTACGGTCTTTCACTTGTCTCATTATTTTAAACTACCGTTGACAGCTGGGGATGAGGACCCGTTACCAGCTATAGAGGACCTCCAGATTTCAGGAGAAGCGTATCCTGGACATGAGCTTCAGGCTTGTGGTTACTCCATAAATGGAACAACAAGCTGTAATTTTGAGGTGCGTACTAAATAGAAAACGGAAATTTCTTTCTTATTTATGATGAATATTGCATCTGAATCTATCTTCTTCTCTTCATCATTTTGCAGTGGGTATTTCATCTAGAAGATGGATCTGTGAATTATATTGACGGTATATTTCCCTCCTGCTAACCATATATCTTTATTCTATTAGTTTCTCTTTCCTTTTAGTTTCTGTTTATTCAATAAATTAGTCGCCGACAAACTTGTAATGCAGGAGCAAAGCAGCCAAATTATCTTGTCACTGCTGATGATGTTGATTTATATCTTGCTATTGAAGTTCAGCCTTTGGATGACAGGAACCGCAAGGTTAACATCTTTGTCTATGATTGAGATTGTGGCATTTTTGAGTAACTCTTTTCTGTGCAAACTGAGGACTAGGATTGTGACATTTCTGGATTCTTTAGTTTCCATTATTTCCCCTAAATTTTGTTTGTGGAATAGACTTTAGGGAAAGGATTAGCCGTTTCCTTGAATACAATTAACAGTGTAAGGGCTGCGTCAGATGTGCTCATAGTATTGTTTCCTGCTGACTTATTTTTAGTTTTCATGTGGTTTGCATTAGTCATTTGCTTTACTTTCTCATTTCAGGGGGACCTTGTGAAGGTCTTTGCCAATGAGAATCGGAAGATTGCTTGCCGTAAGTTTTTCCATCTAACACACACTAGTTCCGTTAAAATCTGAAGCATTCTTAGAGAACTTTATAAAATTCACTGTCGTACTATAGGTAGCAGTAATCCTCTATTAATTTCACAGATCCAGAGATGCAGAGCCATATAGAGAAGACTCTTCATAGTGGTCATGCTTCATATAAAGTTTCCGTTGGGGTATGATATTTTCCATTTCAACTTCAATGTTTTTGGCTATGTATTTTCCGACTTTTCTTAAATTAATCTTTCACAATGCATGTGGCTTTGAACAGACTGGTTTCCTGGATATATGGGAAGAAGCTACATTGTCTATAAAGAGAGAAGGTTACAGCATCAAGTGTAATAACGAAGTCATGGTTGCAGAAAAGTTCTCAGCTTCCACTGCTGTAAGGCTTATACCTTATTTGTTTCTGTCCTTTTTTCTAATCAAATAAATCTCCCCTGTCTGTGAAACTTATGTCGGCGAGGGTAGATAGGACTGTGCAGCTTTGGATGTTGATAGAGTTGTTAGGCGGGTTATAAAATCGTTATGCATACTAGTTATGGAATTTAGTCCTAAACTTATTTTCTACAAAAGCACGTTGCGAAACCTTTTTGTTTTTGTTTTTTCAGTTGATTGTTCAAACTGTTGTTAATAAATGTTCAGTGTAGTTATTATAGTAATGGCTTTTTCTCTGATTGGTTTTATATAAACAGGGAACGCAACGAGCATTAAACTAATAATAAAATCCTTCTTCTGATATCTCTCTCCAGGTGACAATTCCGTTTGGGCAACCTGCAGACTTTATTATATCCGGTTCTGATGGTAGTGAGTATTCCTTACGAGCAGATAACGGATCAGCAGACTATAGCTGGTAAGTAGACCATCAGAATGCTCTGAGTTTGACGGAAGTTATATAGGTTTTAAGTAGTGAGTGAGTTTGAAAGCCAAGTTGTATGAATCAACATATGCATCTCAGCCAGGTCTTGTGAGCTTGTAGGAAACTTGATCTGGATCAATCAGCATATGCTTAGTCTTATGATCCATTTCAGATAATACTAAATCTTTGAATCATAGTATGATTAGACACACAAGTACTGTGATCCAATAAATGATATGGTCTTGTGTTTATATCTCTGTGTCATACCCTAATGTAAAACTGTTATTCTTCTGATGTCTTTGGCAGCTCAAGAGATGCAATAGTACTCACCCTGAGATTATTTGCCATGAGGGTAATGTTCTTCAAAGCAGTAAAATCATTTAATTCTTTCGTTACAATCCCTAGGATTTTTTTTTTTAAAATGCAGCTGTCATAAAATCGTAGATACAAAGACTTTAAGCCTCATTTTCTGGAGAAGCAGTGGTTAACTATTTTGGTTTGCTAATTCATTGCAGGCTCTGCAGAGAAAGAAAGGAAAGAAGAGAGTATTTTTGTTTAGCAAGTGAGACTTTCGTATATAATATTTTTTTGGCTCTCTGGCTTTTTGTGAACTGCAAACGATTGGCCGCCATGTTTTGTAGGTATTAAGGCCCTGTGAAACGATTCATTTATGATAAAAATCAATCATTGTTCATATAAAGAAACTGATCGAGTTTCATTTGATCAATTCAAACCACATTACATTCTATTTTATTGAATTGTTTTGTTACATTAAACAATTTGCCACAGTGACTATGTTACAGGAAAAGAATAATAAGTCTCAAGGAGATAAATGATACAACAACAATGAAGTGATACAGAAGAATCGCTACTTTAGAAATCAATCATATAATCAGCTGTGTCGGAATTTAGGCCGCACTGTGATAACTCCTGGTCTTGTCTCATCAAACCTGTACCTGCAAAGCAACATTCCATTCCTCACTTTGTTATTCATACTAATGATTAATAAAGATCTGAATAAGAATTATATAAAAAAAGATCTGAATAAGAATTATATAAAAAAAAAAGAGTTTTTCTTTTTACCTGTTGTCTTCAAGGAAAGTCTTGACAGCTAGAGGAAGTGAAGCATGTCCGCGACTGTGTTTACCAATCCCTACAAAGGACATAGAACTTCGCTGTCACAGATTTATGCGTGAACCTTGATATACTGTACTTCATAGAAAGCAAATCGACATACCTGTAATAACCTGCAATGAGTTTCGTTGTTCTCTAGAAGAAGTTCTTTGACGTTCCAGGCCTTCCACGCCTAATCTACCACAAGGCTCTTGTGATGCAGATCGCAGAGCTGCATTCTTTGACCTATCTCTACTTGGTGATACTGAACGGTTCACTGTGAATTGACCTTCGACCTTTTGCAAACGCTCCTGTAGCACCTGAACAGCTTCTGCTGCGTGGAGACCATGCAGGTCCAGCTTCCACGTGTCGTTATTCCTATTCGTTATACCTAAGATCTTCTTGGATGCCTCAGCATTTAGCTTCTCAGCTGCTGACCAATCATCTCTTGCTTTCTTTGAATGCTGCTTGGCAGAAGCATGATCATATCTCATAAACGCGTTTTGGGCAGCTCTTGAATGGGTTGAGGCTGATCTGTTTAATGAAAAAAAGGAGAAATTTTCAAATAGCTGATGGTACATAGTCACTCATCTTCGAGGTTAAGCCAGGTGTGAAGTGAGAAACTGACTAGCCGTAGCTTGAAATTAAAATTCAAAAAATATGAACTCTGAATTGGGTACACGAAAAGCAATCAAGTGATAAATCGACTATCCACACATTTGTTTACCTCATCATCTTCAGTGCATCCTTTCGATGACTCAAGTAGAGATCATCTTCTTCCCACTCAGCTTCTATAGGAATGGACTGAAGCCGCTGAATGATACTATCAAGTTCAGAAATATCATCAGAGAGCTTTTCACTGTCATATCCATCCACCAGAAACGAGCTTACACCTCTCTCTTGCAGATCATACTTGCCAGCATCATCACGTGTGGACCTTGCAGCCATCTTCACCGAGCTTGTAACAGTTGTCCCAAATGTATTATCCTCGGGTCTTCTGTTTTCTCCCCTGTCTGGCTCCTCAGCTTCCTTATTGTCTGCAGAAACCATTGCTTCCAAAAAATCTAAGGCCATCTCAAAATTATCTTCTGTGGACAACAATATATCCCTTATCAAGCTATCATCTGCCCAGCAGAACTTTGCCTTCAGCTTCATGAAGGTTGAGTCATGACTCTTTACAGGCGGAATCGAACTGCCATGTTTGCTCCTACAACCTCCACTGCTTTCTTGTTTTCCTCGGCAATCCTTGTTCTCCGTCAATGCCGAGAATCTCGAAGGAGGTAAGAGCACGGACGAGAAAGACTTTTCAGAAGGCTCATGATTCTTTCTCAACTTCCCTCTTACATCTAAGGGCGTATGAACACTGCTGCTTGAAACAGGCGGGAATGGATCCTCCTCGGTCTCGATTTCGAGACCTTGTTTCTGTCTCTGCTTGAGATCAAACGCAGTCCAACCAGATGGCTTACTTTTCATCCATGACATCTTCGTATAGTATTAGCTCTCAGATTTAACCAACTCTCATTTCTCAATCACATTGATACACTTCAAAGCTTCGTTTAGAGGTCAATGGACTGCCACAACAAAACTCAAAACCATTACAAGATGAACATCTAACACCAAACAGTTTTTAATTCTACATTCAAGTTTAACCCACCCAGTTCTGCAATTTAAGACAAAAGCACTATCCAGAGAAAGACAAAAAAGAAAAAAGTTTATGTGTGTGTTACTCAAATCAAATCATTTAAAGCGCCATTATTGTTCTACAGATTTAAGTAAATCTAAGACAAAAACAACACAGGTAAAAAAAAAACTAAGACGAATATGAATGAATATGCTACAAAGGAGAAAACAAAAGAAAACCTAAATTTCTCCCCCAAATTTTGACGGCAAAAGGAAATGACCGTTAGAAAGCTAAAGTGGCCGACGAGAAACTAACCTACGGCCACTGTATCGAGCAGTCGGGGTTTGAATATGGTCGGAGGGGAAAAACGGCCGGTGACGGAGAAGGAAGCAATGTAAATTTACCGGCCGAGAGAGAGAGGCGCTGCAAATTTGCAGTTAATTGCGAAATTGAACTTGTCGTGATTTTGATATCGTTTTGACCTTCTTTAATGATTGTCTGAATATTGACCCAAAAAAATAATAATTGTCTGAATTTGTATGACTAGTCAACGATTATTGTCCTTTTTGTTGTTATATCAGAAAGCCCATTGTTTAGGTCAATCTTATTGACGTGACAAAAAAAAATGGTACACTTACTTGTGAGCCTTCATACTCTTAGTGGGCTTTTACAGCCCGTATTAGTCAGGTTGTAAACCTATCTATGCGCTTCGGAAACTCTTTATCATAATAATAACACCTCAAAATGGCAAGTGATCCAACTTTACGCTTCATTAATTGATTTCTTTTTTCCTCTAAACATTTGGTACAAAAATTAGTTAATGTGTCATCAAACCTATCATACTTATAAAGCAAATTTTGAAGACTTCACGTAGTTGGAAACTATCAAGCTCGTGACGTTGCTCATGTTTTTTTCTATTTTTTAACGTTGCTCATGTTTACTAACATAATTGGGTTAATGAGTAATGATGAAGTGTTGGATTAATAACAGTTGCGAATCTAAATAGGCCAGCAAAACACGTATTTCACACGTGTATCAAACTAGAGAGTGTGATATTTGTAGATCTCTGACGGTTCCTAAATTTTAAGAAAAAGAGATACCATATCCTAACAACTCCAACAACATTATCATACAATTTATTATAAGTATGTTTTCAACCTTTGAAGATTATATGTTCCGACGAAGCCTATGTAAGAAAATTCGTAATGTGGGAGAAAGAGCTAAGGCCAAGAATTAATAATGATATCTAGAAAAAACCCATATCTTCTAGCATTTGTCTTAATGGATGAATGAGCTTAGTTGTAATAACACGTGACTATGATTGCTTTTAAGTTTTATATTTATTCATAGTGGCACAAATCAATTAAACAAGAGAATCAACTATATGAACCACAATGTTTCTTAACAATTGGTTTTAAATAAAAAAATTAATAATCTGAAAATCTGTGTGGACATGAAAATGAATATTCTGAAAATCTGTGTGGGGCACATTGCATCCGCCAATCATTTTGGAAGTAATTGTCAGAATCTAAGCAGGGAGTGAAAGGTATGGGTTAACACAAAACAAAAGTCGTCTCACGTTCACCCGATTTCAAAACCGAGGATGATAGTATATGTCGACAATTATAGACGGACGGACGATCCAATGAGCTAGTTTATCATTTCTCTTGACCAAATAGATATCATTTTAATAATTGTTTAAACAGTTAATTAACAAAGATAGTGAGAAACACATGAGCAGTGTTTTCAACGGTCAATAATGTAGACTAAAAATCCTGATTATTTTAGTATATTAGAAGATATTAAGGTCTCGTATTGCTATCAACACTCACACATTTTTGTAAACGTCTCTCTGTATGTAAATGTACGTAACTTACTCAACACTCGAAATAATCCAATCGATGGAAACAATGTAAGTAGATTACAAAATTCAACAAACGTGTTGAACATTTAAAGGCAAGTTGGATATAAATAATAGGAACGGTATGGGCATTGAATCCTTGCTATAAATGCATTAACTGTGTACTTCACTTTCACCTCCCTACCCCCAACAACACATCTTTTCTTTATCCTTTGGAATGGTCCGAACGGACTCACCTGTTACAAGTAATCAATTGTTGTTGTATTCATATATCAAGTCAAAACGTAAATAGAGTGAAAAGAAGTATTTAATGGTTTATAGGATGGTGCTTGATTAAAAAATGGAACAAAAATCGAATTGTTTTTAAAAATTCTACGTTCCAAACACTGGATTATGATGAAAATAGACTAGACTCATACAACAACATTTGTAGAGCACTAATAGCAGATCATGAAAAGCATACCGTAATACATTTATAACCTTGAGTTAACTTAAATATATAATTCGTTGAGGTTTTTAAGGACAACATTCAATAAGGATGGCTCCCATTAAGCGGAGAGTGAAGCCACGCGCTCCGCCACGAAATCCTTAATCCGCTGGATTAATTGGCCTGACTCCGGCAGCTCAGGGAAGATATAAAACGCATGGAACATGTTTGGATACTCGGCTAGTGCTGCTCTTTTCCCGGATGAGTTTATCCACTCGCAGTAGCTTCTCTGCCAATCCCTTAACGGGTCGAATCCGGCCACTACCACCATCGTCTCCGGGTAATCCAGACCCGAAATGTCCACGACGTTTGGTTTCGCCGCCTCGTGGTCCCGGTTTGATCCCTCCGGCAGCAACGCCCTCCAGCACCAGTCTGTTCGATCCGGCGATACCAGAGGCATTCCGACGAGGCGTTTCTCCGCCTCCGTCCTCTCCTCTCCGCCGAAGAAAGGCTGGATCGAGATGAGTCCGACGAGTTTAACGGCGGTGAAACACCGCGCACGGCAAACTCGAACCGCGACGTTGTGCGCGATGTTTCCACCGGCGCTGTCTCCGGCGAGGAAGCATCTCGACAGATCGGCGTTCGCCGGGAGAACCGTGCCGCGATTCTCCTCGATGAACCTCAGGGCGTCGAATCCGTCGTCGTATTGAGCAGGGTAACGGTGCTCCGGAGCGAGACGGTAGTTAACGGAGACCACGTAAGCCGGCAGTTTCCTAGCGAGTCTGCGGCATACGCTATCGTAGGGATACGCATTGGCGCTGAGGAAAGCGAAACCTCCGCCGTGGAAGAAAACGACGACGGGAATACGGTCGCCGGAGACGTGCGGAGTGAATAACCGGAACCAGAGATCACGGGAGGGATCGACGACGAAATCGGAGGATGAGACGGAGCTGACTGGATTGGGATTGGGAGGAGCACGGAAATCGAAGAGGCGGAGGAAACGGCGGTTGATAGTGCCGTCGGGACGTTGAGCATTATCGGTGAAGGTGGAGATAAATTTGAGAGCGATTCTGGTTTTGAAAGGAATCGTTAGCTTCTCGTTAGGTTGCGAATCTGTAGCCATCTTTTTTTCTTTCACGTGACTCAACCTGTACTTAGACTTACCTGTATATATGCTTCCAAATTAAATATTTTTCCAGCTGTTAATTTATTGGCAAAGAAAAGGAAATGGTTAGAGGAAACAACCAATGAAAATTATGGTTACGTGTGAAAGATATCATCAATAGAGTTTTTATGGGAAACACGTAACCTAAAACAGAATGAAAAATCTCACATATCTTTTGGGAATTGGCTTAAGTGACCACTATTTTAATTCCACACTAGTGTTGATGAAGTCATCTCCCACATGGCCAACGTAATGAGAGTCTCAGAGAGCAGCATTCAACATGGTTTATCGGCATTGAACCATGACATAGTTAATGTTCATCTCGCAGGAGACAAGCAGTTTTATTGTCAGCAGCTGCATCAAGTAATTCAATCTCACTAACTTCTATGTCGAAATCAACAACAGTAGTGGAGAAATCTGTAAAAGCAACGAATTATACCATAATGCCACAACTAATTAAGGTTTAAACAAATAGGCTAACATTCACCGGGAATAAATAGAACATACAGGGACAAAACGATACATTAGATACTATATATAGATAGAAATCATGCAGCAAAACTATTCGATCCAGCACTTCCCTCCTAATCCGTTTCTTGTTCTCTAACGTGATGAAAATTTTGCAGAAACTGGGGATCTCAAACAAACCCAAAGGCATAGGTATGGAGAATTCGTCTTCGTGTTTTCATTAGAGTCGTCACTCTTATTTTGGAAGCAGTTGCGGTTTTCAAGCCTGATTTCGATAACGCATCAACACTAGTAGTATTAGTCTTGCAGCGCCGTTGTGTAAAACGAAATTGTGTTGCCAAGGAAGGTTTATCATTCAAATAAGGAACTGATGCACCAGCGTTACTTACTAGACATGCTTCAAGACTATATAACATCCAAATAATAAAAGATTCTCTAACCATATCCTCAAACAGCATGACAAATGTCACAAATCAATATGATAATTACAAAAGACGAATCATCCGAACAAAGGCGAGGTTTGGTCCAGACATTGTGTGACCAAAGCATTTCATGAATACAAAATCGGTTTTCCAAATAAAGTTCGAAACCAAGTCCAGTAATTCTGTAATTTATTATTTTGGATTATTTTTTGGGATGTTTTGCTTTCTGTTTGTCAACGCAATTACACTTAATTTAATTAAATTCGATTTTACAGTTAATTCCACAAAAATAAACAATGTTGTTTTTAACAATCTAATAAAACGCGTCGTCATTTTCATATTTCATGACATCACTGATGCTCGTCAGTGGATTTTAGGGTTTTAGCTCAATACACTCGCAATCAAAATACTTCCGATTTCTTCAGCGCCGTCGTTAACGCCGCCTGTACCGTCGGCATCGCATAAAGCCTCAACGCCGTTGTTTGTTCTTCCTCACAGGTAAAAACTCCTTCGATTTTCCTCTTTAGACCAAACTTGCTTTCGCATCCCTTCAGCTAGTTCATTTCTAAGCGTCAGTTTTCTCAAAGAAGATCGGAATCAAGTATAGAGATCGCTAAATCGTATTTCCCCCGTTCTACTGTACTGCACGCCTCGTTTAAGATTCACCTGGATTAGTCTGGGTTTAGCTGAAAAGTTTTTATTGCGTCTCTGTTTGAACACTCTCGAAATCGGCTCTGCATTTTTCATTGTCTTTTGATTTGGGTTCTTCTTGATTTCCATTTCACGCTGATTTTCTGTAATAGGAATGTAAAAGAAAGACCTTTTGTTGTGTTTTGTGATGTGATATTAGGATTATCATCTGAGAGAGAGTAGGAGCCATGGGTTGGAAAGCTGCTGAGAAACTCATCAGACACTGGAAGATACTTCGAGGGGATAATGTAAGGACACTCTGTTCACTCCTGCTGCTCCTGGTTTTGTTCTCTAGCTTGGTTTCGTTTGATGTGGTGTTTTTCTGGTTTGATCTTTTGTTTAGGTAATGATAATTCGCGGGAAAGACAAGGGTGAGACTGGAACCATCAAGCGTGTCATTCGATCCCAGAATCGTGTCATTGTCGAAGGGAAGAATCTGGTGAGATACACTTGAAACTATCTCGTCCTTGATCTTTGTGATTTATATCCCTAGATTAACATCAATCACGGAGTTGATAATCAAACTTCATTTGATTCTTATCTTTGATTTCAAGCATCTGTTCGTTGGTTACCAAAATCACAAAGGATTGGGTCTAATCCCACGGGTTTAGCTACGTAGTGTTTTGAATTGGTCAAGTTGAATTCTATCGCTACTCACTAAGAACCTGTTTTCTGTAGCTTGTCTTTCTATTTTTTCTGATGCTTTATTCTGTATTCGCAGATCAAGAAGCATATAAAGGGAGGCCCTGATCATGAAGGAGGAATATTCACGGTGGAGGCTCCTCTTCACGCCTCTAATGTCCAAGTTGTTGATCCAGTCACTGGGTAACGTTCTCACTTTGCACTAGTGTCACCACCATTACTTTTTTGCTCAAGCAAGCGAGAGATTTCTTAATTTTTCTATCATCTCTTTTCTACCTCAGGAGGCCTTGTAAGGTTGGTGTAAAGTATCTAGAGGACGGAACAAAAGTAAGAGTAGCCAGAGGCACAGGCACATCTGGTTCGATAATTCCTCGCCCAGAGATTCTAAAGATTAGGACAACACCAAGACCCACTACCGGTACGTATAAGCTTAACATCTCTAAACATGGCACTTTTTTTATCTATAGAATTTTGCTGGAATCAACACAGTTCGTTTTTTATGCATTTAAAAGCCTCTGTCTTCCATGTTCTTTATCTAGAGGGGGAAAAGTTGTTTTTTTTTATTGATACAATAACTGAGATTCTTGATCTGAACCAAACTACATATACATAACATCTCAGTATGCGAAATTCATCTCTCTATAGAAACGAAAAAAGACTTGGTAATAGCTTATGTTCTTAAAGAGGATTATTACTTGGCCAAATCTTCATTTCTTTTCTGTTCTTTGCAGCTGGTCCTAAAGACACACCAATGGATCTTGTTTGGGAGCAGACATATGATGCTAAAACAGGGAAGGGCATGCCTGATCTTTGAGTAACTTCTTTACAGTTTCGTTCTAGAATTGTTGCTGCTCCCAAAAGAGATTCCTTCTTTTGCCCATCCATTACAGTTTGTTTTGGGTCGAGAGTTGTGAGATGAGCTTTCTGTTGATCCTGACGAAACGTAGTCGTTTATCCTTTTTTCTCTTGTGAACGTTTCAAGGTGCCAAATAAAACCATCGGGGAAAAATTCGCAGAGCACATTCCAGCATTGCGAACATAAACAGATACCCAAATTTCCCAAATTTCATTTAAAAAGAAAAAAACTATTTCACAACTACACAAAATTCCGGTGTGTTGTGCACAACATAAATCTATCATCATGCTTTTCTGTTGAATAAACTGTTTTATGTGATTCAACAGCATTAACGAAATATAAAACTCTCAAAATCATCTGATAAGAACACAGTGTGCAATGAAATGAAAAACGTGTCCCGTTTTAGCCCGGTTTGACAAAAACCAAATTTGTTATTTTAGGTCTCTACGATACAAAATGGAAATATTCGATGACTTAAAATGTAAACTGTTTAGCTTCGACTAATGATCCTACAATCGATTAAGATCGATCCCATTCTTGTAGCTAGCAACCGAGAAGCCACAGGACTGATTATGGAGAGATTACAGCGGATCTTCGGTGGCTCACTGTATGGCAACACAAAACCTACTTCTGTTAGGACATATTATTACAGCTATACATGTGCAAAATCTGTAAATTTATTATACCTCTAGGGATGGGCGCACCTCCATTGACCATTGTAGATTTGTTAGCATCATCAGATTTCCAAAGCCAGATAGCCTTTGCATTGTGATGAAGTTCTCCAGTGGAGTCTTCAAGTCTTGCTATCATGATATGTAGGCCTAAATCATGCAATCCCTTGATGATACTGCGTAAATCAACTTCCCCAACTTCTCCTGTAATTAGCAAGATGTATTCCTTATCCTCAAGGGCTTTCATGTGCAACCTCATAACCAGATCGAGTTCCGTGGTTATATGTTCACACCGGAAATCCTCTCTTTGGATCGGTAGGAAACTGAAGTCATCTGGACAACTGAGAATGGCTTCATATTTATCTCCCCTGTCTGGTCCCATTGCAATGAACTCCTCAATGAAAAATGCTGGATTGCTTTTCTGCAGAGCAACTTCGATGTTCCTCTTCAGGGTCTTGATATCGTATCCTTGAGGTATCCATGTATCCGCAAAAGCCCATAGGACAGTGACCGGAGCACTGTCTGGAGCAGTGACTGGAGTAGTAGAGGAACTCGAGTAAGCTTTGGACATTGTGGTGAGTACTCCTGTATAAGTTCAAAACAGTCATGCAAAAATCAGCAAATGATATATGTTCTTGGCGGCATCTAGCTTTAGCCTCTGCGACTAATCTGGAAACCAGATTATGGAAACATAATTCGGCAGCAATGAACAGAACAGATGCAAGATATCCAATTAATAGAAAATCCACTTACGGAGTAATATAACGCAGTAATATACTTGTTCAATCGGAATTTTGAGCAAGAACGAAACTTGTAGAGGATTTCAGAAATGCATTTTCATTGAACTTCGATTTTAGGTTACATCATCTTTGATATTTATACAAGCGTTCAGAAAGATCTAGATGTATGGACAGCTGTCATTTCAGTAGCTGTCACATAAAACGCCAAATCTGTTTTGCAGGTGGAGAGGATGAGCTGGTTTCACCGTACCATGAGCACACAATCGTTGAGGTGTCGTAACTCTGCTTTTGGTCTTTGGAGCCGTTACAGAGGAGACCAATGTTGACTGTGTTGTGGGCTTCTGTTTTCGATCTTGGCCCACTGATACCTTCTGTTGTTGGGCTTGCTCACTTTGGGCCAGCAGTTTTGCTGATTCTGCACTTACATACACGATAAAAAATGGACTATTCGAGGACTAATATGTAAACAAACAGCTTCGACTAATGATCCTACCATTGAATCAGATCGATCCATCTCCGTCTTGTCTTGTTAACAAAGAAAACTCTCGAGGTTTAATAAGATCCCGTTCGTGTATCTAGCAACCCACAAGACACACGACTGATTATGGAGAGATTACAGCGGATCTTCGGCGCCGGTGGCGGTTTGGGTCACGCATCGCCTGATTCTCCGACCCTCGATACGTCGGAGCAGGTTTACATCTCTTCTCTCGCCCTCCTCAAGATGCTCAAGCACGGTAATCGCCCATCCCGAGCTCCAATTACTTTTTCCTAGTGCTTAGGGTTTCTGATTTGTTTCGCTTTCTGTGATTTCCTCTTTTCCCCCCTTTGCTCTGTAGCTCTAGGGTTTCTAAGACTATCAATCTGGTTGTATTTCTCCTACTTTTATTCGTAGCTGAAAGTGTTATCTCCATATGGATTGAGTTGAGATTTGAGGAAAAGTGATTGGAAAATTTTGTTTGCTGATTTTGTGATGGGTGCTATTGAAATTCGCAGGAAGAGCTGGGGTTCCTATGGAAGTCATGGGATTGATGCTTGGAGAGTTCGTGGATGAGTACACTGTTCGAGTTGTGGATGTCTTTGCGATGCCTCAGAGTGGTACTGGTGTTAGTGTTGAAGCTGTTGATCATGTTTTCCAGACTAATATGCTCGACATGCTCAAACAAACTGGAAGGTTAAATGATTTCTCTCTTTGCTCACATATACTTGTAAAACTTTTTGTTACAGAACAATGATGATGCTTACTTTGTCTTCCTATGATCAAAATTCCTTCTTGCATTACAGACCTGAAATGGTGGTTGGTTGGTATCATTCACATCCTGGATTTGGCTGCTGGCTTTCTGGTGTTGACATTAATACTCAACAGGTAGATCTCTTTGTGCATTTGTTGTTTTCTTTTACCCATACTTTCTTAATGGCCCAAGCACTATAGAATGTTACTGATTGTGTCCTGTAACCTGATGTGATTGCCATTGCATTTGTTTGAGTTTGTATATTAGACTCAAAGTATCTATAGAGTTTGGATTGGACTATGTATGTTCACTGTGAACATCTTTGTGCTTTTGTAGAGTTTTGAAGCTTTGAACCAGCGAGCTGTGGCAGTGGTGGTAGATCCGATTCAGAGTGTGAAGGGCAAAGTGGTGATTGATGCGTTCCGCTCGATAAACCCGCAGACCATTATGCTTGGGCAAGAACCTCGTCAAACAACATCGAACCTTGGGCACCTGAACAAACCATCGATCCAGGTGATGAATCATATAGTGAAAGTTGTTTTCCCTGTTTTTTTTTTTAAGTTGGAACACAAATCAAAGAATGTCTCTGATACTTACTTTTGGATACAACTATGCAGGCCTTGATTCATGGATTGAACAGACACTATTATTCAATAGCCATCAACTATAGGAAGAACGAGCTCGAGGAGAAGATGTTACTAAACCTCCACAAGAAGAAATGGACAGATGGTCTTACGCTAAGACGCTTCGACACCCACTCCAAGACAAACGAACAGACGGTGCAGGTAAGATATATGGGGTATTTTGCAATCTTTTTATTTGTTTAAACATGTCACACACTCGTGTTCACTGACATCGATTAACTCTTTGGTGTTTAAACAGGAAATGTTGAGCTTGGCTGCTAAGTATAACAAGGCGGTACAAGAGGAGGACGAGTTGTCACCTGAGAAACTGGCGATCGTGAATGTGGGAAGACAAGACGCGAAGAAGCATCTGGAAGAACATGTTTCCAACTTGATGTCATCCAACATTGTGCAGACTCTTGGCACCATGCTTGACACTGTTGTCTTCTAGAGGGCTTTTCACTTTTCCAGCCAGTAGTACTCCGCTTCAGTCATTTGGCTAGAAAGCTGAGCTTTGTTCTTCTTCTCCATCTCTTTGATTTCTGTTGAATCTTCTCTTTATGCCTTATCTCCTAGCATTTGACAAAGTTATATTGTACTCTGTGATTTCGTTTTTTTCATTAAGGCAATGGATTGATTTCTATTTCTTGCAATTTAAGCTGCACCTTTTGAGTGTTTCAACAATGTTAACTTCAAACCTATATGGTGGTGCTTAAAATTTCTCAATACAGAAGCAATTGGGAATCAAAATGTCTGAAATTCTCATTATACTTAGCTGGTTAATATACTTTTCCTGAAGAAACTCAAACAAGATGTAAAGGGGGAAGCAATCATTCTCGACCAAATCTACGTTTAATTCCACAGCAAAACATACAAAAAAAGAATCTATGCTAGGATTTGTGAAGACGGGCACTTCATGTTAAGAAAGCAAGTAGAAACCAAAACGAGCTCCAAAGATAAGCCATACGCAAGGACTATTAGCGCTTTTAGTGTTCTTCTTCAAGTCCAGCTTTAACCACATTTGGAGGAGACCGACCAATCATTCAAACAGAGCACAACCGTTTTGAGTCGATGTGTAAAGGGCTGCTTAAAACTCGGTGTCGAAACAAGTCATGAAGACCTTCGAGACCATGGTCCTTGCAAAAGGGATGTAGCTCAAGCTATACCTGCGGGTTTAAAGAACAAAATGGATTCTTGAAGATGAATGAAAGCTTTTGTGACAAACTCAGAAACCATACAAGTAGCATTCGGTTCACTAAACTCATTCCTAGTTCGGGCTAATATATATTTCGAGGAGTAAATCATTTAACTGCATTGTGATGACTGCACGCAGAGACCAAGTATAAATAACAAGAAAGTTAAAAACGCAAGAGCTTGAACTCAAGTTTGAGTATACCAAATTAGACCAGAGAACTCAAGAATGATAGCCAGCAGCGTCAGCAGCTTGTTACGAACCTGTACAGAAAGAAAATGACAGATTGTAACCAAATATTTATTATGCTCAGTATATATTATATCTATCCAGTAGATTAAATTGAGAAACCCCACTTACATAGAGAGCACAAAATAAGGCAATGATAATGCTTGCTAGATACAAAGCCGTAGCGTAGATACGAGCTGGGTCAAGCATCATCGTCACCTGCCGCTGTGGGCCTATAAGGAATGCTGTGCTGCCATACAAAAAGGACATGAAACTTAAAATCCAGGAGCAGAGAGAAATGGAGAAAGTCTTCTCCACACAGACTTGCGTAACTCAATGCAATATTAGAAGCTAAACCAAAAATCCAATACGGACCTCCCAAGTGCCATCAAATTCCCCAGGGTGAATGTGATGCCAAACTTGACCGGATTGAAGAAAACAAGCATTGACTGCATTGTCCAAACAGGTCGAAGATAAAAGAGTTATAGCACCACTAGAGGAGACATAACTACCCAAAGAACGAAACTTTCCACAGAGGTGAAGAGCAATAGAGCTAAACCAAGTCTAACAAAGGTCGCATATGATTACAGTAATATGATTCCTTGTAATGCAGGCACTATTGATTTCTAACATGGATAGGAGTTGCACTTACCAAAAGAGTACATGCCAAGCCTGCTGACAAGCAAATCGCAAAGCCATAGAATCTCTGTACTCATGAAAACAGACAGAGCAAAACAGTGTATTAGCTGAAGATCAACCCAATTCAAGAGACACTCAACAGTCAACAGATTCGTGTAAACGAGGCTGTCCTATTAATCAAACTTTTATCTAACCACTACACTCATATCATATTCCAGGAAATTTGATCATCCTTCTCCTTTGGTAGATCGATTTTTAATGTGCATGAATGTTACATTTTGGGATTTAATCAGAATGCTGAACACTTGTCTTAAAGGGAACAAATACTTCTCCGGGTGTTATTTATCACTTCATCTACATCTAATAGAAACTCACTTATCCTTCTACATCAGTGAATCAGATACACAAAGAGCTCACCAGCTCAACTTCCTTAATTGGATGCATATGATATCAATCGTTGCAGTAAACCCGAAATCACAAGAAACAGCTAAATGCAGATGATCTGATCAAAGAGAAACCAAAATAAAGAGAATTTGGGCCAGTTCTAGACCTGTTTGGTACTTAAAGCGCAATTGCGATTAAGATCTTCCATGAATGAGAGAGAGCTTTCTTCCTCGGCAGCTCTTTCCTCGTCTTCAACCTCCATACCCACCAACATCTTCATCTTCTCAAAGGCCTGATTCATCTTATCCATGTCTGTAGCCCTCTCTGTGTAGTCTAAACTCGTCTTCACTTGTTGAGCTATTAGGAACTGCTCAGATCTCGCGCTTCTTTCTCTCAAACTGTGATAGCTGAACTGAAGTATGGTTGGATCTCCGCACAATTACGCCATGTTATTGTGTTGGAGTGGAAAATGAAAGGGACGCTTTTCTTCGTCCGTGGTTCGTTGGAGAAGAAGAAGAAAGGCTTTATCATTGGGCTTTCCTAACATCAAATTATAAACGGGCTAACGTTCGGGTCCACTAAGATTTTTTTTAAGTTTAATTATTGTCATACCAGCCCACTTTTGTATTTGTCATTCGTATTGTGAATTTTGCATATTTTAGCGTTTTGTCTATTATCCTATTCTTCAATTATTATTTTTTCTCATCAAAATGTTCGAAGAAAATATCTCTAACTAAGAGAAAAAAAGCAAAAACATGAAATCTTCTAACTGACAAGTACTATAATCTTTATTTTCATTTAAAATAATTACCAATTAAATCCTAAATATTAATATTTAAATAATATAAATATAGTTATTAGTGTTTGTTTTTATATTAAAATTTATTAACTATCATAAGATTTATTTCTAAAATAATTTTTTACTATATATATTGAAAGATTGTTTACATAACGTTTTGTTGTTTCTATTTATAATTTGATCTTAAATTTATTAATATGATTTTTTATATATCTTTTATTTATTTTATACATACTAATAAAAAATAATATATTATATTTTCAATTGTTTTATAATATATATATTTATATATATATTATTGAATTGTTTTATTTCGATTTTATTCTCTGTTTTTTATTTAAATATAAATAATCTTAATCAAATAAAATTTAATAGAAAATAGAAAAGTATATTTCTACTTTTTGTGCATTTGATATATTTATGTACCAAAATGAGAATATGATTAAATAGTTAAATACTAAATTTGAAAAAGAAAAAACTCAAAAACTCAAAAACTAAATACAAAAATTAGCATTTTCGTTGGCAATGAAAAAAAAGTACGAAATATATCAAATTGAATGAAATTTGGAGTCCGGACTCGGAAAATAAAGGCCGTTTAGAGAAGCCACCCACAAAGGCTTTCTTATTTGTCTTTTGCTCTTCACTCCCTCCTTTCTCCTCTCACACTTACCTTCTCCGTACTCTCAGTCTCCGGCGTTTGATCTTGCAATCTCCGTCGTTTTCTCTGTAAGTACTTCCTTCGAGCCCTTGACCGCTCCCTCTTTATTTACTCTCTGCTTGATTTCGTTTTTTTTTTTCGTCGTCGGAAAAATGCCCTAATGTTCTCGATTTCGAAGGTTTTTGTGCTCTGGGTTTTGTATTTTTTGCTTTTTTTTTCTTTTCTCCTGTTTTCAGATTTTTGTTTATAAAGCCTGCAACGAGGCCGCCTTCATATTGTTTGTGTTGTTAGGTTTGTTCTGCTTACTCCCGTTTTCGCTATCTGTTTAGTAGTTGATCGGAGACTTTACAGCAAAAAAATCTCTACTTTTGAGTTTCGTTTCATATGCATGGGCTTGATCTACCGTTTTTGCTTTGACGCTATTTTGTTAAGCCTATGCGCTACCTTGTTGTAAGATCTCGTTTTTGTGTAGATTTTAAGAGGATGGTAGTGACTGTAGCTCTCTTTGATGCACAGGTGCCTCTCTGTTGGTTCGAAATGAGTTCGAGGGCTGCTCCAAAGTCTAAGGGGAAAAACGTCTCTCAGGGCGGCTCTAACCCAGAGGTTGAACAGTTGGTGCAAGGTGTTGCAGGGACGAAACTGGCTCCTTCACAACATGATGGAGGAGAGTGGGAGGTCATTTCGAAAAAGAACAAGAGCAAACCTGGAAAATCTTGGGCTTCTCATAACCAGAACCCTCCTAGAGCTTGGGGTGGTCAGCAACAGGGGAGAGGCAATAATGTATCTGGGAGAGGTAACGGCAACGGTTGGGGAAGACAAGCTACTGATTCGAGGGTCTCTACTGGTCGGGGACAAGCAATGAACCGAGGCTATGACAACAGCTACGCGGCTCCGCCACCTGTGTCACGCGCTCCTTTGGAAGGAGGATGGAATTGGCAGTCTAGAGCAGGCTCTGCTCAGCACACAGTTGTGGAGGAAGTTCCGGACGTGGAGGACGATGCCTCTGAGGAAGAGGATGACTGCGATGGTATGGACGATTCTGATGAAGACCTTGCGAGCGATGATTATGACTCGGATGTGAGTCAACAGAGCCATGGGACACGGAAGAAGAATAAATGGTTCAAGAAGTTTTTCGACAGCTTGGATAGCTTGTCTATCGAGCAGATTAATGAACCACAGAGGCAGTGGCACTGCCCAGCTTGTCAGGGCGGACCTGGTGCTATTGACTGGTACAACCTGCAGCCACTTCTTGCTCATGCGAGGACGAAGGGAGCTAGACGCGTTAAGCTCCACAGGGAACTGGCTGAAGTTCTAGACATGGATCTGCAGATGAGAGGAGCATCGGTCATTCCGTCTGGTGAGATTTACGGGCAGTGGAAGGGTTTGTGTGAGGAGGAAAAAGATCGTGAGATTGTCTGGCCGCCAATGGTTATCATCATGAACACCAGACTTGACAAAGACGATAATGATAAGGTGAACTTCTTTTTTTCAGTCTTTTACCTTTTTTAATCTTCTCTTGCATTCTTGTGTGATCTTAGTACTGACAAATTCTGTATGTTATGTTTCAGTGGGTAGGTATGGGCAACCCAGAGCTACTGGAATACTTCAACGAATATCCTGCTACTAAGGCACGCCATTCCTATGGCCCTCAGGGTCATCGTGGGATGAGTGTGTTGATATTTGAGAGCAACGCCACTGGCTACTTTGAGGCTGAACGCCTTCACAAGGACTTAGCTGAGCAAGGGTTAGATAGGAACGCCTGGGACCGTCGTCGCAGTTGGTTTTCCGGAGGTGTTCGCCAACTGTTTGGCTTCATGGCTACCAGGCAAGATCTGGACGACTTCAATAAGCACTGTCAAGGTTCTATCCCTCGCAAATTCGATAATCTTTTTTAAGTCTTGTCATTCAGATTGAGAGTTTTGTTGATCCTTGTAAATGCATCTTATGTGTTTTTGTATGATTCATTAGGCAAAACCAGGCTGAAATACGAGATGAAATCATACAACGAGTATGTTGTGAAGGAGCTGAGGCAGATCGCTGAGGACAATCAGAAGCTAAACTGGTTGAAGACCAAGCTCGCTAGAGAGACCAAGCACACCAAGTTGCTTGAGGAGAATGTGGGGATTTTGAGCGATAAGCTGCGTAAAACAGAAAAGGAGAATCGTATCGTGAGACAGAGAACAAAGATGCAGCATGAGCAGAACAGAGAAGAGGTATGCGTTTCTCTCTCGAAAATGAAAAAAACGCAAACTTGAATTTGGAATTACCACCTACTGATACACATTTTTTTATTAACTTGTCCAAACAAAAACAAAAACGATGGTTTGAAGATGGATTCACAAGACAGGTTCTTTAAAGATACAATCAAACAGATACATGAGAATAGAGATGCAAAGGAGGAGAACTTCGAGATGTTGCAGCAGGAGGAACGTGCTAAGGTTGTTGAGCAGCAGCAGAAGCACGCTAATCCCTCTAGCAAAGATGAGTTACGAAAGAGGTATACATACACTTCCACAAGCCAGCTTTTTTTGTTTTAGGGGTCAAACACACACAAGAGTAACTAAATTTTTCTGGTTTGATTATTCTGCAGAGCTGAGGAGGTGTCAAGCTTCATAGAGTGTCAAGAGAAAGAGATGGAGGCGTTTGTGGAGGAGAGGGAGAAGCTGATAGAAGAGCAGGAGAAGAAGATGGCAGAGATGAAGAAGAGGCATTTTGAGGAAGTGCTTGAACTGGAGAGAGAGTTTGATGTGTCTTTGGAGCAGCTCATGAACAAGCACGGCCTTCACGATGCAGATGACTGAGACACAAGACTGGTTTTCATGTTTTGCTTCTGGTAAGTCGGCGAATCTAATGAGGAGAGACTTGGGAGAAAGACTATTTTGTTCTCCATTTTAGTAGAATAATTTTTAAGGAGACTTTGATTGAGACTATTATTATCCGGAAGCCATTACAGTAGTACTCTATTTCATGTGACCAAAACGAAGTTTGAGTAGTATATTTTGTTTTCATGAAAGTTTACTCTAAATCATCCGAATCTTAACCAATTCCATTCTTTTTAGAATTTCATACATAGACAAAACCATAAACAACTGAGTGGCATGAACGTGGCCCATGTGTGCGTAATTGGGGAGAACCAAGTTCTTGGTAATTAAACCAAAGGGTTTTTAATTTAAATATCGAAATTTAGGGGTAGTTGGGGAAAAAAGTAACATGATGGAGGGCAAAATAGTAAAATATCAAAAATTATAGTCGCTACGTGCAATTATACTATTTTAGTCTTGACGACAAGACATGGTGTGTCATCCGCTTTTAGTTGCTTTACATTGGAAGAGCTTCGTCACACAACAAATCTACAGTATTTGTTTATTCTTCTTTCTTTCTGATTTACATCCAAAATTAAACATAAATTAAATCCCCCTTAAATATCTCTCTATCGACTCGATTTACAACCTCCTCGGCGAATTCCACATCTCAGCTGCTTTGAATCCGCCGTATACGAAACGAAAGCATCCTCCTTCTCGATTTAGCTTACTATGGCCCCGCCGGTAGGACAAACGGCGGTGGTGGCAGAGGCGGCTGGCGGCGACGGTGCTCAACCTCAGCAGCAGCGACAAGCCGGTGGGTTTGGTTCCACGATCTCCGGAATCGTTAGGATCGCCGTGTTCTGGTATTTCGCTTCAAAGTTCTTCTCTCCTAAACAGAAACCGATGGATCCCTCTCAAGCTCCTCACCTCATGACCAATCTCTTTCACAAGGGCGAACCATTGGTAATGAACTCCGATTCATTCTTCTTCTGCAAATTGGATTGCGTTTTCCTTATGCTGAGTTTCAAATCGTATCTAAACTCTAAAGAGCTTGTTTTGTGATCATCTTTTTTTTTGCTGGGTGCTCTTGTGGTTGTGTAAGACCACTGTTTGATTAGAGGATTAGGGTTTTAAGATTTGTTCTGGTACATAAATAGTATTTCTGTTTTGATTCTAATTGCAAGGAAAGTTTTTTTTTTATGCAGGATATGTGGTTTTATCTTTCAGAGCAAGCGAAGTTCAATGACTTTAGCAATGAAGGTGCGCTTTTTTGGCATGAGACGAATATCCCTTATGCTGTATGGACACCAGAGAGTATTAGGACCAAGTCACTCACGTATTATCCATCTGAGGTAGAAAAAATTCGCAAACTTTCGACTGTTTACTATATTTGGGTTTCTTCATATTCTCCCTCCCATATCACTGTACTAATTTGAGTAACTATGTTATTTTGTTACAGACACTACAGAATAATGGAAGTCTGTATGCTCATGTCTTCTTTGCTCGGTCTGGATTCCCCATAGACCCCAGTGATCCTGAATACCAACCTCTTAATAGCTTTGGCAGGACTCATCGTAAGACCTGTCTTAAAAAAAACTCTTATCTATGACAACAATTAGTGATTAGGTTTTTCTGTATGAGCTTAATTGGACTGGTGTTTTCATTATTTCAGCTGTTGCGACTTACTTTCCAAAGCGAAAAGTAGATAAGAAGAAGAGTCTCTTGGGTAATCCAAAAGAGACTGCTGAATCCCAACCAGAAGTTGAGGTATGACTCAGTGGAAATTTTTCCTTGATTGCACATAGTTTGAAGTTATTGTCTTGTACGTTGTTTGATGAATTCCGTAGATGTCTTATGAACTAACACAAAGCGTACTTTGCAGAAAGATGGTGATAAAAACTCGAAACTCAAGGAAGAGGTCCCTGTGGAATGGGTGTCACTCTGGAAACCTAATGTCACGATTAACCTGGTCGATGATTTTACTCCGTAAGTCGGTTCTGGTATTTTGTGTAGGATAAAAGGATTTGATTTTTAGAAACTTACAATGCAGAGTAGAATACTAGAATGAAACAATGAAGATAATAATGGTGGATTTACTTTTTAATCTTGATGTACATATGATTCTGCTTATTGTCCAAAATATTTTACAGAGTAATTAGACTTCCCAACTGTGGCTCCTACATAAAAAAAAATACAACCAACCAAATACAATTGGCAGTTGATGGCATGCTTGATTTTATTTTCGGCAGTCTTTTCAATATTGAATTTAATATGACTCCATACTGTAAGTGTAGACTAATATCTTCTTTCGTTTTGTGACAGTTATTCACAGAATGGCGCACCACCAAACGTTGCTCCTCGTATCCTTTAATTTCTTTTGGAATAAGGATGAAATGCTTATTATTATATGTGTCTTGTACAACTCTCTTGGCATATGTTTTTGATAGCATTTGAAGAGACTATCCATGTGACTGCCCCATACTTTATCTTCCATGCCTTTTTAAGCTATATCTGAATCAAACTACCTAAAAGCATTGATAGGTTATTGGGTCCTTGGATGGTTAAAGTAGTGCCACGCCTCTTGATTTGTTTCGGTGCATAAGTTGCACAATATAATCTTCTTTGTTTTCCATTTTTCTTTATTTTGGCATGCAACAGGTGTGACTGTCTAGTTGCCCAATTCGTTATATGTTGTACTTGACTTTAGATTTGCAGACTTGCTGGTAGAACCTAGCACGGGAAATTACTATCCTACAATTTACTTCAATGAGTTTTGGCTGCTTAGGGACAAGTTTATTCCAGTCAATGAGACAGTCTCAGAATTACCACTTAATCTGGAAATAGGCCCCATAAGCATGATGAAGTGGCAACTGTTTCAGCAAGTTGATCAGTCTTTCCAGATGCAGCGTAGCTATGGCAGCATGCTTGATGGTGAATCTGACGAACTAAAGGTAATTATGGTTCTTTGCGTTTTAGATGAACCTATGATATGGTACTAAATTTTGATTATTTTCTATACACGTTCTTGGTTTATTCCTGGAACTGGTTGTAAATCATGTTTTTGTATTGCAGAGGGTGTTTTTGGAAGGAAATCCCTATCTGTTGGGCATCACGATGTTTGTGTCGATGCTTCATTCCGTGTTCGACTTCTTGGCATTCAAAAATGGTAAACTAAGACCCAAAAAGTAACAGCCTCTTTCCTCCTAACGTTTGTTGGGATTTACTTTATATTTTTACTTACCTTGTAGATATCCAGTTCTGGAACAAAAACAAATCTATGGAAGGACTGTCTGCGAAGTCTGTAGTACTGAACTTTATTTGCCAGTTTGTCATCTTCCTCTACTTGCTTGACAACGACACTTCATGGATGATACTGGCTAGTTCCGGAGTTGGTGTCTGCATTGAGTTCTGGAAGATAGGGAAAGCCATGCGAATTGAGGTACTTGTAACATTTTACATAATTGATTCTGACATTTCTGATCCAGGGAGAATTTACTGTGAGCATCTCTGATGTTGTTACTTGGCAAACATTTAAAACTTTTCAGGTTGACAGGAGTGGAATGATTCCAAGGTTGAGGTTCCACGATCGTGAATCCTATGCAAGCAATAAAACCAAAGAGTATGATGACATCGCCATCAAATTCTTATCCTACGTGCTCCTCCTCCTTGTCATCGGATTATCCATATATTCTCTCGCGTACGAACGCCACAAGAGCTGGTATTCTTGGATCCTGTCTTCTCTAACAAGCTGTGTCTACATGTTCGGTAAAAAGCCTTCACCATCCTAAAAAAAAAAGCTGCTGAGATTCTCTCATTGTGAAACTGTTCTGAGTTTGGGTGTGTGTGTGTTTTGCAGGTTTCATCATGATGTGTCCTCAGCTATTCATCAACTATAAGCTAAAGTCAGTGGCACATTTACCATGGAGACAGATGACTTACAAGTTCCTCAACACCATTATCGACGATCTGTTTGCCTTTGTCATCAAAATGCCGATTCTCCATCGGCTTTCTGTATTCCGAGATGGTGAGTAAAATCTATAAAAACAATCTTCTCTCTTATTCCATTTTTCTGATGGATCTCTCTGTCTCTCTGTGTGTGTTTCAGATGTGATATTCTTGATATACTTATACCAAAGGTGGAAATACCCTGTGGACAAGACACGTGTGAACGAGTTCGGTTTCGGAGGTGAGGATGAAACTGGAGAGAAGAAGCTGATCACTGAGAAAGAAGAAGAAGACAACAAGAAAACAAACTAAAATCTTTTACACTTCTTCCTTTTATTTTTGTGGTTCACACTTTCAGTTATAGTTTCTTAATTTCTTTTTTGTTTTCCTTTTCACTTGGAAATTGTTTTGTTTAAGTTATCACAATGTCAACAACTTTCATAACACACAATATATAGTAGCTTCTTAATTTTTTCTTTCTGAACTAACCTCTGAGAATTGTTAATATCGATGGGGAAAACTCACAGTTACTAAGAACTTAATTTAAATTTCTGGTCAGAAAAACTTTTTAAAGGCAAAAGTAGATTAAACAGAGACAATAAGTTATATCATTGCTACAAAAGTCACTTAAATGAAAAGTTTTTAAGACATTCATATCGAGTCATCAGGAACAAGAATTCCAAAGTCGAGAGTGTTCCTCATTGATCTCCGGCCAATCCCTCCATTGCCATTTCCTTTCCTCATCATTGCCACAAATTCTCCATAGTCTATTTGCCCATCCTGCAAAAGGCGACACCATATATATTATTCTAAGCTCCGTACATTAGTGATGTAACCACTTGAATCTTTGGTGTACTACTCACATTGTCTTGGTCAATGTCTTTGATCATCTCATCAAGGTGTGAATCCTTTATACCAAACTCCTTCCATGCTTGCTGAAGCTCGTCGATGGTGATATAACCACTTGAATCTTTGTCAAAGAAGGAGAATGCAGCCACTAGATTCTCCTCTCTCTCCAGCTTGTTCAAGTGGATTGTTGCAGCTAAGAACTCTCCATAGTCAATCGCTCCACTTTCATCAACATCAGCCTGACACACACAGACACACACACTAACAATGAGAAGATGATATTGGATTATAACTTAACTTTGGTTAGAGTGGTTTGTTATTTACTGCGCGCAAGAGTTCTTGGATCTCTGATTCCATAAGCTCTGACCCAACGCGCTTCATAGTGTCTTTTAGCTCTTCAAATGTGATGGTCCCGCTGTTATCTGTGTCTATCATTTTGAACAGTTCCTTGAGCCCACCGATCTCTTCCACAGAGAGTCTCTCTGCAATTACGCGTAAAGCCATCTTCTTAAGTTTGTTCATCGCAGAGAACTTTTTCAGGCGGGACACTACCGCGCAGTCCAATGGCTTATCCGGAGCAACCTTATCATCCACAATCCAAGGGTGACCTGGCAAAGAAGGAAACCTTGGGATCATCCCACTTGCAAGAAAACTCATCCAACTATTGCGAGGCTAAGCTCAAAAATACGAGAACTTACACAACACTTGATGAGCAGTTAGCCTCTTCTGTGGATTGCTCTCAAGCATTTTCTTGATAAGATCCTTGGCACTCTCTGAAATGCTAGGCCAAGGGTTGGTCTCAAAGTCCAGCTTCCCCTGTAGAATCCTTCTGAAGATGCCAATCTCACTTTCTGAAGATACAAAATAGGACACATGAGAGAGAGTAAGCACTTGATGGGAACGCTGCGATTGTATATATCTTTGAGGAGAAAGGGAATAGAAATCAAACCAGCCCAAAAAGGAGGGAAACCACATAAGAGGATGTAGAGGATAACTCCGGCGCTCCATACGTCACATTCACGGCCGTAATGCTTATGTAAAACCTCAGGTGCCACATAGTAGGCGCTACCAACAAGTTCTGAAAAAGTGTCGCCTGAAAGAAAAAAACAAAGATTCGTGTGCTCAAAACTCAAAGTCTCTCACAGCATTCGAAACAACTTTCATAGATTTTGCTAAGGGTAAACCGCAATTATCATATCCAAGAACACAGAGACTCGATTTGTAACATTCTGTTAGATCATTTTAGAGATCATCGAGCTGAAAAACAGAAAAAAATTCAGAGTCTGATGTTTCTTCCATAAATCAACACAGTTGAGAGAGAGAGAGAATGAGATGTCTCTTGGCAAATGCATTAATTAAATCAAATCTTTAATAAAAAAAGCTGCAGATTATTGGTGACATCACTAACATAACCAGAGTTTCTCTGCAAAGACAACACAATCATGGTTGGAAATTAGAGATGACTATGGAAAGGTGAGAAATCAAAATCAGACCTGGTTTGCCGAAAACAGAGAGGCCAAAGTCGGTGGATTTAAGAGAAGCGTCTTCATGAGAAGAAGTGAACAAGAAATTCTCAGGCTTGAGATCTCTATGGAGCACCCCAAGGGAGTGACAGGCCTCGACGACCCCAACAATAGTCTTGATGAGCTTAGCAGCTTCTCTCTCGCTGTAGTGGCCTTTCTTCACGATTCTATCGAACAATTCGCCGCCTTCGCAGAGCTCCATCACAAGGTGCACGCTCTTGGAGTCCTCGTACGTGCCTTCTATCCGGACAACGTTGGGGAATTCCGACAAGTGATGCATTATCTGGATCTCCCTCAAAACGTCGTCGTAATCTTCCTGGCAAAGGAGTTTCCTTTTGGGTATGGATTTGCAGGCAAGCTTTTGACCCGTCTGTCTATGGGTACAGAGGAAAGTGGTTCCGAATTGTCCTTGTCCGAGCACTTGCCCCAGAAAGTAATCGTCTTCCACGTTCTTGGTCTCGTTAGGGAGAACCCATCGATGGGTTCTTGCTTTGTTAGCCATAGTTTGAGAGTCTGATTTCTTTGTGGTTTCGTTTGAGCAGAGGAGGAAGAAGAACAAGAGAAACTGTTGTTTGAGGAAAGAAACTGACTTGAAGAGGCATTCAAGAGAGGGGGAAGTCAAGAGTTAAAGAGAGATAGAACATTTCTTGACCAACTTTTTAGAGAATGAATGATTAGCATTAATTAGCTTTCCATTTGAGTTTGTTTGTTTTTCTTCACATAAAATGAAAAATGGCAAGTAAATCAAATTACATGACTGGCTTGAGTTGTTTGAAGGTTGAACAAAAAAAATTATTACTTCTTATGAAAATGTCTTTTATTATTACATAATTCAATCAGGACATTAATTAGTATTTTATGACAACTATTATTATAAATTGTAAAATTATCAATTTGGATTTTCTTATACTATTCTATTATACTGAATTAAGGAATATAAAATCAATATAAATATAATTATCCCGTGATAAACATTTTCATTTAAAAGTGGCAAACTCGCAATAAAGTAAAAATCTTACGATATACAGTATCTGTTTTAACTTTTAAGAGATAAAACCATTTACGAAAACAATATTATGTAAGGAACCAATAGTTGTATACCGATATTTATGAATAAATTTAATACTTTTATATATAAAGGTTTCAACTTAGTCAGGATAAGGTATCTACGTGCTTAGGGCAATGAATAATGGCATAAACGTGTTCAAATGGGTTTCACTAATTAACATTCCCTTTGTTTCCCAAACCTGAATGTTGACGAGTATGTATATGTTTTCAGCACGTTGTGTATTTTCTGCAAAATATCAATGGTTCCCAATCAGTTATCAATAAAAACAAAAACAAAATGTTGAAAACGACCTGCGTTACAATTGTAGGGCTTTTTTCTATGGTAAAGAGTTTGTAGAATTTTAGATTCTATAACAAAAATTGATATGACACTGGATGTACACAAAAACTTGTTGAATATATATCTTAACAAAAATTAACAATTAAGGACGACGAGGCTGTGCTGTGAATAGAGACGACCACTTTGGTCTTCAACAAGCTTAACTCTTTGATCATGTGGCATACTCCATAATCATTTCTGGTTCATCGCCGCCTATTCAAGATGAAACAAAGTAAAATATGAGACTTCTTGATAAGAAAAAGCAGTAAAAAGTTTCAGTGAATCAACAAGAACCTGAGGAGACTCGAAAATATACCTTTCGCAGTTTTTGCATGACAGCGTCTTCATAAGCTTGATAACCAGCACCTACTATGTTGCTCTGCGGTTCTGCTTCTGCTGATTTCTTAGCAGTCTGAAAATCGGTGTGCGCTGCTCTCTGAAGAGGTACAACTAGCAATGGATTTGAGAGATCACCACACAGTGTTCTCGTCGCTGCTACCTATAAGAAGAAAATAAAGACAAATTGAAACAATCCATGATTAGATTCTTGACATATAACCAAAAAGAGAGAAAATTAAGATAACATTAATTACTCACAGCTCCATCTTTTGTAGCCATTACAATAAGAGCAGAGCATTTCGTCTTGGTACTCCTAATAACAACATCTTCAACCTCACCAAACTCTGAAAACACTTCCCTGAGCCTTCCCGCTGTATACCCTTCACCAACTTTTTCCCAAGAAACCTTCAACGCTCTCTCTTTATCGAGCTGAAGACTAGCTCCAGCTCCACTTTTATCTTCTTTCCTCTTTCCATCTACACCACTCTCTGGGGTTTCAAAACCACCTCTCTTCTTATTAGCATGTTTTGCACGTATCCTATCTACCTCCTCCTTGAGCTTCCTCGCGATTCTCTCCTCTTCATCATAAGGTCTAGCTGCATGATTAGGAGCAAAAGCAGAACGCTCCCTTTCCTCCAGATCTGACATCATCTTACGCCTCTTGGAATCTCCTTGCGATTTCTTCTGTTGTTTCTCACGCTGGACTCTAAGAAGATCATCAAACAGCTTACGGGCTTTTTCGTCTTTGAGAACCTCGTAAGAATCCTTTAGCTTTTGGAATTTCTCATGAGCATCGGGATCATCTGGGCGTTTATCCGGATGCAAGTACAAAGCTTTCAACTTGTATGCTTTTGCAATCTCCTTCTCGCTAAGCTTCAGAGCTTCCTCTCCAGAGGGTAAACCTAGAACTATATAGTGATCCACAAACTCCATATCTTTCTTTCTTCTTCTTCTTCTTCTTCTTCTACGCCACACCACCCTACAGCACAGAACCACAAAGAATTTAGTTCAAGTGACACGCAAACTCTACAAAACGGAATTAAGGGGTTTTTCTTGCTCTCAAACTTATCAACTTGAATAGTCTTACAAGAAATTAACAGCCCAATGCAGGAGGAAAAAGCAGATAACTTGCTATCTCAGAATGATATTTAAAACGCAATTCAGAAAGAGAAAACTAGTGAATATATATGCATTGGCATATGTTAAAAGACACCTTGATACAATTTTGGTGAAGCTTTTCAATTTGTTCCAAAAAGGTCTCTTTTTTTAAGGTTACTAAACCCACCAAGCATCAAAGACATCAGTCCACCTATGAAGTCGGAAGATAACCTTAACACCTGAATGGATATTATAATATAACAGCTTGGGCTCTTCTTTACTTCCAAATCAATAATCAGTCACAGCAATCACACATATAATTCTTTATTCGAGATCGTACCTGCCGATTCCTACCCGATAAAAACTCTTGAAAGCGTAAACTAGACTAATACCCTCGAATTCTGTCGACTCGAAGCACACAATCCCGAACACAAATGTCTCGGATTAAAAGTGAGATCTCTACGAACCAAAGCGGAACCCTAGAACTGAAAGTTTCCTCCTCTTGAAATTATCGAGCAAGAACAATCGGAGAAAGAGAGAAATAGAGTTACCTGTGACGGAATTGGAATTGAAGGGGAGAAAGGAGAATTAACTGATCGCTTGCTCCGTCGTCGTCGATTGAAGAATCTCTCGACTCTTGTTTTTTTCTCAAAAAATAATCTGTCGATGAAACCTCCTCGGTCGTTTGGATTGGACACAACAAGTAATGAATAAATGTGATGATTGGGCTGCATTGTGGGCTGGATTCGTATTATTGGGCTGGACTGTGGGCTGGATTCGTATTATTGGGCTGATCTGTGGGCTGGATGCGTAGTAATGGGCTGGATTGTGGGCCGTGTTTTAGCCTTGATAAGGTGCGATCGCATGTATCGTATTCCATCAATAATATACTGACTTACTGAGTACAATGTAACCACAAAGTGAGTTCTCACGAAGAATCGGGTGGGGTAGAAACTTTGAGTTTCTTTACTTATAGATTCATACTTAATGTGTGGCAGGTAAATCTGACTGGTATTCCACATGGACTAAGCTTCCAAGAAACAAAAGAGCTATGGGTTCGAGCTGATCTTGATGGAAATGGTGTGTTCGACTATGAAGAAGAACTCAAGGTAAATTAATATAAACCAAGTTGATGCGGGAATCACACACTGATAAAATGATTCGATAAAGATTGCTTTGTTTAAAAACGTCAACCAAGACTCTGATGCGTGTCTGTGTATGTATTATGTCAGAAAATTTGGAACATGACGATGATGAATCAATCTGGAAACTGCAAAGAGAGTGTGGTGGAGAGTAGGAAAGAAGAAGGAGAAGATAAGGAGGAAGAAGAAGAAGCGGTCTGGATTGAAACTGAAGAAAGCGGTTCTGTTTCCGGAAGAAGCAGAGAAAGGATTGTGGCCAGAGAATTACAGCCTCTCGGATCATGCTTGTCTCACCCTACACTTCTCTCCTGTCAAAATGCTCTGTAGCTAAGTTTTTATTGTAAACCTTTGCTCTTGTGAAAATGTAAAAGAGAGATTGAGATTTGCAGCGACAAGTTTTGAAATTTGTATAGCTTTTGAGATAAGATACTGAACCTGTGTAATAGCATCACTGTTTCTGGTAAATTAAAGATTTTGCTTTTTCCATTATAACGTCTTGTCATGAAGCCAGAGACTCAATTATACAACGGTAAGAAAATAGAGAGAGCGTTAAAAAAAATAGCCGTTGTAAAAAAAAAATCAAGTTGCTTATAAAAGACCCATGCCACAAACAACAAATTTAAAAATTTTCTCTTCTTCTGCGACTATCAATTCTTTTTTTTCTTCTCCCAGTTTCTCTAGAATTAAATCAAAGGGGTTTATCCAATGATTTTCTTTTCTTTGCTCGGTTTTCGTCAAAATAGCTGAAATGAAGAACAACTTTTCCGTGAATCATCCCTCTTCGCCTTCTGATTCTGGTAATTTACTCAGCGATCTCTTTAGGATTTATTTGTCATAAAGCTTTGATTTTTCGCTCAATTGGATCTGGTTTCTCCGATAATGGGTTTTCCTTTCCCCATCGCAAAAAAAAACCTGACTTTGTTGTGTAATTACTTGAACTTATTTTTTTTTTTTGACAAAGAACTTATTTGCTGCGTATGTTAGGAGAAGATAAAGATCCTTGAATTTGTTTGTTGCGTATGTTTATTCTTCATAAAGCTTTGATTTTTCGCTCTACTCGATCTGGTTTCTCCGATTGCTTTTTGTTTTAACTGTTATTTGTTTCTCCGATTATGGGTTTTGACTTTGCTGTGTGATTGATCGTAATTTTGGAATTACTTGAACTTATTTTGTTGCAAATGTTAGGAGAAGATAAAGATCCTTGAAATTGTTTGCTGCGTATGTTTATTCTTCATATAGCTTTGATTTTTCGCTCTATTCGATATGGTTTCTGAACATCAATAAGACTTGGGATTAAGTTATAACTGCTAATTGTTTCCCCAATTATGAGTTTCCCTTACCCGATCGTAAAAAGAAAAACCTGTCTTTGTTGTGTGATTGGTCGTTATTTAAGAAATTTTATGTGGCTTCGCTGGAATTAAGATTAATATGATTTAACATGTCTGTTGCGTATGTTAGGAGAATATAAAGATTTGGCTTGGGAATTGTGGCGATGAGTTACTGCAGGACACATTACCTTTTGAGGACGATGCCTGGATCAGTGATCGATGAATATCCAATGAATTTTCCAGAAAGAGGTCAAATCCAATTCTCACAACTTCTTTTTTCTTGTTTTTTTGTTTTATTTGGATTGTTTACTCTGTTTTTACACACAAGATCACACGAATCTGAATAAAGGATATTGATTAGTTTCTGGGCATCTCGATGCTATGTAATCTGAAATGTGCAGCTTCATATCCAACAAGAAATGGCTGTAGCCGCACAAACTACGTCCTCAAGCGGTCAAGCCACCTCCACACTCTCTGGTATGATTTCGTTTATTTGAGTCTTCAAATCAATTGGAGTTGTCTTGGCAAAAATGTCATTTTGTTTTGGTTGAGTTATTAACTTTTGTTTCTTATTTTAGTGATATGATAATAACTTTTTTTTCACTAAAAATAATAGTGTTTTAATAAAGATATTAAAAAATTAGAATAATGGACATATGGATTTTTTTAAAATCTAGTATTCTTAGTGTTTAAAAAAATTTCTTTCTTATCATCGTTTTTATTATTAGTGGATTAAAGAAATTTGATTGCTAGATTGCATATTTTGTGAAAATATACCGGACATTGCATCCAGTCATTTGATGGTTAGAGGTGTCATATGTTCGACATGTTTTTACATAATATTGTAAATTTTAGTAATCAAGTTTTTATTGATTTGCTAATAAAAATATTTTCTCTTTTTAATAATCAAAAATAACTTTTTAATATTATTTAAATAATAATCATTAGAACTTTTTTTAAAAATTAATATTTTGAGATTTTTGTTTTTTATCACCGTTTAAATTATTAGATAGATTAAAGAAATTTGATTACTAATTTACATATTCTTTGAAAACACACCGAACATTGCATCCAGTCATTTGACCGTTAGAGGTGTCATATGTTCAACATGTTTTCACACCATATTGTAAATTTTAGTAATCAAGTTTCTATTAATTTGCTAATAAAAATATTCTCTTTTTTACTAATCGAAAAAAGCTTTTTAATGTTACTTGAATAATAATCATTAGAACTTTTTTTTAAAAAATAGATTTTTTAAAAAAATTTGTTTCTTATCACTGTTTAAATTATTAGATAAATTAAAGAAATTTGATTGCTAGATTACATATTTTGTGAAAACACACTGAACATTGCATCCAATTATTTGACCGTTAGAGGTGTCATATGTTCAACATGTTTCCACATTATATTGTAAATTTTAGTAATCAAGTTTCTATTGATTTGTTAATAAAAATATTTTCTTTTTTTAATGATCAAAAATAACTTTTTAATATTATTTGAATAATAATCATTAGAACTTTTTAAAATTTAATATATTTAGATTTTTGTTTCTTATCACTGTTTAAATTATTAGATAAATTAAAGAAATTTGATAACTAGATTACATATTCTGTGAAAACACACCGAACATTGCATCCGGTCATTTGACGGTTAGAGGTGTCATATGTTCAACATGTTTTTACACCATATTGTGAATTTTAGTAATCAATCTATTAATTTGCTAATAAAAATATTTTCTCTTTTTTTACTAATCGAAAATAGCTTTTTAATATTACTTAAATAATAATCAATAGAACTTTTTTAAAAAATATGTTCCGTTTGTTTCTTATCACTGTTTAATTTATCATTTTTTAAAAATCATTAGAACATGTTTTTACACTAATCAAAAAGTAGCTTTTTAATATTACTTGAATAATAATCATTAGAACTTTTAAAAGATATAGTTTTTTTTTAAAAAAATTGTTTTTTATCACCGTTTAAATTATTAGATGAATTAAAGAAATTTGATTGCTAAATTTCATATTCTGTAAAAACACAATGAACATTGCATACTGTCATTTGATGGCGAGAAGTGTCATATGTTCAACATGTTTTTACATCATATTGTAAATTTTAGTAATCAAGTTTATACTAATTTGTTAATAAAATTATTTTTTCCTTCTAATAATAAAAAATAACTTTTTAATATTACTTGATCAATAATCATTAGACTCTTTTTAAAAATATATAATTTTTAAATTTTTGTTTTTTACCACCGTTTCTTATATTCAACATCTTTTCATACCATATTATAAATTTTAATAATCAAGTTTTTTTTAATCTGTTAATAAAAATATTTTCTCTTTTTAATAACCAAAATAGCTTTTTAATATTATTTGAATAATAATCATTAGAACCTTTCTGTCAAAAAAAAATCGTTAGAACTTTTTAAAAATCATTAGAACTATTCAGAGTGGAAGTACGAATTGACCGTTTTCCCAAAATTTTACAGATCTTAGAATTAGAATTTAAAATTATTGGGGAAAACGATCTATTTCTCGACAAGAAGTATTATATAGCACTATATCCACATCAAACTTTCCCTAATTGATGGTTTAAAAGCTCAGAACTTATCTATGTCGGTTTAAACGGTTTATGATTTAAACTAAATATTAAACCATTGAATTTTACATCAAACCAAACTAAATTTACAACCAAAAAATAAAAATTGGAAAAAAAGAAAAATAAAAAGTCATCTTCTTCCTTTCGCCTCCTTTGACTCCTTCCCCTCTTCTTCTCTCCTCTCTCTTTCCACAAAATCAAAAGCAATTAAGATAAGAAGAACAAATGTTTGCTAATGTGAATTTATATAAAAACGATTCTTCTATATAACCACAAATCAAGGATTTAGAAATCGATTCTTCTATGTAACCACAAATCAAGGATTTAGAAATTACCTTCTTAGATTCACAAAGAAAAGCAACTTTTCAGTATTGGTCTGTGTAATTTAATCAAACCAAAAGGATTTATTGTAACAAATTGAGAATTGAAAGCTTATTAATCCATTCCTCTGTCTCATTCTCTCTTTTATCTCTTTCTAGCCTTTTACAATGAAGAGAAGTCCCACTTTACTCGTCAATCGTCATCCTCTGCTATCTCCTCTTCCCATTGTCTCGACTAATCTACTCGTCAACACCTTACCGGCCTTTCCAACGAGATCCATGCTCAAAGTTGTCTTGACCTCTCCGACGAGTTATTTGGTCGAGTCAACGAACCTTGTCGGAGAAACCTTGACCGGAGCCGGTGTTGTCCTGTTCTAGCCGCTTGCCTCCTCGCAACTCATGCTCGCTCTGCTCTACAACTACTAACTCCTGCTTTGACGGCGGTATCCTCCGATTCCGACGAACTCATGAAGGTCGACAATTTCTGAAATATTTGTTGACCCAAAATCACAAATCAAATAGTGAAAATTGGTCTGGTTTAAAGTTTTTGTCGTTGTAATTGGTTTAAGTTTGGTTAATATTGTATTTATGTGGTTAATGATTTGTTTGGTTAATAGTAAACCAATATTTGTGGGATCCCAAGTTATTGTATGCTTTCACTGTTTACATAGTGCTACTTTACCTTCTCTCTTTTCATTGCTCTAGATGCGTAAGGATTTTGACTGTTTAAACAGAGGCTTGCGGTTACACTTTAACTTACTATACACCGATCCAAGCACATAAGTTAATACGACAGCAAAGACGATGAGACCTTAAAACAGGGAGAAAGAAGAGAGATTCAACGTCATATTACTCAAAAACTCAAAAGCTTGGTTGTTGAATAAGAGTCATCAGAGAGAATGTACAGCAACCACTACTATTAAACCGTCTCTACCTTCAATATCACTATCAATATCATGTAGAGGATCACTTCTACCTCTTCCTAAAAACTTTCCAGATGCCTACTGATCTCTACTCTCTTTGTTCCTTTTTTGTTGTTTTGTTCAGATTGTAGCCAGAAACCCTATACAAGTCTCTAAGGGAGTCTATGTAGGTGAATCGATCACTGATGAAACTGTGCCCAGTGATAGAGCCAGTTGGGTTGACTCTATCCCTGAAGAGCACGGACAGCCTCTGATATTTCCGTTAGCTGCTGCTCCGCTTTCGCTTTCCATGTCACCAACTCTTTCAATGTTTCCTGTAAACATGATGGATCATTCTCAATAAAATGACTCCTTATAACCATGTAAACGAGGTAACGTGAACCCTTTGCTAAATTGCTTCCCGTTAACCTCGATGCATAACAAAAGATGCAATGTGTGGTAGTGAATGAACCTAAGGCTGTGAGAAGAGGACAAGAAGGCTCTAGAGGCTAGAAGATTTTCCAATATGGATCATCGAATTCAACGGAAACACCTGACTAATGGCTTCTCAATATGTTTGAGTAGCTCACCTGAGAAAGAATATTTGGGTCGTCCATCTCTGGTCTTGGACCTGCAGTCATTGAAGAACCTGGAGTCATTGAAGAACCTGGAGTCGTCTCAGCTTTCTCCTGATTGGGGCTTCTGGATTCAGCTCTGGTCATGCAGCTAATATATATACAGATGCAAAATGTTAAGACAATAATAAAGCTTAAAGCCTACTCTTGGACAAAGAAAGCAAGCAATAACCTCTCTGTCCTTTGCATTTGGCTGTTGAGCAATGACTGTTCCTCAAACCACATCCGCTCTTGGTAAGAGCTTTTGCAAGCAATTAGTGGAAGCGAGTAGGTATCTGGCCTGACAGCTTCTGTTAGAGCATTGGTAAGGTCAGCGTCAACATCCCATGGTTCGAAACCATTCCCTGTAAAATCATCCAAGTTGGCACTTTGCAACATATTTTCCCAACTTTCAGGAGCTGCACTGAAGGAAGTGCCCCCATTTGCCTGCAGATTTTTCTGCGAGTTTGAAATACCCACCAGCTGCTCTTCTACTTTATCCTTCCACGAAACTAATTCCTTCACCATGCCCTGCAGAACAAAAGTGAGATATGGTAGGCAAAAGCTTTATTAGGTTGAAATCATCCCTGGGCAAGAAGCTTCAAACAAATACTTTCTACTTGTTCTTAGTCTTGACCTGTGTTGAAGTCAAGGAATTTGAGATCTCTGCAATTTGCTTATCAGTCTCTACCCTCCAACTCATAAACTCCTTGAATAGTTTCTGGAGAGAGATGCAAACAGAAAAGTTTCTAAGTCTCTAATTATGCTAATCCTAACATAATCCTTAAACACAGGAAAACAAAATGATCTCAAAGTCACCTCAGTTGCATCAGTTTCTGGTGACTTCTCCTTGGATACAAGTTTTTTGATATCACTGCATACCCGCAAATAAAATGAGATTTCAAGTGCAACTCGACTTCAAAACGAAGCCAAAACTGAAGCTGAGAATATTACAAACATATTACCTCTTCATTTTATCAATTTCTTCCTTAAGCTTTGAGGAGGAAGCAGATGACTGATGTGATGTACTCTTAATCTTCCATTGAGCTAGGGGAATCAAGTCAGGATCAGGAGTTTCAGATTCACGTTTGATTTTGACCAAATCAGATACAAGCCCTTGGATATCACTGCATACCGCAAAGAATAACGAGATTTCAAGGGCGTATCAACCTCAAACAAAACAGATATAGAAGGCACAGGATATATTTCAAACCTCTTCATTTTATCAATCTCTTCCCTAAGCTTTGAGGGGACGCCAGATGATTCACTCTGAAACTTCCACCAAGATGGGGGAATCCAGTTAGGATCATGAACCCCGGATTCACGTTTGATCTTGATCAAATCAGCACTCTCAAGCCAATACTGCATGGTTCCTTCAGTATTGTGACACCTCCTAAAACGATCAGCACCACCAGGCGTTACATTTCCATCAACGTGCTTCAACAGATGGTCCAAGAGCCCCGTATCACCGATTTTCTTTCGAGCTGTATTTCTTAACTCGGCCCGTGAAAGAGGTGTCTCAAAAGTAGCACCTTTCTCCTTCATTACATTCACTAATGTTTGTTCCGCAGAATCAATCCTGTGTATATATATAAATAAAAAAATGATCTACTACAAACAAGGATGAAATCAAAAAGGGTAAAGCATGATATTAACAAAAGGCTTGGACTTTTTTACCTTGTAGTACTCCAACGAGTCGCCAATCTCGGGTGCTTGGATTTCTGAATCTCTGAGCTGTTTTCGCTCTCTGCTGCAAATCTTCTGGTTTTTTCAACTAAAAGCCGACCTGCTCGAGAGAATCGTTTTCTTTTATGGATTCCACTCGTCGAAAAAAGCCCAGCTACTTCCTTCTCTAACTTGACTTTGACAATCATTTTCCCGGAGCTGTCATCTTCTCCACGAGTATCTAAATGCTTGTTGATCGGCGAGTCATCCATATCAGAGTGATCCTCCTTGACCCGACAAAGCCTCCTGTCAGACATCTCATATAGCCTCTGGGCGATTTCTGTAAAATTATTTCACGCGACGAAAAAAGAGAGATAAGAGTCAAGTCGCAAAATCATCAGAAACCTAAATGATGCAGAGGAAACCCTAAACCCAGAAAGTAAAACAGCAAATCCCAACAGAGATAATGTCGAAACTAGGGTTTTTTTTTTCTTCTCTCAGAGAACAGCGAGACGGCGTAACACTATCAACGCATTAAAATCAACGCCATAGGCAAAAAAATCGCGATGCAAAATTAAAAATACAGAAAGCTAAAAGACAGAGAATTTGGGATCAGAGCGGCACCGTAGGAAGGAGGTAGGGACGAAGAAGACAGGACAAGAGAAAGCAGAGGAAATGAAGAAGCCGTCAAAGTGGAGTGTCGAGAGCCCTAAAACCGCCAAAATCCCTAAAAACTTCTCTTCTTCCCCCTTTTCAATATTTGCCGTTATTGTTTATTTTCTTTTCTTTTTTTTTAAGGTAAGAGAATAATAATAGCCAGTCTCTCGCTAGAACAAGAGCGTTTTAGCAGCTACCAACCACTGATAGAGTGAACGCGTGGTGCATCTCTTCGATATATCGTAGACCTTCACGTAGACTACCATTACCACTTTTACTCAAATTTCGGCAAAGACGAAATCTATCTTGTTTTTGTCGTCACGCGTTATTATCAAGATCAAAATTCTCAACAATTTTCTTACTGGTTTTAAAATCTGATTGTCGTGTTTGTACTCAAATAAATATAACATATATTTTCAGTTTGAAACCGAAGAAAGTAGAGCAACGAGGCAAAGAAACAATTGTAGAGAGAAATGTAAACCTTCGGATTCAGTTCAAGGATATAACAATGTGTGGTTCTTCTTAGAGAGTTGAGAAATGAGAAAGAACATTATAAAGTAAACTGTGAAACTGAAACAAAATGTTTGTTCGACCAGAGAGACCTAAGAAAAATGCTCGTGTCTCTGAAGCTTCCGCAAAACAAGATCCCAAAACCGAACATGGGATCTTTCCGAGTTAAAAATGACTAGATTGATGATTTGATTACCTGAACCTAACCTGTTGGGCTCATGCTATACCTTCTTCTTCTTCTCCAGATTTGCAGCGACACTTCTTTGCTTATGCTTCCAAGAAGGAATCTTACCAGGAAAAGCCCATCTAAGCAACCGCTCCCACGAGTAGCAGATGACGAACATAAGTAAAGCCCAGAGGAGAAGCTTATCCCTCATACCTTCGGGTAAAGGAACCAGCTTCAGCGAATCGTTCAGGTCCCTGAACAGATCGGAGGCGATGACGGTGAAGAACCCTGCTCCAGCAATGAGCGCGTAGAAGAAGGGTTTGTTTTCCCTGATACTCTGGTTGAATGGATGTCCCATGTAGTTCACAGCAAAAGTTGCAACCTGAAGCATCATGCTCACCATGTAAGACACCGTGTTCACCAAATTAGGATGGAACGTTGCATCTGGTTCGATACATTCCTCTGGCATGTGTTTCTCAGCTTCCTTCACCGAGTAGATCAAGAAGGTTATGTGAACGGCGAACTGTCCAAGCAGAGAGAGGAAGAGATACAAGGAGAAGATACTCGGGTGGGGTCGCTCTGCGGAGAGGGTTTGAAGCGGTCGAGCATGAGAAATAAAGAGGAAAAACGCAGCTGTTAATACGCCGCTGATTGTAGCTTGGACATCCCCGAGCTTCACACCATCTAGGTACATAACACTTAGCACGTAAGCTGTGGCGAGACAGTTCAAACCAAGAATTTTGAACATCTGAAGAGTCGTCACAAGTGTACTACGACCCTGTCGGATTATGTCTGTCACTGGGGCAACCGAGGCATGTTTGGCTGTGAAGGGAGATGCCATTGATGCATCTCCAAGTTTGACCATGGGAGCTGACCGACCATCACCATCATCACTGTTTAGTTCATCCATCATCTTCTTCAACTTTTGCCTCTGCAACTCCGCAGGTGTTAAGTGGCGGTTTTGAGGCTTTCCCTTTGATGATCCTTCCCCATTCTGGATTGCGGTTTTGCTCGCTGGTTCTGATGGCAGTTTGGACTTTTTCGACTTTGACTTTGGATCATCTTTAGATGATTCCGAGGGAGATATGGTATTCAACAAGGCAACTCCAACATGGGCCTTGAAATGTGAACAACAAAAATCGAATCAAGAGAAAGGAAATAAAGCATATGCATCTGAGAAGCTAAAGAACATCTTCCCAGTGAAATTCCAATTCTATGCGTTACCTGCTTCAATGCTCCAACATCATTTGTCCCGTCTCCACACATAAGAGTCCCTCTTCCTACCGCTTTGAACGTGGTTAAGATTAGCTCCTTCTGCTGTGGAGCAACTCTTGCAAAAACCTGAAAAAGAAAATTGATTTAAGGGTCACGCTCGATTTTTTTTACAGGTATTAAGAAATATTAGACCAAGTGATAATAAAAAAAATTACATGGTGTATTTACCTTAACAAACGGAATGACTCTCAAAGTAGCAGATGTAGCCTGTAGCATTTCAATGCTGTCACCTCCAATGCATAAATCGTGGGTCTCTGCAAGGGTTTCGATCTCTTTGTCACTGAAAACAGAAACCAGGTCATCCTTTCTCAGTCAGAAGTAGAAGAACGACATTGAAAGAGACCATCTAAGTCTCATATCTTTTCTACTTGAGCAGTCATCACAGCAGAGCAAAATACTTGAAAGGCAGAACACCAAGGCGCACACACACTTTAATGACAGAAAAGTAAAATGCAGCAAGGAGACTACTGAGATTAAATTCGACTGCACCTGTAGGGTATGGTTTCTTTCTCATCAGGTGACACCCACTTGTATTCGTCACCAGTCCTTGATTGACCAAGAATTAAAACTGGGTTCGATACAATATGCACTTGGCTTGCAACATGACAAGCAGTCAAAGCTTGATCACCTGTTATCATCACCTGGAATCATGAAAGCACAATAGGACATGAACACACGGAAATAAAAGAACCAAATACATTTTTAGGGCCAAAAAGGAACCAAAGTCTATAATCTAGCTCAATTATGTTTTCTTCATTGAATAATTAAATAGCTGCTTTGCAGGTAATTTGTAGTGAATGGGAAAGGAACTGAAATACTGAATGAACCACTGGTAGTGATAAAAGGGTACAAATATATGAGTGTGTGTGCATTATAGGATACACAGTCTGAATTACCAAATCATGAGATGAATTCTTCAACTCCAAGAGAACGGTAGCTGAATCTGATCTAATGGGGCAGTTGAAGACCTGTGATGCGTGATTAAGCCACTATGAACCAACATCGATACTAGACATTGAATACAATAAAAACAAATGAGAAAGTAAAACTGCATAAGAGCAGTATGCCATTACCGAAAACCCAGCAAAAGTAAGGTCACTCTCAACAGCATCTCTCTCCATGTCTCTAGCTTCACTGGCCTGGTTATCATTATTATACATGTAAGGTAAATCATAAAGCATGTGAACAGGAGCTTGCATAATCCAGAACAGAGCGACGCAGGCTGTTTTATTGTCAACTATGAAAAGAACAAATCAAAAAGCATGACAAGTGCATAACCACAGATAACTAACTATTCCGCCAACAGACCAAAGGAATATTAATATCGGACATAAAATTAGGTTGTACACTAAAGATTCACACGCAAACCTCAAAGATGAGCAGTGAAATTCTACTGTCTACGTCTGTAAGGGGTATTACAGACACGACTTTCTACGTAAAATAACATGCATTAAATGTTTTCAAGAACCCAATATGTTCATGAGTGAGGGCAAGGGTAACTACCATCATATCAGGAAGTCGTTTAAATGCAAGGGCTAGAACTCGAGAGCCTTGGCGTGTGTATCTCTTATATGTTTCGATATATGATGCTGGCACATCCACAAGCCTATCTTGGATGGTCTCTGGTGCACCCTGACAAAGAAGTTAAATATAAGCATCCAATACTTGGATTTGTATTAAATGATAAAAACTTCCGTCTACGAGAATAATGTATTAAGCTGACCTTCACAAACACAAAATATTCCTGCTGAATACAAACGATAACTGACATTCTCTTCAGATGCGAAGCAAAATGGTATCTCTGCATAATCTGCACCGAGTTGCCATTTCCTCTGCAGTGATATTACAATGTGAAAAAAAAACTTCATAATTTAAAGATTACCAACATTCAATGTTCGACTCGTGCAAGCACATTTTCCAATATTAAATAGCCACCATAGACAAATAATCAAAACAACAGAATAAGAGATTAACTAAAAATGTCAATAATTACCTTCTAGGCAAGGCCTTTTCATCAGATTTGTAACTCCAGTCAATTCCTTTAAGTGCAGCCTTCTCAAGAGGATCACCAACCTGTAAGTATTAAAAAAACAGAGTAAAATATGACAGAATTTTGTAATGATGAATAATGGTACAAAAGCAAAGCACAAGCAGTTTCAGAAAGTTGACCATAAGTTAATGTAGTACATGCGTACTCGTACACTAGCATTCACTTCAAACTTTCTAAATTAACAAGTATACTACATGTAATCCAAATGTCGAATTTACTAAAACATGTGTGCACGGATCAAAAGAGTCTGGAGCACCGAAGATCCAAGACTTGCAATTGAAAAGAAAATTTTCACAGCCCAAAACAGTAACAACAGCAAGACTGATACCAGGAAACTGAGTTTCTCTACAGCAAAAAAAAGAAAAGAAAATGAGTTGCTCATACCAGCTTGTTGTCTACAAAGACCAAGGCATGACAAGAAGCTAAAATCTCCAATGTGCGTACAGGCACCTTGCTCATATCAGTCTCTGCTTCTTCGCAATCAGACAATCCCCCAACTCCTCGAAATTCCTACGTACAGAAATGAAAATGAATTTACCATAAACAAAGTCAAGCAAGCATATACTCTGAACTTTACTTGACCTTACCATGTCGTCTGACGTCAGTGTACCAGTCTTATCGAAACAACATAGATCAACCTGTCACAGGGAAAGTATGACACTAATAAGAATCAAGAACGAATACAAATTCCTAGCAGAGTGCCGAAGGCTCAACAAAAAAAGTTCTAATGACAAAAAAAAAAGCGAAATGAAGCACAACAGATACTACCTTCCCGGCAAAAGGGATCCTAAAAGGCTCTGTGCAAAATATCCCACGACGAGAAAGAGCAAGTAATGAAGTGTTGACAGCAATGGATAATTCCATAGGCAATTCGGGTGGGATCACTGAGGTGATGATAATTGAACAGCCTAACAAGAGCTTATATTTGCTCCTTGTAGGATCCTCGAGACCCTGCAAAGGAGTTTCCTCATCAATATTATAAATTGACATTTATTTGAATAAGAATCTGAAACAAATATTACTGTACCTTTACAAGGACATAGCCCGCAGCTATCACAGCAAATACAACTAGAAATAATATGAAGAGACCACTCTCCCAGCTGTTTGCAGTAACCTATTTTTTTTACCAAAAGGATCAGAACTAACACAATTTTTAACATGCTATGAATGAAACAACAAATAAAGGAAAGATCCCTAACCCTCTCCGTAGAAAATAAAATTGTTCTCATTAGTTTTCCTTGGCTTGTCTCAAATCCAGTTCGAAGAACAACAGCTAGACAGCCACCATCAGGGGTTTTCAGAGGGAACGACTGACCCGAAACATTAATTAGTATTTAGTATGAAACAAAGGTTAGGAAAAAGCATTGAAGAGGAAATGGTTGATATTGTTGAGATGGAAATACCTTGTCAGGTGAATGTTGTAAGATCTTGGTCCCGCCAAATAAAACATGATTTTTATCCCTTTTGATTGATAACTTTTTATCAGATCCTTCGCCAACAATTGGAACCTATAACAGCCATCATACAATCTCAGCGAAACATAGGTGTACACATATGGACATTATAATGCAAGGGCCTGAGAAATATTTCTATAGTGAAGTAAGTACACTAGAACCTATTATACATACTGTGAGAGAGAAGATGATGATGCATAATCAGAATGACAAGCAATATGAACCAAACTTACTAAATATGCAATGTTACAATCCTACAAATTTTAAACCCCAAAGTCCAAAGAGAATGAATTTGGAAAAGAAGCCAACAGACAATGATGAAGTTAAGGAAAGTGAGTACCTTCCATTGGGGAGTTGACTCGCCTGTCAAAATGGCTTCATTTACAATAGCACTTCCTACCAGTAATAGCATGTCCGCTGGTACTGTCTTATCCTCTCCTCCCGTCTGGGTTGAAGGTCTCCCAATGGACACAACATCGCCTGGCAGCAGATCTGTACCTAAGAGCTTCGCCCACCTGAAATCTGACTTATTCAGACACAGCAGTGATACCTAAACGATATTTTAGGTAAACTTGGGTGTTAAAGTGTTATTCAATTACATACCTCCCGCATCGATACACCATCACAGTCTGACTGTCCACTCTAACACGTCTTAGTTCGGTTAATGTCTTCAAGCGACTTTTTGCCATCGTTGACTCGAACATCAAAAGCATGAATAGTGTGAACACACTGTAATACCAGAATTCATCCAAGCACCAAAGACCCACACAGAAAACCTGAAAAAAGAGGAAAAAACACGGTACTTAGAGCAACAATAGCCATGAAAAAAAGGAACTCTAAGATACATGCATTATCAAGTTAACAGTACCTGAAATACAAAAAATGGTTCCGTGCAGTTTTCTTTCATTAGCTTCTGGAATGTAGGTTGCGGATAATCAAACCTGCAACATGCAGAAACAAAGTATCAAACCGGATAACACAACAACCACGCTTTGGATATATTCAGAAGGAGAAATGTTTAAAAAAGTGGTTAGTTAGACGCATTATAAGAAAAAAAAAACTGGACGCAAAAATTAAGAAACAATCGAAAAAGAATTGCCAATCAAAAACATCAATAATCGACCGTACAGTGAGCTTGTGACAGATACATGAAGAGAAAAAATACAAGTCGACTTACACATTCCTTCCCCACTTCTCAAAGGCAGTTGCAACTTTAGCTTCTGTCCCATGACCGGTACATTTTAGGTAATTGCCAAATGTTTCCTTCGTGGGGTAAGGAAGCTTCGAAAAGGCTCCTAACTCTTTTGAGTAAATAAAACGCTGCTTTCTGAAGTCAAAGAAAATTTCCTCCACGTCTCCTGAGGATGCCGAACCTGCCATCTGCAAACAGCAAAAGACTTAAACTGTTAGAAACCTGAAGTAAGAGTACTACAAAAATCAACCATTTTTAAGGGTAGAGAGGACTCAAATAGTATAGGGTTTAAACTCATTGAATGATACGCAGAGAGGAACAATAGAGACATATAGTATAGGTCCGTTGAGGAGGAAAACACTGAACTTCACATATATCACGAGAACCAACAAGAAACACAGAAAATAGAAAGCTAGTGGCGGAAAACCAGAACCAACTTTAAAAGCCAAACTAGTTTGGGACAACAACTTAACAATTTAACAATTGAACCTAAAATCTCGAATGAACTTACTAGGTTACGAAAATGAAGAGGCACGACTTCTTTGGAACCAGAAAACTTGGCTGGGGTAACTTTACATGCATCTGCCTGGTTGATACTGTTAACCTGCGAATCAACACCCAGAGACACATGGCCGATATAAATCTTCAACTCAAAGTAACATTAACAATTTAGAAAACGGTGTGAGGAGCCATGAGACTGCTGGTTACCTTGCTAAAGTGGACGAAACACTTGAAATCAACGGACCACGCAGTGAAGAGCAAGACTAAGATATGAGAAGAAAGAAGAGCACCAAAGGCGATGGTGGCATCCGTGAAGTCTATGCTGGGAACGATCACAGTCAACCACGTAGCATAAAGAATCGCAAAGGGCCAAACATCCAAGCGCCATGCCCAGTGTTTCTTCCTACATAAATCGACCTTGTCCACTACCTTCCCTCCCACACGGAAGGTCGACATCTCAATCGTCTCAAGTTCCTTGGTTTCTGCTTCTGCACACAAAACTCAATTGGTATTTGAGAAACGGTATAATGAATCAAAACCCTAAAAAATCGAAATCGAGCGTTTGAACAATAGATTTTCCACGAAAAACCTCAACCCAATCGAGAAATTCGATTTTGAAGCAGATCTAATACACACACACACAAAAAAAAGGGGGAAAGAGACGAACCTTGAAATTGGATTGAGCTTGAATATGAAGATCTAAACTAAAGGTTTTCCAATCACTAAGATCAAATACCAAAAGGAATCTCTCTTTCGTTCGTCTCTCACACCTTCACGACTCACGATTGAGGTGTTTCCTTCCCCAGAGATGCCCGATTGACCATGAATCGTTTTTTTTTTTTCACTAATGTAGACGGCTCCGGTTTCCGTTCAATTTTTTTTTTACTTGTACATATGCTAATTTTTCGTCTTTGATTTCTTTTTCGTTTATAATTAAAAATGTAAAAATGTACACCAAAAATAACTAAACCGTATATTTACACAATCGCTATTGCTCCAAAATTATGATTCAGAATTATATATTTTCCATTCGAAGTTATAAATTATTATAAAACAAAAAAAACTCAAAAGGTTGGACAAAAGAACTCAAAGGAACCCACATGCAAACTCAGAATAGTTTGAGAGAGGGGTTATTTATATATATTGTAGTTTTAATATGAAATATTCAAATATTCAAAACATAAAGATAGTTTAACAAAAAAGAAATAAACAACTTAAATATGAAGTATGCCATGCACATTTAAAACCACAAAGACTCAAAAGACCTATTTAACGAGAATTAGGTAAATATGCCATGTTGTACGGAGCCGAACCCATGCTGAACGACGGTGCACTAGGAACCAGGGAGTAAGGAACTGGATTAAGCTGAACTCCGTAAGTCATGCAAGGTGGAGTCAAACGGTTCATGTCACTTCCAGAAGGTAAATACATCGGTCCAGCCGTTGGTAGGCTAATGGTCGGCGTGCCATAGGTAGGCATATTGACCGATGGTTGCAAACCGGCTTGCGTGTTGCACATGGCGGGTGCCCCATATAGAGGACGGCTTAGAGTTGGTTGTGGAGTGGCTGGTGTGTTCCATGGCGTGGTTGGTGTGCCGTATGTAGTACGGTCTAGTGATGGTTGCAAAGCGGCTTGCCTGTTCCACATGGTCGATGCCTCGTATCGAGGAAGGCTTAGAGATGGTTGTGAAGTGGGCGGTGTGCTCCATGTGGTTGATGCTCCAAATGTAGTATGGTCTAGTGATGATGGTTGCGAAGTGCTGGCTTTAATCGGCTGAGTGGTTTGCCATGTGGTTCTTTGCATTGTTGGGAGATTAATTCTGCTTCCAGCTGCAACGTTTTCGTCATGAATGCTTGGTCTCTTTTTGCCTTTGTTCTTGGAGTTAATACGTGCGAAGTATTTCTGAGCATGACTTGCAACTTGAGTCGGTGTTCTCGTCACTACAAAGTTACGAGAGATGCTACGCCAATCACCTTTCCCGAATTTATCCAAACCAAGAAGAAATAGCCTGTTCCGGAAATAAAACAAAAAATCACAAGATTTAAATCTTAGAAAAAATATATTAACTATCCAATAAAATACTAACGCAAAAGATAGATAATTTTGCTATCAATAAAACATAACCATATACGAATTGTATCATATAACAAAGATAGATAACCTGTGTTCATCCGCTGTCCAAGCAATCCCCTTTCGTCGTTGTTGCTTTAGTGTTGGTTTAGCTTCTTGCTCGTACCCACAACATATGCGATTGATGCCACATTCCCTAATGCTTTTTTCTTTATCAATGGCCTCTTCTGAAATATCATAATCAGGAAGAGGTACACGACCAGATTCAATCATCATAACATCGTGAAGTAAAATCTCGTAATGTTCTCTAATCTGATCTACAGTTTTTCCAGGAACAACTGCAGCTATTTTCTCCCAACTATTATCGATACCGTCGTTATAAATTGCAAGAGCTCTCTCAAAAACAATATCATCATCCTTGCTCCACGATGAACCACCACTAATTTTCTCTCCTAAGATCATTTTTTCCCAAGCAAATCTATTACAAATTCAAAAATATTAAAAACCAAATACTCTAGAACAGAATATAATATCGACTTGAAGTCGTAAATATTGTTTTAATAACAATCCCCCCCCCACCAACTAGCATTGATAAAAGAAAAACCACATTTTGTTTATTCTAAAGCAAAACTGAGATACTCCAAGAAATATTGAACCTACAGGGAGAAGCATCAAAGCTTCAAAACAGAGATTTTGAAACAAAGCAAATTAGTTAGTGATAAGTGCCTATATACATAGATAGCTATAACTTTTATAAACAAAACACTCTATTTGTTTTTCTTTTCTTTTCCATTAATTTCAATTGCTTCCTATTTTTCTATTCCTAACCATTAATGGTAAATATAATACACTGTATCATCATATTACAGCTGGTTAACAATATCAGGCTGTCTTAATATTTTTCTTTCTTTTGCAATAGTATATTGGAAATAAATCTATGTTAATTTGGTTAGACCTTGTTATGGCCGTTGAGGTGTCAACAACAATTGTACAAGCTGTCTGACACCTTTTAATCACTATAAGGCAAAATTTCATTTTCTAACAAATTGTATATTTTTTTATAAATTTTTTCTAAAAAAGTGTCAGTGCATGGTTTACTTATAGAAGATGATAGCATGCGTTTCTTAACTAATAAAATTGAATATATATTATTATTTAGTCACACTAATAATTTATCTTATATACTAAATCTTGTAAAATAAATATATCTTATATACAAACAAATTGCAGGGTGAGCAATTGCATAATCTTCCGACGGGAAAATAAGAAATATTCATATCCAACAGATGATTTAGTTACGCTAATAATTAAAAGAAGAAGGGATAAATTAACTCAGGAAAACGTATTTTCCCGAGGGAACTAATCCTCGACTTCGCACACTTGATACATACAGAAAAATACGACGCCGAAACGGGTACACGATGATGATACATGTAGGAATATCAATATGTAGAGTACAAAGTCAAACAATGCAAAAGATAGTCAAATAGATTTTCATTTTTAACAAGCTGAAGTGGACTGCGTGCCGTTTCTAACTCCCTGACCATTTTCAGTTTCAGCCTTCCGATCGTTACAGATACACGTGTTTACCGATCGTACGACTGTAAGCGGTGCTGGCTCAGGAGATGCCAATGTGCCTAGCTTCAGCATATCGATGCTCAGCTCTGGCAACTTAGCTGCTTCGATTTCTTTCTCAATCAAATCCGACGGCGTTTTGCAGTATTTGAAAACCACGTAAAGTATCATTTGAAGTGCACCGAGAGCAAACCCAATAACGTTCGGGAACTGCGAAAATCGAACAGAAATGATTAAGATGAAAAGATCACTTAACTTAGTGCTCAAAGCAATATATATAACTACTTTTATTTTTATATATAGATCCATATCATTTTATAGTATGGTTACGTGCAATATACAATTCAATTCACTTATTATATAAAAGATACAGAAATAGAACTCTCTTTTCGTAATAGATAAAATCTTTAAGGTTTTTCTTTTAAAATACAAATTAGAAAGTGTCTTTAGTGTTTTGTGGGGGATATATGAATATAAAACGACATTAATACCGAACAAAAAGGTTATGCTTTTTGATCCACTTCTCTCTTTGTCTATGATTATATAGCTTCATAGGCTATCAGGTACATAGAAACAAAAGCAACCACTTTCATGCAAATAATGATGATTATGATAATGATTATGATGACTTACAGCAACATAGATATCCCTAAGAGCAAGACCATAAAGGAGCCAGATGACCGCACTGATGGTAAGTGTCAAGGATAAGCTAAACGGCATGTACTCCACACTTTTTGTCTTTATCACCGTTCTCTGTTTTTCATACAATATATCATTTAATAATCAAATCATCATATTTTCATTTAATATTATATATGTCTATAATATGTAGTAGCACTAGACTATACTTACGATAATGCTAAGCGGCGCAGCGAAAACGCAGACAGAGAATCCGACACAAATTCCTCCGATGATCTTCGCACGTGTGGTTCCTTTTGCCAAGAATTGGCAGAGGAGGAGAATCAAACAGAATCCTCCAAAGTTCATTAGCAACAAGAACTTCACCGTCAACATCTGCACCAAAACACAGGCCAATACTAATTATACAAATAACCACGTAATTAAATATCAGAAATACTAGATATATATGTTGGTCACGAACATACTCGAGCTTTCTTGGGAGCGAATGCAACAAATATGGCGATGTAGATGGTTTCGATGAAGCAACCAAAGGAGTTGATGGTGACGAGAAGAAAGACATCTTTCTTCTGAGTAGCGTAGTATAGCCACAACATTGCGCTGAAGAGCGCCACCACGTAGGGAAGAGATTGAAATTCTTCTGTTGTTTTCTTCTTCCAGATCCTGTAGAACGTTGGCCTGCATCCATATCGAACCAATCTATCTCTTCAATACAGTTTCTCAGTTGGTTTGTATCATTTCCTTATTGTATAGTTCTAGCTAGCGATAGATATAGTTACATAAACATATACATGCGTTGACATATTTTATATCTATATTACTCATCATGTTTTCGACTGATGAAGAAACAAGAACATAGTGAGGTGAAGATGTAAGACTTACACGGGAGAGAGGAAAACAGCAAAGGAAATGATGTTTCCTGAAAAATCACGATTAAAATTAAAATAGTGTTAATAGATATATACCGGTTTTTTGGATAAAATCTGCTAATATGTTATGATGATATCACTTTTGATATAAAAGGGAGATAAATTCAGACCGAGCAAGCCGAAGACAAAGGCCAATGTGTTATCGGTGTTGAAGATAGCCATGAATACCGACCTTCTGATTTTAACTTGGTTCCGGTATTTTTTTGGGTAAGAAACCTAATTTAGGTTTTTGTTAAGGAGGGAGAAGAAGAGTTTTCGACGTAAGAAAGATATTAGCTTTGTGAGTGTTTCTCTTAAATCAAAAGCTAATGGCACGACCTTAGCATTTTGGGGACTTCAAGTATATATAGAGGGATAGGTCTTCAGAAAAGTGGGAATGTGTATGGAAAATAAAATAAAGATAACTGTTTTGTGTGAGTCATAATACTTTTCATAAAGAACAAAAAAGAAGAAGATATATATAACTCTTGTCTTTCTAGGTGTACTACAAAAAAAAAATGGCCTTCAAAAATAATTGTCAAAACCAATCCATCACCAAAAAACTTTTTTCACAAATAATGCATGTCGATTTCTGTTTCCGCCTACTCTTCCTTTTGAGGGCGTTATGTCTAGATTCTGCCTATTTCATATATATCTATATATGTGAATAACTTATCATATTAAAGTATTTTCTATGGTTATTTAGGATAAAAATTACGAGGCTCTTGCTTAAATTACGTTTCCAAGAAAATTAGTTCACGTGAAATATATATATATATATATATATATATATATATATTTGCCGTTTCTCAGTAACTAGTTAACATTATTTGTCTGTACGTACCCCGAGTTTAATAATTTAACAAACCAACATTTTTTTTGTTTGTAGTTCCAATTTTACTAGAATTCACATTTGTTTCATTTATCATGTTCACGTTTTGTTTTAAAGAGGAAAATGAATAGAGCGAAAGAGAGATAGTCCACTAAGGAAAAAAACAAGAAATGGAGATAGACCGCTTTACTAAAATTTGAAACTTGGTTAAGATTAATATACAGTTTTTTATTCTTAAATACTAACTAAATGAAGGCATAGCTAGTTTAAACATGCTCTAAATCTTTTCCAAGTGAAGGTTATGACATAAAAGATGCTCATTAGGGGTCACAAGTAAATTTAAAAGTTCTATAAAATGTGTTATTAAATATAAGAGGGTAAGGGGTTTTCGAAACTCACCTTAGTCACCTATCATTTTTTCCCCTGGAGATTTACTATCATAAATTTATCATCAACGGTTAAATTTATTCTGTTTGGAGCCATTAAAATTTTCAAATACGGTTTTGACAGCGCAGGTTGAATCATATTTCTTTTGTATTCCACGCGTTACGTATTAAAACATCTATTTGTTGTTAAGAGTAAATCATTATTTATACTATTAAAAAAAAAGAGAGAGAGAGAATATGTAGTAGGTAAAAAAAAGAAGAGAAGGTTGAGTTGATTTAAGAAGAACCTAACTCCAATAATTCAAAACTAATAGGACAAAAGAACAATAGCATGAACTTCATTTGTGAAACTTTAGTCTAGATCAGACTTTTTATGGTTAATTGAACGTGCCAATTTATGTTAATTATAACTTATTATGCTGATTCACATGGTTTTCATTTTTCAAAGAGTTCATTCTAATAGGGTGTCTTGTTTATAGTAAAAGTTATATAAGAAAAAGACATTGATTCAGATAATATTATTGTTAGTACATAATGACATTAATTAGAAAAATTCACACATACCTGCACTCACAGTTTTCTTGGATAGTACTCTGAGTGATGATTAAGAATTAACACTAGAAGAAAATGATAAGTAGATATGTGGTTAAGAAAATATAATTATATATATCATCACAATTTAATTATATAATTTCTCATATCAAATTTTAACATCTATTTTAAGTACATGGTAAAGAACATCATAAATTTGAAATAAGTATGATGCTACTAACTAAACAGATATTTATAGAGAGGACGATTACATATATAAATAACTATGTTATGTGTTTCTCTGAAAGACCTACTTCTATACAGAGCTAAGTTATGCTTCTCCAATAGACTTACCGTGTAGATTTTTTTTTGTTTTGTTTTTTTTTAATGCTAAATTATGTTTCTCCAAAAGACCTACTTCTATAGAGAGCAAGGTTTGTTTCGACCAAAATTAAGTAAAGGATTTATAAATCATGGCTCTTAGCAAAAGGCTTTAAGAAAGATAGATCAAACTGTATTAGAGAAGATGATTTTCCTAGTCTTGTAAATGTCTGAACCAAGCGGCTAGATGGGTGCGTCCAGCTTGAGCGGATGCTGTGACTGCTTGATCGTCGGATTGTTAGATGCGAGCTTACTTTGATCAGTATTTTCAAGATATTGTATGATTCGTGTAGCTAGAGATATTTATTATTTAGCAGTTCTAATTAATGTCAGTTGTCCTCTAGTATTATAATGACAATATTGGAAAATATTAATAAGCTAAGATACGTCTCTTTATTTAGCCTAATTTTATAATTACAATTTACAAGTCTTATACACAGCACAAATACATTTTAATTTCTTATAGACATGTCTGTTGCTCTCCTCTTTGTTCCTCTAAATCCATGTTTTTGACATGAAGGGCATTGATCAGTTAGAATAATCAGCCCAAGAAACCTTAATATTCATTGGCCATATACAATAAACATGGTTTCTATTAGATTCATTTTCTTTCAAAATCCAGCAGATTTGAAGATTTTTCAGTTTTTTATATATCAGTTATTTACATTCACATCAAAATTAGTTGCCTCGACAAGACTTTTTTTATTTTATTTTGTTTTTAATAACCATATTTACCCCTTTCTTTAATAGAAAGTTTGTTTGTATCTGACCAATGAATGAAGAAGAGAAAGGAAGTGCAGGAGAAATCCCCATCGATTGATCATATGATGACGTCGCGGGGTAATTGAATATCCTTTATATTCCAAACTTTTTGGCTAATCATGGCTAACCATGTCCATCGTGAATCGTGACGTGAGATTATATTTCATGCAGTTATTAAAATATTTATAAGATACGTGAAAACAAAAATTAAATGAGACATGCATGAAGATAACGAGCACGTCGGCTTTATCTAGAGGCCCCTATATCAAAAGAGAAAGATGTAAAGATAGATTCAAGAGGATATGATATGGTTGGCCGAATTTGTTATTGCCACTAGATAAAATATCATAATTTAAAAGATATAATATAAATTTCACGTCGAAAAAGTTTTTATGTATTGCAAGTCCTGTTTTTCGATTCTGAAATATGAACTTGAACGTGTAAATAATTCCACATTTCCCATTCTTTGTATGGATGGAAATCGTATTCCAATTTTTATTTTATTTTTATGTTCGAGAGAACATTCTAAATCCAATGATTCTTACTCTTAGAGTATTGGTTATTGATAAAAAAAAAAAAAAAAAAAAAAAGAGAATAAATGGTAATGGAGTCTGGAGTGCATCATCGATCGTCTTATATCCTTATATATGATAATAGACGCTTATCTTATGAAAGAAATTAATTGAATTTTAGTGATAAACCGTTGGTCAATAGTAATTCAATATATAGGCCCAATATATAAAGTTATAAACCGAGTGAAAGATGATTTGTGTTGTACTCTTCCTAGGATATTACTATGATGTATGGTGGAAAAGAATGTAATATAGTTTTAAAAGTCTTACTGTTGCACTCTAAGAAGTAAATAATTAAGAAAAGCTTAGGGACATACATTTAACTGTCAGGAAAAGAGCCAAACTTTTGGGAGACAGATATAATAAGGTTATACAACATAGTAAATATCAATAATTAAATATCATCTTCTTCAGCTGTCGAAATAATAAAAAATCATCTTCTTCCACCAAAAGCAAAAAATAAAAACATTCTAAAAGCTTATCACATCGAATCATTCATCGCCAGTACATACTACATATAATACTTTATGCTACTGTAATTAAAGTCATGTACCAGTAATTTCCTATAATCATACCATTATATGACTAATTTTCTATAAATTTAATATCTAATAGCAGATAGTTGTCGTTAGACTGGTTCTACCCGTATATACTATAGTCAAGGCTCAATGTCTGAACTTGATTTCTAACACTAAAATAATTGCTTAATGTTGTAAAAAGTTTCTTGGCATCTCTAAATTCGACACAAAAGACAATCCTGATTAGCGATTACCAACAAATAAAAGAACAGTACCAGATGTTAAATTTTGTTGTCTGACTTACAAAGCACATTTCAAGAACAAAAGTAATTCGATCCAGCTATAAAGAATATATATGGTCTCTCTCGGTTATGCTTTTGCTCTTGTCTCTGAATATATGTTCTCTGTACAAACTTATAATTTCGCTTACTACTGACCAGAGAAAAAGAAAACAATCTCCAAGAAGAAGAAAAAATTGAAGGAAAAGCAATATGCAAAGCAAAATAAAATTGAATATAGGCCGATTTAGTTGAGATCATGAATTAAAAATCAATTATTTCAAGAAATGGTTTCGTTTAAGTTTTTTTCCCCCACTTAAGGAAGAGTCGAGTTAGAATTTTAATTCTTGCAAGATTTTTAAAAACCTATCGTTAGAACGAATAATTTTGTCTTTTAATTACGAATGTGTAAAATCAGTAACTATAATGAGAAAACTGATACAGTTGAAGAAAATTAATGTTCCAGTTTAATAAAACTAAATTTCATATGCCCTATGAAATATGTTCTTTATTGGAATCAGAAAAAATCGTATTAATATTTCTTAAATAAAAACAGGAGATAAGGTTTACATGTAACGTATCAAATTGGATTTATTTTCTTTTCTGTGGAATAATATCTCTAATTATTGAAGGCTTTATTGGACATTATATGAGTGATGATTCCACTCCCATGTAAAGAAGAACGGGATAATATCAACACTTTGTGTTTTTTTTTTTTCCCTTTTTTTCTCTTTTTCTTCCACTTTATTTTTATAAATATTTTGTTTCTTTTTTTCCCCCTTTCTAACACACTAAAAACAGTGGTGATGAAAGGTCTTCCCCAAAATCTGATAGAACACTTGGCAACTTGTGTAGTTGTATTATGAGTGTGAGAGTGCGTATTATATATCACATTTTAATCTTGCCCATGAATAATCCAATTAAATTCGAAAATATTAACTAAATATGAAGATTATCTTCATCCATCATAAGGCAAAAACGTTTGAATAAGGTTCCATCCATCGTTTGGCTTTAGTGCAATTTGGTCGGTAGCTTTGGTGCACTACAATTTTCTCCCCTTTTTTCAAATATTAAAAAATCTATACAAATTAAGTTTTGAATACTAACAAAACTAATGGAAATATCGATTAATGTACTAGCTAGCTCATGCATGTATATAAAAAATGTTTTACGAATGTTTATGCATTCCTTCGTAACTCAATGATACATTATGCAAATTAGTTATTCATTCGGAGTGGAGAAATACAAACTGACTCTATTAATTGTTGGGAAAAAAGAAGAAGCAATGAAACTGAATATGGTTTCGTGTTTTTCTAATGATAAAAATTTTGTTTTAAAAAGATTCATCGTACAAATCATTTTGGTAACTAAAAATCGAATTAATAGACAAACAAAGCTATATTGATTAATATACAAGAAAACAAAGTTATATTAAATATCAAAACTAACAAAAATTCATATATTGAAATTTGAGAAGGACGTATTGGTTTTCATTTTCTATTCTCTGTGGTTGGTTCATATGCACGATGAAAACATTGTTTTTTTTGTTGTTGTTGCTTAAACCGACTTGACATTGTATTTATTCGAGTGATGTAAGTTATGTAAGTTTCTCTTTAACAAAAAAAAAATGTAAGTCTCTTTTGCTAGAAGAGGGACTCTTTTTGTGTTAATAGTGACATATCCTATAGAAATCTTGATTTGGCAGCTATGGAGGATGATAACCAATTTTTTTTTTTTTTTCAACAGTCATTCTCTCATCTACTCCTAGGTGCAATATCCACATGGAAAACAGTTGATGAGAGCCAAAAACCAAATGCCCAAAATCGAAGTATCTAGAGAATTTAAGGATTAGAAATTAAATGAAATTTAGACCAACTATTTTTTCATCCCTATTTTGTCAAAAACAAATCTCCATATTTTTATATTTATTTAACTAACTATCTCGAATTTGTTTTTTTAGACTGATCTAATTCAAGGGCCTCTTTATATACATGTTCAAAATTATAACATCAATAGATATCATTATTTTGACATAAAAAGCATCTGGTTCTATGGTGTAGTGGTTAGCACTCTGGACTTTGAATCCAGCGACCTGGGTTCGACTCCCGGTAGGACCTCTTCTTTTTGTTTTTCACGACATTATAAAGTTCGTATTACGTTTGGGCCTTGGTTTTGTTATTCTTGTCCAATAATATCAATCACCCAGAAGCTGATCCGACCCATTTATTCAATTTTCGTTTAATTAGTTTAACAAGTTTATTTCATTTGATGTAAGCTGAGCAACAATGGCAGCAGTTCTCGTTTGCAGAATACTGTAGATTACAGATGTTTTGATCTTTGTTTGCTGCAATCATTACCGGATTAAGAAAAAATTATACGTTACTATTAACGATCCGAATATGTTTTCTCTGAATAAAAAATCGCTGAGAACAAAAGACACTAAATAAGTTAGCAATGCAAAAGGCTGAGAAACTGGAAAACCATGACAAATGAAATAAGCAGAACAATCTCTGAGCAATAGAGAAAGCTTCTACGTATTTGTTTTTTTTTTATTTTCTTTTTCCTCCAAAAAACTATTTCCTAAATTTATCAATCTCATAATAATAATGTTTAGTCCTACTCGTTCGTAAACAAAACGAAAATACAAAAAAAAAATGAAATGGTTTTTTTAGTTTTATGATCCGATCCCTTCTCTACCTCACGGAGGGGAAGAGATTCCGATTCCGATTCCGATTCCAGTTCAAATATCTCTCCGTCTCTCTCTCAGCTTTCAGTTTCCGAGAGTCGAAAATTCTCCAGATCTCTTGGATAAACTCGATTCTGATTCGGTCTAGAGACGGAGAGAGAAGGGGCAGTTGATTGATTGGGGAAGAAGACGAAGGCGGCGACTTGTAAAAATGATTACCATCCCTTACCTCACCGCTGTATCCACCTACTTCAGCTACGGATTGCTCTTTGCCTTTGGCCAGCTCCGTGATTTCTTCCGTCGTTTCATCGATTGGTGGCTCGCTAGCAATCTCCAGGTCTCTACTTTCTGTATTACCCTGGATCTTTCTCATATATATATATTAATAGTAATGTATGTAGATGTGGATCAATGTACGAACTCCTAACTTGGGTGAAATTGTTTCTCTCTATAGGGATACGCGCCTATCTGTCTGGGGCATGAGGATTTCTATATCAGGCGATTGTATCATCGGATTCAGGTTATTCATACATCAAAACCCATCATCGGATTTGATTATTGGCTGTATCTTAAGTTCACTGATTGACGCCTAATGTTATTCTCCGTGAAGGATTGTTTTGAACGACCCATATCGAGTGCACCTGATGCCTGGTTCGATGTGGTCGAACGATACTCCAACGATAACAACAAGACGCTTAAGTGAGTCCGTCTTCCTGAGCTTTTTGAATTTCACATTAAAGTGTATGTATGCTAAGAAGAGTTGCTGAGTAAGCAGCCTTTTGGTGTCAACTCTGTGCAGGCGAACAAGAAAGACTAGCAGGTGCCTCAATTTGGGTTCCTACAATTATCTTGGGTTTGGTTCTTTTGATGAATACTGCACGCCTCGTGTTATTGAGTCCTTGAAGAGATTTTCAGCAAGTACATGCAGCTCCCGTGTTGATGCAGGTACAGTGTCTTTGCCTATGGAGTCGTCTAGAACCAGTTTTGGGATCTGTTTCCTGACAACAGTGTTTTCTGCCATCAAGGAACTACATCTGTGCATGCAGAACTTGAGGAATGTGTTACTAGGTTTGTGGGAAAGCCTGCTGCTGTTGTTTTTGGCATGGGCTATGCAACAAACTCGGCTATCATCCCGGTCTTGATCGGAAAGGTATGCATTTGTTTACCCTTTGGGATCTTGTCTCTTTTTCTGAAACCCATGCTTTGATTTTTGCAAAAATATTCATCTTCATGCGTTGCCTTGTACACAGGGAGGGTTGATAATAAGTGATTCTTTGAACCATAGCTCGATTGTCAATGGTGCTAGAGGTTCAGGAGCCACTATCCGTGTTTTCCAGCATAATAGTACGCATTTGCTGCGTTTCAGCTCCAGAGGTTTTTTAACAAATGGATTGGATGGCTTACATGTTTGTTCTCTTGCTTTTGTTTCTTAGCACCTTCACATTTGGAACGTGTTTTGAGGGAACAAATTGCAGAAGGACAACATAGGACACATCGACCATGGAAGAAAATTATTGTTGTTGTTGAAGGTATTTACAGCATGGAAGGGGAGATTTGTCAACTGCCTGAAATTGTTGCGATTTGCAAGAAGTATAAGGTTAGGAAACTATCCAGAATTACTAGTTGTAAGTTTTGGTTTACAACTGAAAACCTATCTGTGTGTGCAAAGACGCCCTAAAAACTGTAACTTGGTTCATTACCTGCGTTGGCGACAGATTCAGGTTGACCAAATTATATATTGCAACGTCAAATTTTGGAAACCCATTTGGAGTTTTTAAATTCATGAATGAAAATTACTCTTCAACTTATTCTATATCCCTCTGCTCCAGGCATATGTTTACTTGGACGAGGCTCACAGCATTGGGGCTATTGGTAAATCAGGAAAGGGTGTTTGTGAACTCCTGGGAGTTGACACAGCTGATGTGGATGTAATGATGGGAACCTTCACTAAATCTTTTGGGTCCTGTGGTGGCTATATTGCTGGATCTAAGGTTAGCAAGTGTTTTCACTTTCTTACCTTCTATTTGCAAATCTTCGGGGGTCTAGCTTGTTCTGGTAAATCAAGATTCTGACCTTTAACTAAGTTCAAAAAGAAATAAGATAGCCGTAACCTTCACTCAAAGGTCAAAACAAACTCTGAATCTGTTGAAATGACAAAGATAAGAATATAGCTGACACATTAAGTCCTTTGGTATCCATACAACATACCATGTGATGCTTAGGTGTGTGTTACACTTCTCAAATTCAACAAAAGACTAATCAATTTTATTATTAATTTATGTTCAACTTCTATAGGAGCTTATCCAATATTTAAAGCATCAATGTCCAGCTCACCTTTACGCTACATCCATACCAACTCCTTCTGCGCAACAAATTATATCTGCCATTAAAGTTATTCTTGGAGAGGACGGTTCAAACCGAGGTACTCTAAGTTTATTAATTGATTTTTATGGTCACTGAGCACAATCTATCTAGTTGGTTTTTGACTCATAAACCCAAAAAAACTCACTTTCTTCTCAAATACTGTACAGGGGCACAAAAGCTAGCAAGAATACGCGAGAACAGCAACTTTTTCCGTGCTGAGCTGCAGAAGATGGGATTTGAGGTACTTGGAGACAATGATTCTCCAGTCATGCCAATAATGCTTTACAACCCAGCAAAAATCCCATCTTTCTCAAGGGAATGTCTGCGACAAAAGGTACCTTGTATTTATTCAATTCCAATTATCATTTGACAACTAAAAAAGAATAAACGAGTAAACTTGTGGTTGCAATGGAACCTTGAAACTCTGAACAGGTGGCAGTTGTGGTTGTTGGTTTCCCTGCTACACCTCTACTTCTGGCTAGGGCACGTATTTGCATATCCGCATCTCATTCAAGAGAAGATCTTATAAGAGCCCTCAAGGTAAAAATCTTGGATTCTACTCACAAAAGCTAAGATCGGGTCTATGCTTTCATAGAGCTTTGTTTTGAATGCAAAAGCTGTAATTGGTATCAATTTATTGCACAGGTTATAAGCAAAGTAGGTGACCTGAGTGGAACCAAATATTTCCCGGCGGAGCCGAAGAAGATAGAAGAGAAGAAAAATGACATGAAGCTGGAATGAAGCATGGAAGCAATGAAATAAGAGATGCATCCTCGAAAAACGCATGCAAATGCAATGCCAAGTACTTCTCTCCATCTCTCTCTCTCATTTGAGGCTTTACACGCATATCTGATTTCTCAGGGCTCAATCCAACCCAGAGTTCGTCCTACTTTCCTCAAGTCTTAATTTGAAAAAGATGCTACTGCATCTATGCGGCTCTTCTTCATGTTTTTTTTCTTGGATTTGTCAAGAGTTTCAACTGTATAGTAACAATCTTATTGAAGAATGTCGAGAGTTCTTTTATTTACTCGGAACACAAAACTCTTTGTATGTTTGATATTTTCATATTTGTATTAAACGGTTTTGGATTAATGGTCAATAAGTTCAGAACCATACGACACCAAAGAAAAGAAAAAAAAAAACAGAGGGAACAACAATCACAATGAGCAAATCCTGCTTCTTCTTCCTCTAAAATACTACACTACTAACACTACTATGGCTAAAATGCTACATTCAAAACAAAAACATCAAAAGATACAAAGAGAAAGAAATCTTCAGATATTGCAGCTTGCATTGCCATGGCTGTCACAAAAACGAAACAAACAAAGTGCTCCTCTTAAACCGATCAAAACTCTGCTGCTCTTCACGAGAACTCTCTCCCGAGCTTCTGTATTGCACAATACATCTTCCTTCTGGATCCAACAGCATTGATCCCCATATCCTTGAGATCCTCCAACGTCAACAATGGCAACACTTCCTCGTCAACTTCATGCATCTCAAACATTGGCCAATACCTCCCTAACCCTAACTCCTGCAGCCATATCTTCACTCCTTCTCTTCCCCTTCCTCCACTCTGCCAATCTCCAGACATCTCAACCTCTCTGATCCCACTGCTGTTCTCGTACCTTCTCCTATTCTCAAACGCTTCTCTCTCGTTCCGATTCTCCTGCGTCTGTTCTTTCATCGGGCTCTCCGAGTCTTCTCTGCTGAAATCGCGAAACCCTTCTTCCAATTCTTCTTCATCCTCTTCTTCTTCTCCTTCTCCTCCGCTGAATTTATCATCTCCCTGCTCTAATCCGTCTCTGGACTCTTCGATTTTCGTAGCCCAATTTGACCGGACCCGCTTCGCTGATGCTGTCGTCGTTGTCGTCTCCCCACCCGACGATTTGACCCATTTGTTGACCCGCCAAGTCCCGACAGCAATCGGATCTTCATCTAGGGTTCCGGTGTTATCGTAGCCGGAGCTCAAATTCGTTAGGGTACGAGTCCTCGACGAGGACTTCCCGCTCTGATTCGACTCCTTTCTGTTACCCGCGGGCCTCCATTTCGGCCGCCGCAAGTGAGAATCGTACGCCACTTGCTGGTACTGGTCGCCGCCGATGTCTCCTAACCGAACGCTCGGTCTTCTCAATCGTTTCGATCCGACGGATACGCCGGCTGAAACGGCGGCGGATGTTTCCGGTACCTCGGTGAGGGTTAACGCCGGTGAGATAAAACCCGGCGGGATAAAACCACCGTTAGTCTGGTGGCCTTCCACTAACTGCTGCAACTCGGCCATGGCCAGCGAGACAGAGAATTGAAGGAGGGAGGCTCGACTCACTTTCTCACTCTGGAACCATATCCTACTAACATGCGCAGATTCGAGAAGGAGAAGAAGAAAAGGGGATTTGTTGTCCTTTGTATTGTATTAGGTTTTATCTGGAAGAATTGGATTTGAGGAGAGAGAGAGAGAGAATCGTCTCAGAATGAGAGACGAAGAGAGAGAGAAGTAAGAGAGTAAGAGAGAAAGAGATGTCCGATAGTGGACACGTGTTTGTCGAGATACATGTATGAGCTCTTATAATTTACTGTATTTTATACAACCAATCAAAAATGGTGTTCATAAATCCTTTACTTGTGTTTTTCACTTATAAGTCATAGTAATAAATTCTAACTATTTTTAGTTCAAAAAAAAAAGTTGGGTTACCATTTGAATTTTTGGATGCACCGTATCATTGACTTTCCAGCACAATTTTTTTCTTTTTTTCTTCCAGATTTGTTTCCTTGTTGGAAATAAAGATAAGAGTATACTTAGATGGAAGAAAAAGTTACCAATCGGGATATCGGCAAATGCAGAACACCAGCACATGGTAAATGCCCGAGCCTCATGAACTGGTCGGACTGCGCGTAGTTACTGTTTTAAAGTTTGAAACGGCAAACGGTTTTCTTGTCGCTCAGGGATAAAACGAACGGCAATATGTTCTAAAGAGTAACGTGAAAACGGCAAGACTTTCAAGTTGCGCGTGGCGCGTGGTATCGGCGTAAAACCTCTCTTCCGGCCTCATCCTCAGAATGTAGAACCCTAGCCTCTTCTCTGCTACCACCAATCCAGTAAAACAACCGGCCAAAGTTTGAAACCCATGATGAAATGGTGAATTTTTTCAATTTCCATGGCGATTTCCAGTGTGGGTTTCGCTTGCAGATCCTATCTCCCTGTTCGTACCCTCCAGTATCACTGCTCATGGAAGGTGACTCTTTTAGCTATTCATATGAACAAATTCAACTATTATGCATTCAATTCTGCTATATGTTTTCTTTCTCAATTGGTTGTTTCGTTCTCAGATTCGGTTCAACACGATTTCCGCTGCAATTGAGGCAGTGGATGAGCCAAATGGTTTCGACAAGGACGGTGATCGTCAAGACAAGGTTGCTGATGGGACAAGTAAGTTACGTCCATGATTTTTCGGCATTTAGTCACAAGTTTCACTGCTTCCACGTATATAATATAACTGATTAATGTTAGAACTAGTTTGTATTCCTCGTATTCAGTTATTCTGTCAAACATTTTGGGTAGATACTACTTCGTTTTTAAACTATTGCTACTCCTGTGTGTTGATTCAGTCTGAAATGTGTTCTCAACTCAAGCTCCAACTTTTCGTATTTGTCTCTTATCTTTTGGCTTGTTTTGATTTAAAGGGTCGGAAGGGGATCGTGAGTGGAAGCAACTGAATTCTAAAGACCTTGGAATAAGCAGTTCAATGATTGCAAAGCCCACAAGACAAGTGCTTAATGTCCTTAAGCGAAAAGGTTGCTGCTTTTATGTTTTTTTTTTTTGCCTTTTCTCTAACTTTCAAAAACTTCATTCAACTATATCTCGTACTAGTTTTGATAAAAAACATTTACTTGTTTCTTGTAATCTGTAGGACATGATGTTTACCTTGTGGGAGGCTGTGTAAGGGATCTTATTTTGAAGCGGACACCAAGAGACTTCGATATACTCACTTCTGCAGAACTTAGAGAGGTTGGTGCTTCTTGCTTTGTTTTTCTCACTGTCACTGTCACTGTTTGCATTATCCCACTCTGAATTCAAATAATATTCATGTTTAGGTGGTTCGGACTTTCTCAAGCTGTGAAATTGTTGGAAGAAGGTTTCCTATATGTCACGTACACGTTGGAGATGATATAGTAGAGGTTTGTTTTCTAACTAGTTATTTTTACTTCATTTGAGTACGATAGCATAACAAAAGCAGAAGCTCTACGTTTTTAACTTCTCTTTGTTTTTGTTTTATGTTTCTTTTCCTTTCGGTTTCTTTTATCTGAGTAGGTTTCAAGTTTTAGTACCTCTGCACATAATTCTCTCAGGAACAAGACAACTGAATTCAAAGAATCAAGTGGCTCAGACGGCGATGAGGACTGTATCCGTTTGAATAACTGTTTGCAGCGTGATTTCACAATTAATGGGTACACTTTGTTAATACTTCAGTGATTTCTCCATTTTTTTTCTTTCTTTTGCATCCCAAAGTCATCAGCATTTTGGAGATTCTTACAGTTTCTCCTTCCTCATGTCTCTTTGTGCGTACATTGTTTTTCCTATCTCAGGTTGATGTTTGATCCATATGCTAAAGTCGTATATGACTATATGGGAGGAATAGAAGATATTAGAAAAGCTAAAGTGTGAATGTATTCTACTTTAATTTGCCTTCAGATTTATTTGGGACAATTTTATTGATTTCGCGATATAAACATTTCTTCTCAACGTGGCTCTACGATCACAGGTTCGAACAGTGATTCACGCTGGCACATCATTTCAACAGGACTGTGGTAAGTTTGTCAAAGGAAATAAAAAATTATTCTATCAAACCCCTAATACTCTATGTAGTTAACACTTATCATCTTCATCAATTATGATATTTCCAGCTCGGATTCTTCGTGCAATAAGAATTGCTGCACGTTTAGGTTTCAGAATATCCAAGGAAACAGCTCATTTTATTAAGAACCTTTCTTTCTTAGTAAAAAGACTTGACAAGGTAACTTACGTTACTGCATCTATCCTCCAAAGAAATATATATATGCGTGACATATTTTGTTGATGAATGATTCTGCCTTAAATGTTCAGGGAAGGATCTTGATGGAAATGAATTACATGTTAGCTTATGGTTCAGCAGAAGCTTCTTTGAGATTGCTGTGGAAATTTGGGATACTAGAAATTATTCTACCAATTCAGGTAAAATTTCAATCAGGCTTTCACTTGTGTCTCTTTGTTGGGCCTTGTTGTTATTGTTTGCTTATCTAGCTTTGATTTCACAGGCAGCATATCTTGCACGCAATGGTTTCAAGAGACGTGACAAAAGGACTAACATGCTTATGGTCAGAAAGAAAGTCTTTCTTTGTAGATGTGTTTCTTGCTTAGAACATCGATTCAGAGGACTGAAAATAAATAATTAATTATGCAGTCTCTCTTTGCTAATTTGGATAAATTGTTAGCGCCTGATAGACCTTGTCACAGCAGCTTATGGTAAAACTGATCCTCATCTAAGTTCATATCTCATCTTATTCATTAAACATTTTTTTTTCCTTTTCTTCTGTCATATGGTTATTATAACATCTGGAAACTCAACAGGATAGCAATATTGGCGTTTCACAAAGCACTTTACGATCAACCTCGAAGTCCTTTAGTGGTAGCTGCGTTTAGCCTTGCTGTTGACAATGGCGGAGATATTCTCGAAGCTGCGACAATCACAAAGAAGATCACTAGGCCACACGATAGAAGCTTCTTAGAGCTACAAGAGCCCGAGGAGAATCTTGAGTTTCAAACCCTGTTGGACGAGGTCATGGATCTTGATACATCTATCAAAGATGCCTTAAGCCAAATGACTGATGCGTATATTATCTCTAAAGCTATGTCAGCTTACCCTCAAGCACCGTATTCAGATTTGGTAACAAGCCCTTGAATTTTTTTTATAACAAATGTCACATAATAAATGTGGTGAAATTGATGGTCCTCACTATTTTTTTTTGTTCGGAATCTGTTGATATTGTTCTCAGGTGTTTATTCCGTTGCAATTGTACCTGAAAGCGTGCAGAATCTTCCAGTGTGTGAAAGAAGAGACGCAAAAGGGAATTAAGGCAAAGCAAGGAAACAAGATTGAGTATGCTGCGTTATATTCAGGGGATATTCCGGAAATTCGGCATGTATTTGCGAGGGTTGTCTTCGACACTGTTTTCCCGTTAAACCTAGTTGAGGAATAGTAAATACTGTACTATCTTTGAGTCCTTAAAGCTTGGGACGCAAGGCTTCTTTAGAAGGAAATTGTGTCTGTTTTGGGTTGGGAAGGTGGGATGGCAAGTACAATCCGGCTTGAGTTTACAACGAATCTTTTATTTTAACTTAGAATCTTCTCTTTTGCGCGCGCGCAGAGTTCGGTACGAGTTCGTTGGATTTTAAATATGAAATGACATATTTAACCCTATGATCTATATAGAACTGTGTGATTGTTCGTTGATTTTGTTGAAATAAGAAGTACGTTGACGGAAAATACTTTTGTAATAAAAAATGGTTAAATTAAAAACCATTAAAACGGTATTATCTCATATAATAAGAGATTATCAATCAATTTGCCTTATCTTTCGATTGTCTGTTTTTTATGAAAACAGAACATCAGTTATCGTATACTACTAACAAAAGTGACATACACTAGAAGATGTTAGTTGTAAATGCACATTAAGTATTTCTTAATTTGCGTAAATTAAAGAGTTTTCAAAAACAAAAGATATTTGCCAATTATAGATCTTTCTTATTAATGTGTTAGTCAACGATTTATTTATATTGATTTGTCATTGAATATAAATGAGTAAAGAAATATAATAACAACAAAAATCCATATGCAGTTGACTTATTGGGTCCCATATTTTCCTCCGGTGAATCTCCCCAATCGCATGACGCATGTGTTCTTCTCCGCAGTAAACGCCGTCGTTTTCAAAGTCCCACACTTTTTAAACTGCTTGCCAAGATCTCCACAGAAATTTACTTTCTTTCCTCGAGAAGATCTTCTCTCCTCTCCTGTGAATGTTTTGATCCGCCTGATAACCTACTCATGGATCTCATGAGACCGAGGAGCCCAGTGTACGGGGGACAATGGAGCCGATCATCTAACAATGCGGAATCGAGGTCGCCGTCGATGTCTCCGGCTCACCGGAAAGAGCTCGGTGGTTTAGGTGGTTTCTCAACCGTCAAGCGGACCCAGAACGTAGCCACTAAGGAGGCGGCTCAACGGCTGGCGAAAGTTATGGCCTTTCAGAGCAACGACAATGAGGAAGACGATGACGAGGATCACGAATTCGAATTCGCTCCTCCTTCCTCTGCCATCAACGGCTCCAGTAACTTTTCCTTCGCTCGCCGCAATCGATCGCAGTCACCGGCGGTAATTTACGTTCATTTGAATTATGAGATTGAGGTTTTGTCTTGTGGGCTTTCTCATTTTTTAATTGTGTTTTATTAATGATGTAATTTTAGATAGGAAGAAACAACACGGAGCAAGTGAGTTCAGTGCGTTCTTTGTCGGCGGGAAGACCATCAACGTTTGGTAGATCCAAAGCTCCGAATGCTTCTCCGAATTGGATGCCGGTTAAGGCGACGCTGAAACCTCCACTTGATCTTCCGTTTAGGGACAGAGATAACAGGTGAAGACGATAAGTCAAAACCAGTTTTGTCTGAATAAGTCATTAACTCCTAAGATGTTGTGCTGCTTTTCCTAATTACATAAGTGTAACGTTTTCAGGTATTATAGTGATGTACCGTTGGTTAATTCGAGAGATAAAGGGTATCAGCGTGAAGCTTCAGCACTTCGTGATGAAGTACGTGGACATTTCATCCGGTCGAATTTTATTAAAAAGTAAAAAATGTCCGTAGATTGTTGACTTGAGGATGACTTAATGTTAATTGCAGCTGGAGATGCTACAAGAAGATAATGAGATTATATTGGAGAGGGTTCGTTGTCCTGTCAATTGTATAAATACTAAAGCTATTCTCCTCCCTCATCATTCATAACAACTGTTTTTGGATTACAGCTTCACTCTGCAGAAGAAAAGCGCGAAGCAGCAGAAGCCAGGGCTAGGGAGCTGGAGAAACAGGTTTTTGCTGAATCTGTCCATGGAATCTGTATACATGTCGTGTAGGCATCTCTTGAGAGATTAATTCATTCGTTGTTGTTTTCTTTTCCCCAAAAAGGTTGCTTCTCTTGGAGAAGGAGTGTCTCTGGAGGCCAAATTGTTAAGTAGGTGTGAGCCTGTGAACTCTTTTTTCTTTCTCTTATTCAGAAGATAGATACTGCAGTAGTTGTATATTAAGGCTCGTGATGAATTGCGTTTTTTTCTTTTTTCTTCAGGAAGGAAGCGGCATTGCGCCAAAGAGAGGTTAGTGTGTAGATGAATAAAATATATTTTTCTAGTATTATGATGCCACATTATGTCAAAGATAAGACATTTTTTGAAGCCTAACTATATAGACTCTGATACAGGCTGCACTTAAGGCTGCTAACGAGGAAAAAAATGGGAAACAGGATGAAGTTGTTTCCCTCCGTTCAGAAATTCAGGTAAGGTATACTGTGTTACTCTGCTTTCGTAATATGGGTGCTATTCTGATCTCTTTTATGTTCAGATCCTGAAGGATGAGGCTGCAACAGCTGCGGAACAGCTTCAAGAAGCAGAGTCAGAAGCAAAGGCTCTTCGTACGATGACTCAAAGAATGGTTTTGACACAGGACGAAATGGTATGTTTGGAAATCCCAAGTTTCATTAACATTCACCTTATAAAGATTTCTGATTGTATGAAAAAAAAAAAAAAAAACGTATCATCTAGGAGGAAGTGGCCTTGAAGAGATGCTGGCTTGCCTGGTATTGGGGTTTGGCAGTGCAGCATGGTAAAGTGATGCAATCCATTAATTAACAGCATTATTCGAGATGTCAACTTTATTAAAGATTTGCTTCTCATGTGGCTTCCGTAGGCATATGTGCTGATATAGCATCATCCAGGCATGAAAAGTGGTCGGCTTTGGCTCCTCTTCCGTTTGAGCTGGTCATATCTGCAGCACAAAAGGCCAAAGAGTTGTCTCGGGATCAAGGCTAGTCTATAATATTTCTAAAATGGCCGAGGTTTCCCTGATACTGTTCCTTGCGTCATCTTTATTTACCAATCTATGAAAATGGATCAGATGGGAGTGGTGAGAGCAAAACTGATAGATCTTTAAGTGATCTAACTGGAGAAGGAAATATCGAAAGTATGCTTTCAGTTGAGATGGGTTTGAGAGAGCTAGCCTCTTTAAAGGTCAGTGACATCTATAGCTTACTTCATATCATCATTTCATGAGGTTCCCATTGCGATCCCAAGTACATTTTTTTTTCTGAGCTCTTAGGTTGAGGATGCCGTTATGCTTGCATTTGCTCAGAATAGAACACCGACTGTGATTCGTCAAGGTATGTATATATTAGCAACTTATCATCAATTAGTTCAGTGACAAAATATAGTCTTTTTTTTTTACTAGAATGCCTATCGATTGGTATTTGATAGTCATTCTTCTCTCTGTTGAGATACTCTTAACAAAATATATTCTTTCTGTTTTTGTTTATGAGTTGATCTGTTCGATTCCCGACTTGTGCCATAAAGTTTTGTTTTCTCCCATCTTACAGATTCCAAAGGGAGTGGAGAACTCAGATTAGTAGAGGCATACGGTAAGAAAAAGTCTCCCTATTCTTCAAAGATACAATGGCCTGTAGAGTTGTTCAAGGTTTTATCATCCACCTGAATTTTTTTCTGGGTTTTGTGTCCGTCCTTGGACACAGTACATCTCGATGATATTCATTAGTGACTGATTAAAAAAATAAAAGGACTTGAGAAATCTTGGCCGGTTCCTATCTGATAGTGTTTAGGCACAATCATGAACTTCTTACCAAGTTATCACAACTCTCAAATGCAGAACTAAAAGAAGGGGAACAAGAAGATGTTGCCTTTAAGCAGGTAGTTTCTTTATTGTATCGATGCGTCTCTTTATAAGTGTATTAGAGTCCTGACTCATCTCTAGCCACTATGGTTTGGTTAAACTCTTATGGTGTTGTATATGCAGGCATGGCTGATGTACTTCTGGGGTAGAGCCAAGTTGCACGGTGTGGAAGAAGACATTGCTGATGAAAGACTCCAGTTTTGGATCAGCCGTAGTGGAGGAACGTCTCCAACTTCTCACGATGCTGTTGATGGTATACACTACATTTTCCTTTTTGTCCTAATTCTGATTCTAATGTCACACACATACATAATAAAGCTGAACTTGTTCTCTTTTCACAGTGGAGCGAGGCTTGTTAGAGCTAAGGAAACTAGAAATAGAGCAACAATTATGGGAAGCTTGCCGCAAAGAGACTGATCAGCTTCTTCCATCTTCTTCTCCTACCTCTACTCTCACAAATCACAACAACCTGGACCCTTAAGTGATATATAGATAGCATTCTGTTTTGTATAACATAATTTGGGAGAAACAAAACATTAAAAGTATTGTAACATCTCAAACTCTGAAAATCTAGACTTTAAAAAGCAGGCAGCTAAAAGTCTAGCCATTTCTGGAAATAAACACACGTTGTCGGGGAGATAACCCCGTCAGGTGTACAAAGCGCTATATGCGGACAAGCCCCACAAGGCACCGAAGCAAAAGCTCCAGCTCTTGCTTCACCGCCACCGGATTTTTTACCGGTCAACTTGTAGCAGACTTCTCCGATTCTCGTAGCGGAGTACTCGCTGAGCCCAGTGCTCTTCACCTCCATGATGACGTTATCCAAAACCAGGTTCTTGAGTATCTCCTTGAACTGCTCTTTACTCAATTGGTCCTTGTCGCTGCCCTTTTCGAAGTAGGAGTATATACCATCGAAAGTAACAACCTTGTGCTTCTGCTTCTCCAGTATCTTGACGCAGACTTCTTTGAGAAACTCGATTTTGGCCACGTCAAGAGCTCCGTCGATGTACCAATCCCCGCCTGTAAGCTCCTTACAAGGCTCGAACTCCACTCCCATAAAACGTTTGAAGCCTTTGTTGTTCATGTTTGGGACCACTTTGATGAGGTTCTTCTTCTTGAGAGAATTGACTCCTCGAGTTATGAACGCTTGTTGGATCTTTAACCCATCTCTCAACTCCGATGGAGACGCCCCCATCCCTTGCTTGCTCCGAATAAAACTCAGCAGCTTCTTCTCCTCTTCGTTTTCACCTCCCGCCGATGATTTCGGCTCCGGTCGTTTTCGTTTACTCATCTCCCCTCTAATCACACTGAGAAAAAAAAAAAAAAAAAAAACAAACTTGATCTGATTAATATCCAAATTCAAGAAGAAACTCTGAGAATACAAGCGTTTGGCGAAGATCGGGTTCAATTTACCTCGAGATTAGTTTCTTTAGAGATGAAACCTAAAATCACTCCGGCGAATACAGATGCTGAATCTGAGGATTTAGGAGAGAGGCCGACGGAGACTGGAACAGAAGGGTAAACTTGTAAAGCGAGAAGAAAACCCTACAATTTCTTATTGGCTGGCTAATAATAATTATTATCGTTATTAATTTCCAGAATTTATTCGTTTATTTATATATTCTTAGCATTATCTAATTGGTGTTAATCTGCAATTAGAAATAGGAGAGGGAGTTGTAAGAATAATTAATGAAAAGATGAGTGTCTTGCTAACAATTGTAATATTTAAATATCCGTCTTCTTTCTTCTTCCCAGAGACATTTGAAGAAAGAGACATTTCCAAAAAAATTAAGAAGCTTTTTTTCCAATGGCGGATCCTGAGAAGAGGCGAGATCAATTATTTTTTCAGGTAAATCCTTTATTTCCCCCTACTTTGATTCAATTCAATCATCAAATTTAGTAATCTATCATCATCACCCCAACCTTTTGGACCATCATTACACCCACATTTTCTTTAGCTCTTTCTCTTCACAGCCAGATTTTGATTTTTCTTTTTTCTCCGAATTTGGGATCTGATATGATGGTGCCATCGCAGGAGAAATACGAAGAGAAAGATCTCGACATTGGCCACGACGAGCACGAGTCTCCTCTTCCTCTCACCGTCACTTCTCGTGTAAATTGCTCTCGTCTCTTGATTCGTGTGGCTTTAGCGTCTCGTTGCTTAGTAGCTTTTTTCGCTTAAATTTTGAATTTTTTTGTTGTTGCAGGTTTTGTACATGTTAGGAGACATAGCAGCTGGTCCAGCTCATCGGTTTACACAATGGTTGGATTTAGTTCGTAAACGGAGTGCTACTTACGGATCCTCTGGCTTCCCTCACCGCCTTCACCGGATCGATGATTTGGTTACAAGGTTAAGACTTTTATACCATTTCACATTTTTTTCTCTTCTGCCTTCCTTTCTATTTTTGGATACCAACCAAATATGTGGAGAGATTGTCGTGACGATTAGGGAAAGCTCGGTGTTTTGTGTTGTGTGTTATGAAGATTCTTATTAACAGAAGTATTATGCAGTGCAGGAGAGAGGAATGCTGATCCAAAAAGTCCACCAAGCAAGCAGACTTCAGAGATTAGTTTGTGGGAGAGGCTTGGCAAAGCCTCCATTGTGGATATCGAATCGAGCTCTTTTTCATGGAACATGCTCTCTTCACTTCACCATACTGAACATAGCAGTAGCACTGATCTTTCTGAAGAGGACCAGTGTAAACCGCTTGAGGTATATATATATGATCTCGGATTTGGTAGATTGAAAAAGCTTGAAAAATTGTTTGTTTTCTGAGCTCTTTGCATTATATGTGGAATGAGTTTCTTATGTATGGCTCTGCTTCTTTATCTTGCAGGTTACTGTGAATTCTGGGGGGGTTGTTTTCTTTGCCCTGTTCAATAGTTCCAGCTATGAAGATGCTTCTCGAAACGAAGAAGCAGCAGCAGTTATAAAGTTTTCATCATCAAGGATGGCCACGCAATCAGAACGTCTAGGTTATGAGTTTGCCAAGTGGCTAGGGGTGCAGATCCCGCAGGTGCTTCTTCTCTTTGCTCTACTTCAAAACTTTATAGTATTGGTTCGCTCCTTTTCACTTTCTTTAAAATAATTGAGTAATCATCACTGCGACAGGCTAGAGTCATTCATAGCTGTAATCCAGAGTGGACACTGATCAGAGAAGCAACTGAAAAAGCACAAGCTAATGCGGCTTCGGAGGGAGACGAGGTTGGTGAAGTGACTTGTTCAGAACTTCTGGAAGCCCTTGAGCTCAGTCGTTGCCTTCTCCTAATGAGGTGAAAGCACAAAATTCATCGTCATTCTTTATAACTTTCTCCATTTTTGACTTGGACCAGGAACATCTATTCACAGTAGTAGCGATTGTATAATTAACAATTATAAATTTTGCATATACAATATAGTATTTTCAGGGGGAAAAAATCAAAGTTTTATGTTATTAGATATTTGATATTTTGTATGGTAAAATAACAAATATGTAAAAGAATATCGTGAGGTGGAATTATTTGACTGGCCTAAAAATACAATAGTTGACAAAAATTTAATCTTAGTTTAGATATAGTTGAATAGACATTTGTCTTTGCCTAAATGGATAATATAGGCATTGACCTTATCCCACCCTTACAGATGTACAATTGCTAATACGTGACGTTTGTATTAAAATCCCTCTCAATTTGTGATGGCAGCTATGTTCATGGATGTCCATTGCTGGAGAGCATGAGTAGTTTCGAAACTGAAGAAAAGGCAGAGAGAGCTGCTGCAGCGTTAGGGAGAATCTTGGTGTTAGATCTTGTAATAAGGAACGAAGACAGATTACCTTGTCGCCAGCTGAGATGGCGTGGCAACCCGGCAAACCTGTTGTTAACCGACAGGATTGTGTCGCCAACAAAATACCTACAATGCTCGTTTGAAGAAGCTTTCGATTCCGCCATCAAACGGTGCCATCCAAGAGACTACAGATCCATTCAGAAGGAAAGAAGAGCTTCTTCGGTAGATAGCAGATCCAGATTGAGTGTTAGTGATCAAAGGTTGGTCTCACAGTCTTCTGACTTTTCTGATATAACGGAATCGCCTAGATCCTATGACACTGGTTATATGAGTCCAATGTCCGATGGATCAGTAGCTCCTGATTTTCACATTGTCACCATAGACTCGGGTGTTCCACGGCGTCCTCCCGCTGGAAAACGGGCAAGCGACCAAGAGATCTATCCAAGATTAGTTGAGCTGCTGCTCAATAGTAGCCAGTATTCTTCCAACTTGTTATATGAGATAACAGAAGGGAGTTTAGGATATCCCCAGGGAGAAGCTGGTGCAGAAACATCTAATGTTCGGTCGAATGTAGTGACCCCAGTTGTACGTGAGTTTCGAAATGGTTTCCGAGCTGGTCTCAGGGATTTGCAAGAGTTCCACATATTCCTCGTCACGCTTCATCAGAAGTTAGATGGGCTGCTGCGTGCATTTTTCAATATGATGGACAAAACAATGTGTGCAGATTTTGACAGAGAAGACTTTGCTGTTCCTGAATCGCCATCACAGACTTTTGGTCATGAGGCGAATAATTATCCATCTCCCTCAAAAGATCGTGTGCCTAGTGATAACAGCTCTGAGCACAGTGAGTCAGATATGCACAAATCAGTTCTTAAGACACCAAATTCTGAAAACAAAGAAGGCACAGATGCGTCTTCGCCTATGTCACGGGAAAGTTGGCACGGCAGATACAACAGAGGTGGAGAATCTCTTAGCAGTCAGCGTTTGGCAGCAAAGCTCCGTGACTTCCATAAATTTGCAAAGGTTTGTAGCTACAGGCATTGATCATTCTTGGATGGGAATCTTAAGCTATTTTATCTTTCTTCAATCTGATACTTTTCATGGTGCGTTCAGATTGATGCAGAGTCTAATAAAGAACTAGACCAGTGGAACGAAACACTGCGGAATGAAGTTATGAAACTCTGTCAAGAGAACGGTTTCAACACTGGGTTTTTTGAAGGCAGTGATAATAACAGTTGCACAGATGCTTACGAGTTAAAGGTACTCTGAGTTTTTTTCTTTCCCCTTTTATTTTTGGAACTGAACCCAAACATTCTCTCTTGCTCACATTCTCCACCATAACAGGTGAGACTTGAGCATATTCTTGAGAGGATATCATTGATTTGCAAAGCTGCTAATACAGAGAAACCATCAATGATACAAGATAATCTTTTTATCGGAGGAGGTTTGGCTGCAAGGTCCGTTTACACTCTTCAGCATTTAGGTGTGACTCATATTCTATGTTTGTGCGCAAATGAAATCGGTCAATCTGATACGCAATACCCCGATCTCTTCAAGTACAAAAATTTCTCAGTAGGTTATTTTTCTCTTGATTATTATTATTTGTTACCAAAGGCGTTGTTAAAAAGGAATTGGTAAAAAGTGCATCTAAAAAGATGAGAGTTTCCTCTTCTTGTGTCTTCCCTTGGACCAGATAACCGATGATGAAGACTCAAAGATCGAGAACATCTTTCAAGAAGCTCTCGATTTCATCAACCATGGGGAAGAAACAGGCGGCAAGATTCTAGTTCATTGCTTCGAAGGTCGGAGTAGAAGCGCAACTGTAGTGCTCGCTTACCTAATGCTCCGAAAGTAAGTTATTGGGGACAATTAACACTATTAGAAGATCTGGAAAAAAAAATCAACAAGAGATCTCCATTTCTTCTTCTTCTTCTTCTTCTCATTAGTTGACTGGTGGGATCAATAAACAGGAACCTCACACTTTTGGAAGCATGGAGCAAACTGAGAAAAGTTCATAGACGAGCTCAACCGAACGACGGGTTTGCCCGGATCTTAGTTAACCTCGACAAGAAATGTCACGGGAAGGTGTCAATGGAGTGGAGACAGAGGAAACCGACAATGAAAGTGTGTCCGGTTTGTGGTAAGAACGCAGGTCTAAGCAGCAATTCTCTGAAGCTTCATCTCCAGAAATCTCACAAGAAACTGTCTTCTGGAAGCGTTGACAGTGCAATGAACATGGAGATTCAAAAGGCTTTGGAGGCTCTTAAGCTCAGCACTGGTCGTGGCTCAAGTGTTAGCTCCAATCCTCCTTTTCAGTCTTATCCTGCTTAGAGACACCGGTTTAGTTTCTATCAGTGGTTTGTTGCATCATCCGAACGGAATATATAAATAAATAGAATTGATATTGTATGTTTTTATTTATTTGTTATAATTTCTTATACAAAACTAAATTTCAATTTATTTCTAAAATTTAAAAAATTCAAACCAAAAGAACCATCTTTGGGGGAGGAATTATGTGTTCTACTTATTCTTCTAGCATTTGGAGGAGAAATTATGTTCAAATGGAATTTTATTTTGTTCTTTATTATGCTAGTGTGAGAGGAATTTCAAAAAAAAAACTTATAGAAATGGTAAAGTTTGGAAGAATGCAGAGAAATACACTAATTATTAACCAAGTGTTTTAAAATAACAAATTGAACATTCATAAGCTTTGATATTATATTTTTCTATTTATTGAATAAAATACTATATAAAAGAATTAAAGTAAGACAACATCATATGTTTTTAGGTAATAAATTGAAAATTTAAAAATATAAAATTATTGTATGTTATTGTTTAATTCATTTTTAGAAATTTGGTATGTAATTAATTGTTGTCAACTATAATTATTTTGGTGCCTAATTTACTGTTATGAATTATAGTTATTTTGGCGCGTAATTTACTGTTATGAATTATAGTTATTTTGGCGCGTTATTTATATTTGAATTAAATAAAAAATTGATTAGAAAATATATGAATATGAAGCTAGTCTTGTTGACTTGATTGAAATTTGGTAAGAGAGTAATAATAAAAGAGGTATTGAAATCAGACCAATTGCTCTTCTTCCATTTCTATGAAAGAGGTATTGAAATCAAACTAAGTTCTTTCTTGCAAGAGTCATCAAGTTCTTCCTCCTCCTCGTTTCGTTTTTGAGTATGCTTTCTTACAACTTTTTCTTTCTTAAAGATTGCAATGTTTTATGGTTGTAAGGTTTGATGCTCGCATTAGTGTAGAAAATTAGGAGAAATTGATCACAAGATTTTGAGATTGATTGTTCTAGAATTCTCAGCATCTCTTAAACGAAATTGGCCGTAGTTTTGTCTCTCCATTGAGTCTACCGCTCTGTTTAATGTCAATAGATTTCTCTTCGTGTGTCTGATTAGATTCTTCATAGATTTTTGTGAGTCAATATACGGTTTGAGTCTGTGATTCCTTTTCGCAGTTATGTTCCGTTCGAATCACCAAGCAGTTAGATATTATTATTGGGAATGTTTGTTATCATTGATGATCCTATGCCTGCCTTTTGTTCTCATTCTTAAGAGATTATATGTTTTCTGAATTCGATTTTAGAGTTTTTGGTATCTCCTGTAAACTTTATGCCTTGTGGAGAATTGTTTTAACATATATGGTATGAATTTTTTGTTCATTTTCATCAGTCCATTCATTCATATTTTAATTACTTACTTTCACTTTTTACCACTCTCTCAACAAAAAAAATGTTATAACAACAAAATTATTTTCTCTTGAAGCTTTCTACAAATGGCTGAAGACCGTGTAAATGTAGTAGTCCATTGGGAGAAGATGGAGATTGACATCTTAGTGAGGATTTTCCAAAAGTGTTTTAGCCTCCAAGAGTTGGTGAACTCTGGATCAGCTCATGTCTGCAGAGGATGGCGTGCGGCTTGCTGCGATCCCACTCTGTGGAACACGCTCGATCTATCTCACATGAAATCTCATTTCATCAAAGTCCAACAAAAGCCGTTTGTGTACGTGGAGAGCCGCTTTGATGAGAACTTGACTCGGCTCTTGAAACTCTCCATGAGTCTTAGCAAGGGAAACACAATGACCTTGATCGTCCATTTCAACTTGTTTCTTAGTGATGACATGCTTACTTACACCGCTATTAGGTAATTAATGTTCACTTGAAAGAAACATACTTTCATTGCCCATTTTCTGATATTGAAACTTCATTTATTGTTACAGGTGTCCAAACTTGAGACGCTTAGTGTTACCGGCGTGGAACAGGATTAAGAAGAAGAGCTTAGCCAATGTCATGGAATGCTGTAAGAGCCTAGAATCGCTAACAATGCCAAGCATCCCGCACCCGTATGTTGTCTTTTCAGCGATAGCCATGAACTGCAAGAATTTCAGAGAGCTCAAGGTAATGGGTCCAATAGATCTCTCCTTCGTCGAGGTGCTCGTTTATCTTCTCCCGAATCTCAACGTCATCAGCCTCAGATGCACTTCCATATACCGAGATGCCCTCGTAACAATCTTGGATAAACTGAAACGCCTCCAAGTTCTCAACATTTCTCATTCCTACCTCCTAGTGCAGCGCTATGAACCGAAACAAGAGACGATCATTGTTAGGGAACTTGACGAGACGATAATGAACAAGGCCTCGAAACTGAAGCGATTCATAACTTGTATGGAGCACGATACTTGTGTCATGTGTCAGAGGACCGAGAAGGACGAAGGGATCATGAGATGGTATAAGTACGAGGAAGGGCTATGGAAAGCAGACGAAGTACCCTCCCTTCATCTCTAAAGTTGTACTCTTTTTTATGTTTTTTGTTTTGCAACTATTTTCATGTTTCTTGCTGTGTAAGGTACCTTACTTTTCGATTTTTGTTGGTTTTGTTGTTTGCATTGTTGTGATTTTTAATCTGTTGTGGGTGGCTTTGTTGCATGTGTAATGTAGTCATGCAGATACAGATATTTGATTACAAAAATTGCTTTTGCTCTATTTGGTCTCTCTAACTATAAATCAGTTCATGAACTTGTATGCTACTACATAGGAAAGTCCAATTAATTATTTTTTTAAAAAAAAAAATTGTTTATTTAAAGTTTGTATGTTGTACGCTTTTCTAACGGGCCGTTTAGATTGTATTTTTCCACTTTAGTTGGTGAAAATTATAATTTTATAGGTAGCTATCTCATTTAAATAAATGTTTTTGGAGAAATATTAATGAGTAGCATTAAATAGAAAATCGAAATCGAATCCATTCCTTGAAGCAGAGTGTGGGACCAGGAATGTAGCTCAAGTGTTTTGAAGACGTGAGGCTGAGAAGTAATGATGAGACATAAAAAGAAGGACATGACCAAAGGTGGTACGTAACACACGTATGACTCACTCTTCTTCACTTTTCTGTCCACGAAATTTTATTTTTTCTTATGCATAAAATTAAAACACCACCACCATTTTTCTCCTTTTCTCTTCTTAAAACCTTTTTTATTTATTTTATTTAGTCTCTCTTCTTAAAACTTTCCCCCGGCTATATCCAATTATATTTTAAACCCCGTGATTTATAATACAAATTAAGGTATATAGTTGCGATTCACAGTTTCAAGTTGAGAAAAGAGTAGCCAGATGTCTATAGAGAAAATATGCAAGTATTTATACTATAAATCAAGAAACTTGACAAAAAACGATGATGACTGACCACAGTTTAAAAAAATATGATGAATATATATTAATAAATACAAACGTAAGCGCAACGTACAATTTGTTGGTGGAAATTTTTTGGTTGATGGATCCGTCTAAAAGCAAAATCTCATCTAAGTAGAAATCAAATGCGTCTTTTTCAATCACACGTTGAATTTTACAAAAACTAAAAGCAAAAGAAAATTACAACCTTTAGGCTATACCATTGTCAAACCAACGGAACAATTAAGAGAATTAAAACTGGAACCCTTTAGTTACAAACTCTTGACTTTCTTAATTTTTGTGTAGCAAACGAAAAGGAACCCATAATTCTTTCACTAATTTTTATGTTATTTTTTGAAAAAAGTAAAGTAAAAAGTGCTAATGTTAAATTAGTTCCTCTAATGGATCAGTCATCACTGTAAAGTCCCTCGCCTACTACGAAACCATCAATTTAATAGAATTTCCATGTTTGGCTATATAAGTAGCCACGCCAACAAATTGCACATTTTCTTACCTGAAATAGAATTAAAGGGGACCTTCTCTGACCTAACAACATACAAATGGATAAAATAAAAATCATACGTGGATTGGTAAATATGCCATATTTACTGGGTCACATATTGAAATGAATACTATATTATTATAATGTATTAAAATTTTATTTGAATGGGATTTGGCTTTCGATTGGTCCGAATCCCCAGAAGCAACAGTTCGTTCTCTGTTTTTAATCATATGAACACTCTTCATCCTCAGAAGCAGGACGAAGAAGAAGAAGAAGCGAGATACGAATGGGATTTTTCTCTCTCCACCGTCGTCTCTTCCTCCTCCTCCTCCGCCTCCGATGTTATCGGAACTATTGAGTTCGACCCGACTGATAATATCCTCGCTACCGCCGGAATTTCTAGAAAGATTCGTTTTTACGGCCTCCCTTCTCTGCTACGCACCAACGCCAGAATATCCGGAGGAGGAGGAGGAGTTTCCTTCCTCGATCAAGCCACCGCCTGCGAGTATTACATCTGTACGCCGGCGAAGCTCAGTAGTCTCCGGTGGAGACCCGGGTCTGGCGGTCGGGTCATCGGGTCCGGTGATTATGACGGCGTCGTTACCGAGTACGACCTCGAGAAGAGGACGCCCGTTTTCGAGCGGGACGAGCACGGAGGCCGCCGCGTCTGGAGCGTGGATTACACGCGACACAATGGCTCAGCCGCTGTGGGAGCGTCGGGATCGGATGACGGGACTATGCAAGTGTGGGATCCGAGATGTCCGCCGGAGGAAACTGTCGGTGTCGTCAGACCGGCGGGACTTTGCCGGAGCGCCGTTTGCTGCGTCGAGTTTGATCCCTCCGGTGGACCCGCGGTGGCCGTAGGATGCGCCGATCGGAGAGGGTACGTGTACGATGTGAGGAAACTCGTTGACCCGACGCTGACTTTACAAGGTCACACCAAAACGGTGTCGTATGTGAGGTTCCTCGACGGTGGTACGGTGGTGACAGCAGGCACGGACGGGTATTTGAAGCTGTGGAGCGTGGAGGACGGGCGCGTAATTCGCACGTACGAAGGGCACGTGAACAATCGGAACTTCGTAGGGTTATCTGTATGGCGAAACGGCGCGCTGTTTGGTTGTGGATCGGAGAACAACAGGGTGTTCGTGTACGATAGGAGGTGGGGGAAGCCGGTATGGGTAGACGGGTTTGAACCGGTTGGTATATCATCTGGATCAGATAAGCGGTTCGTGAGTAGCGTTTGTTGGAGGCAATCAGGTGTGGACCAGTGCACCCTAGTGGCTGGTGGATCTGATGGAGTGTTGCAGGTTTACGTGGGCAAAAGAAAGCCATAATAATATTAATCTTGTTAATCTATCATTACTATCTCATTTATGATTTATAATGCTTTCTTCTCAATTTCATTTTTATTTTTCAAGTTTAATTTCTTACCTGAGATTGATTTTTTGGTGCAGTTGTGAGAGCATTCGATCTATCTTGTGTTTATTTATAAAGGGTTTTTCTTGTTCTACGTTTTTCTTATGTAATTTCAATGTTTTTTTCTGTTGTTGTTAACCAGAAGTTTTGAGACTATGATGCAAAGATTTTCATATTCTTATATACAATATCTCCATGTTTGAGAAATAAGTTTCTTTGTGTTTGATTACGATTACAAAAGTGGCATGTCAAGTGTGAAAAACAAAAATGAGAGACTAATTTGTTGGTAGATATATAATAAATTTATATCTCTCCTTCGTCTACCAAATATCAATGCGCCTTATGAATTTTGGTAGCGGTGATATAGGAGGCATCTCTATATATCTAGAATCTATAATCACGAGACAGTTACTTGCTTTTTTGGGGTTTGTACAGCATATTAATTGATGAAATGAGAAAAGCCTGTAAAGTCGCGGGAATGAGTCATCAAAGTTTAGTTGTATTATTACTTTCTTGGTCTTAGTTTGAGAATCTTGTTTAGTTCTCATCCTATTGATCAGATCAAATTTGGACTCGACAAAAAGTGACAAATGGGAATCAATTCCGTGAACGCTTCATATTATAGAGTTTACAATTTCGCGGTAAAACAAACTATCAACCGTGACATTGACACAAACAATTGTGTTTTCGTGCGTTATTCCAATAATTATGTCTAATATTAGAGCTTAGTAAATGATATTTCTAGCATACTCAATCATCATCACACACACATGGGATAGCTTAATTCGAGTCGTCAACCAAGTACAGTAGATGTATCCTAGTAGTTGATTTCTAGAGAAACGGAAAAAACAAAACATATAGTAATCTCAGTTGACGAAAGTAGGTAGATTTCTATTAGTCTGTGGTAATCAAAGTCTCCAACAAAAGGGATCCACCAAACAAAACATTCCATAATCAAAACCAAACAAGGAAAAATCTCCATTCTTCAAAAAAACTCTTACATTCCAGTGAATGCCTTCTTTCCGAATGCAGATGCGCCTGCTGGGATCACCTTCAGGACATTGAACCTCACGGTCTTCGACAACGGCCTGCGATAAAAAAAAATCAATCACTCAGATCGTTCTCATATCATTACAAACCTACTCTGTTTTTCCCAACAGAAGACAATACTTACCTGCATTGCCCAATGATGACATGATCACCTTCTTTGACACGGAAACACGGTGAGACATGGGCAGGGATATTGGAATGTCTCTTCTCATATCTGATGAAAGTATAAGGAGAAAATAATTTTTTAACATTGATGCTACATCTTTTAGTCTCTATCAAGAACAGAGGAGATTCACACTCGCTGTACCTTTGATACTTCTTCACGAAGTGGAGGTAGTTCCGGCGGACAATGATGGTTCGCTGCATCTTGGCACTGTGGCAAGTACCAGCTAAGATACGACCTCTTACGGAAACAGTTCCAGTGAACGGACATTTCCTGTCAATGTAAGTTCCTGTTCCACGAATAAAAAAAACAAGGCGTGGTTACAAAACATGACTGAATGCTTCAGATATTATAGTTTTTCTCACTTCAAATCTAACCAAAGCAAGCACTCAACGGATATTCTACTCAACACCAACCAACAAAATCCTTAGCTGATAGATTTCAAATGACCACAGATCAATTGTGAAGAGAGAGTGATGCAGATATCAAAATAGAAAACCTAGATTAAACGCTAGGAAAATCAACTGTTAATCGCCTAACTAGTTACACTAGATACTGCAAAAAGTATAGAGTTTCTTCTTGAAGGATAAATCAGAACCTAAACTCTATCGAATCTAAAAATCAAACCTTCAATAGCTTCTCGGGGGGTTTTGAAGCCCAAACCAATGTTCTTCCAGAAACGGTTTCCACCTTTGCCAGGCCTCTTTCCTTTCCCAGATTTCTTCGAGCTGAGCACACATATAAAACCGTAATCATAAGGAACCAGTTCGGAAATAAAAATGATACAAGTAGCACAGAATCGATGAAACACAGTGACGATAAGATTCATTTTTGGTCTTGTGAATTACCTTAGGAAAACCTTGGGTTGCTTAAGAAAAGCCTTCTCAGTCTGCAAGAGAAAGAAGAGAATGAGAATCAGTTGAAGAATGTGTATCAGAGTGTAGAAACGGAGATAAGGAAAGACATATTGATCAACGAACGACGAACCTGCTCAGCCATGGCTACTGGTTGCTGCTGCTGCTCTCCGCTGAAGAATTGAGGCAAAAGTATGTAAGAGATGCGAGAGGCGAAGCAGCGACTGAAAACTGAAGCAATGAAGCTCCGGGCAAAACCCTAATTTTTAAGATGGGTCTGGGCCTCTAGTTTATGGGCCTTCTAACTTTGGGCCGTCAGTTTACATATACCTTTAAGCCCATCATAAACACATCACTGTTACAATACTCAAACTCGAGACTTTACAAACATCCGAAACTAAGCAATCAAAATATCAATGCATTTATGGGAGGACCCTCTTCCTATTTTACATATTGGACCACTTATGCTTTTACGGTAGGGATGATGCGATCATGAATTACGCCAAAAAGAAACAAGTTATATCATTGCACGTACCAATTCATAAAGCAAAATAAGGAAAAGCCTTTCAAAGAAAAGATGTACAGTTTTATAAAAATTCAGCAAAATGCACCCCAAAATTAATATAAAAGATGTTTCCATATAATAATAATTCATAAAAAATAAAAAAAATTGACGTAACAATATTTCATATTAACTTTCTATGTTACAAATTATAAACCAACATTAAGCAAACTAAAACGTATAAATGAAACCCTTTTTTGTTTATCTTCCAAATTAAATAATAAACGAAAGCCATTACAGCAACACCAAGATTCATATATTTCCCACACGATGAAATCACAGGAATCCAAATAGCTTTTTAGGAGCAGTTCCAGTGGCACGATACTTGGCAGCTAATTCCTCAGCTTTGAGAGACGCTTCTCCACGTCTAGCTTCGATCATGGCTCTCTTCTCTTCTGCCTGCTTGTGAATTTGAGCTATTTTGTTCTTCATTAGCTCCACATACTGTGCCTTCTTCTTCTCCAATTGTTCCTGTTTTCATTTTCCACAACTTTATTTTAAATCAGAAAATGTCTTAAAATCTGGTATTCAGATCAATACCAAAAAAAAAGAAAGAGTAGAATATACCTCCATTTTCTTGAGCTCAGCTTCAACAGCTGCTTTCTTGTTCTTCTCCCATGACACAATTGAAGAAAGCTTCTTCTCAGCTCTGAAACAAACATTTTCTCATCTTTCACAACTCAATTCTGAATACCTTAACCATAATATTATGGTTTGATTGCAAGAATATGATGAGTGATTTGATTGTTTCAAATCCGGTTTGAGAGACCCGGTTATGCATACATATCAAAGATAAATGTAAAGTTAGTAATCAAAATAATAATAATAATAAAAAGGTTACTTGTTCTCCACTTTGCATTTCTCAGCCTCTTCCCAAGCTTTGATAAGTGACATCCTCTTCTCTGTCTCAACTCTAGCTAGGACAGCATCTGCACTCCCAAGCAAACACAATAATTATTCAAAGTACATATATCTAGGAAAATAAGAGACACTGATAAACACTCGCGTCCATATACAATCACAAAACCACCTAATTAATTACTCCCCAGTATTAAAAACACTAATTAATTAGTTAATTCCCCGAACCTTCTAGTTTAGATTAGTGTCTTCAGGTTAATATTTACATACCTGATTTTGTAGTTGTTATCATTCAACTTTCAGGTTCTATTCGTATTAAATCATGAAGATATGAATCTATCTCGTTGAGTAAAAAGAAAAAAAAAACGTTAATTTTACCTCGATTAACTGATCCTTCTTTTTTCTCTTCATCTGCTTCTTCTGTGCCAACACCAAAAATAATCTGAAAATTACTCTTCTCTCCAACAAAATAAAAAAGGGAGAATAACAATATCAAAACATACGAGGATATATTTGTTCCAAAAAAACATAAGAGACTATTTGTAATCTTTCTTTTCTTCAGCAAACTTGTTTAAAACTTTTTCTATCGAAAAATAAAATTACTTGCGACGATGGGAACAATAGCCTTTGACTCCTCTAGCTTCTCCTCCGCAGGCGCCGGAGATGGAAGAGCTGGAGGTGGAGCCACAGGCTTCTCCTGTGGAGTAACATCCGGCGCCGCAGCAACGGCTTTCTCCGCCGGAGCTGGCGGTGATGGAGCTGGTTCCGACACGGTGGTAACGGTCTCAGTCACCATCTTTGGTTCCTCCTCGGCCATGTCGTGTATATGATGACGTCAGGTACAACAACTAAAGATTACAAGAGAAAGAAAAAAAGAATCAGAAGAGGATCAGAATGATCTCTCTTTCATTCAGTCTGGTTATTTAAGAGAGAGACAAGGAGAAGAGAGAGAAGACAACAATATTTTTAGAGATTAACTGTCGATTTCGTAGATACTGAGCTGGAATTGTTTGGTAGCGATGTTCTGTTCCTCGTTGTCATAAAATGGTTTGCTTTCTTTTTATTTTATTATTATAATTTCTCTTCTAAATTTAGTATCATTGATTCATTGATGCACGATCATTAGTGTATAGATAAATGGCAAATGCAAACCATTTACAATTAAGTAGTTATTTGAACCACATCAGGGATTTACAATTACTTTATACGGTGATAGCGTTACAGGCTTTTACATCAATATCCTTTAGGAAACTAACGTTATGGGATTATTGTGATTGGCTGATTGTAGTTCATACATAAAATTCAAAGGATATTATAAACAAATCACAAACTCCCATGACGTCATAGGAGCTAATAAAGGGTTAGAGAAACAGTGAGAAATAAAGATAGGATATCTACGTTACGTTACTTATATTATATATGTAACTCCAAAAGAGACTCTTTTATAACTTGTAACATTTCTTTAAGCGAATCTTGTTTCCTATCTTATCGAAACCGTAAAGGTTCTTCGTTTATGTAAGATGGTAAAGTTAACGAATGCATTTTTATCATAATAATATGCTAATTCCGGAAGATCACTAGTATTAATGATTCTACAAGAAAGGAAACTAACAATTGTTGTTCCTTCTCTTCTTGTAATAGAAATTAAAAGAATCCGATATACGATTTAGGTACTAACTAGTTCTTGATTTTTTCCGTCCATGATATTGTATGTTAACTTTTGAGTTTTTTCACATCCATTTTATAATTGATGTACGTATATCTGTAGGTTATATAACAACAAGAAACGTATTCTGTATGATTTATAAGATTGCGTCACCTGTTGAATCTTGTATTTCGAAAGTAACTTAATATGGTCAAGTAAAATTATAATTTCCTTCCTGCGGAATATGTTAATTTTTTTGTTAATAAAAGGTTTGAGAAAATAGATTGATGCTTTAGTTTCGTGTTGCCTACGTAACATAATAGTTGGCCAACAAGTCACTCAACATCGTTGTTTCTAATTAGAATATAAATATTTTCTTGATTTGATAGGTTATTTTGTCATTGCTTTTTTTTTTTATATACAAAGACTTTCGTATATCATCTAAACTTTTTTAACTTTGATCCCACATATAAAAATGAATTATACAACTAATCTGCATGACAACGGACCTAGGACGGCTCATATGCTGGGCTGGAGGTGCGAAGGCCCGGACCCAAATGATTAGAAAAACTATTTATCTTAGAAAATTCAAAAAACTAAATTGATTTATACATATGTAACACTGATCATCTCAGTCTTTCTCTTTTTCGAATTTTGATTCGATTGCACCTTGATCGATTCTTGTTTGATTTTACCAAAGCTATAACCGAACCTTAACTGAAGTATTTTCGGGTCAGTTTGGTTTGGATTCAATTTAATTTGGGTTATAATGCTCAACCCTTAGTTTTATTACAATATATATATTGAACAATTAATTTTTTACATCTTAAATTTTATGATGTGTGCGTTTTAATTATGAAAATCAAGAAGACTAAAACTTAGGGTTATAATAAGATCGATGGAGTAACTTATTTCTTAGGTTCTTCTTCCTTCTTCTCTTCCTTCTTCTCTTCTTTCTTTTCCTCTTTCTTCTCTTCCTTCTTCTCTTCTTTCTTCTCCTCTTTTGCTGGCCCGACCGATATCAAGTCGACTTTACCGACCTTTTTCAATTTCTTGACCACCGCAACCGCATCCATCAGACCGATCACCGTTAATTTTTGCTCCTTCATATCCGCTGCTATCGAATCAACTCCTGCTCAACACAATAACCAATTCATCAAACACTTTGCAGATATACATTGTTTTAAATCAGTTTTTGTTATCCCATAACGCAGATCACATTCACACATCAGTTACTGAGTAAACTTAACACGTAGGCCCATTAAAAGATGGGCCTTTAAGACGTAAGTGGTCCCTTACTACTGTATTTGCTCTTCACCGTTAAAGGAATATCATCAACTCGTTGACAATATGTCAAAACTGAGAAGGTTAAATAACCCAAGCTCCCAAATTCTAACGCAACTATACAACAATCAAAGTATCAAACCAAACTTAAGACGTGGTTGTAGCTAAAATGGCAATTTATTGACTGAAAAACCCCAGTAAAAAAACTAAAATGGATTGAAATTAGGGTTGGAGAGCCAATAACAAATACTAATACCCAGGAACTTGAATCGAGATTCAGTGGAAAGTAATTGAAGAAAGGAAGTAGTTAGAATAGTCACCGAAGATATCAGCTGCAGCTTCTATGGCTTTCTGCTTCGTCTTATCATCCGTCATGGTTAAAACCTTCAACACCACTTTCTAAAAAATAATACAAAATAAAAAAAAAATGATTTTCGGAGAAAGAGATAAAACCATACTCAAATATAAAATTAAACTGAGAAACAAAACCTGAGCCATTTCGTCTGGGATCTTGGAGGAATAAGTAAGAGATGAGATCGAGAACAGAAGAGTCTGATCTCTTGTTTCTTTTTTTTTTCAAAGAAAATATAATTTTGTGGGGATCGGAATATAAAAAGAGAGAACTGGGTATTGATTGATTATTGACCAAAAATAAGATTGTGGTGGCTTTTGGTAAAGGGTGAGACACGTGACGTATGCGTCTGTGTAATGGACAGCTCTGCAAAATATTCTTACCACGCCTGCTTTTCTAAAGTTGCTTTGTTTTTTGGTCTTTTTTTAGAGAGGATCAAGTGGTGGTATTTTCGTCCGTGTTAGACAAAGTCACAAATAGCATGTTAATATAACATAGAGCATATATGTTCATATTTTTTAAAGGCATGCTATTTGTGTATCGTTTAGTTTTGTGAATTCAGTTTTGTAGTGGCACACGCTGCTCTCAATTTTTCGTTTCCTAGATTTTTCAAGCATTCATTCTCTTTTACCTAACTCCCCCCACATAAGCCCATTTAATTTCTATTATTAAGAGATTATTAGGGTAGAATCATGAACGTAATGAAACAAGTCTTTTGTGCTTATATGATGTTTGGTTCTATTCTTTCAGAACCTAATACTCCCTCGAGATCCCAGTTTAATGTTTCTCTTCTCTACATGAGATGGCCTTGGGAGTTCGCCACCATTGTGGCCATGTATAAGAATTGTGATAAATATCAAAGAATCCTTATCTTAGTAAATATATTACAGGATAATGAATCCAGATCATATGTATTTAAAAAGTTAGGTAAAAGAAGAATCTGAAGGTTTAATTTATGGTAGACCTGGACATGGCCAATCCTAGAGCTGCAGCTGGTAGTATACATAGACGAGGGTGTACATCGCCTATTTCGTGTGCTGAAGTTACAAAAGTGATGTTACTTTTCCCCCTTAATTACATTTGCTTTTTTATTTTTTTTGTCGAAAATTGCTTAACTATCTATAAATCATGCTGAGATGGGATTTACCAAATACAGACTGCTAGAATTATTTATAAGCTATATAACAAACAAACTTGTAGGAGAACATTACCCTTTATAACAAAATGTCATTATAGATTACTTGTTTTGTTTGATGGAAAAAAGTTAGAAGCAGTGAGATAAGTTAATTGTTCTTTTCGCATCCTAACCAAGAAAAATGGACCTCCCAACCGCTTAGCCATTCCAATCAATGACTAATGGTAGACGCGACCATTGACTAATTATCGTATACACATGAAGACAAATAAGCATATATTATTTACATTGTAATAATAATAAGAAACAAATATATGTCTTACAGTTCACATAAGGTATCTTTCAAGTCTTTTTGCATGTAATTATGATGTTTGGTTCTATTCTTTCTGAACTTAATATTCACCACTCCAGTTATTATCACCAATTCCAGACCGTTAGACTTATTTAGAATGAACAAATTGTAGGATAATATTACCCTTTATAGAAGACAATGTCAAAGTTTACTTGCTATTGTTTGATGGAAAATAAAAGTAGAAGTACTGAGATAATCAAATTGTTCTTTTCGCATTCGAACAAAAAAATGGACCACCCAACCGTTCAGTTTCAGCCATTCGATCGAATCAAAGTGACTAACACATCGTGATAATAGTAAGACTGTAAGAGACAAGTGTATCTGTCTTACAGTTTACACAAGTCGCTAGGTTTCTTTCCCCAAGAAGATATTGAAATGTTTTCATGTTGTCTTCCCGCATAAATACTATACAGATCTTCATGTTCGTTGACAAGCGTTGAGAAAAAAAAACATGGACGTTAAAGGAGATGACGAGTCTCCAGTTATGAGACCAACCGAACTTCATGATTCAGTTTCTGCAAGAACAGGTAACTAGCTAAGTTCGTAAATAATGATTAACATAATCATTAGCACATATAATATTTACTTACGAACAGGTAACTAGCTAAGTTCGTAAATAAATATTAATCACATAGTAGTGTTTAGTCGCTAATAACTACGTTGTGTTTCTTAATTAAAAAAGGAACATTGTGGACGGCGGTGGCACATATAATAACAGGAGTAATTGGAGCAGGAGTGTTGTCGTTTGCTTGGGCTACGGCGGAGCTCGGCTGGATCGGTGGTCCGGCCGCCGTTATAATCTTCGCCGGAGTCACAGTTCTCTCTGTTTCTCTCCTTTCCGATTGCTACCGTTTCCCTGATCCGGTCGACGGTCCCCTCCGGCTTAATTCTTACTCTCAAGCCGTTAAATTGTATTTAGGTCAACTCAAAACTGAAATTCCAATTTCATTCACACTCAAGAATATTTATTTAAAAAACCGGCATAGGTAGCTCAAATGGTGTAATAATTGACCAAACAAAAAAAAGAGTGTTTTCGAGGTCATGAGTTCGAAAACTGACAGTGAAAATATTAACTTGTTAGCATACTCTCTCATCTTTTCGGTGGAAGAGATTATTGGCATAAGGCTTGGAACTTTTGATTGCTAGTGTTCTTTATGCAATTTAAATTAAAATAATTTAATTTGCAGGGAAGAAGAATCAGATCGTATGTGGGGTCTTTGTATACATTAGCCTTATTGGTTGTGGCGTTGCTTATACCATTGTCACAGCTACTTGCATTAGGTAATATGTCTAAAACATACACTGTTTCTTTTTTGTTCTTGAAAATTTAATCATTTGAATATTAATATGTTGAGTTTCTTTATTACAGAGCAATTCTGAGATCGGATTGTTATCATAGAAAAGGACGCAATGCAACATGTTCTTATGGAGACAATAACAACTACTTCATGGTTTTGTTTGGTTTGATACAGATATTTATGTCACAAATACCGAATTTCCACAAAATGGTATGGCTCTCTCTTGTCGCTGCCACAATGTCTTTCTCTTACTCCTTCATTGGCCTCGGCCTCGCCTTTGGCCAAGTCATAGGTAAATAACAAATCATCTCTCGTATATAGATTAGTGTCATTTATCAAGAATTAAAGTGACAAGTCAACTTCACAGTTATTGTCAGTTGATTTTGAAATGAAAGATTATCAATATATTTTATGTTTGAAATGAAGAAAACCGAAAAGTTAAAGGAAGTGTAAGGGGATGCCCAGCAGAAAGCAGAGGTGCGAAAGTATGGTTAGTGTTCCAAGCTCTTGGGAACATTGCCTTTGCTTATCCTTACACACCCATACTTCTTGAGATTCAGGTAAATATCTTAAAATTTTGTGTTTTTATGTAAATATTCCTCTGATGAAGAAACATTTTTATGTGGTTTGAATGAAAATTGAAGAACAGGACACACTGAGATCGCCACCGGCAGAAAAGGAAACGATGAAGAAAGCGTCGATGGCTGCCATAATCATCACAACATTCTTCTACCTTTGTTGTGGATGTTTCGGGTATGCAGCATTTGGCGATGCCACTCCGGGAAATCTCTTGACCGGTTTCGGATTCTATGAGCCATTCTGGCTCGTCGATTTCGCCAACGCTTGCATTGTTCTTCATTTAGTTGGTGGATATCAGGTACCGCATTTTATAGAATACAAACCACATTTTTAGTATTTGCGTCAACTATATAGAAATGCAAAAGATAAGTTGCTGCTTTGATATGTACATGTTCAATTGAAAAAAAAAAATCGTGATCCGAAATCTCCCACACATGTTTTTAACATATAGAATTGGCATTTTATATAGGTCTATAGTCAACCGATTTACGCGGCTATGGAGAGATGGCTAACCGAGAAATACCCACAAAACATGTTCATCGCCAAATTCTACGGTTTCAAGCCGCTATTGTTACGAGGACGGGCGGTGAAACTGAATCCAATGAGGATGTGTGTGAGGACAACGTATGTGGTGATCATAACTGGAGTGGCAATGTTGTTTCCATTCTTCAATGAAGTACTTGGAGTGTTGGGGGCTCTTGGGTTTTGGCCTTTGGCTGTGTATTTCCCTGTGGAGATGTGTATATTGCAGAAGAAGATTCGAGTTTGGACGCGACCATGGCTTCTTCTTAGGGCTTTCAGCTTCGTTTGCTTGCTCGTCTCTCTCTTGGCTCTTGTTGGGTCTATTTATGGAGTTGTCGCAGCCAAACTCCGATAATTCTATTTCTAGAATTATTATACCAGCTAGCCAGGTTTTAATAGTACAAATAAAAACTGTCTATATACTCTCGACCTAATTTTCCACAGTAACAGCTAATTATGTATTTCTAAATTTATGATAGAAGCATATTAACATATAAGGTTTGTTGAAACTGAAGAGGATTTTTTGTTTCCTTTGTTGCTATTTTTTGTTTTTGTCCTAGTCCCAAACCTATAAGGTTTGTTGTGACTTTTTTAAATTTAAACCCTCGAAGTGTTGCACTACTAAAAAAGTAAGTTAAAATATGATGGTTCACATTCCTTACCTCACAAGATTCTCTCTCTCTTTTTTTTTTAATGTCCACTTTCTCTCTCGCTGTCTCCTAAACGCTTTCGAATCTTTTCGTGTTTGATTTCTCATCGGGAGTATGCAACAGCAGGCGCCGATGAGAAACTCGCCGTCGAAGAATGGGTCGGGGGGGCATTCTCGTAGTTTCACTGAAACAATCTGGTTTCCCTATGTCAAGTCCGGTTTGGGAATATCTCCCAACAGATCCTATGCCCTCTTCTCCCTCTTAATCCTCCTCATCGTCGGCGCGTTCATATCCACGCGCCTCCTCCTCGACACCACCGTAAGTCCTCTAAACGACACTTCTACTTGTCGTTTTTGTTGAATCTAAAATTTCTCTCTCGGTGCTTGTGTTTTAATTGGATTTTCAACTTTTAGGACTTTGAATTTTGTTCTGTCACGTGAGAATTTTCAATTAGTGTTTGCAAAAGAGTCTTGGCTCTGATGTTGTCGGCTCACTGACAAATCACGCAGAACACGACACGTGTATATTGTAGGACCCGATTAATGACTTTTCCAGTCCATTAGCTGTAACCCGCTACTACTCACAAGTCATCCCGTTTTCACACTAATAGGTTCTGATAGAAAAAGAAGCCGTGACGACGACAGCGACGACGAAAACTAAAATTCAAACGATATCCCCAAAATACCCTCCACCAGCTACAGTAATTACACAAAACACACCCGAGTTCACATTGCACTGCTCCGGCAACGAGACCACCGGGACATGCCCGATTAACAATTACCCGACGACGGTGAGCTTCGGAGAAGATGATTCAAAGCATCCCCCTACCGCCACGTGTCCCGATTACTTCCGCTGGATCCACGAGGACCTCCGTCCCTGGGCCAAGACTGGGATCACGAGGGAGGCATTGGAGAGCGCCAAGAAGACGGCGAATTTCCGGCTAGCGATCGTTGGCGGGAAGGTTTACGTTGAGAAATTTCAAGACGCGTTTCAGACGAGAGATGTGTTCACAATCTGGGGATTCTTACAGCTTCTACGGAAGTACCCTGGGAAGATTCCGGATCTCGAGCTCATGTTCGACTGCGTCGACTGGCCGGTCGTTAAGGCCGCGAATTTCGCCGGAGTTGACGCGCCGCCGCCTCCGCCGCTGTTTCGTTACTGCGGAAACGAGGAGACGCTCGATATCGTGTTCCCTGATTGGTCATTCTGGGGATGGTATTGGATACTTTTTTTCTTTTTAAGTCACCAGTGATTTTGGAAGTTCTCTCAATTACACCGCAATAGTTTCGAATTGATCAGTTAAATCCAAAAACATTGTTGACAACGAACGTTCTGTTGATTTTTTCTATAGGTCGGAGGTGAATATAAAGCCATGGGAGAGCCTGTTGAAGGACTTAAGAGAAGGCAACCAGAGGAACAATTGGATAGACAGAGAGCCTTATGCTTATTGGAAAGGGAATCCATTGGTCGCAGAGACAAGACAAGATCTTATGAAATGTAATGTCTCTGAGGAACACGAGTGGAACGCTCGTTTGTATGCTCAGGTAATAATGATGATGCATGTCCTTTGAACAATAAGACGCTTTTGAGGAATGCCAAGAAATCTGATTCTGCTGGTTTCAACTGCAATTCTGATTAAAGAAACCAACATTTTTTTGTAACTGTTATGTGTGTTTATGATTTTATTTTGTAGGACTGGATCCGAGAATCAAAGGAAGGCTACAAGCAATCAGACTTGGCTAGCCAATGCCATCACAGGTAGTGTAATTTTGTAATACTTTGAATATATTCAAAGATTTGGTTTTTGTAGACTTCAATTTTTGGTTTCGCGTTGTGGCTAAACATGGAAGTTGACATAAGGAAATAGTAATGGTGTGGCTCTATTGCGATGTTTATCTATATAGGTATAAGATATACATAGAAGGCTCTGCGTGGTCCGTAAGTGAGAAGTACATTTTGGCGTGTGACTCGGTGACTCTGCTTGTGAAACCGCATTACTATGATTTCTTCACCCGAGGCCTGCTTCCCGCGCACCATTATTGGCCCGTTAGAGAACATGACAAGTGCCGCTCCATTAAGTTCGCTGTTCATTGGGGCAACTCTCACAGTCAAAAGGTACAGTATTAATCTCTTATGATGAAATCCATACATTAGGAATTCGATTGTTCGTTTGTGTTTGCATTTGTAATTAGTGTGTGTGTGTGTGTGTGTGTGTGTGTGTGTTCTCCTGTCATTATGCTCCAACGGTTCTTTTTTGTTTGTTTTGTTTCTGTTTAACCAGGCAAAGGATATTGGAAAGACGGCGAGCGAATTCATACAACAAGAACTCAAGATGGACTACGTGTATGATTACATGTACCACCTTTTAAACGAATACTCGAAACTCCTCCGGTTTAAACCCGAGATTCCGCAGAATGCCAAGGAGATCTGCTCGGAAACAATGGCGTGCCCGAGGAGCGGGAACGAGCGGAAGTTCATGACTGAATCACTCGTGAAGCACCCTGCAGAGACCGGTCCATGTGCCATGCCACCTCCGTATGATCCGGCGTCATTTTATGCGGTTGTGAAGAGGAAACAGAGTACAACTATGAGAATCCAACAGTGGGAGATGAAGTACTGGAGCAAGCAGAATCAAACCGGCTCTTGAATTTTTTAGCTCCATTTCCGTTTTTGTTGTATAGAGAGGAAATAAATTATATACAAGAATAAACCGGTTTCTACTTGTTTTAAAATCCGGTTTATTCTAATTGTAGAGTATTAAGTTATTTAAGTTATATGCTTCGGATTTAAGTTATTTAACACGAAAATCAAAATGAATAGTTTTCATACAATTTTCTATATTTACTAAGATGCTATTAGCTGTTGTAGTTTCTTAATTAGGAAACTCTAGAATTCGAGTGTTTTTACTTTTTAGTATCTGATTCGTTTTGTTCGTTGTATAAACTAGTGCTTTGAATGATTTGCGACCACTCATTCTCTAAATGTAGATTTCATGATTTGTCTACTTTCCTTATAATAAGAGTGTATATGTCAAATATGCCCCCAAAAGAAGAGAGCTTAGTGTGCAAACCACCGGCCTAGGATTGAAATTAGTTTAAATTTGGTGAAGATAACCATCACTTGAAGAAAAGATTAAGCGTAGAGTTGTGTAAGATTGAGTTGGTTATGAAATTGATGGTGTAACTTGATGGCTACTACTCACTCACTCACGAAATTGCTCTAACTTTGAGATTGATACATTGCTTCTGATTTAGGCCACAATCATTTAAAAGCTGTTTTTGCTGTCCATCTCTAATTTTTCACGTCATGTAGGACCCGAATTCACCTGTATTATTTTCTAGTTGATTGTAGAGTAATTTGCACGTTACTGTTCAGATTAGACCCATCGCACTACAACACTGTGTAAATAATTACATAGAAAGAATCAAACTACCGAAAGTATCCAGACAAAACTAAATTAGAACTTTTAATCATAAAATATGGTAAATATTAAAATGGAATACACAATACCAATTTCATTCGAGTCGAAAATCTGCGTGCACATGTGCAACTTTTGTTATTTGTATTCATCTATTCTTAATCATTGTCTCGCCAATTTGAAATCTAATTAAATATCAAATCGAGCTATTGGTGTATTGGCAATTGCTTATTTGCTTTCAGTCACTATTTTATTAGTTCTTTAATTCCTTCTAAAACTATTATTGATTATTATGAAGACATGGAGCACACTGGTGTTTTTAGTTCTTGTTCATGTTTGCAGAATTTCAATTATCTCCCGTAGTTTTAACGTCGTATAAAATAAAATCTATGATGCTCCATATGTTAACGAATTCTCTTCACAATCCTACAGAACGGAAAAAGTACTTAAGGTTTTTAGTTTCGGGATTAGTACAATTTTGCTAATCAGATTAAATTGCATCACAGAGTAATCTCACGTGCTTTACGTTGGTATCACGTGTCTGTCATGGTTCGCTTCATGTGGAAGAATATAAAAGTGGGAGAAAAGAAGAAATTATTCAGATCTCGCAGCCTTTTTTTTCTATAGGCTTCGCAGTCTTCACATGCCTAAGCGCGTGCACGTGCTTCATTACTTGGCGCGTGAGTATACACTCTGGATCCATCTGTACAACACACAATAACTGTTCTTCTTTTCTTCTGCTGTAATGTATGCTGGAGTTAATGCAAAAAGAATCTTATCTTGTTCTATGAGTTCAAAGAAAAGAACTTATCCACTTACATAGTTATATTTTTGTTTGACAAAGATATAAGTAGGATTAGGTAAACTAAGAACAGATGGGAACATCATAGATGGAGGAAATTAGTTCTGCAATATTTGAAAAATTGTAGTTTTTTCAAGTAACAGATTTCCCTCAAGATTATTTATGTTTGTGAATTTACAAAAGCATACATTGTTTCTTCTATTTTCGAGAAGTTCTTTTGCAGAATATTTAACGTTTTTGTTCACATAATGACAAAACTATACCGAATGTCCTGCTTTGGAAGAAAAATAGAAATTCACAGTTATCTGCTGAGTGGAAAGAAATCCAGATTTAATACTAATTATAAAAATATTTATTTGTGTCGTGGGCCAACGGACCTAACAGCCGTTACTTACCTCCGTCATGCGTGGCGGCAATAAAGAGGAATACCAACGTTACCGGTTTGAATTTATCGGGGACTATTGGACTTTGGTTTTTGCATCGGTTTAAGCTAGGTTCAATTTGGTCAACATGAAAAAAATATTTTCACCAAAGTTGAAACAATTAATTTTTGAAGTTAATAAGATATTTTGGAAGTTGAATAGTTGGTTTATTGGTTCAACCTGGTACAGTTTACATACACAGGTGCAGTTTGAACCGGCAAGTTACCGTCACCGTTATCTCCGCACTATAAAATCTGACCACTTCCTCTTCTTCATTTCCTCGCAAGTTGAAACCGTTCAAATTCCCTACAGTACAACTCTGAATTTTGGTTTCTTCTATAGAAACAACCTCTTCTCTCTCGAATTCGGTTGCCTATATATTCAGCTATCGAAGAAAGATGCGTGAGATTCTGCACATTCAGGGTGGTCAGTGTGGAAACCAGATCGGCGCTAAGTTCTGGGAAGTAGTGTGCGCCGAGCACGGGATCGATTCGACGGGAAGGTACCAGGGGGAGAACGATTTGCAACTCGAACGAGTCAATGTGTACTACAACGAAGCGAGTTGCGGGAGGTTCGTCCCACGTGCCGTCCTGATGGATCTGGAGCCAGGGACTATGGACAGTGTCAGATCCGGCCCGTACGGACAAATATTCCGTCCGGATAACTTCGTGTTCGGTCAGTCCGGCGCCGGTAACAACTGGGCGAAAGGACACTACACGGAAGGCGCTGAGCTAATCGATTCGGTTCTCGATGTCGTACGCAAAGAGGCCGAGAACTGTGACTGCTTGCAAGGTTAGAATCGTTACAAATTTTACTTTGTTTCATGGTTGTTTGATTCTTCGAGCCTATGGAGATTTATTGTTATCTTATGTAATTCTGGAATTGTATTTCACTTCGTAAGGTTTGATGTATACTATATAGTCTGAGAGTTGCTGTTTTAGTACTAAAATAGCTGGATTTGTGTGTTCATGTGAATGATCTTCAGGATTCCAAGTCTGTCACTCACTGGGAGGAGGAACTGGGTCTGGAATGGGAACTTTGCTGATTTCGAAGATCAGGGAAGAGTACCCAGACCGGATGATGCTGACGTTTTCTGTCTTCCCATCTCCAAAAGTGTCCGACACTGTTGTTGAGCCTTACAATGCAACTCTCTCGGTCCATCAGCTCGTGGAGAACGCAGATGAGTGTATGGTTCTTGACAACGAAGCTCTCTATGACATTTGCTTCAGAACTCTTAAGCTCACCACTCCAAGCTGTAAGCACTCTCTCCTTTATTTATCCAACTGCTTGATGTTTCCGTGCTCACGATAGAAATCAAATGGTTTGCTTGCTTGATCGAGCAATACTTTTATGTACTCAGTAAATTGAATTGTATAAATTTTGCATTCATTGTCAGCAGAAGTACTTTTTTCACAGTACATATTCTCCTGCAATTTCGTTTACTTCACTGTTCTAATAGGCTTGTTTGTTTGTTTTTGTTCAGTTGGAGACTTGAATCATCTCATCTCTGCGACCATGAGTGGTGTCACTTGCTGTCTCCGTTTCCCGGGTCAGCTAAACTCCGACCTGCGCAAGCTTGCTGTCAACTTAATCCCATTCCCTCGTCTCCACTTCTTCATGGTCGGGTTCGCACCGCTCACGTCTCGCGGATCACAGCAGTACCGAGCCTTAACAGTCCCTGAGCTCACCCAACAGATGTGGGATGCGAAGAACATGATGTGCGCAGCTGACCCGCGCCACGGCAGGTACTTGACCGCCTCAGCCATGTTCAGAGGCAAAATGAGCACAAAAGAAGTCGACGAACAGATGATCAACGTTCAGAACAAGAACTCATCCTACTTCGTCGAGTGGATCCCAAACAACGTGAAATCAACCGTGTGTGACATTCCACCAACGGGTCTGAAAATGGCATCTACTTTCATAGGGAACTCGACCTCGATCCAGGAGATGTTCAGGCGTGTAAGCGAACAGTTCACTGCGATGTTCAGGAGGAAAGCGTTCTTGCATTGGTACACAGGTGAAGGAATGGACGAGATGGAGTTCACGGAGGCAGAGAGCAACATGAACGATTTGGTCTCGGAGTATCAACAGTACCAGGACGCAACGGCTGATGATGAGGAAGGGTATGAGTACGAAGAAGATGAGGAGGAAGTGCAGGAGGAGCAATAACGGTAAAAGAAGAAAGAACCTCGTATAGCTTCTCTCTTTAAAACAAAAAACATAGTTCTGCTCGTTTGTGTGGGTTTTTTTTTTTTTATTAGTATCTTCTTGTTTCTGTGTTGATGGGTTGTTTTTGGTTTTCTTGTATTACATTTGGTTGTGTGTGAGGGTGCTTTTAGGTTTAGAGCTTAGGAAAATATGTGTTTATATAAGTCTTTTCGGGTGATTGGATTTGAGATATTGTGTGTTAGCTTTCCCCTAATTTTTTTTTGTGGTAAAATGATTCTTCGCCTCGTGATTCCCTCTGTGCAAAACCCAAATTTTGTCCCATTATCGCATTTTCAACTTTGAGCGGGATGAAAATCAGGGTTCAGGAGGAGTCTTTGTTTACATTTTACAAGAGCAGGTTGATATTGTCTCTCCTTTGCTTAATAAGGTCTCTCTCTCTCACGGGTTATGTGGTTATGACGATCTACGATTTTGGGTACTTTCTCTCGAGACTATCATAGTGAAATGTTTGCTTTACTGCAGGGACGTAATACCCATTCCAAAATCTTGAAATCATAAATTCGCTTGTGTCTGTTTTTTTATTATTCTCTCTTTCTCAGTTTGCGTAACCTCTATTGAAACAGAGTTCTCTGGTCTGTTTTTGGTTCGTCATTAATATATAAGAATTTGAAAATCATGAAAACAATGAATCTTTTTTTCCTTTCAAATTATGTCTTTGTTGTTTTTATAACTGCAATATGAACATAATTCTTTTATTACGATTTGTTAAACTGTAACTATCTATCACATTTGGACATATTTGACCACTTGCAATCTTGATTAATCTCAACTTCTAATATCAAGATAAAATATAGTTTAGTTCAGCTTGGCTTCGACTCAAGGTACCTGATCATAAAAACATAACCACAAAAAGATGAGAATTGGTTTCTTCCTTCTGGCATGATTCTAATTTTACAAACTACAAGCGTTCATGGTCCACGCAAAACAAAAGAAAGTAGAAAAAGAAGAAGAAAGAAAGTCAGCAGTGTACCGCGAGAGTTATGGCCTGGAGCATTAGAAACCTTGAATAACAAAAAAAAAAACATATAATTACACAATCCTATTGGGCGGATGAATCGAATATTTACAGTAATTAACGTATAAAAATGTATATACTCTTGAAAACTGCATTGATTATACAGTAATAATATGCAAGAAAAATTAAATATCCAGATTTACCGAAGAATCTGTAGTAGAAGCTGGAATGAGATTATGACACGTTTTATCACATGGATATGGGCAACCAATTTCTTTCGCTTCTTTTCTTCTCCCGAAATACCAATCTCCCACCGTCGCAGCAATTGTCTGAAACCAGAACCGGATCCGGTATAAAACTATTGTAAACCGAATAACTGAAAACAATCAGGTCTCTATACCTTATTGTGGATTCTCGGGGAAGTAGGAGAGAGCCAAGTCTCCTGTAGAGCACTCTGACAATGATCGAAGCATGAGTTTATAAACATTCCTCCTCTCGTAGAATTTCTGAAAAAATTCATTAAAGCTCCCAACATATCTTTCCTAAACCCTACCAAAAAAAAAAAAAAAATCGGTTCAGTTTTGGTTTTTTACGAGTTATCTTATTCAAACCAAACCAATTAGGGTTTTAAACCTTGGAGTGCATCGAGCTGGTGTGGATTACATGCCGTCACATTAAGCTTACAATGGTTCCAACGCCCGGTTGGATCAGCAGAAGGTGGAACCAGACCATGATGGAACTGTTTTACAAGTGTAATAAACCGGCTTAGACAAATGTAATACCGAATCTCTGGTTCGACATTAAACCGGTATAGTTAACTATAGAGGATATAGAAGGAAAACCTGGAATACGTCGTAGGCTGAATTTAAGATGAAAAATGGCGTTCTAATAAACCGCAACGCGTATTGCGGGAAAAAACACTGCGAATTTTAAGAGTTTCAAATGATTTAGAAGTTATAATTAGTTTTGTAAGAACATATGAAATAGATATGAGAGTGTACCAGGGATGGTTCAGGATAGAATGCCCGTGTGCAACTTGTATCGAGGTTTTTCTGTATACCCTGTAATGTTTATTCCGAGAAAATTAAGAAAACTGTGAGAAACTAATGAGAATTTTACAACTTAATAGCAAAAGTTAAATCTCTCAAGTACCTGAAGAGACACAAGCTGTGTGTAAAAATATCTCATTGTCCGGTTTGATGCTACATCGATTCTGTTAAACCAGTCCAGGGTTAATTAACACCGTAGAAACCAAAGATCAAAACATTTGATGAAGAAATCTTACGCGTCGAGAAAGAATCCAGCGTCGCTCATGCACTTAACGTTTGCGGTTTTTGGCAAATAGCTCGTGAAATTGTCACAGTGCAAAAATGTAGACAAACCACCAGCTGAACAGCCGGTCAAAAGAGCCTGCGTGCCAGTTTATGTTATGGAACTGACCGGTTTAGTATCTGGATATCAGAATTTGTGTACTGAGACTAAACCGAAATAACCAAACCAAACCGGGGGAAAAAATTACATTGCGGGCTTTTGATAAACCTTTGGGGAGGAGGTCAAGAATGATGGCATTCCATATTCGTTGTCCTCTGAAATAAAGCATGGACGTCTGTCATTCAACCAATCGGTATATATTAGTATGAAAAACGAAATATCACAAACCAGATCGTTCGGTACGCTCTTCCGGTTCTAAAAAACGGTTTATAAAAATATTGGTTTAGAGCGGGAAAGGAGTAGTATTTAATTTATTTACCCCGTTGCCAAACTCTGTATCTCCCGCAAACGAAGCTCCATCGCAATACCTCAACCTGACTTTGTTCCAGTTGTAAAAGTCTGATTACCAAAAAAAAAAAAAAATTAAAAACGTTACATATCAGAAGTAAACAAAAAAACCAATCATGTTCAATATATCATCAATACATGTAAGTTTATGACGTATTGTGAATGATGTTCCAATAAAGTGACAGCGATTATTGACTCGAGACAGACTCAAACTGGACTTCACATGTGTCCCAGATGTCAAATTGACAGTTTTGCCCTCTTCGAAATAGATAATCTAATCCGAAGAAGGTAGGATAAAAATAGGGGTGGACACGGATCAGATATCTGAGAATTTTTTAGTATTTGTGGTTTGCTTCATTTTTAACGGATATTTAATTTTATAATTTGATTTGCTCTAGAAATATACAGATATTCGGATTTTCGGATATCCGAAAAATTTACAAGTATTTACGGATATTTACGGATATTTACGAATATTTATGAATATTTAGTTTGATCTGTTTAATATACACAAAACTGAAAGTACATCAATTTTTATTATAAAAAAAAAATTTCATCTAAACTATTAAGTGAAAATAACTAAAAAAAAATATTTTATTTTATAAAAAAATCTATAAAAAATAAACCTATAAAATTAAGATGAAGAAAAATGATATTTTATATTTAAAAATAATATTAACTATTTGAAACTTTAATATTAAATTTTACTAAAAAAATTTTGTTGATATTTATTTACTAATATAAAATAAAATGTTATTTATTAACATATTTTAAGTTTAAACATATTATTTATTTTTATAATTAGTTATTTAGTCATTTATTTTATATAATTAAAAGAATAATTGAAAATTTAAGAAGAAAATTGAAAATATATTAATAAAAATTTATAATATAATTAATATATACATGATAATATATAATAAGTCGTAAGGAAGAGGACAAAGACAAAGCAAATGGAGGACAGAACAAACAAAGTCATAAGTTCATTATTAGGAAGGGAAAGAGCCAAAATAATTATTTCTATCTCCATATATTTTATTCAAAAGCTGAATTTAAACAGAAACATTTGAACTGTCACGTGAAAGAGAGACCACAACCACAACCAAACATGTTCAGTTAATAAATTACTATTACTATTAGCGTGATTCGTAAATTAATGTTGTCGTTTATTTGATACTAAGAAAAAAGAGATTAAAAAAACGACCTGGATTTAAAGAGGCGTTATTGCTCAAGATTCCAGTGAAGACGACGGTGTTGCTCATAAAACGTGTCGACCCTCGACGGGTCTTTGATCTGTCCACGCATGATGCTATATCATTGCACCATCCTCCTCCCTGTAACAACCTCTCTTTTTTTTATTCATGTGCAAATACTTGCAAAAATGAAAATTCAATATCGATTGGATGAAATAAATGTTAAGAAAACAAATAAATAAATGTGTTTCGGATAAAAGAAGTATAGAGAATGTTTTAAATGCGTGACAGTCCAACAACTAGCTCGAGACACTACGATGCTTTAAAGTTCCTAAAACGGCGCCGTGATAGTTTTTTGTTCATGAATCAGATTTATCTAAGAACTTCATTAACAAAACTAACAGAAACAAATACTTTTGTAAATATCTGAGGTTTTTCCATAGGCTTAGCTGGATTCAATTATTTTGCCTGCTCGTGGAGTTGGTTACAATAAGTAATGAATTAAATTAAGCAAGGACCAACAAAAGGAGAAAAAAAAAAAATTCACTAGCAAATTGGCTGGTGATTTATTCGTAGCAAGGGATTTAATAATCACAACAGTTTTTAAGAATAAAAAGTTAAAAAATTGGTTTGCGTTTGATTAAACGTTATAATTAATTACCTCAAACTGCAAAAGCCAATTGTTTGATCCAGCACCGAAGCCTCTGTCCAAATGATATGCCGGTAAGCTACCGTCCAAGCAAACTACATAAGAAAATACAAAAGCAAAACATATAAACCCAAATGTAAGAAAATAAAAAATTGACATAAGAAAATCAAATTAGTTACCAAATTGATAGTGACTAAGCAGCAAGTAGAGAGTGGTTTTATATATGTTAGATGATGTTGCGTGACTTGCGTCATATTGTATTTATCTATATTATTTCGAACTATATGTACAGTATAACATGCGGTTAAAAAGTTAAAATGTCTTGTGAATTCTCAGCGATAAAATTGATATCAATCTCATTAATTTTTCAATCTACCAAAAAAAAAAGAGAGGAGGAAGACATACAAGCACCAAGAGCAGCTGCGCGTCGAACCAGTGTCATGCTGACACGACGCCCTGGGTCGCCGGAAACGAGCGGCGTAGATGAGGTTAAGGAGACGAGAAGAACCATCGCCGCCGTTAGGTTGAGAAGCCGTTTCGTTTTCATTGTTTCACTTTTTGACGTTTCAATGGGTGAATGAAGGCGAAATTATAATGGCAACGAACGAATGAAAAATTGATTTGGGGATTTAAGAGGAAAATGGAAACAGGGTTTATCTATATATATTGGGTAGGTAATGGAGATATATGGAAAGTATTTTTTGGCGAAGAAAAGGAAACGAGAGGCCAAGTGGGCAAGAGGTAAGAGACAGAGACAGAGATACATGTATTATGATTTTTGATAAGCTCAGATAAATTGTGTCATCTTTGTTTAACTTTGTATGAAAAAGATGGATTGTTATAAATCTGTTATATACATACATATACACAATTCATCACATGGCGAAAGAACTTATTTTCCATATGTGTGTGTGTGTGTGAGTAAAGAGAGTCTTCTGACCAAAAATTAAATTACAACCAAAAGGGTATGTTTTACTTTAAAGGGTATGTTTTTTTTTTGTTCTTATTTACAACCAAAAACAATTCTTACTAAAGATTAAGTCCACAATATATTTCTTCATTTAGAGAAAATCAATAAAGAAGAGTTTTTCGCCATTTGAATAGATGGGATTGTTTTTATTACCCTGCTAAAACAAAAGAGATTTATTTCAATTCAACCATTCAATATTTAGATTTTCGTTAGTCAGCATTTTCTTTCCTTTTCCGTAATATTCTATTGTTGGTTATCAATTAAAATCCATTATTTGGATAGTTAGTTTCTCTGGTTTTGTAAAAAAAATGATATTTCTGAACTTGTTTTGAAGTGTCTATGAAAGTCATTGGATTTTAATTATAAATATAATGTGTACAATAGACAGCATAGGGGCGTAGATACTAGATAGGGACAAAACAAATTATATAATGAGAGGATAAATATCTTTTTTTCTTAGAAATAATTCAAGTATCAAATTATATAATGAGAGGATAAATATCTTTTTTTCTTAGAAATAATTCAAAGTATGGAGATGAGTCATGATCGAGTGGGTCACCAGCTGATGGATTAGAGTCGAAATTCAATCTTCGTAGGTGTTTTCTGGTTCACCGAATCTTCTATGATTTCTCTTTAGACAAAAATTAAACAAACTCAATCAAGTACATTTTTTTCGTAATCTTCTTGTAAGAATCCTGAACACATGTAAACAGATGTTAATTAAACGGGAATATATTATACGTTTATGTACACTAAATGTGTTTTATTTTTATTAATATCATTTCTGTCAACCAAATGTGTTTTAGTTGTTAATCCAAGACTTTCGGTTAATCATCCAGAAAGAAAAGTTTGATAGTTAGTTATGGTTGTTAGCCATTATGAATTAGTTTGGTCGTAACGGTCCTCCTTGTTCTCCAAATGATGTGCCTTTGAAGTAAAGCAACCAAAATTCATTTTTTCTTTTATTGTCTACACATTTTCTCTGTACAAAATGAATTTAACAAAGTCTTTCGATGATAAATCAATATTGTAAGAAAAAAAAAGTGAAAATAGCGACGGACATTCCATCACAAAAAAATAAAAATAGATATATAATTATGCTGAACCGACAAAAATAATAATACGAATCACTGAAAAATGGTTACTAATTTATGTAGCACAAAGATAAGATCTTAATTCGTATCCATTTATGTGATAGTATAACCAGAAAAAATACAATGATCGTATAACACATGGTTATCGTTGGGGTTAAGAAGATTAAATTCGAGACAAAGAACAAATAATTCTTTGACCCTTAACCGGACTAATATTCGTTTTATTTTTAATAAAAAAGGTTTTTACTGAAGTTATTTCGAGCCGGGAGGTTATTTCAGATTTAAGGTCCACGGTGGCTCTTAGTTTATCGGAGAAACTAGGGTTTATATCGGCGTCGAAGCAAACGGCGAACGGGAAATAGAAGAAGAGAAGAATGGGTACTTCGGTGCAGGTTTCTCCCCTGTGCGGAGTTTACAACGAGAATCCTCTCTCCTACTTAGTCTCCATCGATGGCTTCAACTTCCTCCTCGACTGTGGTTGGAACGACCTCTTTGACCCTGCTCTCCTCGAGCCTCTCTCCAGGTTTAGCCTCTTTACAGCTCTGTTTTTGGGAATCGCTTTGCCAAATAGTAGTACTGTAGATTCAGTTTCGATTTCTTCTGGTTTCAGGGTTGCTTCTACCATAGATGCAGTTTTGCTTTCTCATTCGGATACGCTTCACCTTGGTGCTCTTCCTTATGCCATGAAGCAGCTTGGACTCTCTGCTCCTGTTTACGCCACCGAGCCTGTTCACAGATTAGGTCTCCTCACAATGTATGATCAGTATCTATCGAGGAAGGTAAATTTTTTCAGCTGCTACAGGTTGATAATATTGATATTTGTTCTGCATTATACCCTTTTCCTGTTGTTGTGCTTATACGATGATCTTAATGCTGCAGCAAGTCTCCGACTTTGATCTGTTTACGCTGGATGACATTGATTCTGCCTTCCAGAATGTGATCAGACTGACTTACTCACAAAATTTCCATCTCCCTGGTATGTGATTTCTAGTAATTTCCCGGTCTTTCATAAATCGACACTTGATCTCAAGGATGTTTCATCTGACATTATCTACGTATTAGGAAAGGGAGAGGGTATTGTAATTGCTCCTCACGCTGCTGGACATATGCTTGGAGGTAGTATTTGGAAGATAACAAAGGATGGGGAGGAGGTTATTTATGCTGTTGACTACAATCATCGGAAAGAAAGGTACACATGTTCATCTTTCACTTGATATGGAGCTCGATTTTTTTTGTTCATTACAAATAATAATGATGCAGAATCGTGATCCTGAGTTGTCCATCTTGATTCAGGCATTTGAATGGAACTGTTTTACAATCTATTGTTCGACCTGCTGTTCTGATAACCGATGCACACCATGCTCTTTACACCAATCAAACCGCAAGTCAGCAAAGGGACAAAGAATTTCTAGGTTAGCTTGTAAATCGTTTTGTGTAATATCTCTTCTATTTTACGAAGGAGTCTCGCTTTTAACTGTCAGAATTTCGTGTGCATGTCCACACATATATATAATTTCAGATACCATTTCAAAACATCTGGAAGTTGGGGGCAATGTTTTATTGCCAGTAGACACTGCGGGTCGAGTCCTGGAACTTCTGTTGATACTTGAACAGGTGGGGGAGTCGATTTGAATGTACTATGTTTTCAGTTAATTCTTCAACTATATTTATATATTAGAGACTGAATATTGATCAAACCTGCAGCATTGGTCTCAGAGAGCTTTGAGCTTTCCCATATACTTTCTCACATATGTGTCATCTAGCACAATTGACTATGTTAAGAGTTTCCTCGAGTGGATGAGTGACGCCATTTCAAAGTCCTTTGAGACTTCACGTGATAATGCCTTTCTATTGAGGTAATTTTCTTTCTCTTCATAATGTGTTATCTGTGCCGTCGTTTTCATACAATAACGGAGGACGGTAAATGTAATTTAAACACTTGCAGGCATGTCACTCTCTTGATAAACAAGACAGATCTGGATAATGCTCCAGCTGGTCCAAAGGTTGGTGTATAAGTAACTCGCTCATGTTTGGTCGTACATAGAACTTGGTGGATTTGATATTTTATGTTCTTTCTTCTCAGTGATGTAGAACAATATTTTTATAATTGATATGTTGTTGTGACTAAACCTTCTTATATAGGTTGTTCTTGCGTCCATGGCTAGTCTCGAAGCCGGTTTTGCTCGGGAGATATTCGTGGAGTGGGCCAATGATCCCAGAAATTTAGTCCTCTTTACTGAGACAGGCCAGGTACGTTTTGTAGAGCCATTACTTGTTAAGGAACATTAGAGGATTTTGAAATACCTTGCCATTATTTGTTAAGGAACATTAGAGGATTTTGAAATACCTTACTTCACTTTGTTTTGTTCAAGAAAGACATCATCGTGCTCCCTGGAATTGCTAATTGTTTAATTTTTGTTGCCATGTGTTTCTATTTTCAGTTTGGCACTTTGGCTCGCATGCTTCAGTCATCCCCACCTCCCAAATTTGTTAAAGTCACCATGTCTAAGAGGGTTCCTTTGGCTGGGGAAGAGTTGATTGCATATGAAGAGGAGCAAAACAGACTGAAAAGGGAAGAAGCTTTGCGAGCTAGCCTCGTTAAAGAGGAGGAAACAAAAGCTTCCCACGGACCTGATGATGATTCAAGTGAACTTATGGTCATAGATACCAAGACTACTCACGATGGTAATGTTTGCCTTAAATTGTGATTATTTATAATTTCTTCTTTTTCATGTAAACTTCAACTTAGATAATTGAAGTGTATGGTACTGAAACGGCTATGCATATGATTCTACTTGTAATGAATTGGCTAGCTGCCTTTGGAGGCATTTATGTGGCCATCTTGGCGTGAGATGAAAGCTACATTTAGAAGTCTCATGTTACATTTTTTTGTGTAAAATTGTTTTTGTTTTTCAGTTCCACAGTATGTTTCGTTTTTATTTAGACTGTTACAGTTGTTGATGGTTGATTTTGCTATTACGTAGTGGTCTGCAGCTAACCATTTTCATCTCTGACCACACATGCAGTTGTTGGTTCTTACGGGCCTGCATATAAAGATATATTGATAGATGGATTTGTTCCCCCATCCAGCAGCCTTGCTCCAATGTTCCCATTCTATGATAACACATCTGAATGGGATGAATTTGGGGAAGTCATCAATCCAGATGACTACGTGATCAAGGATGAAAACATGAATCGAGGAGCAATGCATGTACGTTCCCTGTAATTCTGGTCTATATTTGATGTTTTACTTAGCTCTTGTTTGTATTAGCGACCAACCAGACCTCTTCTCTTAATTCCATGATGTTGTTTGGACACTGGTTTCTTAACGACGTTGTGTGTAATTAAGAAGAAAATATGTGTAAGAAATCTCCACGATATGCACTAAGGATTAGTCATGTGTACAAGTCTTCAGTTCAGTGTTTCTACAATTGCATCTTCGTTTTCTTTTTACAATTTGATTGCTTGCTAGTAAGTTTTTCTATGCTATGGTTGGTGTGGATTGTGTAAATGTGTGTCATTGTCCCCAAAATGGTATAGTTAAACCACCTTTTAAGAATCATCTCTAGGAGCTTTCTATGTAGACTCTTGTGTTGCTTATCAAACTTGTGATATAAAATCCCATTTCAGGCAGGAGGTGATGTGGATGGAAGGCTTGATGAGGCAACTGCTAGTCTCATGCTGGATACAAGACCTTCGAAAGTCATATCCAATGAGCTCATTGTAAGTCAGCTCTAATACAAACTTCATAGGAGCTCTTTATCCATCTAGAAATGCAAGACATGGGTTGAGATTTTGGTCTCAGCGAATCCTCTCCCTTTTCTAGGAACTCTTATTATTAGTATTATAGACTAGTTATCACTGATAGGCACATGGAATAGCCTTGCCACTTAGAAATAGAGATGGGGATTCTCATCGAAATGGCTCTTTTAGTCTTCTGTTTATACTTAAAACTGTTGTTTAGTTTCCCTGATAGATGATTGAATTTGTTCGTATGCTATTGCACAGGTGACGGTTAGTTGTTCACTTGTTAAAATGGACTATGAAGGTCGATCAGATGGCCGCTCAATCAAGTCGATGATTGCACATGTTTCTCCTCTTAAACTTGTACGTTAGTGATTCCTTTTCCCTTGTCTTATATGTATGACAATTAATCGATTCGGTTGATTTATTACCGTGTTCATGTGAAGGTTTTGGTGCACGGAATAGCCGAGGCTACAGAGCATTTGAAGCAACACTGCTTGAACAACATCTGTCCACACGTGTACGCTCCTCAAATAGGAGAAAGCGTGGACGTGACTTCTGATCTATGTGCTTATAAGGTAGAAACCCTGAAAACTAGGAAGATCCTCTTTACACATGGTTTTTGAGTTCTGTATGAAATTAACACTGTATGGTTCCTCTCCATAATAAAATCAGGTCCAACTTTCTGAAAAGCTGATGAGCAATGTGATCTTCAAGAAGGTACATTTTTTTTTTCTTTCCGGTGCTCTTCCATTGTCTCTGAACCATGCATGAAAACTTTTTGGAATTTTTGGAAAAAAAAAACAGCTGGGAGATTCAGAAGTAGCGTGGGTGGATTCAGAAGTAGGGAAGACAGAGAGCGAGATGCGGTCGCTACTACCAATGGCAGGTGCTGCTGCTCCTCACAAACCTGTTCTAGTGGGTGACCTGAAGATTGCAGACTTCAGGCAGTTTCTGTCGAGCAAAGGTGTTCAGGTTGAATTTGCAGGTGGGGGTGCTTTGCGTTGTGGTGAATATGTCACTCTACGCAAGGTCGGTCCTACTGGTCAGAAGGTAAATATAAAAAAGCAAAGACCTTAGTTAGCATTTGTGTTACAAAATCCTTTTGATGTCTAATTGTAAACCATTATTAAGCATCATATCCTTCTCTTTATTCTTCAGGGCGGAGCATCGGGTCCACAACAAATTCTGATAGAAGGACCCTTGTGTGAAGACTATTATAAAATCAGGGATTATCTCTATTCTCAGTTTTACCTCCTCTAATGACACATAGTGTGAAACTGAAGCTTCACTTAATAATCACTCCTCCTCTTGATTTTTTTATTTTCTAACTCTTTTCGACTACTCAAGTGTAACCTCATACTTTTAACCCTCAATCTAAGGTATTAAAATGTACAATACTTTTTGGTTGTTCCCTAAATTTTACATAAAAACTTGTTTGATAGCCTGTCTTTCGTCCTTTTAGTAGAAAATTTTAACACTTTTAACGTAAAAGTAAAAACAAAACAAAAAAAAGTCTTACTTGGTCTTTTGTTTAGTGCTGACGTGGCATCTGACGTTAAGAGAAAAAATCTGAAGGCGTTAATCGCAGTTGTTTAAAAGAAGCATTTTAATTAGCTGGTTAGGTGGGTGCTTGTTTGTGTGAGGCTCATCACTCTCCAACAACGCTCTCTCCTTGTTTGGCATTTCGATTCTGCTAACGAACAACACATATGATATTATTCTAAAATTCTAAACCCTAATCCTTCTATCCCTCTCTCTCAACCTTGTTCAGTTTTTCTTCTTCTCCAGATCTTTCTTATCCTCTCTTCCCAACAACCATATGGCTTCTGCGACCGCCACGTGGACACCTACCTCCCTCCAGCTCCGTCTCGCTCTGAGCTCCGGCGTTCGCCGCAAATCGCACGCCGTTTACTTACGATCGTCGCGGTTCGGTAGGAAACCGGGTTGTGGGATTGTATGCGTTTCCCAGAAGCCGGAAGTCGAGGCGTGGACCGGATCGGATTCCTCAAAGCCGCCAGCCGATGGTTTGGCTGGGTGGGATGATTCCGGTAACGACGGAATGTCTTCCAGAGCTAAGAAGAAGAGTTTGATTGAAGGTATATGCTGATGACAGATGTTTGCTTCTTCTTCTTTTAATTCAATTCTTCTTCTGCTCTGAGATTCGGAGTTTCCGAGGTTCCTTAAGAATAAGTTTAATTCAGCTGCTGAATGTAAATACTTGTTCAGTGAGTATTGATTAAGCTAAGACTTGCATTGTTGCATAGTGTAAAAAATTGTAGGATTCATAAGTTTGCGCACGAATGTTGTGCTCTTATGGCGCTTTAGATGGAGTTTAACAGTACGCTTTTTTTGCTTTCTGTGTTCAATAGTCCAGTCTTTGTAGTCTCTTCGTTTAAACAGTTGTACATATACATTGTATGTTAAGATGGAGCTTAAATTAAAAATCTCCAGCATTTTGATTTCTCTGTCAGATTCTGTAGTTTACCGGTTTTCTGGTGGACTAATAACAATCTGCAAGTAGTTTGCTTTCAGGTGTAGTCGGGGCTGGAGTTGCTGGACTCATTTTGGTCGCTGGGCTAAGCTTTGCAGTAGCATCTTTTAACAAGCGTAACAATTCCAGTAAGTACAATCCTTTTTCCTTTTGTTAAATTAGATATGAGTCCAATTATCGTCTTTCAAAGCTACTCAAGCTCACTCGAGTGCGTCTTTTAGAATTTGGTTGTATTGATGTATGTGTCAATTATACTTTTGAGCGCAGGACTAAAACAGGAAATGCAGCCGTTGACTTCTCAGCAGGAAAGCGTGCTTCTATCGTCTGACGAAACTCCTAGTGATGAAGTCAAGGTGGCTGATAGTGACGAAAACAATCGTAAGGACGAGGATAAGAGTATAGCAAACAATGATGTAGGCCAGCAAGGTGATGAAGCGTCTGGTGAAGATAAAGCTCTTGGTACTGACAGTTCGTCATTTGATGATATTATATCTGATGTAATTGATTCCAGTGAAGATATCACTTCACAAACTACTCCTGAAGCTGATTTGGTGCTCCATGTGCAATCTGATCCTGAGACACCAGAAAGTGAGGAATTAATTTCTGAGTCCAAGTCACTGTTAGACTCATCCTCTGACGCTATAGATTCACAAAGTAGTAATCTTGCTGAAGCAGAGAATCCAAATTCTGAAGATCCTGATAGCCTTCCAGAGACTGAACCGACCAATGTGTCTGATTCAGAAAATCAAGTCGACAGTCAGAAAGAAGATTCCATGTCTTCTTTATCTGACAGCGATGCTTATGCAGCAACCGGGACTGTAGCTGTTGGCGTGTCGGTTGCTTCACAATTGGATCCTCACACTGTCCCACTAAATGAGACGGGGCCAGTAGTCTCCACTCTAACTGAGGATCTTCCGGAGGTAAACGGAACACCTGAGGAATTGGCTGCGGGAAGTTTGTCATCAATCTCGGACATAGAGACAGCTAAAGAAATTGAATCTTCAGAGACACCTGTGCCAGAATCAACTTATTCGTCAGTAAATGAACTAAACATGAATAGTCAAGACGAGCTTGGCGACAACGGGCCTTCTTTGGAAATACCGAATTGTGGAAGTTCATTCTCTTCAGCAGGGATTCCTGCACCTTCTATATCCTTTCAAGTAAATCCTGGGAAGATTCTTGTCCCCGCATCTGCAGATCAGGTCCAGTCTCAAGCATTTGCAGCTCTTCAAGTTCTGAAGGTAATATATATTTTTTTATGTGTGCAGACCCTCACTATTGTTTGGTGGTGTAGAGCTTTGCTTCGGTCTGGCACTTATTTGTAAATCTTGCAGCTTTTGAATCAATTTCCCCCATCTTTCAGGTCATTGAAACTGACACCCAACCTAGTGATCTGTGTACTCGCAGAGAATATGCCAGGTGGCTGGTTTCTGCCAGCAGCGCATTATCAAGGTATTTTTGTTTTTAAAATGATATATTGTGTGTGTATCTGGTTGGATTACAATGTCCATCTTTGATATTAAAAAGTGAAATTCATGCAATTATGTTGTGTTCTTCAACTCTTTGCAGAAACACGACCTCAAAAGTGTATCCTGCTATGTACATAGAGAATGTTACTGAGCTTGCTTTCGATGATATTACTCCTGGTGACCCTGATTTTTCATCCATTCAAGGTGAAACTGGACTCTGAATTTTAATTCCACCCAAAAAGAAGATAATCTGTGAAGCTAAATTCTGTGTACTCTTTTCAGGGTTGGCAGAAGCAGGACTTATCACAAGCAAGCTTTCTAACCAAGATTTGCTTAACGATGTTGAAGGCACATTCTTATTTTCACCTGAAAGGTGTGTATGTCGCTGTAAACTCATCCAACTTGTTGAAAAAAAGTCTGCATTTGTATACCGCATTGACAGCAACATAAAACAGAATGGCAGAATATCATTGTTCTTTCTTAGAATATAATGGTATTTTGTACTTTTAACGACACCTTTACATTCATATTTAGCTTATCTCTACAAGTTAAGCTTGTTTATTGTCCTACGCAGCCTTCTTTCACGCCAGGACCTTATAAGCTGGAAAATGGCCTTGGAGAAACGACAGCTTCCGGAAGCTGATAAAAAGGTTGCATATCATATCAAGCTTGGTTTTGTTCACTTCCTTCTCATAATGTTACATATATATATATTCATTTACTTCATCGTGCAGATGCTGTATAAACTCTCGGGATTCATTGACATTGATAAGATAAACCCCGATGCATGGCCTGCCATTATCGAAGATTTATCTTCTGGGGAACAAGGAATTGCTGCCCTTGCATTTGGTAATTTTCAGATTTGATATCTAGATATGTCTTCTTGCACATTCATGGCCTGATAGTATAATGCACACTCCTTTTCTAGGTTGTACAAGATTATTTCAGCCTCATAAACCCGTCACTAAAGCCCAAGCTGCCATTGCTCTCTCAAGTGGTGAGGCTTCTGACATAGTCAGTGAGGAACTGGCACGTATCGAAGCAGAATCAGTGGCTGAAAAGGCCGTCTCTGCACATAACGCCCTCGTTGCAGAGGTTGAAAAGGATGTCAATGCCAGCTTCGAGAGAGAGCTTTCCATAGAACGAGAAAAGATTGAAGCGGTTGAGAAAATGGCGGAACTGGCGAAAGTGGAGTTGGAGCAGCTGAAGGAGAAGAGAGAGGAAGAGAATCTGGCGTTGGCGAAAGAACGAGCTGCGGTTGAGTCAGAAATGGAGGTGCTCTCAAGGTTAAGACGTGAAGCGGAAAAGAAGCTGGAGGATTTGATGAGCAACAAGGCGGAGATATCTTTCGAGAAGGAGAGGGTTTCCAATCTTCGAAGAGACGCTGAAGAAGAGAGCCAGCGGATTTCAAAGTTGCAGTATGAACTGGAAGTTGAGCGTAAAGCCCTGTCCATGGCCAGGTACTTCTTCGACAGCCCGAGCTATACATTGTCTATAATGTCAAAGAATCTATCCGCATTCTGATATGTAACGCCTTTAGATCTGTCCATAATCATATTTTTGAGTGGCAATCCTCATATGTTGTTTGTTTAGATCATGGGCCGAGGAGGAAGGAAAGAGAGCTAGAGAACAAGCAAGAGGCTTAGAAGAAGCTAGAAAGCGATGGGAGACAAAAGGACTTACAGTTATTGTTGATAAAGACCTTCAAGAGAAGAGCAGTGGAGAGATTGAACAAAGCGTAGTGCTAAACAGTAACACTGGAGAGCGATCTTCGGTTGAAGGAACCGAGGAGAGGGCTCAAACGCTAATGGATAAGCTGAAGGATATGGCGGAATATGTGGGAGGAAAATCCCGTGAAGTGATCTTCGTTGTGATGGAGAAAATACGTTTGTGGATTATGGTGTTGAAGGAATACACACAGAATTTGGGGAAGCGAGCGGGGGAAGTGAGAGAGGCAGCCATTGTTAGGGCAAAAGGAGCAGCAGAGGAAGTTGAGAAAGGGGCAGTTCAGGTGAGCGATAAGGTGAAGAGAATGGCTGAGGAGTGTAGAGATGGAGTTGGGAAGATCTCTCAGAGGTTCAAGACCTAAGAAACTTCTTAAACTTGCCCCTTTTTTTTGTATTTTGTTTCTTAAAATAAAATAATGGGATGGCCATTACATTTACGGTATTGGTCTCAGTGATGATCAGAACTACATAAATTGTATCATTTTGTAATCTTTGTTATGTGTTTACTTTACACATGTTATAGTTGCTCTTGTACTCTGGCAAACAACTTTGATAGTTGCTACTATTCACTGCAATAATACCAACCCTGTGACGTAATCCTAATTTATACCATTAATCATATTTTGAACATTACTTGATATTGTTTAGGTTTGGTACTCTCGATCCGATGATTGACATGTACTTTTTTTTCTTTTCAGTAAGCAAATCTTTATTTCGATCTTTCGAAACTTTGGTTTGGTTTCATTTCTTACACATTTTAGTTTTAGTAATAGTTATTCTTCGACAATCCATTAAGATGATATTCGAGTTATCATGTCTAGAAATATGATTTCAAGTACATAGAAACTTGTTATAACCACTTTCATAAAATGAGAAAACCCAAGTACCAAAGATCTAAAGGATTGATAAATCCCACGAAAAACAAAAAAAAAAACAAAGAGTCTTGCACAAAATCACGATCGAGAAGAAGAAGACGAAGAAATCAAGAATGGATTTAAAGTCTTAAGCCCGCAATCTTATTTCTTCTCTTCTTTCTCAGCATCGGCGGCTCTCTTGGCTCTGGCACCGGCATGGCGTGCGTTTGTGCGCTCGAGACGAATCTTGTCATAAGCCTTGAATGACTTCATATCAGCAGTCACCTTCACAAGCTCCATCGGCGCCTTCTCGCTAACAATAGGCATGTAATCTCCCTGGACTTGAGTTGCGTTAGCAAGCTCCTCGGGAGTAGAATCACCAGCCTGCAAACAACAAAGTCACCAAATTGTCATATACTCAAAGAATCAAGATATCTCAAAAATGTTCTCTAGTCTCTCTATCTATCTGTAGTATGGATGATACCTTGACTTTACGGGAACGGCGCGGGAAGACAACCAACTTGGCCTTGTAAGTCTTCAACCTCTGGACATTGGACTGAAGTCCCTCCAAGGAACGGTTTTTACGGCGGTGATCGACTGAAATTCCGATTGTTGGAGCCAACTTCTTGGGGATACCAGCAGCCTGATAAACCCGGGGACAAGGAATAACATGTTGAGTTTCCATCCTCTTAACAAAAAAAAGAGCATATAACTAAGAGTAAAACCTTAGAAGACAGACCTTAAGCTCCTCGAGAGTGAAACCTTTTCCGGCTCTGAGCTTCATGTTGTACTTGAGAGTCTGGCCATGAACAATAGGGCGGAGAGGTCCAGCGGTAGGACGAGGGAAGATCTGCACGGCCTTCTTCTGCCTCGCTGAGAAAACACAATCACATCAAGTACATCAAGAGACTATATTGCATATATCTAAACTTAAGCAAGGATCTGAAATTTAAGTAGAAGAATAGAGAATATATACTGTATAGGAGGGATTTTACTAACCAACTCTTCTCCTGGTTTTCCTGGCAGGCTGGTTGAACCATGTCTTAACATAGTTTTGCCAGTGCTTCCTGAAGTGTGAGTTCGGTATCTCGTTATTATGCTTCATTTTCTTACCTTAGCTGCAACAACAACAATAAAAAAGCAATTCAATATGAGAACAATCCTGTGTGCTTGATTATGCATTTTCGCTACACACAAAGCAAGAAGAGAATCACAAGAGAATTACATTCCTATAGATTCCATCAAACAAGAGCAAGTGTATCAACGACATTCTATGTAAGACAGATCAGACCAATCTATGTTTCCATCAGCATGATCAATAAAAGTAACAGTAAAAAAGAAGGCTATATTCTAGAAATTCATACAATGACGAAGTTTTCGAAAAAACTAATACTGATGATATCGGAGAGAGACGAGAAAAGCTCAGAGAAAACAGAGAGGGACTCACTGTAGCTTCTTCTCTTCTTCTTCCTCCTGCGGCTGGACAGAAATGTCTAGGGCTTCTCGTGCTATTGATTTTCACATTCATATATGATTAAAAAAACCCTAATCGCTGGAGAAGTTTTCTTACTATTGGGCTTCATCATAACTTATTAAGATGGGCCGATCTATTTTTCACATTCATCATATATGATTAAAAAAACCTTAATCGCTGGAGAAATTTTCTTACTATTGGGCTTCATCATAAGTTATTAAGAGATGGGCCGATCTAATTTTCACATTTTCTCTAGACCCGCGAGAGAGTCCCGACAAACTTTTATCACTCTCACTCTCAAAACGGTACCGTTTATAGTGGGCAAGGCTTCCTGCATACGCCCCATTAAGGCCATAAGAAGTGAAGTGGACCCATTCTCTGAGTCATCCAAGGAGCGCGAGAGCTTGACGACGATAATTTGAAAATTTACTTAACGGCTTACTTTTTATTTTCTCTCTCCCAAAATCTGAAATATTATCATTTCAAACCATAAGAGAAAAAGAAAGAAAGGAACCCAAAGGAAACAAATTTCTAATTCAAACATTTTCCCTTACCTAGAGATTTCCTTGGGTTTCGATTTGGTGAGAAGTTTTCTGGGTAACACCGAGATTTGGATTTTGAGATTACGGAGACCAAGTCGATGAGCCAGGGACGGAAGGTCGTTCGGGTGGTGGCTAGGGTTAAGCCGTCGGCAGATCCGGTTGTACAAACGTCGACGGGATCAATTTCGGTTCACAAGCCAAAAGGAGATGAATCCGAGAGTGTTTCGATTTCGTTCGGAGCTCAATTCGCTGGGTAATTCCATATACCTCATCCTCAGTGACTGTCACTCTGATTCTGTCACTGATTTGGTTGATTTGAAATCCGTTTAAAGTGTTACATCTGGAGATTTCGACTATAGTTTAACTCTTTAAATCTCAATCTGTCTACATACTTAGTTGATTTCTCCTCTCTAAGAATCCGTTTAAGAATACTCAGTCCTGGGAAAGATATACGTAAGCTAGAATCTTTGGTTTTTGCCTTGGGTTTGATTTTCTTTGGTTACTTTGTCTCTGTGTGTTGTTTAGTTTGTTGTGAATTGTGGGAAAACAAAAGTTTTGTTTTTGAGAATTGATGTACCATTTTGAGTGGGATTACTATTCAAGAGAGAAACTTTTTAGAGCAATTTAACAATTTCCGTGGCAAATCTATGCATCCATAGCAATCCCAGGCCTAAGTTGGATTACTGCTTATGTTGTGGCAGTTCAAAAGACTCGTATAAGTTGGATTACTGCTACGAAGAAAATGAAACCACAAGTTTAATTCTCACAAAGGAAATCAAACCTCTTATCTCTACTGTCTTTGAGGGTAAAGATGCTAATGTAATTGCCCACGGAGCAAGATGTAGCGGAAAGTCACATCTAATCCAGGTATTGAAAGAAATGATTCCTGTAAACGTTGATCATCAGATTATTACTGTTGATGAAGATTGCTAATGGAGTTATGTATGATATGGTTTGAAGGGATCTGAGAGGGAACCTGGTATTGCCTTCCTTGCAATGTCTGAGATGCTATCCATGGCTGAGGAAAGGGGAGACTCAGTTTCGGTATCAATCTACGAGGTCTCTCAAGAAACCGTGTATGACATCTTACACCAAGAAAAGCGAGTGGTTTCTGTACTAGAAGGCGCACAAGGGAAAATTCAACTAAAGGGACTTTCCAAGGCAAGTCATTTAGTGTTCTGGAGCATTAAGTCTCGGTACATCATTCGTTTTTTTTTTTTTTTTGCAGATTAACATCATTAATACCTTAAATTTTTTGCTTTCAGGTACCTGTGAAGTCACTCTCAGAATTTCAGGACTTGTATTTTGGTCTCAAGAAAAACCAGAAGCTGACCAGTGAACCTCCCCCACTTAGAAGCCATAAAGGTGTGATGATACATGTTAGCACTGGCAACACCAGTCCAGGCTCGCTTGGGAGAATGAACTTTCTTGATATGGCAGGTTGAGTATTTTGTATCACATCGTTAGTTATCTTTTCTATGTGATAATCTTCTGTCAGCTTTTGATGATTGTTGTCTTCCTCTGATAGGATATGAGGACTCCAGGAAACAAAACAGTGATATAGCTCCTCTAGAGACTACCAGAATAAATAAGTCAATATATGCTTTACAGAACGTCATGTATGCTCTCAACGCAAATGAATCTCATGTGCCATATCGGGAGAGCAAACTCACTCGCATGCTGAAAGATTGTTTACAAGGAAGCAACAGAACATTGTTGATCACTTGTTTGGTAGATACTTTGCTGGCTGTTGAGTTTTTTTTTAGGTTTATGCTTCACTGAATGTAATTGCACGCAGTGCTAACCAGTTAGTTTCTTTTTTCAGCCTCGGGAATTTAGCCAAGACTCATTTTACATGCTAAACTTAGCATCACGGATCTGTCTAGGCAGTAAGCGAGCCATAACTAATGCTACTAAGAAGAGCAACGGTCTTGCAAGATCTATTTCATCCTCCTCTGCCGCTCAAAGGAGACAGACACCGGTTGCTGTCTCTTCTACTTCTAAACAACAGACAGCGCCAAGGGAAAATTTGACAGAGAGAAAGACTAAGCTCAAGACTCCGGCTTCTACAATTAAAGGAAGGTAAAAATTTCCTAATCAACTTGGTATACCTGCATCTGCTCTGCTGTTCAGTTTCAGAACATCGAATGATGATGTTATGTTTTTCTCAATGATTGAAGGAAACTGTTCGGTGAAGCAAATGACTCGGTGAAATGTAAAAATAACGTCAAGAAGGTTCAGAAGGTAATTGATTTTTTGGTCTTATTCTAATAAAATTTCAGAAATAGTTTAGTTAGACTTGTTTTGGATTTTGTAGATGGAAGGCAAAGCAAGGATGGCAGTGAAAAAGGTGGAGCTCCTAATTCCGGATTGTAATGCTCTTCGGTTTCCTTCCTCACCTCGAATGACACTTGTTTTTATGATGATGCAGGAAATCTCCACTTCGAAGGTTGTCTTGAACGTTCAGGCCTCCTCATCTCAAGAAGTAAATTCTTGCAATCTTGAACTTAATGGAGCTGCATGATCATATAAAACCAAGGCATTACTTACAAGCTCTTCTCTTCTTCTTCTTTAATGTAGGAAGTCTGCTCGTCGATTATTGTTACAGATTGCCAATCTTCTTTGGTAGAGGAGGTAATAGTAACGTTTATGCTTATTTAAAATTTTCAAGAAATTACTTACATTCGATGGGTCATGGCTGATGGTGATTTCTTTGCAGGAAGATTCTGCTCTGGACTTCTCAAGTTCTGCAGTAGTCAATAGTATCGACATTTCTTCCACTAATCTTCAGGGGACACCCCAGAAACATGAGGAAAGGTTTTCAGGAGCCCCTTATTGTGATAATGGTACTGCAGGTAAAGGTGAAACTGGAAATCTGATAGAGAAGGTTCTGGTCTATAGGAAAGATTGACTCTGATCTTATATATATAATTTTTGTTATGGCAGCCCAAATACTAGAGAAAGATGATAACAATTCAGTGATTGTAGAAGATCTGACTCTGGTTGATGCAGGTAGGTTGTGAGTCTTGTGGTGAATTTAAGAATCTAAATATAGTGAAACCTTTGTTCAATGGTTGGTCTTTCTCATGATTGTAGGTGAAAACTTGGACAAAGAAAACAACCGTTTGCTAGTAAATGAAACTGCATCACCACCGCTAAGCATGCGGCTTAAAGAATTGTACAATACTTTGACGTCTATAAGCAATACTCCAAAACCACCGACACCTGAGAAGTATCAAACCGCCCTATCTAAATCACATGTGGAAGAAGTATCAGAGCATAGCGACATTACTGCTGAAGCTTTTCTCAGTGTAGAGCTAAGAACACCAGAGAAAAGTATGCCTTCAAACATTGCTTCTAGTCCATGGAAGACATTCAGTGCACATAGCTCTAAGTTGAAGGTAAGAAGAGTTGACAAAGGCCAATTGTAGCATATCTTTATTAATATGATTATTTATTCTCTCTATTTGATAGCTGGCTAATGGTTGATTAATGAACTAGCATAAACCTCTGGGGCAAAGAGCGCCTTAATTATTGTTTAAAATGCTCGATATTTGACATACGTATTTTTTTTTTTTGTTTCCTGCAAATGCTGCAGAATTCTGCTGTTGGAGAGTACCTCAAGTTCTTAAACACAGCAGATAAGTAAGTTGTTGTCTCTCTACTGTAAACTAAATCTTCTTGCTTTTTGAGTATTGAATTTTCCCGGGCATAACTCATTGAATCCACATGGTTGTTTAGATCATATTGTTTTGAAAGAACTGTCTGTATTGCTGTGATAAGAAAAGTGAACTAAAGCAAAGTTTTCTCTTTTCTTGTGGTATCTACAGGGAGGATCTAAAGAAGCTAAAGGTGAGATAACTAGCCGGATCAGAATAATATTAAATGTTTGTTTATGGTATAGTTCCTAACTTGTAGACACGTCCTTCATTGATGAATGCTATAGGGTATTGGAGAAAAGAGAGCAACTTACATAGTTGAGCTCCGCGAAGAATCTCCTGAACCATTCAAGAAGGTAAGTCTTCTAGCTCACCAGTCACCACCGCTATTTTCGAGGTTTCTTTTAGTTTTCTCAAAATGCCATGAAGTTTTTATAAGTGAGAAGTTGCATCTCTATATTGGTAACGTATATACATTAGTAACTATGGATGTAAAAGAAATGCCTTGTCAGTTATATCAAACCTCCCTCCAAAATTTAGTTTTTCTATATATACATTTTTAATGTGAAGTTCAAGGTTCATCTGGGTTGTTTTCTAAGCTTCTTATCTCTTCTTATATTGCAGCTTGATGACTTGAAAGACATTGGACTCTCAGAAAAACAGGTTAGTTTAATTATTATCGAGTTCTTCAATGTTTCTATTCTTTTTGGGTCAGAAGTTGGTTAATACATCATAAATTTGAGGAATATCATCCAAAACTCGGAACTAAAGGCAGCTCCGAAATCTAGATTGTACGTGTGTTTTATCAGAATCAAGCTCAGATAGTTTAGTAGGGATATTTGAGATTTTTAAAGCAACTGTAGAAACGCCTACATGTGTATTAATCTCTCAGAGAATTGAAATCGAGGAGTTGTGTGATGGATTTTTGCATTGGCAGATTAAGGGATTGCTGAGGAAAGAGATTGGGGATATCTTTGACTAGCTGAAGAAACAAACATTATCTATGGTCACAGGCAAATGGGTTTGAAAATATGTATGAAGGTTTTCTAGAGATTGCGAGGCAACACGAAGTTGCTCAGTTTGAAGTTCTATTTATAATCAAAAGTTAAGATGTTTGAATGTGTTTAGTGCGTTATTATGATAACTATGTCCTGAATCTGTGTCGTGACCTTCTACTGTCGGATGATCTGTGTGTTTCATGGTAATGTGAATTATGTCAAATTTCTTCTTTATTAGTATTAGTACTTGCTTTAACCCATTCCAAAAGTGCGAAAATCCGACGAGCGTTGTAGAAGACCGATCCGAGTATACCAATCGGCATCGAAAACCTGTCGGCGAAACCAATTGGTTCGGTGAAGACTTGACCGGAGAGAAGGAAAAGATGCGGAGCAGCGGCTCTGACGCCGTGAATATCTCCCCGGTATATTCCGTCTCCGATGTAACAAATTGGTAAGAGTACGCCTGGCAGAAACAGAGAGAGTTCTAACTATATAAAAGAAACACTGTAAAGAATAATTAATTCAGACAAGAAAAGATTGATAACCGATAATGGCAGTGGCAAGCAAGTAAGCTTGAAAGAGTTTGTTTTTAGGGTTTGAGAATCTCTGCTTCTGCTCGGGTTTGCTTGCGAGGGAAGGCAACTCTGGAGAGGAACTCATATAAGTAGATGTAAGATAAAAACACAAACGCTACTTCTCCGATTCCTACAAGTCCTTTTGCGGCGAGTTAAATCATGAGGGACAGAAACACGAGCTGTCTCTTGCTACTGACGAGACCGCGTTTTGTGGCGGAGCCGGCTGGGATGGTTTAGTGTCGGTGACACCGTGCTCTCGTATTTCTTCCGACATTGAACAAGTCTTTGAAATCAAAGAGTTGTTTTAGAATCTTTGAAGATGAATATGAAATGGCGATTTCTGCTTTGGTGAAGAAAGAAAAGAGTGAAGTGTAGAGATATGGAGTGATTAACCTTCTCTAATCTCTATCTTCTTATCTAATCCTGGGCCTTACAATAATAATTTTGTTTATACAAAAAAATAAAGAGGGAAAAAACAAAAATTATCAACTGTCGCTTTTAACAAAATCATCACTACAGTCGACGGAGGAAACAAGACACAAAAGCACTAATCGAACCATACAAAAGCAGATACATTTGTTTATACATGTATCCATACCAATATAAGGAATCATATTTATAAATCAATCTGCTTTATTATCGCCGGAGAAGTAAATCTCACAAGACCGGGGAAGAAACACTGGCAACAAGAGACCGAACAGATTATAAAACCACATCACCGTGTTAACCAACGCAATCGCTCTTCCTCCGTACAGCCTCACCGGACCACCGGGACGCTGAGTATCTGAGAATTCGGCTTTAACCCAATCCAAAAGCGCGAAAACTCGCCGAGCGTTGTAGAAAACCGGTCCGAGGATACCAATCGGCGTCGAAAACTTGTCGGAGAAACCAATTGGTTCGGTGAAGGCTTGACCGGAGAGGAGGAATAGATGCGGAGCCGCGGCCCCTGCGCCGTGAATGTCTCCCCGGTATATTCCGTCTCCGATGTAGCAAATTGGGAAGAGCAGGCCTGAGTGAGAGAGAGAATTTTATTATTCATACGACAAAAAAAACAAACTATTGAAAATAAAATAAAAAGTCAGATAAGTAAAGATTGATGATAACCGATGATGGCAGTAGCAAGGAAGTAAGCTTGAAAGAGTTTGTTTTTAGGGTTTGAGAGTCTCTTCTTCTGCTCTGTTTGCTTGCGAGGGAAGGAAAATCTGGAGAGGAACTCATACAAGTAGATATAAGACAATATTACAAACGCTATTTCCCAGATCCCGACGAGTCCTTTTACGGCGAGTAAAACCATGAGGGAGAGAAACACGAGCTGTCTCTTGCGACTGATGAGACCCCGTTTTTGTGGCGATTGCGGCTGAGAAGGTTTAGCGTCGGTGAGATCGTGCTCTCGTATTTCTTCCGACATCGCACAAGTCTTTGATTTCAAAAGTTTGTTTTAGAAGCGTTGAAGATGGAATAAGAAATGGCGTTTTCTCTGGTTTGGTGAGGAAAAGATAAGATATGGTGGGGAAAAGAGTTTTAGATATGGAGTGGTTCAGTTCTTCTCTGGCCTGTTTATATACAAAAAGATAAATAAATAATCAAAAGAGGTAAAAAAATAAAAGGGAAGTTGTTGTTGTGTGTTGAAGAATATGACAAGTGTTCCGCTTAATATCTCGCATGTCGTGGAAGATCTTGAGACCCCCAAAAAAGGTTTATAAAACAAATTAGAAGCCTAATTCGAGGTAAATGACTAATTACTCTTAATTGCCAAAATGACCATTTTTAGTACTCTCGAAAGTTTCTGATTTCTTATCTGAATCAACTTGTACTGTTCTCATTTGTTGCTTATTCTCTAAAAAAGTGTTTCTTTACAACAAAAAAGTCACATTTTGGAGACAGAACAGACTTACAATGATACAAATCATAACTGGGCCTTTTTTTCTTATCATGATGCTTTTCTAATCTATTAAAACGCGATCTCCGGCGAAGATAGAGCTCAACTCTGGCGACACTTGCTCGTGCTTCCTCACAAAAACCCTCAAAAACTTCTCCTTGGGACTCGTCAAGGCGGTGGAAATCGCAGGGGTTTCACCGAGCAGCCCTTTCGACAAAAGAGCTTTGATTACATTACACCTCGGATAAATAAACTTCTCCAAGCTGAATCCAAGCACAATGGGGGTCGAAGCAACGGCCTTTAACGGCCAACCCATCTTCTTCACAAGAAACTCAGTCTTGGTCTTCACCGTGTCTGCAGCTAAACCAAGGCACTGAGGATGTCGCTTGATGATCATCATGAACTCGTCTTTGGTGAACCCTAGGCCTAGAAAAGTCTCGAACGAGTTCACAACCTTCTCCTCCGAAGTGCCTACACATTCAGGGTACTTCTTAACAACCGAGCGCACCTCTTCTTCCGTTAGACCACAACGTTTCAGTGTCTCAATCGTCTGAGTTATCTTCTTCTCCGAGTATTTCAGAGCGTAAGGCCATTTCTTGAAAATCGCCCAGACTTCATCCGCTGATAAGCCTAGCCTTCTATAGGCATCCACTTTCTGTTCTATCGTCTTCTCGCTCAGCTCGTAGAAAACGTACAGAGCGTTGACAAACTTGGGAGTGGTCGGATCAAATCCCATCTCGACGATCTTCTTCACCGATTCTTCGAATCGTTCTTTCCCACAGACTGGTTTGGCTTTAGTGATTAACAGGTTGAGCAAGAGCTTCTTAGGCACTCCCAATTCTCTCAGAACCGATACGTTTCGGGTTCGGTTCGTCTCCTTCCCCTTTGGAGACTCGGAACTCTTATCCTGATCCTGCAAAATGTCTCTGACGTAATCGAAGTATCCAGTGACAGAGCCGTTCCCTCTTCTTCCCAGGATTTTGGGAACTTTTGAAACGATCTCCGTGAGCTCAGAGCTCGAAGCTCCGTTTAGCTTCAGGAAATGAAGTTTCGCACGAAGGGTCTTCTCGGGACTCTCTATGAGGAACCGTGGGTAAGTGGTGATGATACCGGAGATTTGGGAATCCGTGAACCCGTAGCTTCTCAGAAGCTTCAGCACCGAATCTGGATTTCCTTTCTCCTCGAAGCTGGCTTTCGCTGAGATCGATTCCGCGAGCTTTCTAGTTAACCCCAGCGAATCAACAAGGTATGAGACTGTGAAACTCTTCCTTTTGCGTTCATCCTCAGGGCTCGGATCTGCAGCGGTAACAGAAGAGAAGGAATCGGCAAAAGCAGGTGCGTTTTGCAGAAGGAGATTCAACACCGGAGCTCTGAGATTCCGCCATTGATGCAACTCGCGCGACCTTCTTCCATGGAGTATCAATGAAAACATTGAGTAAGGTAATACGATTTTCCTTAAAAATGTCAATGCAGAGATGATAATGGATCGAGTATTTCTGATCTATGCGCGTGATTCTTAATTTCAAGTGAGAAGAAGAAGCAAGAACGGAGCTAGGAAATGGATGACGACGGCCAAAAGGAAAGGAGCCGGTCCGGGTTAGGGTTGTGATTATATCGGTTGGTTAAGGAAAAATCACAGGGGAAAATTCATCGATTTTCTAATATGGGCCTGTGGGGCTTATGAAGTCTGGTGGGCTCTCCCACTTTAGATATAACTAGAACATTGAGCCCATCTTAAGATATAGGATCATATCCATTTTAAATTTCAAGGAGTTTTGCGAGTACAGCCCACCAGGGAACACTGGTTTGGGAGGATGTGCCCTACCAAATCGCTGCCATGGATCAACACTGTAAGGATAGCAAATATGTAAAAGGAGCGAAGCTGTTTAATTTGTATTCGTTGAGAGATAGATTAAGAACAATGTAGTTTAAAAATATGGACTGGATATAATTATACTACATCTCACTCAACTTTTCGATATTGGATAACAACAAACAGTAGCATTTTAATTTTCAACAACAAAAGCACTTCAAAACATCGTCCAAACACTCCAAAGTTCAAAACCACAAAATTACATAATCACTTAACCACAATACACATGCCAGCATTCTGCATATTATTATCAACACAAGAGCAATTATTAGATTAATCAAGCTAATTAACCAAAAACCAAAACTTTGGAGCTTGATTAATTAACCCGCTGTATTGACTCAAACAAACCCGTTACCGTTACCGTTACCATTGACATAGCCATTGCCATTGCTGAGCTTCTTTCCATCTTCATCGACGAGTAAAAACTCTTTGCTCTTCTCCAGCTTCTCCATGACAGATGCTTCGAGAGTGATCTCCACATCGATGCTTATACCTCCAGCTTTTCCTTGGTACAGATACATCATCCCATTGAACCGGTTGTTCGACCCGCTCCGAACGGTTTCGGGTTTTCCCCACCCGAAATCCACCTCGTACACCCGGAACCTCGGCGAGCTTCCCACCGCCACGCAGTTCACTCCGGCGTCTTTGAACTGAAATATCTTGGGCGATTTCTCCCACTCCTCGTTCCGCGTCCCTATCGCACGCGCGTCGTGAGCCACGATCGCTTTCTGGATCACCGACGCTCCGAACTCCGGCCCGTGCGCCGCCAGAAGCCCCGCCGCGGTCCCCGTGAAGATCGCCTGAATCAGGTTGCCGAAATATTCCTCCGGCAAGGGAGGATCAACGCGGCGGCGGCAGTCGGCGAACACGGTAAAGACGGTGATTTCCTCGGGTTTGAGCCCACGCGCGAGTGTGACGTGGCGCCAGATGTGTGATGTGAGGGACTGGAAAGTGGAGAAAGGTTTCGAGCCGTCGGATGGGATGACAGCATTTGCTCTTGACTTGATCGTGTGGATGGCGGAATCCGAGAACCTGAAGATCCTCTCTACCAGCTGCGGCGGTTCCGCCGTAGCATCACCGGCGTCGTCACCGTTGGAGGCGGCGTTTGGGTCCTTAGGGGAAGCGAGGTCGAGTTTCACGCGCGTGTCACCGGCCTTCGACCGGTCGAGGAAAGGTTGGGTCGAGATGGACTTGGCCCCACCACAGATCTCGGCCCATGAGCTCATGAAATGCCACGTAGCAGTTCCGTCCAGGACTGCGTGATTGAAAGCTAGGCCCATTGCAAGCCCATCTTTAAGCTTTGTCACCTGTTGCGAAAACAAAATAACGGGTGTGAATAATACTACTACTCTAACCGAAGTTTTTTGGTTAGAAGTGTTTTATTATTGGACGATAGTTTCGAGAGTAGAAAAAGCAACAGAAACAATGACTCCTCCAACGACCACACCTGTTTTCAAAGGCCTTTACATTAACTGCACATTAAATGCCGTATAGAATTTATTATGAGCATTCAACGATAGTGATATTATTGTGTACTTGTTAGTTACATATTCATACACGTATGAATACGACGTATTTTACATGACCTTAAAAGGTTGACAATGCAAATTTTTGTTAGGTGTTTTAATTTTAAATACCTAAAATAAGTTGAAGATGTGTCGAGTCCCATGCACAATCTTAGTCTTTAGCAAAATATATTGCCCATACGTCTAAAATTGACAGCCATATTTAGTTTGGATTTGGTTGATAACGACAATTAAATTCTGTGTACCTCTATACTTAACTTGCTTAGGATTTGATTGATGATTATAACTAAGCAGTTATTTTGTCCTACATGCATGCCTACATGGCGCTGTCCCGCTACTTACCAGTTAATAGTTACCATCCATAAAAATGTTATTGGTCAATCATTTAATGTTATATATTATGGTTGTGCCAGTAATTAAATTTATTTTCTTTTACATAAGGATTACACATCCATCCAACCAATTACAAAAGCATTTGAAAAACGAATTTGTCAAATCACTGACTTCGGTTTTTTACTTATGTCGTAATGTATAAACTTTGTTGAGATGAACACACACCGTCTATACTAGCAAATTATAAATATTTAGATTTACTGTAGTTGTATCCGATTATAAATAGATAAATTATCCGCTATCATCGACATTCGACACATATGTGTGTATATTCTAAGCATAACATATGCATGTCAAGCTTTCAATATATATATTCAAAACCAAAATTTTATGTCAAGATTTTTTTTTTTTTTTTAATATACTGTATGCATGTCATTTTTGTTAACATTAGGTCGTAGTGTTTTTAATAATGCCAACATTTTCCCAATATATTTATAACACTTTAACAAAAATCAAGGTCAACATTTTCTGGTGGATTTGCTGGAAACATGCACTTCCACTTTATATACTGCCTTTTTCTTATTCTACTAATTATTTGTGTAATCAGTTTTGTTTTTTCTTTAGAGCTCAGCTAACGTAATTAAGAAAAAGTTAATAAATTAAGATAAACGACAAAAATACTAGCATGGAAATAGAAAAACATATAAATAATTATGTAAATACCTGGACAGCAAGGAGAGGCCTGCTAAGTCCTTCCAAGTTCAAGATCGCGTTATACGGAACCAACTCCTTGAACTTAGCTATTCCGTCCTCAGTCGTCAGATCATCGACGCTAACGTCAGCAGCATCGGCAACCAAGAACTCCACGCCGTTGATCTCTCCGTCGTCAGCGTCGTACTCAACCCGGAAGACTCCTTCCTCGTCCTTGGCCAGTTTACCGGCGAGCTGGTAGAAGTCTTCAAGAACCAAACCCAAACCGTCCTTGAGCTTCTCCACCACGTCGTTTTGGAAAGCGGGTTCCTCGAGATCTAGAAGGTTCTGGAACTTGTAGAGCAGAAACTTCTGGTTGTAGTAGAATGCAAGGTAAGGAAGATCAAATGTGGTGAGCTGGAACTGTTTCTTCCCTAGTATTGGCTTGGTTGGTTTCACGTGCGCTTTGCTCATTATCTTAATCTTCATGGTGAAAAGAGAGATTTTACTTTGCCTTTTTGAACAATGTGTGATTTGTGATGATCACAATAATATATATCAGGAATTGTTTTTTGTTTTCTTTTTGGGTGTGAGATTATAGTGTTGTGGGGTGGTGAAGTAAGAACTAAAGGCTGTTTTTTATAGAGAAGTACAGTGTGTAGTTGGGTTTAGGCATTTAAGGTTTCATGGAAGTAGTTGCGGTTACATTAATGACTCACTTAAACTCTGTCTCTTTCAATTTATTTGCACGAATTGTTTAGTTCAGTTAGGATTTACGGTAAAGAAAAGAAGTACAAAAATAAAATAAAAATGCAATGATGCCTATATGTGTAGGACACTATAAACGCCGATAAAGATGGTAAACGAAGTAGTCGACTAAAGCAAACGGTATTATTATGGATCGTACCTGGATTCACAAAGATTATAAGCTGTCCATGACCTAATTAATTTTTGTTTTCTTCTTCTCAAGACATAATTAGTTTTAAAATTTTTAATTACTTGAATGAAAGTACCTCCTGGTCCTCCTTTAAACTTGTTTACATGGGATAAATTACCTTCTTTAAACTTAATACATGTGAAACACTTTATTGAATATAAAGGAGTCTACTTCCCATATTTAATTGGTAGGTAAGTAGAACAACATCGACTTCTCCGGCCAATAAAAACTTATTGTTGATAAATTACCCAAATGGAGATGGTGCATAGTTTTAAAGAAGACAACAACAATCGACAAAAATATAAGTGTGACATGTGTTGATTTTTTTTTTTTGTCAACAACATGTACTATATAATTTTAAATTTAGATGGAGACGCAATAACAACACTAACACAACGAAGAAACCATTAAACTGATCGTGTGTGGCGAATTGTGTTTTGACAAATTAAACAAGTATGCATGGTTAAACAAAACCACTAAGCATATCTTCTCCTCCTCAGAAGATTAATATGGATGGGAGGCGGAAAACATTAAGTGCAAGGGCTTCTCATCTGCAAAGACATATGAGGTATACTAATTAAGGCCTCACGACTCTTTCAAAGACTGGTCGGGTGCTATCTAGTTAAAGGTGTCACTCCGAAGCATATGCATTTTTTGATAAATTACCAACAGGAGATCGGTTATCGTAATGCGGGATGTTTTAGTCCCAAACAACTTGTTGTTTCTTGTTTGTGTTCTTTCCATGATGAGACAAGAGATCATCTATAACATGAAAGATCACATTTACCCTTAGTCGCTACTATCCATACATAAATATTCTATTTGTCGGAAAACTTTGAAATCATGTTTTGGTGGGAATAAATTAATATAGAAAATCACGTAAACTTCGAATAAAGAAGTTACCACCTTAGCTCCTAATCCTATCCAACGAATTTAAAAACAAAACTTCAAAATTTTAGACGATAGAAACCGTAATGTGAATTTCAAAAAACAATTTATGGATGCCGTATAGCTCGGATCATTTATCAAAGTTAATTTTTTGTCTATTCCTTTTCAACATACACTATAACCGATTACACGATGGTGATGCCATTTACGATGATGATGATAATGTTGTGGATGCAGAATAACACATATTAGCATTCCAATTTTGCATTGTGTTAAAAGAAAAACAGCGAACCATATAAATAAATAAACAAACATAGTTAGGCTTAGGCACATGGAATCGATCACCAGTTGAAACTAATTGCCTCAAAGTGAAGGTTTTTAGCCAAACCAGATGAACATATCCTTGCCACCTCATGCCTCATCTTTCTTGGTCCGCACACCATCACCCCAACATCTTCCGAACCTTCTGCCTCAAAAAGAATCTCTGCATAACGATAACGTTTGTAGTATGAGATTCATGTATATATGCACATTCACTTAAACCATTTGTGCCATACACATGTGGTGCTCACGTACGTGGGAGTCTAGTCTAGAGGTAATAGATGACTTACTTTTCAGATTAGGTTTGGAGCCGAAGTGGACTGAAGTGGCTTCTACTATAGATTGATACGGTACACTTTCGAGCTCTCTCTCGTAGCCACAGAACCATGAACCTGGAGAGGACGTAGGAGTCTGAAAATCTACGTTTTGTACCTGTTTCTTGGACTCCTTATCTCCTTCTTTGTTCAGTTTCTTGCGCCATAAGAAAACTACGCTTGAAGAGATGAAAATGCAGACACATCCCAAGAACATGTCCCACAGCGCTCTATACGAGAAATTGTAGATCTTTCCTGTATTACGATCAACAGGGTATATATAATAGCGTGTGACAATTGCTATGAGCAAGAGAAACATGACAAATGATGATAAGATCACGACTCCGAGCCAGAGTAAGTTATTGGGTCCAAGGACAGGTGAGATAGGAGAGTCTAGAGGATGCGGTTTGAACCATTTTGTCTGCAGCAATCTGTTATCATCAGCTGTCTCCGGCTTCTTGTCCTCTTTTGTTATATATGCCTCGATGCGGAGATTCAGCCTAGAAATGTCTGAGACTGATATGTCTGGTGGGAATATTAGGTCTAAAAACGCAAGATCATGGTAATGTTTAAAGGCACAAACAAGAAGAACATTTGGTAGTTTTGTGCCCTGGTTTTGGCTCTGAAAGATGAGTTCTCTGATAACCGAAATGAAGGGTGTAATTCCACTCCCACCGCTCACGAGTATTAGAGAATCATGCCTATATATAATGATAATGATAACAATTAGACAAACTTAAGATAATTAAAATAGTAAGTTAAGAAACTGATTTAAGAAGTTCTCGTACCTCAAATTGAAGGAATTAGGGCCATAAGGACCCTCAGTAGAAACTTCGAGAGAATCGACGGAAGAAGAGATATGGGTGTAAAGCTTTTGAGTCCAACTTCCCTGTCTTCTGATCACAACACTTAGCGTATCTTTCTCCAAGTTGCTGCTTGAAGTTATGGTGAATGGATGCCATTGAAGCTTGGAAATGCTCGGTACATGTAGAAACAATATGCTCGTCGGTGTATATTGTAGCCCTATAGTTAGATGAAACTATTGGTTACAATGCGCTATAATAATTTGGTAAAAAACGTGAAGCATCTCTCTTTTAAATGCACTCTAGCCCAAATTATTGTTCTTGTGTACTTTAGATAAATTCATGATTATAGTTTTGATTGTTTCAGCCGCAAATATGCGTGTTTGTTTTTGTGTATTATAGAGGTTATATATTACATTTACATTTAAACAAATTCGACCTTTTTTAATATAAATATATATATTTAAAACTGTAAACCTAAACAAAAAAATTGCAAAAGTTTCTTTCATTTCATTTGTGTTTGTGTTTAATTAAGAAAATATCCCCAAATTATCGTGGTTTCTTGTGAATGTAGTAAACTACGCAAACAGAGGAACTAGTTATAAACCTGGAGTTTTGGAGAAAGTGAGTTCGAGGTTGTCTGAAGGTAAGATCCGAGCAGAGACAAGTCTAGATCTCTTGGTGGATTGTAAGAATCTCAAGTAGCGGTCGATGAAGAAGAGGAAGATGTTGGGCAAGATCATGCAGAACCACGAGTCTCCAACATGGATCACGTAGAAGACTATGTAGAGACCGTAGAGATGGTGAGTGTAGAAGAAAATCTCAAACTTCTTTCGTCTATAGTATGGTAAACTCGTCACCCACATCGCTATTCCAATCACCATCGCTATTGTACCGGCTAGATTAGGCACGTATATCGGATTCCATGCAAACGTCTTCACATATATAATATAAGAAAATATTTTTTTTTAAATATTCCAGATTTGGTTACAATATGAATTAAAGATAAGAGTGAGTTATATGTAACGGACCTCCATTAACTTATTGACCATGGCCCAGTATATAAGGAAAACAACGGTGTGGACGAGGAAGAGAAAGTTTGAGATATGTCCGAGCCAAATGTGATATTTGATGCTTGACTCCGAAGTCAACCCGACAAGTGGTAGAATCGTAGAGGCTCTTGTCACGGGGAAGAACAAAAAGGCCCAACAGATGTGGCCGACGTATCCTATTCTTAGCCCAAAAGCCCTAAACTTTGCCTGCCATCTGCACCATTTTTTTGCATTCAATGCTTTAAAAACTCTCCCCTACTGGATTAGCACATACTAAGCATGTGAAAAAGATGCCTTTTTTTTTCAAGGGGTATGTAATGGTCCACCATAATTGATATTATAAAGGAAAAAACTCGAACTAGACCATCATGAACTTGTTTGCATTTGGTTGGATATCTAAAGGCACTCAAATAAAAAGTAAAAGTAGAAACAACAAAACTTACATTTTGGCATTGTCGTGATTATGAAGACTCACGTGATAGCTAAGATACAGATAATTAGCGAGAGCCCAAGTCAAAAGAGCCACAAACAATAGAGAGAAAGTCAACTCTGTGGCTGTTACTATCCCCAACGGGTTCATCACCATCATCACCCTCCCCATTCTCCCTTTTATCTTCCATTCTCTGCATTTAACATACATAAGATTGTGATATAGTTTGTTACGAATATTCATATAAATAAAACATGGCCAGTATATACACGATGAAATTAATTATAACAATCCAGACCTTTGAGTTTGGTTGGGTTTCTTCTGGATATGCAAATAAACACAACTAAGAACCGCAATGAACATCATTGGAACCGTAAGAAGCACTAGATTGATGCCTACATATTGATGATAAATATTAAGTACTCAAAATGAAGGAATCTAAATATTGAAATAAATACGAAAAAAACTCTTGAGAATATTGTATACCTTGAGGACCAAAATAAGTAGTATTGAGATACTTGGTGATTTTGGGGGTCCAATTGTTTTTGAAAAGGTTAGTTGAACTCATTATCCAAACAAAAATCCATCCAAGAAACAGAACCACCATTAACATCTTCAGTAAGCTTCTCATATTCCCAATTTTCACTTTCTTTTCTATCCACGATATAAACGATGTAAAGCGTGTGTTGATGTGTGGAAAGCTTTTTTGATTTGTTATTTATAGAGGATGATAAGGGTAATATCGTCATTGTGTCATTTGTATAGATGTTAATATGCATGTAAGAAGTAATTAAGATTTGAGAATACTTCCCTTATCTCTCGACAGTTCTTTGCCAGGCAACATTCTATAATTTAATATACGCACAAAACGCATATATCAAAAATGTATGACCTACAAATTGTTCCAAGATTTATATATAGATACATGTGAGTCCATTTCTAACAAAAAAATAAAAAATAATCGTGAGTCCACATATAGCAAAGATTCGATTATTCTTTGAGCTTAACATATTTTCTAATCTACAATAAATCGGACATATATAAGCAAAAATTCTCACAAAATATCTGTTACTTTTATGTGGGGGTGAAATCTCGTTGAAAATAAATTGCTTATATGATTGTGTAAATAAATATTAAATATTATATTAGAGAAAATGATTGTATAGACAGTTGAGATTTGAGAACATTCTCAAGCAAGGGCCAAAAAGGCATGATTCATGCGTGGACAAATTGGTACTTGGTGTACTACATCTTTACTTATTCTTTGCTAATAATTTATCTCAGCATTAAAAAAGATCATATTAGTAGTACTAACAGTTTTTTTTTTTTTAGCAAATCTTTACGCATTCGGTATTCAAATCCAATTCAGGAGATCGAATGTTGCATATCTTTTGGAATCGAAGGTCACAATTACGCATTCATATAGGATCAAACAAACAAAATGGATAAATCTGAAACTGTTTTTTGCTTACAAATATTTGGAATCAAGAGAATCTTATTGATCTTGTAGAGTTGACATTCGAGATTAGTCATAGGAAGTACAGTTGACTTTTAGAATAACGAACACAAGTACAGTTGACTTATACTTAAAGAGCGGTACAGTAGTACAATCTACAGTACCACTAGATTTATCCCTTATATATATTACTATAAGATTAATTAATGTGAAAGTCTGACATATTTTTCGTTCGACCAATGAAAATGGTTATTGTTTATTTATGAGATAAATAAATGCATTAAATAAAACAACTGAGACGTGTGCAGTACTGTTATCGCACGAGAACACTTGATTCTGTAGGAAAGACAAAAAATCACAACTAATACTAATTAGACAAGAACAATTACAATTACAGCTTCAGAATCTACGAACATTAAACCTGTTTAGAAACTTAATTATAATCGTTTGAGGACCAAAACTCCAAATCCAATTCCGAGAAAAGTTGCAATGGAGACTCCGAAAACGCCAGAGAGAATCCCTGGGACGACGAGAGAAGTCCATCCTTTTGCGGTGGCCATGGCACAAGCAGTGGTTGGTCCTCCAATGTTAGCGTTTGATGCAAGAAGCAGTAGCTTCATGTCTACACAGAATAGCTTTCCTAGAAACAAAGTCACTGCGAGATGAGCCATTACTTGAATTGCAGCAAAGAGGAAGATACTTGGTGCAGTGTTGATTACATTCCATACACTCCCTGTAGCTCCTAGAATCGTGAAAAATACCTGAAACAAAAGGCGAAATGAGCCACTACATTGCAGCGAATGATAGATCCCTAGTTTAGTTCTAGTGGATCAAGTATAAAAAAAAAGAGATACCTGCATGAGAATGAGAGAGATGGTTTCAGCAGAAGGTGCCAGAGAGTTGAAGAAATCAGGGAAAGAAGTTGCCAAGATGATGGTGATGCCTGTTACTGCAGGAAGCATGCCTCCTTGGATCTTAAATAGCTCTGTCATCGATATTGCAGCTTTACATATGAGGAAGGAAACTGATAATGCAATCGAAGTTGAAACCACTCTGTTCTTGTCCTCGACTTTCTCATCCTTACTCATGTCGGCATCTGCCAGAGAAAGGACCACATACAAGAACTTGAGTAGAAGCGTCTGAGAAAGCTTTAAAACATTGCAACAACACCATAAAGCGTGATCATGATGAACATATTACCAGGTGAAGATGCTGAGGTGGTCTCAGGGGGTATCTTTGAGGCCAATGCAAACAAAACCATAAAGTGTAAAGCGCATATGACGTTGTCCACAGCTACACCCGCCGCTATAACAGACGGAGATATGCGCAGAGCCTCCGATATCGCAACGAAATTAAGAGCTGCAGAGAGACAAACAAGAACCAATTGTTCTCTTACCTCACGAGGATCCATCTCACGAAGTTGTGAGAAACATTTCACGGGCCAATTTAGTACTCTAAGCGAGAATGTCGACCGTTGAAATCGAGTAAAGCTAGAAGCTTTTTTAACCGATGAAGATCAACATTGAGTTCCTCTGTATGTTAACAAAGCCAAAGAAGCAATGAAGAGGCTCCAAAAAACTTACATCCTCCAATGTAGCTGCCCATAAGAGCAGCTGCTATTTTCCAGTTATCCGGACCAAGTGATCTCATCGGTACCAGCATAAAAGCCACCACGGTTCCCACAACCGTCGCAACTGCCACGAACCAACTATAGATTAAAATGTCACTAACCACACCATCAAATGCCAAATTGTGGCTTCATAAAAGAGCAATCTTTTAACAACACTCTGATTTGGAGCAATCCTTGATTCTCAAAAGCCTGTCCAAAACTAGTCCCAAGCCTAGAGCTCACATGTGAACAGAGGCAATTTTAGCCACCACCACAACCAAAATCTTGGCTTTAAGCAAATGCTAAGTCTTACCCGATCCAATTAAGAAAGCAAGGAGCAGTGACCCAGTTGATCGGATAATACGACGGAGATCAGCTCTGAACAACAGCAATGGAATCGTATGCGGCAAGAGGAACTCCATGAAGAAGGAATACGACGGCGTTTCGAACGGTATGAGCCCTAAGTTGCTCGCGGCGAGCCCAATTAACGTGCTGGTCAACGCCCCACTCACCATACTCCCAATCTTCGTCTTCTCCGACCTCAAGAAGCAGGTAATGTCAAACTGAATCAGTGTGATAGAACTTGAAGTCAGAGTTGAGCTGATTACCAGACACCGAACGCGCCGGCGGCGAAGAGAGCTGCCCATTGAGCCCAGTGATCGTCGGGTGAGATCAGAGGGAATCGCAGTTGAGAGTAAACCTTCACACGCCGAGACGAAACATGACTCGGTGGAGGAGACAGCGAAGGGAGCGATCCCGGTGATTTGTTTCGGCGGATGGAAATCGACGATAAGCCGTGGCGGGAAGGAGACACGTGGTGCAATGCTAATGCCGGTGACAGTGGATTTGGTGAAACCACTGTGAATACGAGTGCCATAGATGGAAGCAAAGCACTTGGATACAAAAAAGTTAGGAGTCCATTATAAATAATATTGTTACTGGACCTATGGAATCGGGTTCAGTGGCCCATTTGAGCCCACATAGAACTGCAAATAACTCCTCACCCCTAATATGTAAGTTTAAAGCCTAAATTGACATCACTACTAATAGCGTATAAGAATAATTAATTTCTTCTCTCTCTTTTTTTTTTGGCGCTTATAAGAATGATTAACTAAAGTTTTCGTTCTTTACCAAATCAGTAAAATCAATTATTTGAAAAACAAAAACTTTTGATAATTGATTGCCACCAATAACAAACAAAAGCAGGTTAATCTAGTTTTGGTTTCCCATTGTTAGTTGACGAAATTCGCTGCCTAATGATTCGGAACACTTTCTCTTTCACTGACCTTAGTGGAAAATACGAAATGAATACAGAGAAACGCCAGCGAAGACGCACTTTCTAGTCTCTCCATCTTCTTCTCTTTCTCTTTCTCTTTCTCTCTAACATCAACAAAACTTTCTCAAAACTCCCCCAAAGCTGCTTCCAATGGCGTTTCCCATAAAGCTTATCTTTACCCTCCTCTCCTTCTCCTATTTTCAACTCTTTTTAGCTGCTTTCACTCCAACTGATAACTACCTCCTTAATTGCGGCGCTAATACCAACGCGTCTTTCTTCTCCATCCGCTCCTTTATCGGTGACTCCTCACGCCCTGGCTCGGATTTTCTCTCCGCCCATCGATCCGTCTCGCTTTCCGACCCGAACCCACCTCCAGATTCACCGGTTATATACCACACTGCGCGTGTCTTCTCCGGCGGATCATCTCCATCCTTCGCATATAAACTCGGCGTCACAAGCAAACGCACTCACTTCATCCGTCTCCATTTCGCGCCGTTTAAAGCTCCAGGCTTTAACTTAGCGTCGGCGAAATTCGGCGTTTTGGTCAATGGGTTCTCTGTGATGAGCAGTTTCGGCACTAATTCCGTCATCGTCAAAGAATTCATTCTAAAAATCGACGACCCTGTTCTGGAGATTTCGTTTATCCCTTTTAAACCATCTGGATTTGGGTTCGTCAACGCGATAGAAGTGTTCTCGGCACCTAACGATTACATAATCGATCAAGGCACCAAGCTCGTAATCTCTAACTCTCCTCAAATCTTCAGTAACTTGTCATCTCAAGTTCTCGAGACTGTACACAGAATCAACGTCGGTGGTTTGAAATTGACGCCCTTTAACGATACATTGTGGAGGACTTGGCTCGTTGATGACGACTATCTGCTGCTTAAAGGAGCTGCGAAACGTGCTTGGACCACTAATGCTCCGAGCTATCAGAAAGGTGGAGCGACGAGAGAGATTGCTCCGGACAATGTATATATAACTGCACAGGAGATGAATCGAGATAATCAGGAGCTTGCGGCGAGGTTTAACATCAGCTGGGGATTCCCCGTCGGAGGATCGAAACGAGTTCTTCATTTGGTTCGTTTGCATTTCTGCGATATCGTTAGTACATCGCTTAACCAGCTCTATTTCAATGTCTTTATCAACGATTATATTGCGTATAGAGACGTTGATCTCTCCACGCTTAACTTCCATGTGCTTGCGTCTCCGTTGTACATAGACTTCGTTGCTGAATCTGATCATGATGGAATGTTGCGGATAAGTGTTGGACCGTCTGATCTCAGCAATCCGTCGAGAGCAAATGCTCTACTGAATGGAGTGGAGATCATGAGAATCCTGAACCCTGTGAGCTCCAAAGCCGTAGCTGGAAAGAAGAACGTTATCTGGATTGTGGTTTCCTCAGTATTGGGAAGTCTTGTGTTCTTGTCTATGCTCGTCCTGTGTGGTTTGTGCTTGTGCAGGCGCAAGAGCAACAATACCAAGAGCTCAGAGAGCACGGGATGGACACCTTTGAGGAGGTTCAGAGGCAGTTCCATCAGTAGAACAACCGAAGGAACTGTTAGTTCCAATGGCTATCAAACTCTGAGAATCTCTTTCGCGGAGATACAGTCCGGTACTAATAACTTCGACAGAAGCTTAGTAATCGGAGTAGGCGGATTCGGGATGGTCTTTAAAGGGTCTCTCAAGGACAACACCAAAGTAGCTGTGAAGAGAGGCATGCCTGGTTCAAGACAGGGCTTACCGGAGTTTCTCTCTGAGATAACCATCCTCTCCAAGATCCGTCATCGCCATCTCGTCTCGCTTGTTGGATACTGCGAGGAACAATCTGAGATGATTCTGGTGTACGAGTACATGGATAAAGGGCCACTCAAAAGCCACTTATACGGATCAGCCAACACGCCATTGTCTTGGAAACAACGGCTTGAGGTCTGCATTGGTGCAGCAAGAGGTCTTCACTACCTTCACACAGGCTCTTCGCAAGGAATCATCCACCGTGATATAAAATCAACCAATATCTTGCTAGATAACAACTACGTAGCCAAAGTTGCAGACTTTGGACTGTCGAGATCAGGTCCTTGTCTTGACGAGACTCATGTGAGCACAGGGGTTAAAGGAAGCTTCGGGTATCTTGATCCTGAATACTTCAGGAGACAACAGCTCACGGATAAGTCCGATGTTTATTCCTTTGGAGTCGTTCTGTTCGAAGTTCTTTGCGCTAGACCTGCTGTTGATCCGTTGCTCGTGCGTGAGCAAGTGAATCTAGCGGAGTGGGCTATTGAGTGGCAGAAGAAAGGTATGCTCGATCAGATTGTTGACCCGAACATCGCCGCTCAGATCAAACCGTGCTCGTTGAAGAAATTTGCGGAGACCGCAGAGAAATGCTGTGCGGATTACGGCGTGGATAGGCCGACGATAGGCGATGTTCTGTGGAACTTGGAGCATGTGCTTCAGCTTCAGGAATCCGGACCTTTGGAGACGCCTGAAGAAGTAAATGGAGACGTTACCGGTTCGGGAACGGCTCGAGAAGGTCCGTCTAGTGGCTCGAACACAGAGAGGGACAATGGAGATGGAACTTCAGGTATAATCAATAGTAGCCAAGTCTTCTCTCAGCTAATGACCAACAATGGCAGATGAAGGCATTGCTGCTATATATAGAGTGTTCATATAGAGAGTATACATTAACCGGGAAACGAAAATGGTGTACCGATATCTCTGATTCGATTTGTGTGCTGGTATATTTTGATTTGGTTACTACTTGCTCATTTGTTTGTAACATTTTTAATACGGAGGAATCATAAACCGGTGAAACAAACACATTATTTTTGTGTGTTGTTTGGTTTAAATAGTAAACCGGGATACGGTAGAGAAATAACACAATCCGGAATCTCAAAAGTTATTGATAAACGGTAAACCCTCTTAAGCCACAACGCGCAGAAAAACATTCCGTCTCTTTGGAGACAGTCGAAGATCACTCTCCATGGCGTCTCTTCGAGTTTTCTCCACGAATCATCAATCTCCGCTTCTTCCATCACCGCTATCCTCGAAACCCTTATTATCCTTACCACGATTCGTCAAAAGCCACACCAGACAGAGTCCAATTCGATCCGTTCTTCAGTTTAATCGCAAGCCGGAGCTCGCCGGAGAGACGCCGCGTATCGTTGTCATCACCTCGGGAAAAGGCGGCGTTGGAAAGACGACAACCACTGCAAACGTCGGTCTCTCTCTCGCTCGTTACGGCTTCTCAGTCGTCGCCATCGACGCGGACCTCGGCCTCCGTAACCTCGATCTACTCCTAGGGCTAGAGAATCGAGTCAACTACACCGTCGTCGAGGTACTGAACGGAGACTGCCGTCTCGACCAGGCCCTGGTGCGCGATAAGCGCTGGTCGAATTTCGAATTGCTATGTATCTCGAAACCTAGATCGAAACTTCCGATGGGGTTCGGTGGGAAAGCACTGGAATGGCTCGTCGACGCCCTGAAAACCAGACCAGAAGGCTCTCCGGATTTCATCATCATCGATTGCCCTGCAGGGATCGACGCCGGGTTCATAACCGCCATTACTCCGGCGAACGAAGCGGTCCTGGTAACAACACCGGACATTACAGCGCTGAGAGACGCCGATAGAGTGACGGGTTTGCTCGAGTGCGACGGAATCCGGGATATAAAGATGATTGTGAACCGGGTGAGGACTGATATGATCAAAGGAGAGGATATGATGTCGGTGTTAGACGTGCAGGAGATGTTGGGACTGTCGTTGCTCGGAGTGATTCCTGAAGACTCTGAGGTAATCAGAAGCACGAATCGAGGGTTTCCGCTTGTTCTGAACAAGCCTCCGACGCTTGCGGGGTTGGCTTTTGAGCAGGCGGCGTGGAGACTCGTGGAGCAAGATAGCATGAAGGCTGTTATGGTCGAGGAAGAGCCTAAGAAACGCGGCTTCTTCTCTTTCTTTGGCGGCTAAATCGAAATACGAATGGAACCGAACTGAACTGTACTGAACTGAAGTGAGCTTCCTCGGGTATGTATGCATCAAAATCTTTTGTACAGGAACTAGGATTTTTGAGGATTTTTGTCTCTTTTCTATCAGAATTTTAGATTCGTTCCTAGGACGTATGGAGTTCTAATGGTAGTCTGTTGCTGAGTTCAAGCTTTGATTCTATGCCTTTTGTTTCATGAGGTTCTCGATTTCTGTTTCTGTATCTTTTTTTTTATGTAAAATTGAGATTTTTCAATATATCTCGAGTTCTTGTGTCACATGATAACTTTTGGCGATCATACTTTCCGATGCTGTTGATAAAATGATAACCCCTCAAAACTTTTTTATTTATTTGAAAGAAAACAAGTTTACATACAGTATTCTGATAACCTTATAAGGGTTCCAGTTTAAGAGATATCGGTTTCGTTTGGATAGGTTCGCCATCGTAGACATCCATTTGCTTACTACTAACTAGTTACACATGCTCATTAGAACCATAGCAACCAACAGTTACGTTACTAGGTTCCTCACTTGTGTCAGAGACACTGACAACAACACATCAAAACCAAAACTTGGATACTACGACTCGTATACCAGGGGGTATGATCACTTTTTTTTAAAAAGATTTTTGTTGGATTATGCTGGATCACTCTCTTGAGCTTTGGCATTGGCAGCTTCTAGATCATTACTATGACTGCTGTCGGAGTCGGTGAATTTCAAGAAATTCTCGATGTTGTCGGAGCTTGCGCTTCTGAGTTGGTCGAGCCAACGGTGGTGGCTACTCTGTTTGGTTTTCGGGCGGTTACTGATGGCTATGGCGTTGTCATTGGGAAAGAGATCGCGGAGGACGAAGGCGTGGATGATGGTGGTCACGAGCAGTGCGAACACGACTAGTGTTGCAATGGCACAGAGGATAACGCACATGATTTGAGTCATAGTGCTCCTCACCATTGTTGCGTACCTGATGGTTGCAATTGCAGCTCCGGTCATCGGAAACGTGTACGCCCACCAAGACAGCGAAAATCTATTAAAACCGGTTTGGAGATTGTTAAACTAGTTGACAACTAAAGATAAATAGTAACGCAAAATCAAAAATGATATTAATAGTAGTAAAGAAAATAAAATAGATATCTTAAGCTTACTTGATTCCACGGAAGAAATTAATCCGAACAGCCTATAAATTAAAAGGAAAGGAAGATATCTATTAGTGAATATTGTTTCTATAGTAAGAAAAGGTAAAAAATTATATGTGGAACGTACCAAAGAGAAATAGAGGAATATGGCTATGAAGTAACAAACTTTGGAGCCATAATCGAAGGAGCCAGTGATCTTAGCCCAAGCCATGGAAGCAACACTAGGAGCCGCGACGAAAAGGAAGAAGACAGGGTGAAGATCTTTAGGCAAAGTCTCGTTGGTCGGCAATCTTTGGTAGAGAGTCACGAAGAGAACCAAGTAATGAGCCATCCCAACGGCGTAGAAGAATATAGGACCTTCTTTAAGTCCCATGGAAGCGCCAAGCAACGCCCCGACAAAGTTCCCGACGACCGAGAGATGGTTCGTCGGGTTAGCGACTCTGGAGAGCCGGCGTTGACCACCGGACATCCACTGACCGTAGATCTTGAGCTCGAGACAGATGAAAGGAAACATGAGGAGGTACCAAAGGAAGTGTGGCAAATCTGTGATGATGGAAGGTGGGACACCGAGGGCCAAGAAGAGTAATGAAATGAAAGGAGCGAAGAAGAAGTTGATTCTGATTGGGTGGTAGTATTCACGTCGAACGGCTTCGAAGTAGAGGATGATTTTGAGGAGGTAGATGATGGCAATGGTGAGGATCAAAGCGACTGAGATGAACCAGAGACCCTGGTTGATCCAGAGGGGAACGTGGAGGAACTTTGTTGGCTCCGCGGTGGCTAGGGTTTTCCACATTATGGCTTGGCTGCTCACTCCCAGGCACATACCGAAGGTGGAGATCGGATAACGGAGAAGAAACGGCCACCTTTGTTCGCTTGGTAGAACGATCTCTTCTTGAGGCTGCAACGTTACGGAAAGTATAGGAAAATTTAAAAACATGTCACTCCAAAATACAATTTAAGTCTGATTCGTAATTTGTTGAATGCAAAAAAATGATTCCATGTTTTATTTTATTTACTAACGAGCGAGTTTGGTATATTTCTGGCAAAAAAATGAAAGTTTGATATTTTTTGGCATGTTCCCCTAATATATACATACCACAAGATTAATATCACAAATATTAAGTTAAGCCTTTATTCGCTTAATGTTTCCACTTTTTCGTTATTTCTTAGAATTATATGAGGAATAATGCTTGTTTAATTTTTTTTTTTTACGATAGAATAATGCTTGTTTTATTATTGAAACTAAATCATATTAATTCAATTTATAATACAAATAAAAGTTGGTACGTACCCGGAGAGTCTCCAGTTCAGGACCTTCTAAGGCAGCATAGTAACGGTCCACAGGCATGGCTTCATTGTGATTCACATCTTCCTTATCCCGGGGTGGTGCCTCCGGTTCAACCGAAGTTGGTTTTCTTGTGAATTGTCTCTCGAGTTTTCCCGACCAAGTCTTGAACGAGTTGTACCTGTGATCCTTAAGCTTATGCATCGCCGGATTTTGATTTTGATTTTGAAAATGAGCGCTCTGATGATGTTGCTGAAGATGATGACGATTATCACTATGGTGAAGACGATCTTTATCATCGTTGCCGGATTCTATGTAGAGAGACGAGACTTTGGTCATCGGCTGAGAGAGGAACTTGACGGATTTGCCAGTGGACCCACCGTTGTTGTTGCTGTCGGAAGACGAAGATGTCGGATCGGAGATCATGAGAACATTTGGTGAAGTTGGCATTGAAAGTGATGGTTTTCTTTGATGATTGATCGTCGCCCATGGTGTTGTCTCTTTGAGATCTTCATTGTTGTTGTTGTGATGAGCTTCCATCGTTTCTCTTGATGATCTTGATGCTCCTTGATCAGTCTATCCATAATATATATGTAAGATCATTTACTAGCTCGGATTTAGTTAGATAATTAATTATTTATATAACCTAATGTTTGCGAGAGTGGAATGCAATAAATAATTATCATACCAAAGTAGTCGTGGAGGCATGAGAAGGATGAAAACGACTGATGGAGTGAGGAAGAGGACTATTCCCTTTGTAACTGTCAAAGCCAACCATTTCTTCCGTTATTGATTTTCTCAGTAAAGTTGGGAGCTCCTCTTCCACTAGCGTCACAACATTTGATCTATTCTCCATATATTTATACTTTTAATCCCCCCTGTAACAAAAACGTTAAGTGATTATTATTGGTACATATATATATATATACACGTTGGTTGACACATATGAGAGTCAATTTTGGTTTGTTATTTAATCTACGAAAATTAATAATTGATCTTCTGACTTGCCTACTATCATTGATTCATTTATGTTAATAAATGATTGATAAGCACTCTTGAAAGCCAATTCAATTGCATATTTAAAAAATTTAGATGGTTTTGAAGAATATGCGAGGGAAAACAAAATTTATATTATTAGAGAATATTCCCAATAAAATATTGGCCAGGGATAAGGACTTGTGGCGAGTTCTTGATCCATAAAATTATCATCACCTTTTTTTTTTCTTTTTCTCTTTCTAACATCTTCTACAAAATACCATTGGGTTTTACATTTTCTGAAATCACAAACTGATTAAAATAGAATCAGGTTTTCTATGTAAACAAAAACATGATCTAACCCACTAAATCTATCTTACCTAAATTCTCCACCCAAAAGGTCATAAACATGTACCTAAATACCATTAAATTCAAAGCCTAGTGGTCTAACCACTAAGCTAATTTTCCAGCTTAAATGGAATTCGACGACACTTACCCTCTACTAAATATCGTGGGCTCCAAAAAAAAAAAAAAACACTGCTTTTTGTTAATAAAAAACAATCGCACTTGAAACTATAAGTATAGATATGTGCATTTTGGAGCCCTTAAAAATCTTCGTCAATTTAAACAGCAATCATAAAAAAAGAACAAATTTTAGAGTGAAGTCAGAGAAGAAATATCTATTGTTTGTAAATCTGTTGTTTATAGGAGTTTTGTTTTGGAAACATTAATAACACACAAAAAGCTGTATTTTTTTTTTTAAAAAAGTAACGAGAAATTTTAAATCAGTTGTGCCAATCAACTCATATGGTCCACTTCAAAGTTATGGTTCGGCCGGCCAACACGGCTTAAACTTATTTGCGCGTGAAACAGGTGATCAATCGCTGTGAAAACCGGTTTCATCCTCTTAAAACTCACTACATATACGAGTAAACCGGAAATCGGTCAAAATCTACTAAAAAAACTGTAAATTTTCATAGTGTTCGTTACAGCTCACCCGTTAAAAGTAATATTCTATTGGCATTTTAAGATTTAATTTCAGTTTTTTTTTGGGAACATTTTGGGTTTAGGAAAGAAAAAAAACTAATAGGAATAAAGGGATTGAAAAAATACAAGAAAAGAACCCAATTCCATTAATTAATAATTTTAACTTTGAACAGTTTGTAATAAGAACCACAAGTTGAGAGACTACAGCAAATAAGTAATCGCATATTGCCTATGCATTTCCGTAAGAAAGGATGCAGCATTAAAAGATTAAAACAAAGATCATGAATAATAAAAAAAAAAAACCCTAAAGATCATGGAACGGAGTGTATCAAACAGCGAGCCGAAAATAAACACTAACCTGACGATTCTGAGATTTGCAGCCTTATAGCTTATTAATTTATGTGTGATAATCTGGGGAAAAAATAAGGAAATGCTGCTGGGGTTTGAAAATCTCTAGATCTTCTCTGTTTCGTCTAGAGATAAAAATGGTGTTTTGTTGGAAAAGAAGCGAAGACGAAGGAGAAAATAAAAGAAACGAGTTGGTTTGGGCGAAAATAAGACACGTCTTTGTATATATAGATATGTGTTCACGTAAGTACAGTTAAGGACATTTTGTAGTGTATGTATAGCTGTAATTCAAAGTTTTCAACGTGGCCGTCTTCTTGTAGATAAATTAGCCATGATTCACGTCATTGACAATCTCAATTAGTTTTCTTTATTTTTAGACGTATTTATTCAGTTTTTTAATGTGTCATCATTATAATTTTTGCTAATGTGTCATCATTATATTTTTTCTCAGTAATTTGTTTACTTAAATACGGTATGCATCAAACCTAAATTCTCTTTACTATTTAAGGGGTTTTTTGTTTATCAGTGATCTGTTTGGAGAAAAGAGGAAAAATATGATATTCTCTAAAATTTACACCATTTAGATTTTCATTCCTAATCAAAACTAAAAAAGATAAACAATGAGGAACAAAACTGAAACTTGTTCATCTCTTTCTCAATCAGTTTTCATGCTCGTTTCTCAAAACTTCTTTATCCATTTCTTTTTTATTCATTTCATTCATTTTTTATTAGATTGTTCTTTTTGATAGTCACTTATCCAAACTTTACAATAGTGTTTACTATTCCATATAATTAAATAAGTTAATAGGAATTACTTTTTCGAATATTATTGAGAATTAATCAAATGCTAAATAAAAATAAGAATAAAATATAAAATAAAACCACTAATAAAAATATACGAGTTAAATTTGTAAATAATTATTTTCTTATTAATTAGAGAATAATGTTTTAAATTATGAATATAACAATTAAATGTTAGATAATGTTTTCCTCATGGAAAATCAGTTTCCAAAAAGTTATTTACAATAGATTTGACGTAGACTTGGCAAATTAAAATCTTTCAGCTGTCTATAATACATTTTATTACAAAACTGTTTTTTTTTTCAGAAATCAAGTACCATAATAGTTGGGGCTAAATGATACTTCCTCTGTTTCAGAAAGAGTGTCATTTTGACATTTTTCACACATATTAATAAATTTAATAAAAAGTCTTTTTTGTCCTTCATAAATATACTAAACAGTTTTTTTCTAATTAATACATTAAAATAACAAGGTTAGAATTGAATTTTTAATTAAAAATTTACATTGGAAATACAAAACGATACTTTTTGTGAAACAAAAATAAAACTCTAAAATAATACTTTTTATAAAACGGAGAGAGTACCATATTTTTTATATACTAATCCGACAACTATTATATTGTTAATTGCACAAAGACGTAGGAAAGAGGAAGAAACCAAATTGGCTTACAATTTAACATACCCTTCACAGAGATTATGTTGTTAGGTACATATTTGGCTGATTGATTTGAAGTACGGTTTTAGCTGTCACCGAATTGCTTTTGTTATGTTTATATTTGTCCCGTTATATAATGTTGATCATGTTTTAGTAAATAAATACTCCGTATAATACTTTCGGTTCCTGTTCCTATCTACGTGCGCTGTACATGAGTTTTGTCTTAAGAGGACAAAACTGAGGTTTGACCATACAGCAGTTTGATAATGACAAAGATAAACTTAACGAGTTACGATAATAATAAAAAGAAATCAATCATTCGCCGGCGAACGTTTTGTATATTGATAATCCAAAGTTTTCCTAATTAAAATAATTTATCGTCTATTAGGTTGACGTATATTATGAAACTGATCAAACCATTAATCGAAGCTTTTTAATTTATCTGGATCTAACACACGTAACTACTCCAATTATTATCTCCTTCGATTTATATGCTAATCATAATCTTAATTGTTTCCTTAACACGTAGATGACTATTAAAATAGTTCAATAAATCAAATAATTGTAGCCATTATATTAGCGAGTGTATTTTTGCTAAAGAATATCATCGATTATTGACTTCAACTGTAGGAAATTTGTGAGAGCTAGCATTGTACGAAAATGACTTCAATTATATCATAATTTAAAGTTGATCTAAAACTGATTTGATCATACGAATAAGATGGATAAATTTTGAATTGTATACATAATTTGTTGCAGGTGAAATAACGATAAAAAAAAGTCACTTGTCTTAGGTTAACGCATATAATATAAAGTTACACAAAAAAGAATACAAGATTCGTAAAGTTCACGTTCAGTATGATATAAATAAATAAGAGTTATTGTGTCCTATGCTGAATCGTTAATTTATCTTTGATTTTATTTTAGCATAGTCGATTTCTGTATGTGGGTTTTTTATGTCGTATTATGGTTGTATGGATGATATGCAAGCAGACAAAACTAGAGGAAGATATTAAGAGGGAGGCAGAACATTTATTCTACCTTCCTACCAATTTGTAAACGAGTGAACGATAAAAATTTGAGGGAAAAGTGATAAATTCTGATTTTGATAGCCATAGGGCCATGGACCCATATGACTTGATAAGTGCTGTTTCTTTAATTGTCAATTGCTTTAGTCGCTCGCCGACGTAATTTCTCTCATGCAACATAAAATTCTACTATGATAAAAAAAAAGTTGCCTGATAAACAAAATATCAAAAAAGCTAAAATTAGTACTTTTTTTTTAATAACATGTGAAAATAGTGCCAATTATGATCTCTTGACAGTAAAAAACCGGAATTAGGAAGAAGAAATTAATAAGTATATATATGAAACCACTAACTGGATTCAATTTGATTTCAATCATACATAGTTAAGTAAATTAGGATTCAGTGTAATACATAAAATAAGTTTCAAGTTGTGCATATTGCTAAACACAACTCAATCAAGTTGGAAAAAAATCATATATATAATATATCTGATAGTTTGAAAACGATTTTATGAAAATGATATCATACTATTTTATCATATAATACGTTGTCATGTATCTGTTCATGATTTTTTGGTTCAACTTAGATTGTCGCGTGCTTATTTTACTCGTTTACAGAGTTGTATCTGATGATATGTTATTTAATACAATAAAATAAATAAATATGAGCAAACAAACATATCGTTTCTGTCAAACAAAAACTACGGATTTCACCTTCTTACAGATTTACCACTAACGTTGTTGACCTAAATAAATGATACAATAAGGTAATTTAAAACCCTAGTTAGTTTCTACCGTTTTTCCTTTTTTCTTTTTTAAAGATACATCTATGGTTTCTTAAAGTTGTTTGAATGGTTTTGTTGTATAACAATAATTCAAGTAAGGTACTCGATTTCTGTATCGGTAATTTGGCATTGACTTGAGATTTACTAATTACTAATGCTCGATTGTGGAGAGAGAAGAGACCCATAAGACTTGAGCCACACAACACAAAGACAGCGTCAAGAATCAATTGAAAAACATCAAACAACAGGAGCTAGAGACTTCATCTACCAATCTCCAACAAGCCAACATTTGAAATTTCTTGTCGAGTGCAACGGTCCTTACTGTACCGTTGAAAGGAGTTACTTCATGTTTCACTCGTGAGAATAGGTCTGTTGATATGCTAATATTTTGAGTAAATTTGTGTCTTCGTTGCGTTCTGAGACTTTACTACATCATCAAGATTCCTATCGACTCGTTTGTTTTGGTTTCTGTGGCTTGAGAGGTGTCGAAGCGAATAATAATTCTCTCAACTGCGCCTCAGCACTGTGTACTGATGTTGCCTGCAATACAGAGTTCACAGGCCGCATTAATCTGAGTGATTTATTCTAATATCACCGATCTCTAAACAGAGACTAAGAAGACAGAAAACGAAAACTAGTGTACCTTTCTCGAGAATGCAAACCGTAATGTCTCAATCTGCATTCCCGAGCAAAGCCTGAGGTCGAAACCAAGTGAATCTATCCCGATGAGCTTCACTTCCTACAGTTGTAATATTGTATGAGTTTATTTATGATCATGGCAATATAGTGCTGACGAAAGCTATGTAAAGTGAAGTTCCAGTTTCCCTTTTCTTTTTTTTTTTTACCTCTGCTTGAATCCCGTTGTGTCTCCAACACATAGACTTGAGGGCTTCAGTTAGATTATCGCCATCTTCTTCTAGACGACTCACAATACCTTCTGATGCACGAGCAATAGCATCTGCTTCTGCTTTCCTGACATCTTCCACTTCCACTTCACTCTGTTCAAAACCAAAAAAGCACACAACCGAGCAAAAGCTTAAGCGTAGATAAGAACTGATACAAAAAATATGGGACCTACTAGATTTCGGTGTTGTATGATCTCATAATTACCAAAACAAGACAAGCCAGAAAGAATTTTGCAAGATGACAGTAAATAATAAAGATGGAGAGAGGCTTTATCATAAACCTGATGCCCTTGTGCAGTGATGAGCTGGATTCTTATCATCTCCAGCTTGTAATACGATATGGCATTTCTCGAGTTTTCAAGCTGCAATATCTCAGATTCATCCCCACTTGGCGTACCAATGTCTTCGAATTTCTCTTCTGAGTTTTGTCCTTCCTTGTTCTTGTCAGTACTTGTAGACTTATTGTGATCAGAGATATCTGAGTGATCTTTTACAAAAACACGGCTCAAGAGCCCCTGGATAGCCAGGCCAGCAGACGGCTGCTCCATCCAACTTAAAGGATCACTAGAAGCAACCTATGTTTAAACAAAGAAATGAACTTTTTATGATCTTTCACATGGTGAATAACATGTCTCGTAAATCAAAAATCAACTTTGGGACTGTAACTAACCTCAGCTATCCTCCGGGCAAAGTACATAGGATGGCAAGTTCGCATCGTTTCCAAGTTTGCCCAGTCTCCAAGTGATTCATCAGAGTCTGAAACATAATCATCGTCTTCATCTCCATCTTCGAGAACAGCAACCCATTCCTGAAGTCACGGTCACAGTATCTTGTTGAAGTCCTTTAATAGAGTGAGCACAAAAAGATGATATAATATTTACAAACCTCATCCTCTTTGTCTTCTCCTACAGCCTCCTCCCCCTTGTTTTCATCCTCTACTTCGGTTATACCATCTTCGATTTCTTCAATTCCAAAACCAATACCAGAGGGACTACTCAGCTCCATGTCCTTGATCATCTCCATTGTATCAAAACCTACTATTACTTGCTGCATTGAATATGTAACTTATTATAACTCTAGCTCCGTTCAAGTGAATATAGAGAAAACAATAGCGTAAACCACAAAGACTACACTGTGCAGCAGAGTAGTATGCCTTTGCATGTTTAGATGCAGATGAATGGTAAGTTACAAAAAAGCTAAAAAGCAAGAGAAGCTACCGAAAAAAAAACATCTCCTTTTGAAAGCTAGGCTTAAAACGACTTAAAGCATCATTCTTTACAGAATCTTCTATAGTGATGTAACAGGATATGCACGAGATGCCTGAGAAAAAAGTAGCATACCACATAATTATTATCAGAAGTAACAACAGTCTGCATTATGTCCTCATTTTCCTTTACTTGAAAGTATATATCTGCAGCGCATAAGGGTAATTCAATTCAATGCTTGACAGTAATAAGCTAACTGAATACGAAGAAAAGAAAAAGACATTTTTTTTTCTTTCTTCCTTACTTCCATGCTGATCCGTTACATAAGGAATATCCGGCCAGAGAATATTCTCATGAAGTCCAATCCCAAGTAAACCAGAAAGCATCAGGGTTCCTTTTTTGTTCACCTGAACAAGACACACTACGGGAAATGTCAGATCCGCAAAAACCAGGTCTGTATCAACAAGCAAGTAGGGTCAAACTGGAAATGCTGGAGCATATAAGGTTTCTACAGAGGGATGAATACTGAAGAAACCTACAATGAGGGACATGTGGCTATAGTTGAAGACGCCATATAATACCTCAATGATGGTTCTAGCAGTTTCTGGAGGTGGAAGCCTAGAATCTCCAGGATTCTCTGGCACATATGCTTTGATTTCTTCTGAAGGATGATAACTTGACTTCCCAGTTGGCTTCTTTGAATCTGAAGCTGAACCCAAATACTCTGCAATGGCCTGAGTCCTATTCTTCCGCAGGTACTTTCTCGTGATATGGTCATTGTTACACTTGAGAAATCCACTCCTATTAATTTGCATACAAGTCCATCCAAAATTTGGTAAGATTATTAGGGAGGATTCAAATATAACAATAAAAAAGAAAATGCAATTACTCTCTTCAAACTTTTTTAGCATCTCACAAGGTTACTCTGATAGTTGAAACTGTGGCATCTTAAGCATATTACTAAAGATTTTTCACTGTGTGCTAAATCCACTCAACATTCATGACAAACATTGACTATAAACATATTACAAAACTGATTTTTTTTCTTAAGAAAGAGCTGAAACTAGCATCTTGGTAATACCAAACTCGCACAATACGAAATCCAACGCAAAAAAAGAAATGAACTTGGAGGAGATATCCAACAAATTAGTTGCAAAAGCAAATAAAGTCTCAAACTTTATTGGTAATGGAAGAAAGGTATCCAGAGTACCCAGCACTAGTGTTAAGCCGGTGAGAATGAAAAATCCGGCGAGGCGCGACATGGAAGCAGCTTCCTTCCTCCTCTATGTTCGATACAGGACGATACTCTGCAAGCAACACAATCAATCTGTTCGATTCACTATGAAGAAAAGAGCAAAATTTCCGAGATGAATGAAATTCATGAGAGAATTCAACGAGTGAACGAATAAAGAGAAACCAAAACTTCAGAAAATGAAATGGAATGCACGAACGAAGCTCTCGTTTCTCCAAACGTCGATGAGAAGGTCAGAGCAGAATAACAATTTACAATGCGAAAAAAATCAGAGAGATATAGAGAGAGAGAGAGAGAGAGAGAGAGAGAGCGAGGGATTACGGAGGAGCGCCGTCGAAGAGAATACTCCGGCCATGACGGACTCAATCATCAGGGAAGCTGAGGCCTCAAGGGAAGCCACAGCTATAACAAAAAAAAAAGATATCTCTTTCGGATTTTGCTTCCTGGGATGACGTGTCATATTAACATTGGCTATTACCCGAGATGATGCTAATCAAGCGTCCAAAAAGGTTATCCTTTAAACGCCGCGTTTTAATACCTAACGAGAAAGTCTTTCAGATTTGTTAAAATCTGTAACTTTTTTTTCTAAATCAACAATGTAAGTATGTAACGTTGCAAGTATCATTTGAATGCGACAATTTGTGGTGTTCATCATAACAAAAACCAGCAAAATTGCATTTCATATATAGTAACACCGCTTTTAATTTGCAATGCAAAAAATAATATTGTTCTTTGTTTCATAAAAATTTAGTTACAAAATAATTACAAGAGAAATTTAACAATGGGCAATTTCTATAATTACACACATATAGATAACATAACAGGGAAGCATTTGAGGGAACTTCTTTTTAATAATTGTATCTCTGTTATTTATTCTTCATCATTATTGATAATAACTTTATCAAAATAATTTATATATTAGTATAAGATTCACAAATACACACATAGAACAAGATTAATTAGTAAGTATATTTTAAGCCCCGTAATTAGCGTTGGTAACTCTGCAATCTCGGCGAATCTCCCCGGCTTTTCCAGTCAAGACATTGATAGATCCCATCCTGGCCATTGCCAAAGCAAAAGACATTCTAAAGTCTTCGAAACCTGAAGCGAACTCTTGTGTGATCTCCTTCGAGTCATCGTTGTAGAGTAACTGTTGGTCCACGCCCAGTACAGCCTTATGAGACAAGACACGAGAATAATAGGAGCTGCTGAATCTGTTGCTCGATCCTGAGTCTGGGTTTAGGTAAACCAGTGGATCGGTTTGACCCTTTTGTGTTCTTGGTGGGCAAAGATATCGAAGTTGTGTAACCAATGTCGTGTCCATGGTCGGGTCAGGTTTCCCTGTACCCGTGAAGTTATATAGTCTGTTCACTATGTGGCTGCAATGTGTCTTCCCCATCGAGTGTGCCCCTGTTCCGTTATATATAACATAGTTAATTAGATCTTAAAATTATGTATTATTTTCATTTGAAAAAAAAGTAAGTAAACATTGAACGTATAAATAAACGCAAACGTAAAAAAAAACAATCGAAGTTTTAGTGGTAACTAGCATTGAAATTAGGTTTCTTGAAGAGATGTAAAAGGATGCTTGTGTCTTAAGGAATAAAAAGGAACAAGATGATGAGATACCTAAAAGAGTGGTCATGTCCAAAACGTCAAGACCTTTGGAATTGAAGTATGCCAATGACTCCTTGAATGAGATGGACGGTGACGGTAGATCCACGGCGTTTGGATTTAGTGCCCCACCGTCCCTTCTCCCGGTAAACACAGGGTAAGACGGTGCACCGGCCTAATCATCATTTCATCGAATCCATCAAAACAAACAAATTAGTAACAATCATTACGATACTCTTCTAGAACATAATCACTTTTATTAAGAACATGCAAATATATATATGTACCATGTGAACAGCATCCCTCGTGGCAAGGTTGAGGATATCAGCGCAAGAAACGACACCGGGACAACGCGATTCAAGAACTGTTTTTATCTTATCGATTATCACAAAACCTGCAAGTCCTCGATTCTGCGGAGCCGTCCTCTCTGAGTTTGGTCCTTGCAAAAGAACCGAAGCATCACATCCCTACGTACACATTTTACATAGAACAAACATAAGTTATCAAAAGCAAATGATGGTACTGTCGATGTTATACGTAGTTATTCAAAAGAAGGAAAACAAAACAAAGGACGATTTTACTTACATTAACCATACAATCTGAGTAAAGAAGACGAAGGAGCTTGGGGGCAATGCTACTATCATTCTTATAAAACTTTTCGACTTGAAATCTAATATCAGTTTCTGCATTATGACAAGTATTGTTGTAATAATGCCAAACCAGCTTCACCGGGGGGTTCATACCCGTCGCAGCCTCCACCGTAGCCGTTTTGGCTAAGCTTATAGCTACGAGGGCCAATAGTGGGAAAAATCTCACAAACTGCCTTGTCATTTTATAAAATGAGGGGAAAAAATCTTCCACCACAAAAACCCTTAAATCTTTTTTTTTTTTTTGGTTTTCTTTTGATGAAAAAGAGTAGATTCTTATTGTTCAAAAATAACGAATTAAGAGATATGGATTAGTGGTCGATGACTGAGGGATATATATAAGGTTTGACTAGAGTGACGAGTTCACCAGTTATGTCCATATATGAAAATATTGTTACGTTCTGACTTTGATCGTTTTTGGTGTACAGTACAAGGAAGCGCGTGTAGGACAAACGCGGATTCACATGAAACCACGTCCAGATTAATAATGAGGGTTGCTTGGTATTTGGTATACCAAAAAGTTTAAGTTCACACTTAAATATTGTGATCAAAACCTCATAAAGGTTAATTCTGTCACAAGTATAATTTTTGCAGATTAGTATTATTTAAAAGATACTACTAGTTTTAATATATTGTTTATTATGTACTTGAAAATACAACTAAAAACTTCTTTACGGATTACGAATTGACAATAGTATAAGTATTACACATCTGAGTACAAGAAAATGGTTTCACTTTCAGCACATTCTAAATGGTCGATAAGCTTATATCCAAAAATCTGCATTAATTCATGTTCTCTGATAACTAAACTCCATTAATTACCCCTTACTCAACAATGGGATTCCATTCATAAATATCATGTTTTGAACATTGCAATCAGCGACTTGTGAGACAAACTGGTCGGCAAATAATATTCATAGTAAAACACGTCGCTTGTTTTTGTTATCCTTTGTATGATTAAGCTTCCATATATATAGATACACGTAAGAAACACACAAACCTCATACCAAAATCTAGCTGTAAACGCTATAAGCCAACGCATTGCTGAAAACTTATCCTTTCTTAAGCGTCAATTGATCGAAAAACTTAGTATTTTCATTTCTCATGAATGTGTGTAAATGGTTACTTTACAAAGCAACTATGTAATTTTATTTTTGTGGTTTCCATATTATAATACGGTTACTTTATGAATAAACTACGATAACCGTAGATATATGTATATAAACAAATAAATTCATTTTGTATTTGACTATTTGTACTCTCATTCAAGACGTCCAACGTTAGAAAACGTTCTCATAGAAATTAAGTATATAAAAATGAAACAGGATTTGACCGTCTCAAATCCGTTTTGACCGCGTTAGATACTGCTAGAGAAAGACCCGATGATTTTGTAAGAAGTTAAGAGTATCTTTTGCCTTCGCTAAGCATGGGACTTTATTTTTTTAAACTATTGCATGGCACACAAGTACCATTTTATCATTTTTGTCAACGCTATTTCTTATCAATTTAAGTCTTCTATGAACCCAATAAGATACTATAAAGTCAGCGTAATACTCCAATCCATGATTTGTGTCAGGTGCTAGCTATATATACAGCAAAAGGTTTCCTACAAGTATGAAGTATAGAATAAACTAGACATTAATAACATTTTCTTAACTACGCACAACGCTGTAGAGAGTGAAATGCCACCTTTTGACTAGCCCCAATCGAGAAAGAGAAAAAATCTCAAACTATCAAATGCTAAAATATTAAAAAAACTACCTAGGAGACATTGTAGAGTAACTACAAGTAGCATGAGACCGAGATGAAGAAATATAACTTTGAGAGGTTGTAATTGTATTAACAGTGAGAGAGCTAAGCTGATTATTAATCTCTCGCCTCATCGCTCTATACACATCCTCCAATCCTTCTTCTATAAGCTCTAGAATCGTCTGAGGCATCGGAGGCAAGTTTATCTCGTCCGATGAACCTTCTAGAAGCTTTACCACCTCTCCCATAGACGGCCTCATCGATACTTCGTCTTGTATGCACCAGAAAGCCACCTTAAGAGCTTTCACTACTTCTTCTTCCTCTGCTACTCCTTGTAGCCTCCTGTCCACAACTTTCAAAGCCGTCCCGTTCGTCAGTTCCTACACATTATATTCAACGTTATACAAATATCATTAGGCGTTATAACCATAAGAATTTGAACATATGTATATAGCCACAGATTTTGAGACATTTTTTTGTGTAAATTGTGATAGTACCTTGTAGGCCCATCCAGGGTAAAAGAAATCCTCAGCGTCATAAGACATATCAAGATTTCTCCTACCACCAACGATCTCGAGAAGAAGCATTCCATAGCTATACACATCTGCCTTCACTGTGATCGGACGGTTACTCACCCATTCCGGCGCTAGATACCCTCTCGTCCCTCTGATCATTGTAACCACTTGAGAATGCTCTCTCCCCATCATCTTAGCCAGCCCAAAATCCGATACCTTAGGACAAAAGTTTGCATCCAACAAGATGTTTTCGGGTTTAATGTCGCAATGAATGATTCTGTTCCTACACTGCTCATGAAAATACGCAATCCCCTGTGCAGTCGCCACCGCTATTTTAAAACGTGTTTGCCAATCAAGAAGCCTGGCCGTCCGATTCGAAGAGAATATCCATTTGTCTAATGACCCATTTATCATGAACTCATAAACCAGAAGCCTGAAATATACCAAAATGCATTCTCCTCAAATCTTTTTACTTAAAAAGCAGAGTGAATTTTATTGTAAATGTTTTAAGGTTCATCTTTTTAATCTTACCGGTGTGAGTCTTCGGAGCAGTAGCCGCACAAGCGAACTAGGTTCATGTGATGCATTGAACCGATGGTGTTGACTTCAGTGATGAACTCTCGCTCTCCATGAGATAACACTCTGTCTAATCTCTTCACCGCAACCAGCGTTTCACCCGCTATTCTTCCTTTGTATACTGTCCCGAATCCACCTGCCATCATAAATTAAAACGAAATAAAAAAGATTTAATAAAAAGGTTAAAAGTTGCTATAAGATTCAAATACAAATTCATAATTCTGACCTGATCCAAGAAGTTGGGAGAAATTGTTAGTAGAGTTCTGAAGATCTCGGTAAGTGAAACTCACAGGGAAATCACAAAGGATTAGCGAGTTCTTTGAGGCTTTCTTTAGTGTTCTCTTTCTATCTACATTATAGTATAACAGCATCCCAAGTAGTGCCACAAGCACAAGCATCCCCACAACTATAGGAATCACCAGAACCTTTTGTCTTAATCCATGTCTCTTATGCGATTTAGAATCGTTGTTATTATCATGATTCGAATTCGAGGGATAAGACTCATTAGCTCTAGTCTTCACGAAAAGTGTCGAACCAGGATCTCGAAACCCGCCAAAATTCAGACTCTTTAGAATCCAACAGTAAGGCTTCTCATCATCTAAACCGTAAACCGAAGCCACACATTTGCAATCCGATAAACACATCTCACCGCATTTCCTCACGTTCCCGATATCGCTGTAATTCTCGATAACAGAACGTTTTGAGAAATAGTAGTTGGTCTCTTGGACCGTCGAGATCTTGAACGTACCGTTACGATTAATGTTGCTCTCACATTCTTGGACCAGCGATGAGTTGTCTGAACAGAGTTTAGCGTTTTCTTGATCAGGAAGCTTAACCGAACCGGGCAAACATAAACAGTCGGCGTTTTTCTTGGTTCGGTCCAGATTGCATACCCCGTTACCGCAAATCCCGGCTATGTCACACGGGTTTGATACAGCTGCCCATTCAGGTACCCATTGGCTTGAACCGTTCATGTCGTTGTCCCATCGGTACAGCCGGAGATTACCGTAGTTCTCTAATACCAATCTCCGCAGAATCGGTTTTTTCGTTAACCGGGAATCACTACTATTGTTATAGTTCCGATTTTCGTCAGCCGGATTCTTGTAGACGTACACTGCTCCTGCAGAGGATTCTCCGTAAACTATCTTGAAGCTTCCGGTATCGTCAAGAATGGCGGTAACATCTCCGGTAACATTTGAAATCTCTGGTCCGGACCAGTACGAGTAGTTTGCGTGAGGGTCAAGATTGATGCTGTAGGTTAGGCCGAGACTAAGCGAAGTGTGTTGCTGCAGCATTTTCAGGGAGTAATGGCCGTGACGCGACGGGGAAGGATTAGAGGTTAACTCTAGAGAAACGGTTAAGGGTTGCTTTGGGAGGAGAGTGTCAGAAGGTTGCGAAAAGCTTTGCCAAATGGCCGGAGCGGCGGTAACTTCGGTTCCAAGGAGGAGGAAGTTGCCGGATTCGGACATAACCGCCGATTGGACGCCGTGGTTTGAGGTGTTTGAGGCCCAGACGATGGTGCTTTGGTCGGAGAGTATGAGGTTTCCGGTGGGTTGTAGCTCCAAGACAGCTTCTTTTGTGACTGGGGAGTTTCTATATTTTAGATATTTGTATTTTTGAGTGAACAACATATTGTGGAATATTTCTGATTATAGTCAAATCGACTAAAGAAAATATTTTTGGCCAGAATCAAATTTGTATATGAACTTGCAATAACTAAAAATCAAAGGATTATGTGTGTACCTATTGGGAGACCAAACGATGGCTGGATCACCAGGAAGTTGTGCAAACCAAATGCTCAGTAAGAACCGGTCGGTTGGTTTAAACCGAGTAAACCCGATTGCAAAAGTACCGTTAGCGGAAGCCCATACCCGGTTTGGTTCACTAGCTAATATCTTTGAACCCAAACCGATGTGTGGTTCAGTGGCCAAGCCAACTTGAACCGAGCTAATTAAGAACAGACAGAAGAACGAGAACCAGAGACTTATGAAAGGAGAATAAAAATGAAGTGAAGACATAGCAGAATCTTGTAACGAGAGAGAAGAGGCTAAAAAATCGTTGTAACATTTGCTTTAGTATTCTTTATATATCACCCATTTATGGTTTGAACGCAGTTAGAGAGATGGTTCGGTGGGAGAACTTCGAAGAATGACATTTTGGCACGTGTCTTTGTGGGTGAGCTAAATTTTGACAAATACTCATCGCTTTCATAAAAGGTCGGTTCGAAATAATTGACAATCTTGGATATGGCGGCACCTGTTTTCTGTCTTTCTATTTTTTTTTATTGATCTCTTTTACTAGTACCAAAACTCCAACTTTAAGAAAAATATGAATGTTTGATAATAATGCCTTTTTTACAAATTTTGTTAAAATGTGTTCGTGAAACGGAAGGTATCGCATTAAATAAGCTTTCGTCTATATAAAAAACCAACACCACCACACATGCGCATACACACAACAATTCTTCATAAATCAAACACGAGAGAAATGATACATACATACAATTATTAAAGGTCATTAAGATTCGTTTCACACGCTAGCGAGTATAGATGAACTGTATCCATTTTTATCATCCCAGAATTTAGACCAAAGCATGACGCCTCCATATTTCCGTGACTTCTTTAGAATCGGAAGAATCTGCGAAATCAATACGTCCGGCGGAATGTATCCACTTCCGGCAGCTTCAGGAGCCGCCGGAAGACCTAGAAAGATTTTCTGAGCAGTGACAGAAGTGGTCCACGTGTTCCACGAATCGAAAAGGCTTTTAGTATTACCAAGAGTGTATTGACAAGGTGGGTTGTTGTAGAATTGGACCCAAACATAATCGAAAAGTCTTGTGTTAAGAGGACTTCCCATTAATCTGTCTGGAAATGGACACTGAGGAGCTCCCGTTAGATACACTTTTCTTCCTCGGTTACAAAATTTTGAAAGAAACCTGTCCAAAATTACAAATAAAAATTTGAGTTAATTATAACACAAGTCAACAAATATGAAGGTTACCCTATCTCTACAATCTTTGTCATAAACATCTAGTTTTGATAAATAAGTAAAAACGATTTTTTCAATTTTCAACGTTTTAGATAACACTTAATCAAATTGATTCCCAAAATACTACCTAGCAAGATCATCCCAATGTTGAGGTGAGCCAAGCTCTATATTGAAGTCGATACCGTCAAGAACAGCATCACCTAAGGGACGTGACGATGATTTTCCTCCCAAAAAGTTGTTCCACAAATAATTCGCGACCACTTTCGCGTCCTCCGTAGACCCGATGGAGTAGTTTCCGATCCCGCCACCGAGAGACAGCATAACCTTGTAGTTAATATTATTTAGTAACCATGACTAAATCTAAAATAAATGTGATTCCGAACTACTTAATTATAGGATCAAGATTTATAGAGAGAAAAGTGGTATGGTTTAGAAGGGTTATTGACAAAATAATTTCGGTTGCAAAATATGAAAATTATTACGGCTTGTGATCGGATAGATTAGTAATAGCATGTAAAGTAGTACTTTGTCACAGATTTTTTTTTTTTTTTTTTTTTAAACATGCGTATACTGAGATTATTTTGCAAACAACCTCCTAACTTTTGGCTATTATATTTAGCAAATTAGGATATTTGAATGGACCGACCTTGATGCCCCGAGACTGACAATCTTTGACCTCAGAGCCAATATGGGTGCACGTGTTGGCCGCCGGGTTGCAGTGGCCGGCGAGGTTGAGCTCCGGCGTTTGGCCGTTTCCAAATTTCACAAGAAAGGCGACGTTGACGTAAGCATACCTACCGGTGGCACACGTGGCCGAGAGATTACCTTCGTTGCCGTTTTGGCCCCAGTAGATGGCTATGCTTCCGGATGCATCGGAGGGTTTGGTAACAAAGCAGATTATGAAGAAGAGAAGAGATATAACAGGCTTGCAAAGATTTATGTTAGTCATATCTTTGTTATTGATGTTTTGTCCTCTTCTTGTTTGTGTTGTTTGCTATTGCTTAACTTTTTTTATAAAAGACTTAAGTTCCCAAGGAAAGATGTAACTCTTGTTTGCTTTTCCTTTATTTTATTTTTAGAAATAAAAATCTTATCTGTTTATTTTATAATGTCTCTCACACACATTGCATGACTTTAATTGGTTCTTTGTTTTCGTCAAATTATATCGCTTTACGACTTGCAGATACAGATCTCAAACACTAAGAAGCCATCTAGAATCTCTGACAACTAACTGTAGTGTTTTGAGGAAATCGAGAATGATAAATTTCAAAAGGTTCGTCGATCAATCAGCAATAAAATTTTGTAACTGAAGAAATCGGAAAAAGACTCATAAGTTTGTTTTATGCTGTGACACGAATGGTCCATAATACAATATTTCGGTTTACAAGTACTGTTTATTCCTTTTCCCAAATTTACAAGTACTGTTACGAAAGAAAACAAAAAGATTTGTCTTACGGAGAATACATCGGAATACTATACCTTTCAGTCAGGAGCTCACGTTGTGCTCATCGACATCATATTGTGGTGTTGACTTTGTCCTCTTATTGGGTTCTTTAATTATGGCGTTGATTCTTACGTGTCATGTGGCACATTTCAATTTGCATATAGAGCCAGAACTATTTTGGTTATTCAAACCATTAAAATATTATCAATCGAGGATAATAGTTGAAAATTTATAATGTATCAACATCTTATCATTATTTTTACTAATTGTTGTAGGCTTGTAGCTTCCTTAAATTTTTCATTCTCAGTCGGGTCCAATGAAATTAGTAACTACTTTATAATTAAACATATATTTTCAAAGTTTATAGAACGAGAGATCAGACCGAGAAATAATTAAATTTAGCCTTGAAAACGTCTGCTGCGCTCATCCAATGGATAGATGACCAATGCATTTACTAAATCTTAAAAAAAAAAAAATAGATATATATATATATATATACTACAAGCATTTACTAATCTTTGAATTAAAATACTTGTATACTTTCAAAAAGTCTTCATGCCATAAAAATCCTTGTATACTTTCAAAAGGCTTCATAACAATTATTTTGACCAAAAAATACAATCATTGATTTGACTCGATAAGTTTCAAAGCCAATCATAATGCAGGACAGCAGGAGTATGTATTATCGGGTAAAGAACCGATATAGTTATTGGATAATTTAGCTATTTAAAATTTCACGAGATATATCCATTGAAAACATGTAAATCCATGAAAATGATTTCATCTTAACAGGGAAATATTTTGGCTTTATGTGTGTTGATTTTTAGCTTTCTCATTGTAAACTTGTCGTGCAGTTATAAGTTTATTTCTTTTGGGTCTTGTCTCGTTTGTATGGGTGTTTAGTGTCTTATTGTTCGACAGCGGATTTTTGTAATCCTTGCTCGAAAGTTTGATATCATACCAAATGAAGAAGAAAAAACGAAAAGAAAAAGGGAATACGATTCCAATATAGGGAATTTTTTTCATATAAACAAAGTATCCAAATCTGCCCTAATTAACCTACAATATTAGTAGTCTCAGCACCAGCAGCTCCTGCTTGGCCTGAGTTTCCTGTTATGATGGTAGCAGTAGCATCATCAAATACACACTCAGATCCAATCCTATGCTTCACTGAGTCCACAAACTCCTCGGCTTGATCACATGCCACACGGAACAGTTCCCATTTCTCCTTAAAATTCTCTAAAGCAGCATCAGTGAGAGAAGCTTTGTGACCGCCCTCACTCTCCTTGGACTCAAGAACATTAGCTGAGGCAAGTACAAAGTTCTCATAAGCTTTCTTCAATGAGTCCACAATGTTATCCATTTGATCGCCCTCTTCAAAAACTAAACTGCTCACGGAAAGTAAATACAACTATATGAGATAGAATGCAAAAGGAATCAAGCATGAGCCCAACAAAGTCTAAATCTAACTATAAGTAGTATTGGTCCGGTGGCTTGGCATTCAAGTTACCCATGTGGGTCGAACGCAAGGATTATAATCTCACCAATTACAGTGTTAGCCTTCTACTTGACCAATATAGATGCTTTAAATGGCGAGAAGATCCGATTTTATAGGTTTGGGAGCTTAGTATGGACTACGTTCATAATAATATCCCGATTTTTTTTTAAAAAAGTCATATATATCTGGAATCAAGAAACCCTAGATCCCAAAAATTCCGAATTCGTTGTCGCTAAGCATTGAATGAGAGAAATCAAAATCTCACGCGGTGGCGGTGGAACCTTAATCACTATAGATTTACATATTTGTTACAGAAAAAGATAAAGATTGGGGATATGCGATTGCTTTCGCAAACCCAAAGCCGGAGAAACAAACACATAATTCACGGTATTTTTGGTTTCATCACATCACATTATCGTTGCTTGAAGGAATTGAATCTTTAGACCGGTTTTTAGGCAGAATCAAAGCCCTAGACCAACGAAATCAGTTTGAAACCGTACGTGGGAGAGAAAAAGGACATACACGAATACGACAAGAGAGAAAGTGTAGAAACCTTACAAGAGAATGGAGATGAAAAAAGGAGAGTCGATGGGTGCCAGTTTTTTTTTTTTCTCTCTCTATGTGTAGATGAAAACTAGGTCAGTCTTATAGATTAAAAATCAGGGTCGACTCTAAATCTTAAAATTAAGGTGAAATTCAATTTTTAAACTCTTTTTCAGATATTTGAGTTGTACTTGTACATGTAAAAACTCTTGTACATGTAGTAGGTTTTTAAAGTTTTCAGAGCATAGTTTATTTAAGATTGATTCCGGTCCGGGCCATCCATAATGATTTTTCTATTGGTGGAATGTAGATAATATGGTATATTTGTGGGAGATTATTGATCCATATTTAAGCTTTTTTTTTGTCAAAAATTAAAAAAAGGGTGCAATACGAGGACTTCCCGGGAGGTCACCTATCTTAATACTACTTTCGCTCAAGTACGCTTAACTGCAGAGTTCTGATGGGATCCGGTGCATTAGTGCTGGTATGATCGCACTCGATCCATATTTAAGCTCAGGATAAAAATTCGTATAACAAATGTTGATGGGCCATAATTTATAGCCCATTTCTAGATAAGTTGAAATCATAAATATAAAGTAGTAGAATACATAGTTGCACAAAAAAAAAGTAGTAGAATACATATGACAGTAACCAAAATGATCAAATTTATAAGTCTATCGTTCTACCATTTCAATATCACAAGAAAAAAAAAATCAATAATTTCTGAATTGGCGATCGATAAAGTATGATTCTGATCAGTGACGGATTGTATCAAAAATCTGTTGTTATACGAAGATTTAACCTTCTTACACCGAAAACCTACTCACTTTAGGATTATGCAAAGTCTTTATAGTCGTCGCAAACGATAGATATATTGTGAATTAATTATCAATGTGGAATAGTCCAGTGACTAAATATTGTTTGAATGTGTGAGTAATGTTGGTGAAGGTGTTAGCAAAGTTGTTACAAAGATTCTGAACGCTTAACATCATCACCTATAACTATACATGTAACAACTCTTGTCACTTTCCCCTCCGACGTTTGAATAATTAACTGTTGAATATGGGAATTAATGGGAATATGTAAAATTAAGACTTTGCTTATTTAAATAGTGAGACGAATATGTATATACTAAGCAATTGGTAATAGACAAAAAAAAAAACTATAAAATTGGTCGTAATGGCGACAATAAATGAAATTGCATAAAAAATTCCCCATTTATCTCGGTCGTCATCGTTCCTTGGCCGCACATGTAGCAAAAATAATATATATGCACATATATTAGTAAAGTATTACCAACTATATAATTAATCAAGGCAAAAACTTTACGTCAATGATTATAAGATGCTCGCCGATCATGTGAAGTTACATTGCCAAACACACATAAAGAATGAAAGATATATTTGATTTAATAATATATGTTATACTAATCACTAGATATACAAATGATTCATGCAGGTTGCATGTGCGTACATATATCTATATACTTCAAATAAACGCATATACATTATATATAGGATTACATAGCGAAAAACGTCCTTGCCTTAAAAAAGTTTTCCATTTTTCCTCTAATTTTTGAATTTGAAAAGCATTGCAATTTTAGAACTTTTGTATATAAGAAAATCGAAAATTTTACCTCGCGAATTACACTGAACACACAATATTTTCAGAAATTTATATGCGGGAAGAATTGCAAATTATGTAATGTATACAGAACTCAAATTACATTTGGATTCACATAGATTTTGGGGAAAAGAGTTGCAATACTGAAAAGATATGAGGGGTTATATGGTAACTAAAAAACAAATATAAATGAATAAACAGCTCATATTCCCCTTTAATGATTTATAAGTTATAACAATCCTCCATCATTACCCAATATTTGTCACCATCACTCCCCAACTAATTGTATTTTAAAACCATCTTCGGAATCTTTAACATTGAAGCATCTTGAACCGGAACTGTGCTTATATCATTTGGGTGTTGCCGGTATGTGATTTAACCAATATATCATTCTGTAACAATAACCGGTTTGACTTTCCTAAATCATGTTCTCTCTTATGACTTCCTTCATTCGCTTCCTTGCCTACACTTTCGCAACCAGAATTCTCTGTTCTCTCTCTCTTCTCTTCTTTCTCAATTCTCATTACTAGCTTTTACATCATCGCTTCTCAATTTAAACTAAATCTTACCGGAAATTTCAGCCAGTCCTTAATCAGATTCAGTTAACCAGGTAAGTTTTTTGAATATTCTCTTTCTTTTCAATTCGTCTAAAAAATCTGCTTAATTGGCTTGTAAAATTTGATAAGTAATTAAACTCTCGGAATGAATTTATACATATGTCATTTAGCCATGAATAAGTGTACTTTTTTAGTTTGGATTCATGTTAGGCTGTGTGCAAAGACCTCATTTGACAGGAAAAATTATTGTTAAAGTAAGCAGAAGATGATGTATATTCATTGATGTGGAAACACATAGTGTATATACTATATAGTTACAATGTAAACCCTAAGGTATATATATATATATAAAGACTAAAGTAACTTTCACAGAGATTAGGCAATATTAACAGAGTAGGAAATACTCAATATTCACAATGAGAATGTTTTCTTTGTAAAATCGTTGTAATTTACCTTTTCTCATATATAATAGTATGTGTGCGTCTCTAACTTCTATAAGTATATATCTGATGCAGATATAGCAAAAGTCTCCATTACATAAACCAGAAGATTTTTCGCCACAGCTCACAAGGGTTGAATTAATAATAAAAAAAATAATATATGATGAGTGGAAGATTTACCGTCTTCTACTTTGTTTTACTTATATTCTTTGGATCATTTGCTCTGTTTTCCCCGGTCACCGGTAACCTCGCCGGCGACAGACAAGCCCTTCTTGACTTCCTCAACAACATCATTTACCCACGGTCTCTAGCGTGGAACGCAAGCAGCCCGGTCTGCGCCACATGGTCAGGCGTCACGTGCGACAGAGACGGCACACGTGTCACTGCCCTTCACTTGCCTGGAGCGAGTCTTCTTGGAGTGATCCCGCCGGGAACTATCAGCCGTCTATCTGAGCTTCAGACCCTCAGCCTTCGATCCAACGGCCTACGAGGCCCGTTCCCGATTGATTTCTTGCAGCTTAAGAAACTCAAGGCAATTAGTCTTAGCAACAACAATTTCTCCGGCTCCTTACCGACCGATTACTCCACGTGGACGAAACTCACCGTTCTTGATCTGTTTGGTAACCATTTTGACGGTAATATTCCCGCGGGATTTGCTAGCCTTACCGGACTCGTGTCGCTTAACTTGGCTGAAAACTCATTCTCCGGTGAGATTCCTGATCTTAACCTCTCCCGTCTACGAAGACTTAACTTGTCCAACAACCATCTCACCGGATCAATTCCAACATCTCTGAAAAGATTTGGAAATTCGTCTTTTTCCGGCAACAACTTAGTTTACGGAAATGCCCCTCCTCCGGTGGATTCACCCAAAGGTCCCAAACATGGGCTCTACATCTCAGAACCCGCTATTCTTGCGATAGCAATAAGCGGTTGCTTCGTGATATTCTTCGCGATCGCGGTTTTGATAATCGTTTGCTATGTGAAGAGGCAGAGGAGGCAAGAAACAGAAACAGAGAAACTGAAACCCGCAAAGGCAAATCCACAGAAGCTGATTAGTGGAAAGGAAGTTTCTAAACTAATAAAAGAGAAGAATATTGAAGACATGGAGGATAAGAGCGAAGTCAACAGAGTAATGTTCTTCGAAGGAAGCAATCTTGCTTTTAACTTGGAAGACTTGTTGATAGCTTCTGCAGAGTTTCTAGGGAAGGGCACTTTCGGGATGACGTATAGAGCGATTCTAGAAGATTCCAGGATTGTCGCGGTTAAGCGACTGAAGAAGGATGTAGTGGTGTCACGAAAGGATTTCAAACATCAAATAGAGATCGTTGGAAACATTAGGCACGAGAATGTTGCACCTTTAAGGGCTTACGTGTGTTCTAAGGAAGAGAAGCTTATGGTTTATGATTACTACCCTACAGGAAGTCTCTCTGTTCTTCTTCATGGTACGTTATACTTTGTTCAGTCTTTGGTATAGTGTTTTGGCAAACAACGGAAATGGTTACGATTATCAAATGTTTATGTTTAAAATGCTAAGTTGTGGATTTTTTTTGGGAAAAAAAAATTTATTCTAACATGTAAAACACCATAACTGATAATGTCAGTTTCTTGCATCTGAAGAAAGTTTTTTTCTTTTTCCGGCAGGCAAGAACGGCGACGAGGTCCACGCTCCGTTGAACTGGGAAACGCGATTGAGATTCATGATCGGAGTAGCAAAAGGATTAGCTCACATACACAAACAACACAACCTCGCACATGGCAACATCAAATCTTCTAATGTCTTCATGAATTCCGAAAGATATGGGTGTATATCAGAAACCGGTTTAGCTGTGTTAACCAACCCGGCTACGAGGGCAGATTCAGCAACCAGACCGGTACTAAGTTACCGTGCCCCAGAAGTAACTGACACGAGGAGATCGACGCCGGAATCAGATATATACAGTTTTGGGATCTTGATGCTGGAGATTCTAACCGGAAAATCAAGAATGGATAATGAAGAGGAAGCGACAAATCTGGTGGCATGGGTGAATACGGTTTTGGTAAAACAATGGACAGGTGAAGTGTTTGATTTGGAACTTGTGAAGACTCCTAATGTTGAAGCAAAGTTGCTTCAGTTGTTAGACTTAGGGCTGGATTGTACGAATAGGGTTCCGGCGAAGAGACCGGAGATGGTGAAATTGGTTGAGACTTTGGAGGAGATTGAGAGGGATTCTATAATAAATTGTTGAAACTTACTTATATGGATTTTGGCATTAATGATTTTGAGTATATCATCAGGTGGCTCCACTCTTTTTTACCTTTGAACATATCAAACTATCTTGTGATGAGTTACTCCATCGTGATTTCCAACTATCTATAGTTCTATACTATTCATAAGAAATTATTTGGGGGTTAATAAAGTACAAAAATGTAACGACAAAATATATTTTTGTTTTTGGGATGCAATAATTGCGAGTATATTGGATGTGTCCAAGTGGGCATAACTAGCTGTAAAACGGCCTAATGTCTTTTTTTTTTTTGGGACAATTTGTGAGTAGACGATAAATTAAATTAGATTTCAAATTATAAACCTAATTACAGACCTAGTTTTTTTCACATTCACAAATTCACCCAAGTTTCAATTTTCATTTCCAAAAACGGATTATTGTGTAAAATAAGCCTTAAAAAATTGTGGGGGGCAAAAATGAGTTATTCCGGGAGATGCGGATAGTCCATAAAGTAGAAAATAATTGTTCAATAAAATGCCAAAACCTCTTCTATCGCTCTGCCTAGCTTTTCCTTTGATTCCTCTTTTCCTACATTTTCCTCTCTCCCTTGTTCTTCCCTCTCTAAGTCATCACCCAAAAAACCAGGAGTTAAGAGAGGGGAGAACGTTTAACAACAAAAAAATAAAGAACTGAACATATACTTTGTTATATATCAAAAGTAACTAAAGAGAAGAAGGAAATTAAAGGAGGAAATCAAAACTCTAAAATGTCGGTTTTGAGACCTTTCTTCGGAGTTCTTACAATCGTATCGATAGTGCTCTCCATTTTGTTGCCAATGGCACGGGCTCAATCCACAGCTCCTGCTCTGGCTCCGATAAGCGACGGTTAGTTTATAGACTTATAGTTATCATTCTTTAGTATTCAGTAGAAACCAAGATAAAGTCTTCTCTCTTTTTTTTTTTTTTTTTTTGTTCTCCCATTGATATATACAAGATTTCTTTTTTCAATTTCTCCCCATAATATATTGCAGCTAATTATTATACTTCTTTCGGTTGTTAATTTTTGAACAAAATATTGCAGCTAATTATTATACTTCTTTCGGTTGTTAATTTTTGAGCAAAATATTGCAGGAACAACAATAGACCAAGGAATAGCATATGTCCTCATGTTGGTGGCTTTGGTCCTCACTTATCTCATTCATTGATCAATTTTATCATTTTAATGGTGTCTATTTAGTTTGGTTATTATTTTATTTTTTTGTCATTTTGATTGTAATTAAATAGAGACCAGAAAAGCTTATATGTGGTGGAGAAATTAAAGAGGCTTTCTAATTTTTGGAGTGATAAGAGTTTTGAAGTTCATTTGTATATAGTCGATGTGCGGTTAACTGTTGGAAATATATTTCATCGATTCACATCTTTCTTCATTCAAATAGTCAGTATCTTAAACGACATTATTGTTTTCATTTTTTTCGAGTGCAAATGGCATCTTAAATAACATTTTTTATAAAAGATTTAAGATTAAACCTCAAACTATTACCAATGCCATTGTAAAATTCGTAACGACTGTTACGGAACCGCTTAGTAAAAATGAATCTCTCACATTGACCGATATATGTTATAGCTAAAGGATTAAAAGCTTCATTTTGCAATAGGAAGATATAACATGGAGTACAAATCCGTTTATTTCAACATAGATATCAAAATAATAAGGCTCATTTGAAAAGCAAAACAAAAGAAAAAAAATCATGATTAGGAAATTAAGTAGGATTACTGAATTGGAATTTGATTAGCTATTATGAAATCCATTCCCTTACTTAGTGATTAACTATTTAAGAATAGAACCCTCCAAAACCTCCGAATGGATGATTTGGATCAAAGCTTTGATACGGAGGTTCCAAACGGACGGTGGATGGAGAGTTTGATGTAGAGTGAGAAGCCGAGCCAACATCGCGAGAAGCCATAAAATCATAGTTGACATTAGTTCCTAGATCACTATAACTCGTAGATCCGAAATATTCAATGTTCTGATCTCTCATTTGAAGCATATATGCGTCGTTACTCTCAAGATTTGGAGTAGAGGGCAAAGGATAGGAGGCGGTTTCATGCACATGTGCTTCATGATTGTAGTTGTGATGACCAATGTCTAGACTTTCCTTCACGGTCTCAAGATTTTCGTTTTCTTGGGACTGGTTCGGTTCAAGAATTTGTACCGGAATGGTTGAACCGACATTTGCAGCTTGGGAGCAAGAATGTACTCCTCGGTAAATAATCTCAAAGAGCATCAGATTTTCATTAGATCTCTGGACTTGTTTAGTGGCCTCACATCCTTGAGATTTTCTATACGTGCATCTGTAGTATCCTCTGTAACCAAACAAACAAACAAAAGTTATACTAAAATTATAAAATCCGGTATTTATGTAAATAAGGAATAAAACGAACGGCAAAGATGAGAGAAAAACAGCTTTTCCCTGATTTATTATGTTTGTAGTTTTAATTACGAGACTAACCTTGGAAACTTGGCTCCGAGGATATCCTTCTGGCCGTACTTTCTCCAACTGAACCCATCGTCAAGCGTTCTATCAATCGCAACTCCAGAGGTAATACTGACTTTTTGGGTCCACCTTGGCATTGACTTCTTAGAACTATGATTTCACATTTTTCAAATAATTACAAGTTTCTGTTAAACAATATAAGCCACGTTATATTCTACTGGTTTATTTATGCTAGCTAATGTTGTTGTAATAATGTATACATAATCCGCTTAATATATATTCTTGGCAAAAAAAAAAGAAAAAAAATACTTTTGTTCATAGTTGATAGATATGTAGTACCTCTTGATGATACGAGGTTCTTGGTCAGAATCATCGCTCTTGGGGCTTCCTCCACCGTGGGAATACGGAGAAACTTGTTCTGGTTCACCGGAGTAGTTCATAATGGTGAGTGACTTGTGGTAAGATTCGAGAATCTTCTTGGCTAAATGCTCACGTGATTCTTGAGATGAAGACGATCCAAGCTGAGACTTGAGCTGCTGAGCATAGTCTCTTCCTTCGGTCATCAGCTCGTTGATCTCCTTCTTCATCTTCTCCCACTCTCCACTGTTACTCTTCTTCTCCATTTTACGTTTAAAGAGTGAAGTTTATATGGATTAAGGTAGTAAAAAAGTATTTAGAAAATGTGCTATCAAGAGCATGTATGTGTGTATATTTTTGATAATATGTTATTGTGCATGGCTTATGAAAATTTTGAAAGTGGGGAATATAAAGAGGATTGTGTGTGTGAGAGAGAGAGTTTGACTTTTTGACTGAAGAACGAAGAAGGCTGATGTGGAACTTCCACATAATGGAATCGAAAGGTGAGACCGGTCTTTGGTCAATGATTTTGGAAAGTCCAACCTGCTGACCAATTCTATGCTTCTCGATCCCTTTTTTTTGGTTTTTTTCGGATTTCATAACTTTTGGATTTTTTCTATGGGCGATCTAGTTTTATAATAGGTTCTAAGATTCATACAGGTTATTACTAAAGTGCATTATTTATATGGCCTTTTTTGTATTTTCAATTTTTTTTTGTCGAATACAAAATTAAAAACAATCCAAACTCTCGGATGAGAATTATAAAAAAAAAAAAATCAGCACAGTAAATAGATTGATCATAGTTCCATATGTTAACTGAATGATTAGTTCAATAAAATGCATATGATTTCGGATTTAATATGCATAATAATCTTTAAAACCTTCGAATTAAAAATCAATTTAATAATTTAGTATTATTTTAGATCACTCGTAGTCTTGTTTAATATTCCTGCCGTATTTTAAAGCAACTAGAGCATACGTAGAAAAAAGAGAGGACACATGACGTTAACATGACGGCTATTTAATGGCATCACCGTCATTAGAGAGTAATTAGAATTAGAATACAAATGGAAGTGCAATTACGATTATGTGATGATATTGGCTTGACCATTCTAGTGTGAGGAGTCACTGAAAATTCATTGTATCCAAATTACGTGCTAAGGGACATTTCTCATCTAATGTAACATATAAGTTTTACGAACAAAAAATTACAGCGACTCGGATATACAAAATTCACCGTTGAGTATAATACTAAGCTTCATATAAGTGGACCTCAAAACCAATCATGATCTATATAGAATACGGCAGGAATATTATGATTAGACAAGGCAAAGACCCAAAGATTTGTTCGTTGCCGTGTTATAGACTCTTTGAATCAACGGTGTCACATTACTATCAACTCTTCTACGAAACTTCAGCACCGTTCGAACCCGATTTTAAGGTATTCATAGTTCATTCTAACCGTACTCAAATCTGGTTGATTTGGAACTTTATTTCACGGTTCTGTGTTTCTGCAATCTGTGTATTTCCGATTAAAAGCACCATACAAACCGGTTGACTGATTCAGCTTTTAAGTCCAAAACTCTATCAAGGAAAGGAAACGCATTCAAAAACTCAAACTTTACATGTATAACTTTTTCGGTATCGGTTACGTAAATGATACTATAATACAACGATTACTATTCACGGATTGATTTTACGCAGCTATAAGCCTATATAAGTAACTCTGATATTACACATACATACACAACTATACCAACGGTCATAGATTCGGGGAATCGTACCAAAGTATGCTCGAACGGTTGAGTGGGGGCGGTTCAATTCGGTTTGATTTGGTTTCAGACGATGTATTGACGGAGGTAATCAACCCGGGCCTGATGCTTGAGCTTCATCAAGGCCTTGACTTCATGTTTCCTCACCATTTCTCTGGAGATGTTGAGATTTCCAGCTATCTCTCCTAGAGTCCTGTCGCCTTTTCCATCAAGACCGTACCTTTGTCGAATAACTAGACTCTCTTTCGGCTTCAATGAATCGAGCTGGAATGTGATCAATTAATTTCAGTATACATATAGAGACGAAGCCAAAACTGAGAACAATGAGCCAATATAACTCAACCGAAGTCTCTGGTTGATTGTGTAAAGAGATGAAAGATTGAAACTTACCACGTCGTCGAGAGCGAGCCTGAGAATAGCGGGTTGTCTCCGGTTATCAGCTCCTACACCATCAACATCTGTGATCCCGTTGATGAACTCTTCTTGAGTAACCGAATGTTTCGAATTTAGTGAGAAAACCGGTTTTGCGGCTCTCAATACTTCGCGGTATCTCTCAGGTGTGATCTTGAGTCTCTCAACTACCTCGTCCTCTGTCGGGAGCCTTCCCAGCTCAAACAACAGTTCCATCTTTGCTTTATAGATCTCCACTCTCACCTGAATGGTTTCAACAAAGAGGAAGTGTGTAAGGTCCCTGCATAACACTCTGTTTCTTGAAAAGAAAAAAAAAAGAGAGACAAAGAGAGTAACGACGTACTGATTCAAGTCCAAAAGGGACACGAGTAAAGTTTGAGGTTGTCATAGAGCGTATGATGGCATGTCTTATCCAAAACAAACCATAAGTCGAAAGACGGAACTTCTTTTTGGGCTCAAAGCGGTCAATTGCTGTGATAAGCCCTCTCATACCGGCTTGACACAGGTCTTGGAATTTCGGTCCATTGGTAAAATCTTGAAAATATTTGTTCATCACAAACAAGACAAGCCGGAGATTGTGCTGCAATGTAGGAGAAAGACAATCAATAAGCCAAAAAGATTTATGTCTACAACAAATAGACTCTTTAAGAAATGTAATGGTAAAAATCTTTTCACTTAGTTTTGAAACACCCACCTTAATAAGTTTGTTTCTTGCAGCTCTACCTATTTCGATTTTCTTTTTCACTTCAGCCGTGCTCATATTGATCTCCCCAGCTATTTCAGCTTCCCTCGGCTCTCTTCCCAAGCTCTTTTGCAATTCATCTTTCACTTGAATAAGGGCCTGCAATGTCAAACCCCAAACAGAATAAGGCATATATTGCAACTGTGATAACTAGAGAGCAATCAAACTAATGGAATGAAATGTGACTTGGCCTTATTCTGTTTTCTGGTTGTAAGAATACAAAAAAAAACCCAATTTATAACAGTGAATACAAGATTACAAGCTATATATTCAAGAAAAACGAAGAAAAAGAGTTAGAATAGTACCTTCATAGGTTGCATCAACTTAAACAACCAAGCATGTTCAGTAGAAGAAAGAACAGGAGGTATCTTCATTTTTTTCCAGTCCAAGCTCACTATATCATTAGAAGCTGAATAGTCCCTCACGAGCCTGTCCATCTTCTCCTCTTCTTGCTGCTTCTTTGATACTTTCTTCTGCGCAGAATCAACAACTGGTTTCTCCTGAATGTTTCTCTTCAAAGCGATCCGTTTATCAAGACTCAGTCGCTTTTCCTTCTTCCCATTGCTCCTTACAACTACTTTCTTCTCTTCACCACTTTCTTTCCTCTTTCTCCTCCGCGGAACTTTCACTTTGGAGCCATCGATGTCGACATCATCCTCGACCGATGTTGCAGGACTAAGCTTGAAGATGCTCTCTAGCCTAGCAGCAGCTTCATTGTAATCCACTCCTAGTGAGCACGAAGGAGCCGAAATGTGATCCGGAGAATTCTGTTTCTTACAGGGCTTCCTCCTCGTTACTACTCTCTTCACCTTTTGCTTTTCCGCGGGAATCAAAACTTGTTCACGAGGAATGATCAAAGCTGAATTGCTGGAATCATCGGCTTTGAACGCAACAATGGATGGCTTTTTAAGTGAAGACCGATGCGTCAAGAGATCGCTGCTTAACCCGAGAGGAGATCTTGCAGCTGAACTTGAAATAAACACAACTCCCATCACAATCTAAGGCTGAAAGTATGAATCTTTCGAAGCTTCACTTCTCGTCAAAATTTCGCTGCAGCAGAAAATGGTCACAAAGGCATAAAATTTACTGGTCGAAAAATCTAATTTAAGCAGATATAGCTTGCTCTAGCATGAACAAACGATGAAATCCAGAGGCGAGTTAAGAGATCTCTAGAGAGATCGAGCAAAACACCAATTCAAATCTCATCGAATCACAGATACCCAAATGCAAAGCCGGAATCTTTCGGTGAGCATCGAATATAAAGTACACAGGAAAAGAGAGGAAACCACTGATCAACAATTTTAAGCAGAAGGCAGAAAAATATTTAACAGAGCTTCTACTGTTTGGATCAATTCGAAAGCATTACTCACCAAGTAAGATCGCACACAAAAAGAAAAACCTTTTGTTCGATATCAACGAAGCAAAATCGCTAAGCATACCTTTTGTAGAATCGGAGAGAGAAATTTTCTTCATGCGAGAGATTCTTCGTCAGATTAAATTCTGGTTCACGAATTTTAAATAGAAAATGAGAGAAAAATCAAAATTGGAGTGGAACACGAAAATATGTGTCTCAATGTGTACTACGTAAATTATGGTCTCCACAGATTAATGACAATATGCCGCCGTATATTTCGAGAATCTACCCATAAACCCCTAAAAATTCATTTATTATTGTAAACCCCTTTGTGCTAGAGTTTTTTGGTATATCATTATTTCTCATTATATGTGTTTTGGTGTATTAGATTTTGCATTTTAGTCTTGTTACCTTCGAGTGTTTGTTGGAATCAGCAGTTTCATTCGGATTATAATTTTTTTTTGCGAATTGTGTAATTCTAAATCTAGATTTATTTACTACATTTTGTTTGTTTGCACATAATTATTAAGCTATTTGTGTAAATAATTTGAATATCAGGATAAAGATGACAATATTTTATAAGTTTGGCATCTCAGGAAGATCTAACGGCCAACAAAGGCTCTTGAAGAAACCAACGGCTGCGAGAATGCACAAGCGGAGATGACGAGAGTGGTGACGTGGTCAATTTATAGTGGAGGAGACGATATTTCCTAAATGGAAAGGCTTGTGTTGTTTGTGGATCAGGTAATATACACGTGGATGGTCTTCTCAGCAACAGTAGGACCCAAAGTAAAGTGGTGGCTTGACAAGCATCAACGTAGCTTTGTTATAAACCGATTAATTACGTTTTCAAAATTTAAAAGTCAATTTATTTCGCGAAAACTCCAAATGTTTTGTGAATTTTATTTTCTTCCCCTTAGTCGTTTCTGTTTAAATTTTATATAATTCTGAATTTTCGGTTCCTGATTTTTTTTTGCGATTTCAAGAAATTTCAAGAATCTCTTCATAATAGGAAAGCAAAAATGTTAAAGTTTTGGCATGCAATTGAACACTCTGATTAAATTTCATCCAAATCATGATTTCTTAAAGGCATTTTGAGACACTTGCAAAACTTCGAAATTTTAATCTTAATTTTTTTTTTCTTCCGATTTTGATTATACCTCGATGGAACTTAACAACGTTCATTTTTTTTCGTTTGCATCATTCTTCCTTGAATTTTTGTTGTTGTTGTCATGAAACAAAGTTATAGAGCTCTAAGGTTTCTGTATTACTACGAATGTTAATGGTGTTACTAATTTGTTTTGAATAACATCAAATTTTTAATAAAAGATTTATTTTTTAATTGAATTAACGCTATAAAATTTAAAATCTCTTAACCATTTACAAATATCAAATCCATTAAAAAGTTATTTTAATATATAATATAGAATATCTAGTAACGATGAATTGTGTTTAAACTCATAACCGAGATATAAACCAAATCTTAAAGAAATTACACTAAATTTAAAATGTCATGGGGGCAACTGCCCCTCCCTTAACCCCATGTAGCTTCGCCCTTGATACCAACGTAAAGCACGTGAGATTACTCTGTGCTGCAATTAAATTTGATTAGCAAAGATTATACCAATCCCGAAACTAAAATCTGTAATACTTTTCCGTTTTAGAATTATGAAGAGGATTCGCAAACATTAAACATATAATAATGCATAATAGATTTTTATTTATATGACGTAGATAACTGAAATTCTTAAAGTTGCAAACATGATCAAAGAACTAAACATATACTAATGCATAATAGATTCTTTGTTTCCTTGGTTCGATTATTTTTCTTCGCTAATGTATCTTGTGTCCCAAGTTACTCCAATAGTATCCTCTCTCCGACTTCTTCCCGAAGAACCTCACTTGTTTTTCTCCTTCTACTGCGTCTCGTTTCGAGTCGTTCTCGGTTTCGTCGATCGGAAGTGGATCTATGAGGAGATTAGCTGATAGTCGGAGAAAAGTGTCAGAGACGAGAAGCATGGCGGCGGAAATAGGGAAGGATGAGAAGAAAAAGAGTGGAAATTTTCTACCTGGAAGAGAGGCGCTTTCACCGTCGTGTTGTCTCTGGCGGCTCCTTGATCAAATCGTTCCGGTGCGTGTCCTATTAGATATTCGATTGGAACTTGGAAGCCATGAGATTTCAGATTTGAGATTTGGCATACCAAAGTACTAGATTTGGATTGAAAAGTCCCAGTTTAGTTTCTCTTTTTTCGAATATCATTGTGAAATCTCCATTGCGTTCCACAAGAGCATCTACGAATTTTGGATCCCTCTCCGCCGAGGCTGCAGCGGATGATTATGAGACATGCCTCAGACATTTGGTCAAGACCAGTATCCTCCGCGTATCTGAATCAACCGATTTCCCCAAGTTCGATCCCATGCTTCTTGGTATGGCCTCCGATGGCCACGTGGCGTCGCTGTTCACGGGACATGGTCTCTGCAAGACTGCAACGAGAGCAAAACATGGGTAACTTCCATCACCGACTCCCCTAAACCGCCGTCTGACAGAATCACCTTGTCTACTCCTTTGCGCATATAGCTCTAGCCGTTTGCGGTTCTGGGACCGTGCAGGCAACACTGAAGAAGATTGGGGATGTAATGCAAACCAGCTGTGTCTGTACTTCTCTTGTCTGTTTCTAAGAAGAATTGGTTTGATCCCAATTTAATTTTTTAACTGTTATTTAATATTGCCACCAGACCTTTTATCGTGTGGTTTGTTACGCTAATTAATTTAATTCAAACGCAAAACAGTTTTTAACTTTTTAAATTCTTAAAACGGTTTGTGATTATTATATACTTCCTCTGTTTCATAATAAGTGTCATTTCGAGAAAATATACGTGTAATATATCTGGATGTATTAAACTCAAAACACATCCAGATACATCCAGTTACAATGCATATACATTTTCTCTAAATGACATTTATTATAAAACAGAAGGAGTAATCTTTTAACAAGAATCCCTTGCTGCTAATAAATCATCTAGTGAAATTGTTTTTTCTTTGAACTCATAAAAGCATAAAGTTTTTTTTGCATTAACTCCACACCATATTACAAGAAACAATAAAGCAAAAAACAGATGGATCCAGAGTGAATCAATATCCTCACGCGTCACATAATAAAATTATACTTATTAGCAGTAAAAAACTCCCCATGTTTTATATAGGGCGGCGTTTTTCTTTGTTGTTGACCTGGTGGATGTGGAGACCGGTGTAAATACACTGAGCAGAGGAAAAGGAAAAGTGAGAGTGAGAGTGAGAGTGAGAGGGAAATAACAAAATGAATATAAACTAAAAAAAACTAGCAAAAGGATGCTAAAACAATGAATGTTGCATCCTCTATTTATAGTGAGTTGCAATATTGATGCTTGAGGAGAGGAAGAGGGAGAGGGAGATGGAGAGGGGGTGAGAGAGGGAGAGGGAGATGGAGGAAGGGAGGAGAAATAAACAATTTGCGCATAAGACGGTGGTGTGATAGATCTTGCTTCAGTGCCTAGGGGAGGAAACACCAAAGGGGAAAGAGATTCCATGGGCAGATTAGTACTTAGAAGGAGAGGTACCTGAAAATTGAATACAAAATATTTAAATATTTTATTAAAAAATCAAAAAGTGTTTATTAACCGTTAAATCAGGTAATTAATTATTTAAATGATTAGATAACAACAATTTAAAACTTTGCCGTAAAAAAAAGTAAATCGTCAAAATGTTTGATAGATAAAGTAACTCATTAAACTAGTTGTTTAGATAATAATAGTCTAAAATGTTGCAGTAAAAAAAGAAAGGTAATTATGCTTTTTGCACGACAAATGCTCCAATTAGTAATACATTAAAATTGTAGAGTAATGAAAAAAATATAGTTATAAAATGATTTAACATAGAATTGCAGAATATATTATTATGATGTGATTAGACAAATTATATAAAATGGTGGAATAACATAATATATTTATCTTAATTTGAAAATTTGTTATACTATATTTTATATATTATTTGATATTATTTAATTAAAATATTAATATTATAAAAAATAACTTTACTATAACTATAAAAAATAAAAAATTGTTATAATTATTTTTTTGATTTGTTTTCAATATAAAAAATATAAAAATCTAAAAATATTGCAAAATTTAAATTATAAATATAATTTTTTCGTTTGATTATATTCTGGTTCATGAACTTTTAAATAAAAAAACTGAAAAATTAAAATTAAAGTAAAATACGAAAAATATGTGTTTGAAAACTCTTTTTTAAAACTATTTGTCGCATTTTTATGAGATTTTTTTTTCACGAGTCAAAGTTACAGAACTCTGAACTTTTTGTATCACTACGAAATTTTAATTTAATAAACACCATAAATTCTAAAATCTCTTAAACATATAGTACAAATATCAAATCTAAATTTTGTTTTTTTTAATATAATTTAAAATCAACTATTGAATAACTAACATCCCCTACTTTCGGCCTAAGCTTGGCCCAACACAAGGCCCGACTTAGAATAGTAAGTGGAGGATAAAAACGACATCGTTACCATAAAGTCAGCCATTCTCCACAATCTGCCACGTTCCACTAAACAGAACTCCATGCACAAAGCCACGTAAATCTCTGTCTTCTTCCCAGATCTCTCTCTCTCTGTTTCTGTCTCTGCAGACGCATATTCTCCAATCAAATGGTGAAACTCGCGACGGCGCGTGAGATTAGAACGTACGGCCCTCGGCTCGGGAGGAGCAGAGCTGAGTACATCAACGCAGGTTTATACCTCTTCGCCACTGTGGTGCTCATCGGCGGTTTTACGGCGACAGGATTCTCATGGGAGCCGAGATCCGGCCTCGTCCTTATACTCTTGGCCCTCGCTATTATAACCGCGGTGAATGTTCACGATCTCGTGGCCCATCTCGCCGGAATTGATTACCGGTATGATATGCCATTTAATGCAATAAAACTTGCCTAATTTACTAGACTATTAAATTCCAAATATAAAATCGTGGAGGAATTGTGTAAGATATTTCAATTCTACAGGTTAAGGTTAATGGAGTATGATTTGCAACTGGGGCTAGTGGAGTTTGCAGTCCCTCTGGTTCAGATAGCGGGTTCAGTCGTTTTTTTCTTGGGAATCTTTTTCGTTTTCAATCAGGTAAAGCTTACATTGTCACAACATATATAAAGGGTTCATTATATCATCGACCATTCCTCTACATTTTCCACATTGGATTATAAGCGAGATTCAACACACATGCAATTAATACTAGAGTGAAGAGAACTGAGTTTATGTCCCGGTGTGATTACATTTTTTTATTACAATTCTAGCTAGTATTTGAAAAAGGCATGAATTTAAAAGTGCTCGTGGCATATTAATATGATATTGACTATTACGTTCTTGAGGTTCATGTCACAAAACATAAAGTACCAGTAAAATGTTGTGAATAACTTTTGCTATATATGTGATCTGACTAATTGCACTTTTAGTCACGTTTCCACTATGATTTGTTGTTTTATGTTTTTTTGGTGGGAGTATTTAGGCGGAGAAGAAACTAGCCTTCAATGGAAGAGAGAAGCACGCGCTAAACATGCTTATAGCGGGGCCGTTGCTTTGGGTAATAGGATCGATTCACAACGCATGCCAAATCTATGAGAGAGCAGATAGTCATGTCCAGATTCTACAGCAGTGTGTTCACATCCCTTTCTTGGTTGGATCCCTTCTATTCTTGGTTTCCGCACTTCTCAATAGCCTCAACGAATCTGAGTCATCTCATAGTGGCTTGAAGCTTCTTGTACGTTCTTGAAAACCAAATTTACGACATAAAAAAAGTTTTTTTTTGAAAACAGCCTCTTAGTTTAAAGAGTATTTTTTTCAGGGGAAGAGATGGATTTGGCTTGGAATCTCTGGGGCGATATGTTTGTTTGTGGGAGGATTGATGAACGTGGTTAAGGTTTTTAACTTCGTTCAGATCAGTGGGATCCGCCTTGAGAAACTACGCGGCGGAGCACAGGACCGGCTTCTTGAAGGGAGAGAAGGATACCTTCCTCTTGTTGCTGAAGAAGAAAGAATAAGGAAAATGGAAGCTGACGAAGCTTCTGATAGAGCCAAACCCCGGGCCCACTTAGCGTCCAAGGCGGGAACGGAAGCTGTGGAGACCGTGGTGGGATCTTCTCCCACACCGTACAAGGATGTTCTCATTGGACAGGGGATGTGAAAGATTAGTCACGTTTAAATGTTGTTTTGTACTACATATCTTTACCACATCCCTTCTTCTTCTTTTTTTTTTTTTATATATATCTAGAGAGAGCACAGATTTTGCCGTTAAACGGATGCTGTGATTCGTTTCCTTTTTGGATCAGGCTTTATGAATATTGAAATGGTTTGAAAATGCATCAAGACTTCAAATTTTTAGAATCAGAGAAGTGTGAAATGAGACATTTTAGAAAAAAATCATTAAAGCAGAAAATCAAGAATATCAACAAAGAAAGAGTATGTATAACAAATCAGCATGTACCATGTCCAAGTTAATTTGGTTACAAGATAAAACAAAAAAGCCTAACCAAAAGCTCAACTTGATTATTTAGACCCGTCATAAAGCCAAATCTTTATTTGATTACTAAATGTAACTGATTTGAGTAGTCCTTTTTTTTGTGTCTCCGAAGAGAGAGTCTTGGATTTAGAACGATCGATCAAAAGTCAGTCGCTGGCCGCCGTGACCATATAGCTTCGACGATACGCAGCTGCGTTTGTCGGAATCAACATCTCTTTAAATCCTTCATCCACCAAATGTGCACCCAACATTTTCAAAGCCAACTGGTGATTCACATAAGAAGTCATTATAAGAGAAACAAATATAGATAACTCCGTTGTTGAACATGTACGTGTAAAAAAACATATATAGCCAGAAAGAATAGGAATCTTTACCGCAAAAAGTCTGACGCTATGCCAAAAGCGACGGGGAGAAGGAAAGGGAGAGAGCAAGTATCCCATGGAGGTGAGGGTGATGCCGACAAGATGAAGGACTAGCGAAAGGGGACGAGGGTTCATGCCTCCAAGAATAGCCATTATTCCTGATGTTCGGAAACCACCACTGCTTAGGTAATTAAAGCAGCCTTGTCGCATTCCCTCTCTTGCTTCGTCCGTTGTTGCGATCAGCGCTCGTGAAAACACATTCGCCAGCGTGTTCACTGTCGCTGACATTGGCTTTTACCGTCCAATATCAACACAAATAATATTGGAAATGTCATTTAAAAAAATAAAAAATTATATTTCACTTTATGTGGGAATTTTGCGAGTGTCCATCAAAGCAACATTCATTAAGTGATCGTTGACTTAAAGATAGCGTAACAGAAATTGGTAACAAAATGACATGACCTAATCTAGCGTATAAAATGATATGGGCTATTCTTTTTAGTATTTTTTTTTTCAAAGATAAATCCATACCTTTTACGTACACATTTAAACAAATGAAAACAAGCAACGGTATGTAGCTCATTTATTAAAAATTAAGAATGTCAGAACTCACCTTACGAATGATGTAAAAGGACTTGACAAGCTCCGAGACCTTTTTAGTATTGCCAAAGTTAGGCAGTGGCCTGAGAAGATTGCGTAGAATGAGAACGTCCGAGAGTGCAACCATCATCCCTGACGCGACTATAGGATGACGCATATTGAATGCATCTCCCAACACAATCACTCCTTTCTTATCACAAGGTCTCGCTGACATATTCTTATTCGCAGTTGTTTTCACCTCTAGTAGCCCCTCCTCAATCCCTTTCAAAAATATCTCCCGGAGTTTTCCAGTTTCAGGTATCTACAACACGAAAGGGATTGATTGGTACAAACTAAGTCACATGCATGAACAAAACTATACCATAGACAAAAACGTTAAAAGTTAAACCATCCATATACTAAAACTTTTAGTTTTACATCTGCATTCCTTACGTACCTGAGGAGCCACAGTTTTCTTGAGAAAGTTAACCATATCACCATTCGCCATAGAAGGAATACTATCAGGAGGAATCTCGGCAGCACAACGAACCTCATTGCTGGTTATTTGATATATAACACCAACTAAAGGTTTAGAAAAAATCAGATGTAGACTATGTGGATCTTCAAGTCGGCTATTCTTCGTGACAAAACCCACAAAATACGAGGGCACTTCCTCCTGTATACATATTCATGATACTTTACTCAGAAATTAACGACTAGATCCTATCTTTCGTTGAAGTTCAATGAGAAAATATAAAAGTCTATATAGATAAGTGTCCACTCACTGTGTTATCGACGAGTGACCGGCGAAGGTTTGAATAGCAACCGTCGCATACCACTGTGAGAGGTGCATAGGCCGTTGTTTCTTCGCCTGCGCTGTTCTTGTATGTTACTCCTTTAATCACTCCTTTTTCTTCTATCAAAGACTTTACCGTTCCTTCTTCTAGTTGTACACTGCCAATGTTCATTGTATTGTATTAAGAGAATGAAATTATATAAGAGTAGAAAATTATTTTACTCATTGTCAACTGATTTCAATATGAAAAATCCATAAATTATAGAGATTAATTAGTTTTCCACTAGCAGAGAGTTATCTCGACTGCAAGTTCCAAAAACTAGTTTTGATTACGGTTTGAAATCTCCAAAATAAAATTTAAAAAACTGATATGCAAAAAACATGTACGTACTTGGGTAGAGAAGCTGCCTTTTTGCGTAGACGTTGTACCATACGGCCATTACGTAAGAATCTACCCACTGGTTCATGTGGAAACTTATTGTCATCCGGAAAATACAAGGTCTCGTGTTTCCCGTCCTTGTAAATTGCCAAGGACTTTACTTCTTGAGCATCTATCTCATCCAAACAATCTAAAATATACAGATAAAAAAAACGCAAATTAATCGACACGAACATAATTGAGTTTAGATACATCCATGCAATTTTGTGTAGTAAATGAATGTGAAAATGAAGTGAAGAGAGAGACCTTCAAGGCCAAGCTGAGATAACTTGAGGCGGCCTCCTGGTTGCATCAGCTCTCCCATAAATCTTTGTGGTTCTTTCATGTCCCTCTCTATAATATGTACTCGTCGTCCATCCTGCATCCGCATTCAAGTTACACGTACCGAGTAGCTAACATGAAAAAATTACAAGATAACATATAATGCAATTTTGTTTTCTCCTGCATCCGAATTCTTTTTCATTTTATTAGAGTCCTCTATTTCATATTTTGATGCTTTACCACTTTGTCTCCTTTTTTAATTTATTCAATGTATTTTTTTTTTTCAAATCAGCAACCAAGTTTTTTAAAAAGTAATAATAATGTGGACGAATAGCAATACATTGGTACAAAACATACATACTTTTATGAAAATAATACATTGGTACCATGTTCATTGATTTAATTTATTTTATTCGTATAAGTGAAAGGTCGCAAGTTTCTATAAAAACTTACCTTGTAATTATTAACCTTTAGCCTTAAGAATACTAGTTCTAATAAATACACTCTAAAATCATTACAACGGCTAAATCTTACATTGGCCACCACATTATATAGAGAAGCGCTCCTTTGAAACTAAGGGGGGAGATGAAATTATAAAATTTTGATTGATTTTAAGAGTTGGGAAATTTGTTAAATTTGTTAAAAAATTTTGTTAAATTTGGAAAGAATTTGTTTATTTAAAAAATCTATGAAAATATTTTATCATAATGACTTTGAGAATCTAAGCCATATAGGTAATATTTTGAAAGTCTTCTAAAATTTTATTTTATGAATTAAACTGTTTAAAATTCATATCCCAATAACACAAGATTTTAATAGAATCATAAAATCTTTAAAAACCAAACTTTTTGAATAACAAAGAATTTTGGATGGAATTTTAAAATTTTTAAACCAATAACAATGGATTCTAGTAAAATTTTAAGAATAATGATGAAATCTTAAAATTCTTAAAATCTACATAAATCACTCTCCCAATAACCTTCCTAAATTAGCTAGTACCGAATAAAAACCTATTTGAAGAGTGTATTTGATAACCAACAAGAAAAAGGTATCTGAGTTTGATTAATGAAACTACGCACAACAACTGCAAAACTACCAAAAAACCTAGTTTCATCGGTTATGTAGGGTATAAAACATCAACACATCTTTGAACTAGAATCATATACATATCATTACAATTCATGGCAGATCTAACATTTTTAGATATATAGAAAACGACCAACTTACGCTTACGCGCGCATGCATCAAACTAGGCCTTATTGTGATTGCATGAATGCATAAAACCGAAAAGAAAAACAAAAAAACCGTCACATGCGCAAATATACCTTAGCAAGAGCATAAGCGAGAGCTGCGCCTGCCACACCCGCCCCAACAATGATGACATCAGCAACACCGTTTCTGCTCTCTTCTGCCTCGACCTCCGCTTCTGCCTCCTCGGTTGCTGCTTTCTTTCTCTTGATGAGGTGAAAAACTATCCATGTCAGAACCAAGGCGAGAAGCGTCCATAACCACGCGTACGTCGTTGCCATTACCACTTACTAATAATATTTCTGTAGTTTACCTCTGAAGTGGTTTCATTAAATAGGAGAAACTCACAATGTCAAACCCAAAACAATAGTATATGTTATATTAGAGTTTACAGCTAGGAAATCAATATACAATTCGTTGTGGAGAGACATGAGATCAAATCAGATTTACATGATACCTCTATAGAGGTTTACTACCGTTCTAAATTCGCAATAATGTCATATGCTTTACTAGTTTTATATGGTTTTTTTTTAATATGGTTCATAATAATATATCAAGAAATTTCGAATTTCTCAAGAACAGTTGGCTATAATAATTAGTTACGGTAATAATATATACATCTATAGTCTATCGATTTTTTATATATAAATAATCAAACAATCAGGATTGTGTTATTTCATTTTTTATTTTAACTTCTTGATTAGCAAAAAAAAAACACAACTACCGAGGTAGTATCAATTATAAAAAAATATCTTCTAGACTTATCTATCAATTTTTTAAAACAATATCCGATTTTGATCAAGAATAAGATCAGACACGTGTCAATATTTCTCGGTATTTGGCAATCAGAAGTCGGAAGGTCGTTGAAATATAAAATTCATAACTCGTCAGCGTGACCGACGTGATATTATAAATTAATGAGTAAGGAGAAAATGAGAGAGCTGGCAAAGGTTGGGAAATATTATTTTACTAGTAAAAGATAACCGAATCAAATAGTTTTTGTCAACCACGCCAAAGTCACTGTTGTGATAAATTGAGATCCCCACCTTTTGTCTTTTTTTTTTTTATATAATTATAAAGACGTTTCAAAACCGTAATTGATTTTTTTTCTTTGTCATCTGAATAATAATAATAGTGAATATGACATTATGATTTGACATGCAATGTTTTTTGAGAAACTTTTTTTTTAAGAAGACAATTTTTTAAAACGTTTTTAAATATTAAAAAAGTTCTAAAAATTAATATTTGAAAATATCTAAACTAGATGATTTACACATTAAAAAACCAAAGTAGCTGCTATGCTGCTACATGAGATCTGTTGAGGTACATGATGTGTCCCCACTTTTCATATCATAAAGACGTCTTAAACCGTAATGTACTGTTTCTTCTTGGACATCTGAATATCACTTGACATTTATATCAAATGCAATGTTTTTGAGATTTTTGTTTCTGTTTACTAATCAGAAAGAGAATCTATTATGTAGCTACAAAATAATCCATCTTTTTACATTTTTTTTTGGAAAAAATTGAAATGTAAAGTGGATTAGATAATTTAATATTAAGAATAAGAATTAAAAATTATAAACTAAAATAGATCACTTACACAATGAAACAATTAAATATGCCAAAAAGATTATTGTCTTAATTTATTTCAGAATCTATCATCATCACACATACGTATTCTTTCATTTTGTACCTAGAATATGTCGAAAAGATTGTCTTAATTTTTCTCTAGTACACTGCAATACAATTTTTTGACAAATGGATAATCACAAGATTTGTGCTCCATATATATATATATCGCGCTTTATAGCATCAATGTTTAGACAACGGTTGCGGCCATATAGTTTTTGCGATACGCAGCTGCATTTGCTGGAAACAACATTTGGCTAACCCCTTCAGCCTTGAGATGAGGAACCAACATTTTCAAAGACAACTAGGGATTCACATAAAGAAAGAAAAAAAAAACATCGATGTCAAATGGTAAACTAAAAGAAGACCGACACACATTTACGTATTAAAAAAAAAAACCATTATGTGACTTACACCAAAAAGTCTGAGGCTATGCCACATGCGAAGAGGAGAGGGGAATGGAAATAGCAGTTGCGCAATGGAGGATAGAGTCATGGCGAATAGATGATAGATGAGAGAGAGTGGTCTAGGGTTCATGCCGCCATACAGAGCCATCATGCCTGACGTGCGAAACCCTCCACTAGAGAAGTAATCGTAGCAGCCCTGTCGCATTGCCTCTTTGGCTTTGTCCGTTGATGCAATTACCACTTGCGAAAATGCATTACCTAGTGTGTTCACTGTTGCTGACATTGGCTAATTCACCATACACGTTTGTTTTTTTTAATATAATGTTTTAAATAGCTTTTGAATGTTCATTTCTTAAGATTAGTATATATATATTTCGTATGCTCACCTTTCTGATAACATAAAAGGACTTGATAACTTGTGAGACTTTGTTTGCATCACCGAGATCTCCCAATGGCTGGAGAAGGCCGCGTAGAATGAGAATGTCAGACAATAAAACCATCATTCCAGAAGCGATTGCTGGATGACGCATGTTGAATGCATCTCCCAACACAATCACTCCTCTCTTCTCGCTCAATATAGCTGACATTCTCTTTGCTGGTGTCACTTTTATGTGTGCTCCCTCATCGATCCCTTTCAAAAATATTTTGCGGAGTTTTAGAGGTACCTGCAAAACAAGTGTAAAGAGATGTTAACTGCTTAAATTCTTTTTTTAATTGATCAGAGATTAATAAGCCTAATGCGTACCTGAGGAGCAATAGTGTTCTTCGCGAAAGTAGCCATTTCACCATTTGCAATAGAAGGAAAATAATTGGGGAAAAGCTCAAAACCACAACGAACGTCGGTGCTGCTGATTTGATACAACATGGCGTAGGAGGGTTTAGCCAGTACCAAGTGTAGGTTTTCGGGATCTTCAAGGCGACAATTCTTTGAGATGTAACCAACTTGGTACGAAATAACCTCCGCCTTTGCCAAATTAGAGTACATATATGCTTATTAATTAACTAGCTAACTCAAAGTGAAATGACATGATCATTTCAGTAAGAGATTTTAGGCTATCATTTTTTATACGAATACTTACATTGTTGTCATTAAGAGACCGACGAAGGTTCGAGTAGCAACCGTCGCATACCACAGTGAGAGGTGCAAAGGCTGTTGTTTCTTCGCCAGCACTGTTCTTGTATGTTACTCCTTTGATCACTCCTTTTTCTTCTATCAAAGATCTCACCGTTCCTTCTTCCAGCCGCACACTGCAAATTAGTGTTACAAGGAAAATCATTGCTATTGTCAATTTTTTTTTTTTGTAGCATCTTCTATACTAATTTATTAATTAGAAGGGGGATTTCAAAACTATTGTAGAAGGGTTTCTTTTTTTTTCTGTTTTTTTTTCCCACCAATTTTGGTATTGTAAAGTTTGGTCCAAATCCAAACCTACCCCTCCAACAATCGACTATAAAAGTGTACATTAACATTTATTCTCATTACCTAACTTTGGTTAAACCAAGATAATGTATCAAAATTTTCTTACGAAAGTTTGTTTGTATAGAAAATAATATTCTGTCAAGATTTAAAGCTTTCGTCTCAAAATACGTACTTGGGCAGAGAAGAGGCCTTTTGGCGAAGTCTTTGGACAAAGCGGCCGTTATGAAAAGATCGAGCAGATGGTTCATAAGGAAAGTTGTTGTCCTCCACTGGGAAAGATGCGACTGCTTCATTTCCGTCCTTATAAAGTGCTAATCCGGTGGCTATCTGTGCATCTATTCCCTCCAAACAATCTATATATATATATATATATATACACGCACAAATACAATTATGAAAGTTAGAGCATCTCTATTGGGAGTATCTCACCAATGTATCTCACTAATAAAAGAAGAAAAAAAAAGAAAAATATTCCATCAAAGTATTTCATTTAAGAACTCTTGAGATACCTTCATATACCCCTTTTACACATGTTATTTTATGATTGATTTAATTCTCTTTTACAAATAAAAATTTATTATATCACAAAATTACAATAAATATTAGTATTATATACTCAAAAAGAGTATCTCACCGATAGAAATACTCTAAGAAATATATAGTGTCTTTCTAAATTTATACAAATGTAATTGTAAATGAGAGTGAAGGGGATACATACCTTGAAGGCCGAGCTTAGAAAGCAAGAGGCGTCCTCCAGGTTGCATAAACTCACCCATCATTCTCTCTGGCTCTCTCATGTCCCTCTCTATCACATGTACTCTTCTTCCGTCCTTAATTTAACCCATTTTTTATAAGATTTAACCAAAATTAATATATAGGATACTGTTCATTCCTACCCTGAACTAGTGCAATATATATTATTACGGAAAAATAAAAACAATCATCATTTATATAGTTGTGATTCTATCATATAGGGGGACGATTAGTATAATAAAATAGTTAACCAAAGTGAGACGATCCAGATTTAATATTTGGACGCAAAAATGTCAAGCTCTTTTACGTACCTTTGCAAGAGCATAGGCGAGAGCTGAGCCGCCGACACCAGCTCCGACGATGATGATGTCAGCACCACCGTCTCTTCTTTCCTCCACCGTCGCCTCCGCCAAATTCGTCGCCTTCTTCCTCCTGTTGGTGACGTAAAATACTGTCCAAGTTAGCACGAAGGCAAGTAGCGTCCATAAACAAACGTTCATAAAAGCCATTTCCATATTTAGTACTATTGTGAGTTTAGTACTATTTTCGATATGAGAGAGTGGAAAAGGTGACATGATATCTATAGCCGCGACGAACGTGGCATCACCACATACTAATTTATTATAAATTACATAAAAGCCAGTAAACCAATAATTATCTTAGATATTTTATAATTTATAGATGCAGACATAAGATATTGTCCCCACCCCCACTTATCTTAAATCTATGTACAGTATAGAAAAAAAAACAAATAACAGGCACCACGAAAATTATTTATCTATGAATTTATGAACTTTAAGAAAAAGAAAACTATTGACTTACAGAAAAAGAAAACTACTAAATGATGAACTAATTGAAATTGTCAAAGATGTTAGCTAAATGTCCATAAATGTTTTTGGTAGTTAGTAGAGTAACGTCCTGATATTAATTATGACACTTTTTTAAAAAAATTTCTTAATTATGATACTTTTTTTTTTTGAACATTTCGTAACTTAATTATGATACTTTGCTCAAGGAAAAAAAGGTCTGGTTCTTTCATGGAACCATATGACTCTCCAGGCCTTAAAGAGGTGGACGGTGAATGCGCTCTTGGTTCACTAGATTAAGATGAAAATAGATCCAGGATTCTGCAAAACATCTTTCACAACTCAAAATTGTTTGAAATATAAAAAACTCATAACTCATAAGCGTTATAGTTCACACAGTCAAATAATGGGATAAGGAGATTATCAGAGCTCGAAAATCGGAAAATATCAGTGAGAACCTAATCAAGTCGTAATTGTTAACCCCGCTCTGTTGAGTGTTGATATAATGACCCATTTTTTTTAAAAAAAATATTAACAAAAATACGTTACAAGACTTTAAATTTTGTTTTGGACATCTGCATATGGCTTAAATTTGATTAAAAAAAAACGAATTAATTACGCCATTTCTCCAATACGCAACGGCTAGATCTAAACCTAAAATCAACATTAAAACTAAACACGGCCAAGCCATCGAATGCACCAGTGACAATATTGGATTCAGTATTTGAGTTCAATTATCAGCTTCTTTTGTTGCAAAAAAGAAAAAAAAAAATTATCAGCTTCCTTGTTTGTCTATTCGATTAAGTAAAAGTAACTATAGTTATTTCACATTTTACCAAAAAAAAGTAACTATAGTTGTGCCAAACAAATAACATCTTAAAGCGTAGTGAAGTATTTGACCCCCAAAAAAAAACCGTAGTGAAATATTACCGTCTTATACATAATAGTAATATTTTATCTGATATATTATTAATAAATAGTTATACAATAGAATTTTATAAATTAATATTCAATAAATTAATATTTTTTGTTAATTTCAAAATTAATTTATCAGCCAATTAATATTTTTATAAATTAATAAATTTTATGATCCTAATATTATGATTTTATAATTTTATTACTATAAATAAAGTAGATAATCTTTTCTTAATAGGCGCTAGCGGGTAAATCTGGTCCCGCCCCTCTTGCAATCATCCAATGAGTATTTGGTGTTGACATTGCAACTAATTAATGCGCATAGGAGAAAAATCAGAAAACATTTTCCACTTACCATTAAAAAACTTTCTTTGAAAATGAAGCTAACATTAAACCAAAGCCATCATCATGATTGATACCACAAACTCATTCATTTAATAGAGAACTCGATTATCACTACAATTACTTTTTTTTGCGGCCACAAGATATCGACAAGTTCTCCTTAAAAAAAAAAAAAGATATCGACAAGTTCTTCCCAATATATAGTTACTTTCGTAACAAACACGTTTGAAAATTGAACAAAAATCTAAACAAAGCGATCAAGTAAAGTACATATATTATTCGTACGCGCATCATTCAGTAACCTTGTAATTGTGAAGCTTATCAAGTAAAGAAAACCTTGTAATTGTGAATGATACTTGTCTTCCTTCTACGTACTCCCCTCCGACAAATTGGATTGGTACGAAACATCAACGTTTAATTAGAGAGCGGTTGCAGCCATATAGCGTTTGTGATACGTGGCTGCGTTTGCTGGAGATAACATTTGCCTCACTCCTTCAACCTTGAGATGGTGACCCAACATCTTCATAGCCGACTAGTGATTGACATGTCAGCATATTTTTATATAAAAAAAAACAATTGTGTTAAATAATACATACATATTTATTTACGTGGAAAACAATTTCTATACCAAAAAAAAATGGAAAAAAAGATAGTCATTTACCACAAAAAGCCTGAGACTGTGCCAAACGCGAAGAGGAGTCGGAAATGGAGAGAGTACATGTGCAATGGAGGAAATGGTGATGGCAAAAAGATGGAGAAGAAGAGAGAGCGGCCTTGGGTTCATACCACCGAGAAGTGCCATTATTCCTGACGTGCGAAAGCCGCCACTACAGAGGTAATCGTAGCAGCCTTGTCGCATCGCCTCTTTTGCTTCGTCCTTTGATGCAACCAACACTTGAGAAAATGCACTCCCTAGTGTGTTCGCCGTCGCTGACATTGGCTTCACCACACAATAACAAAGTTTTTTTTTTCTCTTAGAAACATTTTGAATGTTTATATTTTAGGCTTAAGTGATTAGTGTGTGACGTACGTGTACTAACCTTTCGAATATCATTGAAGGACTTGATGACTTCAGAGACTTCAGTAACATTTGCAAGGTTGCCTAATGGCTTGAGAAGATGACGTAGAATAAGAACGTCGGACAATACAACCATCATCCCGGACGCGATTATTGGATGACGCATGTTGAAGGCATCTCCTAACACTATCACTCCTTTCTTCTCACTCGACATAGCTGACATGCTCTTAGTTGCCACCACTTTCATCCTTTCTCCATCATTGATCCCTTTTATGAATATTTCACGGAGTTTTACAGGTAACTGAGATTATAATGAAAGTTAGTGTCGATAATTATCAGTCACATAATTAAATCCCAACTAAAAAGATGATGAATGCATATATATATATATATATATTCTGCATGGACCGTTCTCAAATGTTAGAATGTGCTCACGTATATATGTCCCATCTATGTACTAGAAACACTAACAAAGTTATATCTATTCTCTGATAAAAATGTAATGCATACCTGAGGAGCCATACTTTTCTTGAGGAAGGTAGACATATCACCGTTTGCGATAGAAGGAACACTATCGGCAGGGATCTCGGCAATACAACGAACCTCATCGCTACTTATTTGATACATAACGCAGACAATAGGTCTAGAAAGAATTAGATGTAGACTTTGTGGATCATACAGTCGACTATTCCTCGTGATGTAACCCACCATGTACGTGTGCACTTCTTCCTATAAATATAGATATATGATCATATTCCTCAAATTAATTAGAAGCTAAAGATGCGTTTATATATCTCCAGTTGAAGTTCATGGAGAAGATTGAAGTATTGAACACTACTCTACTTTAAAGAATAGGTGTATAAATTTAAATACTCACGGTACTATCGACGAGAGACCTACGGAGGTTTGAATAGCAACCGTCGCAGACTACAGCGAGAGGTGCAAAAGCCGTTGTTTCTTGGCATGTGTTGTTCTTATATATCACACCTTTTATCACTCCGTTTTCTTCTATAAAAGACTTCACGGTCCCTTCTTCCACGTGCACACTACCGAATTAGATTAGCCAAGGTTTGAATAATCTTATAGTATTCAATTAAAAAACAAAATATATCTACTGTATATAATTTATCCATGATATAGAATTTGTAACATGTCCTTCATATAAAACTATATTTTAAAAATACATATTTAAATTATGCTATAACTTATTATCGAAATGAGTTACAAAATATTATACAAAAAAAAAATATATATATATATATATATTTTGCCTGTAATGTTGGGTGAAAACTCATCTCGCAAATAGCCATTTATAAGAGTATTCATTTACTTCTCAGCATCAATCCATAGCAAGTGAACGAACAAAATACTTATAATTAGTAAGTTAGTAGAGTATCTTTATATAAAAAAAATATCATTTAATAGTGTCACAAAACTATATCGATTTTGGTAGAAGAACTAATTAGTAAAAGTTATGGCGTAAGAGCCTAAGAGCTACGTACTTGGGAAGAGAAGAAGCCTTTTGGCGCAGTCGTTGGACGAACCGGCCATTGTGAAAAGATCGAGCACACGGTTCATATGGGAAGTTATTGTTTTCCACCGGAAAAGGTAAGACCCCTTCTTTTCCATCCTTATAAACTGCCAAGCCCGTTGCTTTTTGAGCATCTATACCCTCCAGACAATCTATAGTTATGATAAAAACACAGACAAATTTTTTAAAATTTCCAAACAAAACTTTCTTACAACTTTATTAGTATTTTTTTTTTAATCCAATCGAAACTGAATCTGGTTCAGCCGAATCACATTGCATAAATCACAAGCCATTAAATTTATTATTTAGGACTTAAAATAGAGTTATAGTATTAAATTAATGAAATATTTATTAATTATTTATAAATTTGATGATTATTTTGTCAAAACCAAACCAATTTTTTTTTTTCCAAATTGAACACTGGTCATTTCAATTTATAACGTGGTAAAATTTCAAAACCATACAATTTAAAAACTAGATAACCGAAATGCACCACAGACAAAAACAGAAAGTCAGGTCTCTCACCAATAAAAGGGTGTCGACAGAAAAAAGTGTGATTAGCAAAATAATGGACTTTTTTTTTGTCAACAAACTTTAAATTGTTAATATCCAATCAGCTTTTATAAATAAACTATATAGTAAGATATTAGAAATTTTCAAATGCTCCTTTCCACTATATTTTCATATAAATGTTTTTTTCTCTAAATATAAATAGTTCATAAACATGCGGTGGTTCTGATTCATTTATGTAGAGTGTAAAAGAAACAAAGACAGACCTTGAAGACCAAGTTTAGCAAGCATGAAGCGTCCTCCTGGCTGCATAACCTCACCCATCATCCTCTCTGGTTCTCTCATGTCCCTCTCTATCACATGCACTCGACGTCCGTCCTATGAGCGAAAATTAGTATGACCAACAAGGCAACAATACTACAATATATATAATTTACATCATGGAAAAAGAAAACATCAGATATAATGTATTATGTATATATTTAGCTGTCCTTCTATAATTCAAGCAGAATTAGCCAAAAAATATAAATTTCATCTGTTTTAAAAAATTATATATATCTGAAATAAAGGTGCGCGACATCACACATGTAATATTTGGACGCAAATTTATGTCATTGTGTGTATACCTTAGCAAGAGCATAGGCGAGAGCTGAGCCACCAACACCAGCTCCGACAATGATGACGTCAACATAACCGTCTCTTCTCTCCTGTCTCGAGGGGTCTTCCAACTTCAACTTCGACATCGTTTTCCTTTTGTTGCTTACGTGGAAAACCGTCCACATCAGCACAAAGGCGACTAGCATCGTCCATAACCAAAAGTGCGGCAAAGCCATCTCCTTCAGATGATTTTTAAGAGAATTGAAAATAAAAGGTGTTTTGACTTCAAGCAAGTGCAAAGGGAGATTAAAAGATGGCAGGGGAGGCTATGGTGAGTCACCATTTTAACATTAATCTTTCATCTCAAGCCAACACGTATTGCTCTTGATTTGCCACTTGGCAGCTTATTCACGGCGGGTCAATGTTTTAAGGCTCTGGGAGAAGAAGGATCTCCGGTAATTGTCTGTTTCCGTCATACTGCTATTAGTTTTCTTTTCCAATGAAACGGTTGTTTTGGACTAATGCCTAACACTTGCATTCCAATTGCTGTGTATGGAGAGTATCTGTTAAAAGTCTGAGTGACAACAATGAACGGGTGGTGCAGAATAAACATATAAGAATAAGACGATCAAAAATATTAATCAGGTGGAACGAGCGGAATCAGCGATATAGGATGAAGAAAATAGAAGCTGTAGTTGGGTTGTAATTTTTAGAAATAAAATCATGTGAAATTTAAGATTTCATGAAATTCTACAAAATTGTTATCAATAATAAAGAAAAAAATGAATGGAATTCTATTTTTTTTATTCTGTATAAATTCATTCTATTTATTTTTTATATTCTAATTTATTATTACTAATTACACATTTTTTATATAAATTAATTCTATTTATTTTTTATTATCTGCCTTTCGTGTGTAGAACTTACAAAGTTTTTTGAAAAAAAAAACACCTAAAATTGGTCTAATAGTACATCATAGTTATGTCTAGTTTCTTTTATATAGGCTATAACTGACATACGCTTATTTTTGAATTAGAATCCTAATTATGAGAAGGCAACAGCAGTGATACAAAACAGTAGACTAAAAAGTAACAATATCTAAAATTTTAATATAAGTTTATTCTGTTTTAAAAAACTTTTGTCTAAACGTACTAACGCTTCTCATAATTTAACCATAGGTTCATCAGACTTATTTACCATACTTTAAAATAGATGGGGAAAAAAAAATCTCACATCATCCACGATACCGGACAAATCTCACATCATCCACGATACCGGACTAGTAAAAGGTGGATTGTTTTTATTTGCATAACGCTAAAGGTAGACGACTTCAAAGGTGATCTAAAGGCCAATGAATTATGTCACTCGATCATGGTCCTTCCATGTTTTGCTATAATTAAATGTATGGAGAGTGTTAAAACCGGGGAAAAAGAGACTAGAGCAACTCTATTTTTGCCTGCTTTACATAACCCTAAAGGTCGACTTCAAATGTAAATTAAGGACCAATGAGTTAATGTCACTCATGGACATGGTTGAGTGATGCATCATTGTTTGTTTTGCTATATTAAATGTATAGAGACTACTGACTAGAGCAACTCTTTTTTTGGCTGATTTACATGAACACGACAACATAAATCTGACCACATAAGTTCATCAATTATTGGGACGAGTCACGAGTGCACAAGTTATCAATGTCCACAAGTTTTCCTTAATATATATGTATATATAAAATCATATTTTGAGAAACTAGTTTTAGAAGTAAAACTAATACTAGAAAAATTCAATTTAAATCTAGATTTAAGAGAATAAAGTTCATAAAATTAAAAAATATGATATAATATTTAATTATTACAAACTTTTATATAGACGTATATATTTTCATGTACTTAAAAGTTAAAACTAATAAGGAAAAAATGTCTAAAATTGTGTATGATCACATTTTATTCTGATAGCTTTATATTTCTTAGAAGTTTTGTGAATTGTAATTTAAAAAATGTTTTTATTAAATCATTAAAATATTGTTTTTTTCCAACAAAGGTTAAATATCAAAATTATCGTTCTAAAGATAAAAAATGTATCTAGCAATAATATTACGTGGAAATTTGTCATTCGTTAAATAGTATTTTCAGAGATTTCTCTCCTATAACTTCTATTTTAGTATACAAAGACAAAAAAAAAAAATCGTGTAAGAAACTTTTTTTTTATATAAAAAGTGTAAGAAACTTGAAGCCACCAATTGTACACATACATTCAACAAAACGAGGAGTCCATTTATTATTACAATGATTTTATGTCCATATATATAGAACATACCGACATCCGACAGGTATTTTCCAGTTATGCACTAATAATAACAAGCACACTCTGCAATATGATTTTAACCAAAAAAAAAAAAGATATACAATTTTCAGAAATGCACAATCACAAAGACTCGCGCTCCATATATTCATATATAGCTAGAAGTATTATTCGTGGTTCAAAGCATCGATGTTTAGAGAGCAGTTGAGACCATATAGCTTTTGCGATACGCGGCTGCGTAGGCTGGAGATAACATTTGGATAACCCCTTCCGCCTTGAGATGAGGAACCAACATTTGCAAAGATAACTATAGGATTCACATAAACAAAACAAAAATCAATGTCAAATTGTAATGGTAAACTAAAAAGTTCAACACATAGACACACACATTAACGTAGAAAAGCAATTCGATAAAAAAAAGAAAAACATGTAATAAAAGGAGAGATATAATAATGACTTACACCAAAAAGTCTGAGGCTATGCCAAATGCGAAGAGGAGAGGGAAAAGGAGAGAGAAGTTGACCAATGGAGGATAGCGTAATAGCGCAGAGATGAAAGATGAGAGAGAGTGGTCTAGGGTTCATGCCGCCGAGCACAGCCATCAATCCAGACGTACGAAAACCACCACTAGAGAGGTAATCGTAGCATCCCTGTCGCATTGCTTCTTTTGCTTCGTCCGTCGATGCAATTAGCACTTGAGAAAATGCATTCCCTAGTGTGTTCACCGTCGCCGACATTGGCTTCACCATACAAAATAATTCGTACTTTAAAAAACAAAATTGCGTATGAGAATGCTCATAGATTAGTATGTGATGCTCACCTTTCTGATAACATAAAATGACTTAATAACTTCTGAGACTTTGTTTGCATCACCGAGGTTTGCCAATGGCTGGAGAAGGCCGCGTAGAATGAGAATGTCAGACAGTAAAACCATCATTCCAGAAGCGACTGCTGGATGGCGCATGTTGAATGCATCTCCCAACACAATCACTCCTTTCTTCTCGCTCAAAGCAGCTTCCATTCTCTTTGCCGCCATCGTTTTTATTTGTGCTCCCTCGTCGATTCCTTTCAGAAATATTTTTCGGAATTTTGAAGGTACCTAGAAAACAAGTGCAAAGAGATGTTAAAATGCATATTCTGCATGTATGCATGCATGGGACGTTTTCAAACGTTAGAATGTGAGTATGTATGACGTATCTATTTACTACTAGTAAGTAGTAGATTTATATGTTTAATTTCTTTCTTTGTTTTAGTTGATCAAAGATTAATTAGCCGACCGAGTGCGCACCTGAGGAGCCATAGTATTTTTCAAATAATCAACCATTTCACCATTGGCAATAGAAGGAATATTGCCGGGGAAAATCTCCATAACACAACGAACATCGGTGCTGCTGATTTGATACAACATAACGTAGGATGGTTTAGCCATTATTAACTTTAAACTTTCGGGATCTTCAAGCTGGCAATTCTTTGAGATGTAACCAACTTGGTACGACACAACCTCCGCCTGTGTCAAATAAGAGGGCATTGATGCTTACTAACTAACCGAATCAACCAAAGTGAATATCATCGATCATTTGTGATTCAATTCTATAGGAAAAATTCAAATTTATAGGAAATACTCACAGTGTTGTCATTAAGAGACCGACGAAGGTTTGAGTAGCAACCGTCGCATACCACGGTAAGAGGTGCAAAGGCAGTTGTTTCTTCGCCTGAACTGTTCTTGTATGTAACGCCTTTGACCACTCCCTTTTCTTCTATCAAAGACTTCACCGTTCCTTCTTCAAGTCGCACACTGCCATTTAATGGTATAATTTAAGGAAGGTCATTGCTATTGTCAAGTTTAGTAGTAGTTTCAAGTCAACGGAACTGACTTTATTCTTTTTTTGACACAAATGAACTGATCACTAGTATTCAATTATTTAGAAGGAAATTGCATAAATAATGTCGATTGGTTTTTTCCCCAATAAAAAAACTTTACGACTAATAATTTTTTGGGTTCTTTTAAAGTTTCGTCCGAACTCGGCTGTTAAAATATAAATTCATGTATATATTACGAATTTAACATAACTATTAAAAAATGGTGAACAGAGAGACACATACTTAGGGAGAGAAGAGGCCTTTTGGCGCAGCCTCTGGACAAAACGGCCATTATGAAAACTTCGACCATTTGGTTCGTAAGGAAAGTTGTTGTTGTCCTCCACCGGAAAAGATGCTTCTGTTTCTTTTCCGTCCTTATAAACTGCTAAGCCGGTGGCTATCTGTGCATCTATTCCCTCCAAGCAATCTATATATATATACGCACACGCACAATTTCAATCATGAAACTAAGACAAAATATGTCTTGCGTTTATTCATGTAAATGTTGGTGAAAAGTGAATCGGAGACAGACCTTCAAGGCCAAGCTTAGAAAGCAAGAGTCGTCCTCCAGGTTGCATAAACTCACCCATCATTCTCTCTGGTTGTCTCATGTCCCTCTCTATCACATGTACTTGACGCCCGTCCTTTGAACACAAAATCAATAACTAAGTATTAATTCCAACCCAAAATATTGTAATCAGATTATAACTGAGCTATATATATATATATATAGTATAAAATTGTTATTCTATCATCCATGCACAAATACAAATAGTTAAGACAATAACTAGAAAAAGAGAGTACCTTAGCAAGAGCGTAGGCGAGAGCTGAGCCCCCGACACCAGCTCCGACGATGATGACATCAGCACCACCGTCCCTTCTCTCCTCCGCCGCCACATCCACCACCTTCGGCGCCTTCTTCCTCATGTTGGTGGCGTAGAATATTGTCCAAGTAAGCACGAAGGCGAGTAGCGTCCATAAACAAACCTGCGTAAACCCCATGTCCATAGCTATTACTTTCTTTTTTTATTGACAAAAGGAATTCGTATTACTTTTCAATATGATTTTTGAGATGAGATAGCTGATAAAGGCTGAGTAACATATTTATAGTCGCGACGGACGTGACATTCACCACATGTTAATTTATCGGAATTAAATAAAAAGCAATAAATTGGTGTTTTCTGTTGTCCACATGATTCGTTATCAATTGTGACGTGTCTAACTTGACAAGAACTAACGATTTTTTTTCTTCCAGCTACGAACACAAGATTATTGTCCACCTAATAAATGGTGTTGTACTATATGGAACGGCAAATAAAATGCACCACTCAAAGTTTTGACATTTTTTTTCAAATTATTGACATTTTTAGAGCTCTAGAATGATATATTAAATTTTGAGTTAAATGTCAATATCAACGTTTTGATAATTACAGTACCGTACTAAAACGGTTGTTTACGTATTAGTTTAGGACTTTTATTCTATTTTTGGTGTCACGGAAAAGAGTTTGGGAATTTTGCAAAAATGATCCATAAATTCAAGTCAATTGCTAAACTAACCTCCTATTTTACCACTTTTGAAATTAACCACTTTATTTCACTTATATCCTTATCAGTTCTGTTTATTTACGAAAATGCCATTAAATTATTGTTTTTTATTATTATTTCGGAAATCTATTTTACCAAATAATCCTCATCTTCCTCACTTATTCACAAAAATGTCATCACCATCAATTCATTCAACCACCAATTTGAAGCTTTGATTGCTTCAAAGACCAATTTTTTAGCTTTGTAACCTCATTTCCTCTTCTCTTAACCTTCTACTCTTCCATTTTTTCACCATTTTCAGCACAAAAACTCTCTAATCTAAATTTTTGAAACTTGATGTTTTAATATATTGTCATATTTGGTGATTTGGTCTGGCTAATCGTTTGGGCTTGTTTGGTGGTGGCTGGAATCAAAGAAATCGGTGGTTGAATAAGTTAAATACTATTGGTAGGTGATTTTTCAGTCAATTTTCGAGAGTTTTCAGATCTGTGCCGCGAAAGTAGACTTCTTAAGAAGTCTACTGTCGGTAGTAGACTTCAAAAGAAGTCTGCTGGTCAACACACAGGTTAGTTTTGCAATTGACCTGGTGTACCAATTTCTGACAGTAGACTTCAGTTGAAGTCTGCGCCATTTCCTTTGATAACAAAAAAAAATAGTGTAAACTTCAAAAGAAGTCTACGTAAAAAGGGGTTAGTTTTGCAATTGACCAACGTTTGACTTTTTCATAAGAAGTCTACTCGCAAAAGTAAACTTCTTCGGAGAAGTCTACTTTGAAAGTAGACTTCCTAGAGGTTAGTTTTGCAATTGACCAATGTTGACTTTTTCGAGTAGACTTCGCTTGAAGTCTACTTTTCTGAGTAGACTTCGTTTGAAGTCTACTTTCTGAGTAGACTTCAAAAAAAGTCTACTCGAAAATAAATTCAATGTTTGGTCAACCCCAAAACTAACCCAAGTAGTTTTGAAGTAGACTTCAAACGAAATTTACTTTAAAAAGTCAAAGTTTGGTCAATTGCAAAACTAACCTTTTTTTACGTAGACTTCTCAAGTAGACTTCTCGGAGTGAGTAGACTTCTTTGAAGAAGTCTACTCATCTTTTGGCAATTGCAAAAGTAACCTAAAATATAGACTTCATACGAAGTCTACATTTGTAGACTTCATTGCAAGTCTACTTTTGTAAACTTCGTTGTTAGTCTACTATTTCACTTTTTTTTTATAAACACGTTTTTATCAAATTTACAATTAATTATTAAGATTTTTTTGGTTTTACGATTGTTTTAGTAAGTGTACTTACATTTGTATCAGTTTTACATGTTTATATTATATATATTTGGTGAAATCAAGTTTCTTTTTTTATTTGATATTTAGCTTATTAGTCTGTAGACTTCGTTTGCAGTCTGCGACATTAATTTTTTTTTTAAATTAATTGATCAGATATTTGTAACAAATAAAATTTATTCTTTGACTCTTAAGTGTGTATTATTTATTGTTCTTACTTATGTAGGAGTTTGACATGTTTATTTGTTATAGTTTAGCTTTAATTAATTTTCTTCTTCTAATTGGTATTTAGCTTATTAGTCCGTAGACTACACTTGAAGTCTATGTAGACTTCGTTTGCAGTCTGCGATATTAATTTTTTTTATAAATTTAATTGATCAGATACTTGTAACAAATAAAATTTATCATTTGACTCTTAAGTGTGTGATATTTATTGTTCTTGCTTATGTATGAGTTTGAATTTTTTTTTTGTTACAGTTTAGCTTTAACTAATTTTCTTTTTTTATTTGGTATTTAGCTTAATAGTCCGCAGACTTCATTTGAAGTCTACATAGTAGACTACGTTTGCAGTCTACTTTTTCGACAATGATTTTTAATGTGGTTTGAATTTTGTTTTCTTACAGAGAATGATTCACATACCCACTGTTTATTGAGAATGTGTGAAGAAAGACTAGTTATGGTATTTCTAAGTAGTTTTACATGTTTTTTTTTTTTGTTATGAGTTTTACATGTTTTTGTATAGTTAAATTGAATTAATTTTCTTGTGTTATTAGAAGTTCAAAGATGGTGATGACTAAGTCTCACAAAGAAGTCTGCATATGAAATCTGAATATGATAAAACACACATAATTTAAGAATATATAAAAATAACATTAACTGCAATCCAATTTTACATATAAAGTAGACATTCTAATCAAACAAACATTTAAGGATCACTAATTATAAATCTTAAAATTAGCATATAAAAACAAAATGTCTGAAATAGATGTATGTGACTGAAGTCTGCTCGAGAAGTCTACTCGAGAAATCTGCAGTTGAAGTCTGCTTCCAACAAAAACAAAAGAGAAATAAATAAGCGTCTGCACAATAAGAAAAAAAAATGTTAAAATTCATATTTCAACAAAATCTGCTATATTTACAAACATCATATCTGCAGCAAAAAGGAAAAAAAGAAATCAGCTATGCAACAAAAAAAATATAAATCTGCAACAAAATAAACAAAATTCAGATCTGCAACAAAATAAACAAAATCAGATCTGCAACAACTAAAAATTTAGATCTACAAAAAAAAATCAGATCTGCAACAATAAAAAAATCAGATCTGCAACAAATTCTACAAAATTTATACCATAAGAAGCGCATATTTGCAAAAATAAACTCATATCTACAACAAGAAGCTCAAATATGTAATAATAAACTCAGATTTACAATATGAACACAAAACAAACAACAAAAGAAACACAAAACCTCAGATTTGCTTACCATCACCATAATTGAGATAGAGAGGATGGAGGATAGAGATGGGTTTGATGGCAAGAGATGAAGGAGAAGAGATTCATGGCCAGAGAGGAGGTAGAGGAGAGAGAGGCGTATTTTAAAGGGAGAGAAAAACTTTATTTTTAACCCAATTAGGTTAATCTCCTTATATATGTAGGAAAATTTTCGGTTAAGAAGTCTACTGGAGAAGTCTACTCGAAAAGTCTACTTTGGTATATTTTTTCGATTTCGATTCCCCCCTAATTTGTTCCGATTCCCGTCCAATTTGTTAAATAATTTTAATTTCCCGCTATGTTTTTTTTAAGTCTACTGGAGAAGTCTACCCGAGAAGTCTACCCGAGAAGTCTACTGCATACGTATATTTTCGGTAGTAGACTTCTTTAGTAGACTTCTAAGGGGTTATATATTTTCTAGTTAATTTTCTTTCTGCATTTAAGTTGATTCATTTGTATGAAATTTTGTATTCTATACATGTCAAATATATATGTCTTACTTATGTTTACCAATTTTTTAGAAATTTATTTATTTTATATTTTCTAATTAATTTTTAAAAAACGAATTATGTAGTAGACTTCAAGAAGTCTACATACAACGATTGTAGACTTCTCGAAGGATAAAATCGTAACTGTGGCAGATGTTTTTTGTTTAGTCACAAAGGACTGAGCTGTAATTTCACCATCCTTTTGAGTTAGTTTTGCCAAACATTCAATAAGGAGTTTACATATTGAAAAAAAATCAATTTTTAAGTTATAAAGAGAAATTTTCCCAAAGAGTTTCATTATTGTTATGCTGATTTAAACAGGCTAGCCCTGATAATAGAAATTCCATTTCATTTCAATTTTCTCCACTAGTTTATATGCGGACAAAAATCAACTTTTAATTTAGTTGATGAAGCTTTTTTATATGAGAATTAGGTCTCAAGACCATGATTTTCTTTCTCTATCTGAAAACAATAATAATAAAGTGGATGAACATTTCATGAGTTATACAAACGAAAATAACATCTTTTGAACCTCTATTGCTCTTTGATGCGTAGATAAAAATATTTACCAGCCCTTATTTTGCTTTTTACTTCTTTATAAAACTGATTGATCAATCTCGTCATTTATATTTTTTTTCTACACAACGTTTTAAACTTAAAAAAAATATATAAAATAACAATTAAACAGATAAATAATTTTAAACAATAACGTATCGTTCTATTAAAAAACACAAAATAAAATGTTATATATATATATATATATATATATATATATATTCAAGTAAACAAACATAGAGTAGTGAGTATAGATCAATACTATTTAATTTACTAGGTTAGTTCTGTGCGATGCACGGGCTGTTTAGATTTCTTTTATTTTTGCAACAAGCTAGTTGTTTAGATTTCTTTCTTGGTGATTAGTGAATTTATATGTCAATTGTGCATTTTGGATATGATCAACTTGAATTTTACCATCTGACAGTTGATAACTGAGGTAAGTACACAAAATCAAATTGCATATCCAATTAATATGTTGGCTACAATGTTTGTTTTCATCTTGTAAGTAAGTTTTTTTTGTTTGAGAACATGTCTACAATAATTCAATAATTTGCCTAGGTTCTTTTCTATTTAATTAGTTACATTATTATTTTTAATAATGTACCAAATACTATTTGCCTAGGTTCTTTCCTATTTTTTCTATTTTAGTATTTTGTATATATGGAACAAAAACTTAGATTAGGTGCATTTGAGGAAATTTTTCAAAAAAAAATCGTGTAAAAAAATAAAGGCACCAATGGAACACACATACATTCATGATTTAACAAAAGGAGAAGTCGTTTTATTATTACAAAAACTTTATACCGACAGGTATTTTTCAGTCATACACTAATAGTAAGTACACTGCAATACAATTATTTAAACAAATGCACAATCACAGAGACTCGCGTTCCATATATGTTATTGCAGTATTATTCGTGTGGTTCAGAGCATCGACGTTTAGAGAGCGGTTGAGGCCATATAGCTTTTGCGATACGCGGCTGCGTAGGCTGGAGACAACATTTGGCTAACCCCTTCCGCCTTGAGATGAGGAACCAACATCTTAAAAGACAACTAGGGATTCACATAAAAAAAGAAAAAACATCGTCAAATTATAATGATTCAACTAAAAGATCAACACTTACACACTTACGTAAAAAACAATTCGATAAAAAAAAAAATTAATATAAGGAGAGATATAATAATAACTTACAACAAAAAGCCTGAGGCTATGCCAAATACGAAGAGGAGAAGGAAAAGGAGAGAGAAGTTGACCAATGGAGGATAGAGTAATAGCGCAGAGATGAAAGATGAGAGAGAGTGGTCTAGGGTTCATGCCGCCGAGCAGAGCCATCAATCCCGACGTACGAAAACCACCACTAGAGAGGTAATCGTAGCATCCCTGTCGCATTGCTTCTTTAGCTTCGTCCGTCGATGCAATTAGCACTTGCGAAAATGCATTCCCAAGTGTGTTCACCGTCGCCGACATTGGCTTCACCATAAAAAATCATGTATTCATTTTAAAAATTGCAAGGTCTGTAAAATAAATTGGTTGTAGGATTCACATATATATAGATTAGTATGTGACGTATGCTCACTTTTCGAATAACATAGAATGACTTAATAACTTCTGATATTTTCTTTGTATCACCGAGGTTGGACAATGGCTGGAGAAGGCCGCGTAGAATGAGAATGTCAGACAATAAAACCATCATTCCAGAAGCGATTGCTGGATGACGCATGTTGAATGCATCTCCCAACACAATCACTCCTTTCTTCTCGCTCAATGTAGCTGACATTCTCTTTGTTGGCATCGTTTTTATTTGTGCTCCCTCATCGATCCCTTTCAGAAATATTTTGCGGAGTTTTGCAGGTACCTAGAAAATAAGTGCAAAGAGATGTTAAAATGCATATTCTGCATGTATGCATGGGACGCTTTCAAACGTTAGAATGTGAGTTGTATGACTTATCTATATATACTAGTAAGTAGTAAGTAGTAACACCAACTTAGTTACAGTATATAAATATTTCTATGTTTACTTTATATTTCTTTTTAATTGATCTAAAAATTAATCAGCCGAGTGCGTACCTGAGGAGCCATAGTATTTCTAAAAAAATTAGCCATTTCACCATCTGCATTAGAAGGAATATTGCCAGGGAAAATCTCCGTAACACAACGAACGTCGGTGCTACTAATTTGATACAACATGGTAAAAGAGGGTTTAGACATTATCAACTGTAACCTTCCGGTATCTTCAAGCTTACAATTCTTTGAGATGTAACCGACTTGGTACGACAGAACCTCCGCCTATAGCAAATTAGAGCGCATTGATGATTATTAACTAACCGAATCAACCAAAGTGAATATCATCAATTATTTGTGATTCAAATTTATAGAAAACATATTGAAGATAAAGATATACTCACGGTGCTGTCGTTAAGAGACCGACGAAGGTTTGAGTAGCAACCGTCGCATACCACGGTAAGAGGCGCAAAGGCAGTTGTTTCTTCGCCTGAACTATTCTTGTATGTAACGCCTTTGACTACTCCCTTTTCTTCTATCAAAGACTTCACCGTTCCTTCTTCAAGTCGTACACTGACATTTAATGGTAGGTATGTAAATCAACGGTATAAGAAAGATCATTGCTATTGTCAAATTTAGTACTTTCAAGTCAACTAAATTGACTAGTAATCAAATTATTTAGAAGGGAATTGCAGAAATAATGTCAGTTTGTTTTTTTTCCCCCATGAAACAACTTTAGGACCCATGAAACAACATTAGGACTAAACAAAAAAAAAATTCTTGTAAATTTTGGTCCTATGTCTCTCCAATAACCGACTGTAAAAGTATACACATTCATTTATTCTCATTATGAATTGAATATCTACTTTCTTTGTGGATTTTTTAGCATACTATTTAAAAATGGTGAAGAGAGATATACATACTTGGGGAGAGAAGAGGCCATTTGGCGCAGTCTCTGGACAAAACGGCCGTTATGAAAAGATCGAGCAGAAGGTTCATAAGGAAAGTTGTTGTTCTCCACCGGAAAAGATGCGACTGCTTCTTTTCCGTCCTTATAAAGTGCTACGCCGGTGGCTATCTGTGCATCTATACCCTTCAAACAATCTATAGACACGCACAAATATTCAATCATGAAACTAAGAAAAAAAATATGTCTTGCGTTTAATTATGTAAATGTTGATGAAAAGTGAAGCGGAGACAGACCTTCAAGGCCAAGCTTAGAAAGCAAGAGCCGTCCTCCAGGTTGCATAAACTCACCCATCATTCTCTCTGGTTGTCTCATGTCCCTCTCTATCACATGTACTTGACGCCCGTCCTTTGAACACAAAATCAATAACTAAGTGTTAATTCCAACCAAAAATATTGTAATCAAATTATAACTGAGCTATATATATATATATAGTATAAAATTGTTATTCTATCATCCATGCACATATACAAATAGTATAAGACAATAACTAAGTGTTAAATCCAACCAAAAATATTGCAATCAAATTATAACTGACCTATATATATATATATATATATATATTGTATCATCCATGCACAAATAGTATAAAGATAATAACTAGCAAAAGTGCAGTTATATTACGTACCTTAGCAAGAGCGTAGGCGAGAGCTGAGCCGCCAACACCAGCTCCGACGATGATGACGTCAGCACCACCGTCTCTTCTTTCCTCCGCTACCACATCCTCCAACTTCGCCGCCTTCTTCCTCATGTTGGTGACGTAGATTGTTGTCCAAGTCATCGCGAAGGCTAGTAGCGTCCATAAACAAACCTGCGTAAACCCCATATCCATACCTATATTAATATTACCTTTCAATATGGTTTCTGAGATGAGAGAGCGGAGAAAGGCGAAGAATCATATTTATAGTCGCGACGGCTAATTTATCATAATTATATAAAAAGCGATAAATTGGTATTTTCTCTTGTCTTGACAAGAACAGACAATTTTTCTTCAGATACAAACACAAGAAGTTTCCACCTAATTAACAAACTATATGGAACAGTATATACCACTCAAATTTTTGACATCTTTGGAACTATTGACTGATGAATTAAAATAGTCTAAGAAATTAAATAATTGTCAATTATCAGCGTAACGTACTAAACTGGTTGTCTAAAAATTTCCGTCTATTTTGTTTTCTGCAAAGACTCCATTATTTCTCCGGATTCAAACAGGGATTTATCTGATGAAAGAAATTTTATTCTGCTCTCTTCTTTTTATTATCAGCCATACGTAGTAAACTGGTCGTTTAATTAGGCGATAGTCTAGAAATTTCATTCTATTTTTTTTTTACGGCAAAGACTCCACTATTAGTTTCATTCGATTTTACACTTTCGATCAGTTTATATGCATAGAAAAATCAACTTTTACTTCAGTTGATGAAGCTTTTTTCTATGAGAAATTAGGTATCAAGACTATTTTTTTTTCTCTATTTAATAAATAACGATGAATGGAGACGGCAACGACGGACGAAGGGAAGAAGGAGAACTTTTGTTCTCTGTTTTTCTTATATTCCACATCAATTTGTTTTTTATTTTTACATATATATTTCACATAATTTATGTTTCAAAGCTGATTGTTGAGCTTTTTCGACGTTTTCGTGTTCCTGATTTCTTCTTAATTTTAAGGATTTGTTCTGCCGGTTTTGTATACTAAATTAAAAAATAAACAAAGTTTTTTTTTTGTAGATTCTTATGATACATATAGAACAAATCCTAAATTCAAAACGTAAGTTTGAATACGAACATGTAGTTATAGAATTTTCAAGTCTGAAAATTCAGCAACCAAACGAACATACAAATTACATATATATGTTTAAGTCTGATAGATATATATATGTCTTTATACATCCTCTTTTTCTAGAAACAATTCGATTGCGATATAGCATCAACACTTAGGAAGTAATTTTCGCGATACGCAGCTGCGTTAGCTGGAGACAGCATTTGCCTCACACCTTCAGCCTTGAGATGGGGACCCAGCATTCTCAAAGCCAACTAGTGATTCACATCAACAAAAAAAATCAACCACATCATCATTAGTGTAAGGTCATGACAATATACTAATCAAGAATTTCCGATTAAAATGGTCCTAATAGATTTACGTAGAAAACAGTTATTTATATATACAAAAAAAAAAGAGGATATCTAATGGATTACCACAAAAAGTTTGAGGCTGTGCCAAATGCGAAGAGGAAAAGGAAATGGAGAGAGCAAATGGTAAACAGAGGATAGGGTCATGGCAAAAAGTTGGCGAATGAGGGAAAGTGGTCGCGGGTCCATGCCACCGAGCAGAGCCATCATCTCTGACTTGCGAAAGACGCTACCACATCTAAGGTAATCAAAGAAACCCTGTCGCATTGCCTCTTTTGCTTCGTCCGTCGATGCAGCCACCACTTGAGAAAATGCACTCCCCAACGTGTTCACCGTCGAAGACATTGGCTTCACCATTACAACATACAATCATACATAATCTTTTCTTTTCAAAAAGATTGTTTAAAAGTCATATATAGAGTTTAAATGCTCACCTTGCGTATTTTGTAAAAAGATTCGAGTATTTCCGAGACTTTGTTTGAATCGCTGAGGTTGTTCAATGGCTTGAGAAGACGACGTAGAATGAGAATATCAGATAGTACAACCATCATTCCGGAGGCAACTATTGGATGGCGCATGTTGAATGCATCTCCCAACACAATCACTCCTTTCTTCTCGCTCAACATCGCCGACATTTTCTTTGTTGGTACCATTTTCATCTTTGCTCCCTCATTGATACCTTTCATTAATATTTCACGTAGTTTTGGAGGTACCTGCACTTAGAATGAAATATAATGTCTATTGACTCTAGTTTCCATATAGTGTAATCTTTTTAGATCACATATATATCTAAGTCTACAGTTCAACTAATTAAAGAAATCATGCCAAATGCATAAATTTCACGTGGACAAAGATACTTTTAACTAATGTGAGTATGTATAACCCATCTACGAACTAGGAGCACAAAATTCACAAATTAATTGATGCAAACATACTTCGTTTATTCATCTTGTCTGAAAACGTACCTGAGGAGCTAAAGTTTTCTTGAAAAAAGTAGCCATTTCACCGTTTGAGATAGAAGGAACATTATCAGGGAAAACCTCAGAAACACAACGAACTTCAGTGCTGCTAATCTGATACAACATGGTTACCGATGGCTTAGACATAATCAAATGCATGGTCTCGGGTTCTTCAAGCCGACAATTCTTGGAGATGTAACCAACTCCGAATGATAAAACCTCCGCCTACATAGAGTTATTTGCGCATGGATAATTATTAATTAATATCCAACCAACTCAAAGTAAGTAACATCATGTCTATGTCATCAAAAAATTTACTCTATTTAAAAGACTAGAACATACTCACATTGTTGTCGTTGAGAGACCGACGAAGGTTTGAATAGCAACCGTCACAGACCACAGTAAGAGGTGCAAAGGCTGTTGTTTCTTGGCCTGTGCTGGTCTTGTAGGTAACGCCTTTAACCACTCCCTTTTCTTCTATCAAAGATTTTACCGTCCCTTCTTCAAGTCGTACACTGCCAAAAAAACCATTTTTGATAATCTTATAAACCATGAAAAAGATACTCACATTATTTTTTTTTTAAAAAAAAAAAAAAAAAAATAGAGATGCGTACTTGGAGAGGGAAGAAGCCTTTTGGCGTAGTCGCTGGACGAATCGGCCATTGTGAAATGATCGACCATAAGCTTCATAAGGAAAGTTGTTATTCTCCACCGGAAAAGGTAAGATCGCTTCCTTTCCGTCCTTGTAAAGCGCCAAGCCCGTCACTTTCTGCTCATCTATTCCCTCCAAACAATCTATATATTATCTAATAGTTAGTAAATTAATCATGAAACTACTGTATGCCAAAACGTACGGACGACGTCGTTTCTGATATAATTGCGAAGTGGAGACCAAAAACCTTGAAGGCCAAGCTTAGCTAGCAAGAAGCGTCCTCCAGGCTGCATAATCTCACCCATCATCCTCTCTGGTTCTCTCACGTCCCTCTCTATCACGTGAACTCTCCTCCCGTCCTGTTACGTATTTTTAACCAATCATCGATTAATAATTAGCCAGAAAATAGAGAGAGTTAAAGACATATATATCAACTTAAATCTAGACTGACTGATTGCGTTTATTTTGTATTCGTTTTCAATTTAGAAGAAGTCCTTTGCATTTTTTTAATAAAAAATATCTATTTTATGAGATTTTATGTTTTCAAAGTATAAATTATAACAAAAAAAGAGATTCACATATATTGTAAAAAAAAAAAAAGGAGATTCACATATAAACACAGATACAAATTGTACGAGACTCTTTTTAAGATAATTAGAGACGCGTTCGAATACTATTTACAAACTGATAAGACAGAAGATTAATTTAACTAGTTCTGCTCCCTAATCCAAATAATAGGCTTAACACTAAGAAACCTCTTGTTTGCTAAATAAAAGACAAAACAAACAAAACGCAGAAAATTTATTTAAAACAATCCAAACTTAAGAAGAGAGAGGCGATACAGATTTCATATTTGGATTTTAGATAGAATACAAACCTTAGCAAGAGCATAGGCGAGTGCAGAACCGCCAACACCGGCTCCGACGATGATGACATCAGCACCACCGTCTCTTCTCTCCTCCTCAACCACGTCCGCCAACTTTGACTTTTTCTTACTATGGTTGGCTACGTGGAACAATGTCCACGTTAACAAGAATGCTAGTAGCGTCCATAACCACAAGTACGGCAAGGCCATATCTATTAAGGTTTTTCAATTGCGTGATACTTTAGTCTTTGTTATGGTTCACACAAGAATTCAGATAAGCAGTGATAATTATTTATAGATCATCTGAGTAAGCGTATATCAGTCGCCACGAACGCCACGTCATCACATTTGTGTATATATCAACCAAAATTGCACGACACACACGTGTATATATATATATATATATATATATATCTCAACTTAAAATTCTCTAAACGGAATCTTACAGTATCATCATATTTTCATAAAATCGAGACATTAAAATTAAAATCAAAAAGTTATTTAAACAGTTGGGGGAAAATATTGTTTTCTTACATGTTGTCATAATTAAACCGTTCATCGTGATTTAATAATTTATAATCATTTTACAATAGTTACAGTAGCCGAAAACGATAAAGGTGAGAATCGTTTTTTTTTTTTTTAAACGGACGTGAGAATTGTTTTTTACTTGCGTATTATATAATGTTTTTTTGAAACGGACGTGAGAATTGTTTTTTACTTGCGTACTATATAATGTCGACTTCAAATAAGAATTAAAGGCCAATAATGAACTATATACCTCATCTTTCCGTGGTCCATAAAATTTGTTTTGCCATATAAAATTTCTAAACTCGTTTTTTGGCGCTGCTTTCTGCTGAACACGTCAATATAAATCTCACCACATAAGTTTATCAATTACTGCGACAACTAATTGTCCTTTGTTAGTGAATATGTGTTTGTCCTGCGTGGGGTATAAAATCTACCATTTAATCTGTTTCACTGTTCAATTATTTAACTCGAGTTTGAAAATGTAATGTTTTTACTTTTGATTTTGTTTTCTATTTTCTATCCCAAAAAAATCAAGCCGTCGAAAAAAATAATAGTAACCAAGTTTGCATTATTTTCTACAGGAAGCCCATCCTACGAACAATTCTTCAGGCCCATTAGCCCATTAAGTTCACGATAAAGATAAGAGCTTTCGCTCGTCTCTATGGACAGAAAAACCAGAGGAAGAAAACGAAGCAGATCATTAGTTCAAGAAATCATAGGAAGCAAAAGATGAAGAGAATTCCTCGTATCAAATTTCCTCAGAGACATTCATCAGCCTCATCCTCTACTGTTTCATCAGGTTTACATATTTATCTTTGTTCCTCAGATCCTCAAAACTTTTATATACTTTTTTTTTTTTTTTGGGTAGATTCTCTTTCATTACTTTTTCTTTCTCTCTTTGGTTCTTGCTTTATTAGATGTCAATTGCTCATCACTTGCCTGTGAAACTTATCAGGTTCTGTACCGGCGTCGGGGTCTGTTGCCGGCGGCAAGAAAAATGTGACGGCGAGTTCGGATGTCCCGGCGGCTCCGAAGAACACTGCTGATGGAGGAAAAGCATCACTTCAGCCAAAACGCACACCTGTCTCCGACAAGGAAATTGAATCTATAATGGTGAGAGTGAGACTGTAATAATTGTTGGAAAAAAAACAATTTCATTTCGAAAATAGATGGGGAAAAAAAAAAAACAATTTGTGTAACTCAACTCTGATTTTTTACTTTGAATTTTGCAGTTGGGTGGTTGCATCTGACATTTGGGCGTTTGAAGATTTGATCGGCTGATGAAGTTTATTATGTTTTTTTTTTTAATGTAAAGAAAGAACTAATAATGTAGAGAGATGATTTTGTATGAATGATACTCTTTCTCGTTGTCAAGCTACAAAAAGGCCTTTCTAGTTTCTACATTATTGTCTTCACAATTTTTTAATTAGCAAAGTTGCATTATAGTAACAATTATGAAAGTCAAGTGAAAAGAGAATAACATGTGCATTATAAACAAAAATTAGGCAAAAGCACAATAATTCATGTCAGGCTTGAGACCCTTCACACTACTACATTCGTACCTCTTACAAGTTACAACTATCTTCGAATAGTTGTATATGAATTAAAACGTAAAGCATCACAATAATATGACATTTCAGCTGGTAAACAAAAATTTAATACTATTAGTAAACTCATCATCAACTTTAATGTACAAATAAAATATTTGTAATTTGAGAACTCCCAGAAGTTAACAAACAAAACGCCAAACGACCACGGTTAAGTCTGAAGCTGCAGAAGGGCTTGAAGCTACAAAATACACACAAGAGCGCTTCAAGACTGACAATAAAAGAAACTCAATATGCATTACTCCTGTGATTCATGTGCAATCAAATCACCGGATTTTAGGTAAAAAGAACAAACAAGAACCGTTTAATAAGAAATCAGATCTCAAGTTCTTGAGACCAGTGAAACTGATTTATGTATGTGCTTTGTGTATGCTGCCAGATATGACTGACTATAGCTCGGTGTCGCAGAGACGGATCATTATTTCAGAGACCATTCTCCTTGCGAATGGAATATAACTGAGGCTGTACCTGTCATTATCATGTGTATAAGAATTAAGAAGAAGAAGTTCAATCCAAAACGTCTTAAGAATCTTCAGAACATTATACAAAACAAATCCTGTTTTGGGGTTTGATTTAAGCCTTGAATAACTTACCAAATAAGCGCACAAATCTCGCATAGGATCGCAAGCAACGTTAAGATTTTGCTGTGTATCTACAGGATATGCGAAAGAGTTTAAAAAGACTGAATTTTTCAAGCTGAGAAATCTTGGGAACAAACAAATTGCAGACTTTGGAGATCAGTGACAGAGATTAGAACTAAAACGTGGTTTCATTGGGTGTTTGTATGGGAGAGCGAGAACTCACCAAGAGAGCGCAAATGAGAGCAACAACGACGCATCCGATATAAATGGAAGTAGCGTAGATACGAACAGGGTCCATCATCATATTAATCTGTTGCTCAGGTCCCATGAGGAAGGCTGTGCTGCCAAAGAAGAAACATTGATCTCTTGTGGTTTTAAAAATAACAACAATGTGGATGTAGAAATCGCAAAAGCTTTTGTTTATCTATAAGACAACATCATCAGATTCTTGGTAAATGCAAAGACCCTTTTGATTCCAGTTACACATGCTAGGCAAGCTAAAGCGGGAACAAGAAAGTTGTAAAATGTCTTTCCAAGTAATAAATTGGAGTAATCATATATCTGGGAACAGCCTCTTTTCACCTAAACAATATCAATGGATAGAAACCAAATGAATCGTGCGATTATGGGGAAGCAAGTCAGAAATCGAAATGACTAAATCTTAACTCTAATCCATCATCCTAACACACAAAAGAAATGGCTGAAAGTTGAGAAGAGAAGCATTCAAATATCTGAATGTTAAGCGAATGAAATCCAGATGAAACTCGCTGAAATGTTGGTGAAAGAGCAAGTTCTCGGCGCCCGAAACTCACCTTCCAATAGCGAGCACGTTGCCAAAAGTGAAGAGCAGTGCGAATTTGATGGGGATAGAAAATACAATCATTGACTGCAGAAGAAGAGTCGGAAACATGAATCATTCCAATTGGATATGTAGAAGGCGATTAAGAAGGATGAAATGGTACAAGGGCATGGAAATGGAAATGGTCAAATTGATGTGTACCAGAAACATAAGTAGGAAGCCAGCGGCCAAAGAAGCGGCGAATCCGTACATTCTCTGCCAAAAAAGGAAAGCGAAGTAAACAGATAAGCAACAAAAGCCCTAGACATGGCGAGAAGAAGACAGGGAGAGAAACCTGGGTCGTGGAGAGAGAACAGAGACCCTTCGATCCATCTTCTAGGAAGCCATCGTTTGTCTCGTCGCCGTCTCCGCCACCGGAGAAGAGCTCGTTCAGCTTCTGCATCGCGATTTGTACCGCTTGTTCCGGTGATCGGAGAAATTATTATTCAGCTTGAAAGGATTTCAACTAAGAAATAAAAGGTTAATTAAAAATCCAATCAACGACGTGCAGCAGTCATCTCAGCTGTTGGCCCAAATCCAATAATTGTGTAATCTTTTTTACAAAAATTGTTACAGTTACAATGACATACAACTCCAGTTTAACTACAATGTCAATCATCTAAGCCCATTAAAATTCGGTTTAGCCCATTAATATCATTTAGCCCATTGATATACAACTCCGTTATGGTATTGGAGCCTGCAAAGCTAAAGCCTCATTTTTTACCCACAAAGCACGACAGTCGTTGTACAGCGTTAAAAACTACAATGAGCCTAGTATATTGGTATTTGTTGACTAGTCCCGAATTGCACGTTGCATTGCATCCATGCAAAAAGTCAAAACAGAGAAGAAAAAGACATTTGATATATATTTAAACTTATAAGTAAGTAACAAAACTCAAAATTGTCAATATCCACATAAGAAGTGAATATTTTCATAAATATATACGTACCCTGTAAGTCATGTACATATTCAAGATAGATGGAAAGGGGAAAAAAAGGATACAAGAATACATCATCTTGAGTATGTCTACACGTACGTAATCTAAATATACATCTTGACTTTTCATATGTGTTGTGTACACACGTAACGTACGTATACGAATAATTATATAAATAGTAAAGAGAGTCATTATCTTGTTATGATACAGTAAATTTATGTGACATTTTTCTTTACGAACTTGAAAATGTAGTGAAAAGTTATTTCTCCACATTAATTGTCGTAAATATAACTGTTTGTAATCAATGTCTAAGATTCTGTTTAATTTGTTTATCGTGGAAAAATACCAATAATGATTGGTTACTGCCAAGCGTATGATGAGTATAACTCGGTCACTAGCGGGCAAGCTAAATTAGGTTCTTCGTTAGACGTACGTGCCTAAGGGCTTGTCACTTTGAACTATGAATTTGATAAGTAACAATACAAAAACGTTGACCATATATTTATCCTTTTTTGTTTATATATTTATTACTTTTTGAAAAGATATGTTTTGTTGATATTTGACATTTGAGATTTTTTCCCGTCTAAATTCTTATCTTTTAGCGTCTTTGATATTGACAATATGAATTTGGATTTGCATTAAGTGAATATAATATCGTTGACCAGAAATATAAAACTCAACTCCAAATTATTATGGAATTTTGGAAACGCATTTTATAAACAGAAAAATGATCGATGGAGTTCATTATCACTAATCCAACGTCAATATTTTCATCCTTCGTATTAGTAAAATCATAGTGTATAATTTTTATAGGGAAACAATGCTTTCATGTATGGTACGCTTTTATTGAAGCATGAATTAGTCATTTTTCCTATATATATATATATATTCTTGAATATAGTTACCTTATAATTAAGTCTTGTACATGTGTACAAGTTTCTTTATACAGATGTCAACGAATTATATAAGAAACTTTTTATTTTTATTTTTCTAAACTTTTCATTTTAACAAGTGGGTCATATTAACAAGTGGGTCCTAATCTAATGGAGTTTCATGGCTAGAAAAATCCATATACTGGAATCGTGTTTCCTCTCCAATAGTTTTTAGGAAACGCGCCATTATACAAAGTTGTATAGATTTGGGCCTAAATTAACCATAATTTTTTTTTAATTATTCTTTTGTTGACATTTTAATTAATCAAAATTTGTTGTTTTGGTTAATTTAGCCAAACATGGTTTAAAATTTATTTTATAAGGTTAGTCTATTGTTTTGTTCTTTCTAATGGGTTTGAAAATTATTTGAATCAATGTGCTATTAATATAGGGAAAACATTGTAATGATTGTGTCTTCGTAAATTGGTTTGATGATCTATTACTATGGATAAAGAAGGCTTCTTTACCTCATCTATATGATTTGATAAATCGAAACAGTAGTACGCGGTCTCGGAGACTAATTCAATAGATGTACAGATTCACACTTCTTACTATATTTTTTAAGTGCTAACTTGTAGAAGGTTTGTCAAATTGTAAATAAAGAAGCTGGATAATGTCAGTGCTTGTGTCAGTGTTAAAGTGATATGCTCAATGTCCCGGATCCAAAAGTCTTCTTATTTGTAGCATCTTATAAATATCAAGCTGCTTTATCTTATGAATGTAACAATTCATTCGTTCCTTTGTTGAACTCTTGAAGCAAAACGATATATACATACAAAAGAACTCTTTACGTTACTTCATCTTCGATTAAATTCGATTCTGATTGACCTGCAAGACCACGGAAAAAGGGTATGACTTTTTTTTGTTTTCACCATTTTTTTCCTTAAAAAAATCTCATTTGTAAGGAGTGAGTGATATTCATGAAAAAGGCAAGGAAGAGTTACAGAAAATATATTTGTACGTCGTTTGAAAAACACATAAGTATCAGTTTTTTTCTTTCAATAATTTTAATTTTTAGTAATAGGAGATTTATACCAAAATTCAGATTAATTTACACAACATGCACTCATTATGAAAGTTTTGGCAGAGGCCAAAAAGAGGACATCCATTGAAATTGATTTGCATTTTGTTCTTCATTGTTTAACTTTAAATTTGTTTGATTACTAATTGGCAATGTTATAGGAAGAAGAAGAAGAAAAATGGGAGGAGGAAAGAATATAGAGATCTTCAGCATTTCTGGCCCCTCCCATCTTACCTCTATCGATTGGTAACATTTTAATTTGAATTTCCCAATTTTCCTTTAAGAAATTTGTTTTTTGTTTTTATAACCGTGCAGACGGCAACAAAGGTTGAAGAATGTGCTTTAAGACTACTAGGCCAAAAAAAATACTAGTAGACCAACTTTAAAAAAAAAACGGTTTAAAACTTCAACACAATAGTTGTAACTGGTGATTATAAGAAATATAAAGAAATACTAAATTCTTTATCATTTCTTAAAAATTATACCATTTAAAAGGAATATATTGTACCCATCATTCCTTCTCATTCCTTATGTTTTAGGAAACTATAATATTAATATATTCTCTATAAAAAATGAGAAAGAACAATAATTCCTATTATTTTGTTCATTTTATTTTTTTTTCTATTTATTCCTATTATTACTTTTATGGTTATCTTAAAGCCAATATTTGAGTAACTGGCTTTTTTTATTTACTATATAGGACCAATTCGTACCATCGAACCTCAGTGGCATCAAGTTTGGTAAAAGGAGTGTACATATTGGAAATGGACAGACAAGATAAACTGGTAGGACCGGAATCCAGAGCGAAGCCTTGGTGGGAATTTTTCAACTTCACTTTAGTCGAAACCTTGATCGACCAATCCGACTGCTCCATATACGGTGCCGTTTTCGAATACGAGCTATACAACCTTTACCAACGTACCGCTGATTTGAATGTACCTCCGCGTTATGTGATTGCATTCCGCGGTACGAACCTAGGGTCAGAAACTAGGCTGTGTGATTTGAAACTTGACCTTCGATGCTTCTTCAACTGCCTCCACAGAGGCAAAAGGTTATTGCACGCGATACAAGCAATCAAAACTATTGTGGCCAAACAGAGCGAACCAGCTGTATGGCTCGCTGGACACTCTTTGGGAGCCGGTCTAGCGTTGCTGGCCGGAAAGACCATGGCAAAATCTGATTTCCTCCTCCAGAGTTACATATTCAACCCTCCAATCTCGTCTATTCCTCTAGAGCAGCTACTTCATAGCAAGATGCTTAAAGGTGTGTTTCGAATCACCGAGAGTACCATCAAAGCCACCCTGGCCAAAATCTTGAAGGATCGACAGGTAAATAAATAAAATAAAAAAACTTTACAAGAAATTGAGATGTTTTCTCTAAAATATATCTAGTGCATTTTTTTCACAAGAAACTTTTAACTATTACAGGTTCAAGAAGACGATCCAAAAACAGCATCGTGGATACCTTATTTATATTTGAATAAATCTGATCTAATCTGCTCAGAATACGTTGGCTATTTCAAACACAAAGCCTTCATGTCTAAGATCGGAGCAAGCAAAATCGAGAGAACCGGTGCTAGAAACTCAGTTAGGACTCTATTGGTCGGAAGAAGACGAAAATCATCACCGTCGGATTTGTCAACCGAACCTCTTCACGTTCTTCCATCAGCCGATATTACTGTAAACATGAACAACCCGACTGAGTCTAAGACAGCTCATGGGCTTCACCAATGGTGGGAGCAAGACTCAGCCCTGAGGGCAAATTGGCAAATCTCATGCATTAGGCTCTGCCCTAAAGGCAAATCGGTAAAACTGCTGAATTAGGCCCAACAATATTTAACAAAAACGTATTGGTTCCGTTAAATGGCTTTATGCTTTTTGTACATCTGTTCAGGTGATCTTGTGCTTGGAACCCTCTAATCTACCCTTTTCCACTTTTTTTTTTTTTTTTTTGCTATCTGTTTTTATCCATTTCGTGTTTGTCTTGTCTCTCTTTCCCATGTTTTGTCTCTTTTAGGTTTTCCTTTGTATTCGTTTTTCTGCTTGTATTTGATCTTTTTTAATGTAACTGTTCATAATTATTTTCTTAAAACTACATTTGTGTTTACACAATGAAGATGATATAAATGTATGATAAAAGTTCTAAGTAATTAATTAAAATATTCAAAACCATACCATTTATTTAAGATATGATTTTTAAAATTTACTAATAGAGAGTTAATTTGTGCAATAACCATATTTTGTCTAAAATAAATCATATTTTGGTCCAAATTTAAATAAATGACACATATATACAATTAATATAGTACACATAGTATATAGAGTGAGCTATAACATTAATCAACAACTGTTTATATGTTTTATGAGCAAACCTCTAAAATTAATTAACATATAAAATCAATTGTATTACAATTTATTTTATAGTCTACTTAAAACCGTTTTATGAGCAAATATCTACAGTTAATAAACATATAAAATCAATTGTAACTACTCACTCAGCTATAGAAGTTGTTTATTTAAAATTGGAACCACTAAAACTCAATATGGTTCAAAACTTCAAATCAACGCCTCAAGATTGGGATATGTAGATGTTTCATGGATTATGCAATGGGAAAATTAAAATATTTAGACAAAAAGGGGGTATATTTAGAAAGTGTTGGAAAATTACAATCAAATTAATAAAAGACTATAGGGAATGTGATCTGGTCGGGTATTTTTACAATGATGACCTGATATTTTTCTAAACACACAATTAATAAGATCAAGATTCATGTGATGGATAGTATTGACTTTTGAACAGTACAAGGCCTACAGGCTACAGAGGGAGTTAAAAATACGAAATATTTTCTTTTATTGACAATTTGTACATAAAGTAAAATGTTTATACACTTTTGCACGTTTGAATGCTTAAGAGCTGGTCCCATTAATGTCTTCTGATGAATCAGATCCATAAAATTTGAATATCCACAAGATGATGGACCATCTCATCTGTACAAAAACTCTATAATTAGTTTCTATCCTCGGATTCATTTTCAGCTCCGACTCGATTCCGATCTATCTTTCAAAAAAAAAAAAAAAAACGTAAACGGTATGTTGTTTTCTCTTTCTTTTAGTTGATATTTCGTTTTCTAATTCGTTTCGTAGCATTACTACAACAAATTTTTTTCTTTCTCTTTTCTTTCCTGCATTCATCAAAGAAAGTGGGATCGATGATGATAGAATCAAGAATGATTGATGTTTCGCCACAATCTGTTTCAGATGATATAAGGTAGAGAAAACATGGAAGATGAAGATGATGATATGGTCAGAGAGGGGCTAATGGCCTCTCAAAGAGAGATCTTCAGCATTTCTGGTCCCATCCATTTAACTTCCATTGATTGGTATGTCCTATTTCATCTCTTTCATCTAATTGCAACCACATTTTCTTCCAAATCCATTTGACAAATAAAAAAACTCATCGCTAATCAGCTATTTTTGCTAATTCAACGGTTTAGCTAGCCCATAGTCAACTATCATATTATATAATCTTTAAACTTCCACAACAAGTTGTATTAAAATATTACATTCAAACCCAAAAAGAAAACTAAAAGTCAACGTCTTTGATAGGAATAACTCGTACCATAGAACCTCGGTGGCATCATGTTTGGTACAAGCAGTGTACACACTGGAACGAGACAGGCAACAAAACCGGGTTGGTCTCAAGTCACAAGCCAATCATTGGTGGGAGTTTTTCCACTTCACTTTAGCTGAAACCCTAATTGACCAATCTGACGGATCCATATACGGCGCCGTTTTCGAGTACAAACTCTTTTCCTACAATTACCATATTCATTCGAAGCCACCTCCTCGTCACGTGATAGCGTTCCGAGGCACGATCATGAAGCGGCATTCTCGGTCATGTGACCTTAAGCTCGACCTACGTTGCATCCGCGACAGCCTCCACGACAGCACTAGATTCGTGCATGCCATAGAGGTGATCCAAACCTCGGTGGCTAAAACCGGCAATGCAGCCGTATGGCTCGCCGGACATTCTCTCGGAGCCGCCGTGGCTTTGCTCGCCGGAAAGATCATGACGAGATCTGGTTTCCCTCTCGAGTGTTACCTATTCAATCCTCCTTTCTCGTCGATTCCGATTGAGAGGCTAGTGAAGAGCGAGAGGCTTAAACATGGAGTTCGATTCGCCGGAAGCCTAGTCAAAGCCGGAGTAGCCATCGCCATCAAGGGTCGCCACCATCACAATAAGGTACTCTATATCCGTTTTTAATCAAGTGTACATTTAATATTTTCACGTGAATCGAGAAAAACGTTAATATATCCGACATCATTTTATTCAACCAGAAAATGTAGTTTATTGGTCTGTATATATTAGTGCTTTGTCACAATCCGGATTCGAACTCTTGAGTTGTTATAGTGCCTTGTGTCACAATCAACATTCAAATCCTTATAATGCATGCATCTTATTAATTATAGATAAGAAACAACAAAACAGAGGAAGTATACAATATAATTAATTAAAGTTTCGATGGCAAATTGCAATTGTTGCTCTTCTTCGAGGTTATTGGTTCGAATCTTACAAGAAGTTGGATCTAAATTATTTACAGGGCCAAGAAGACGACTCGTTCATGAAACTAGCATCATGGATACCTTATTTGTATGTGAATCCTTCAGATCCAATCTGCTCAGAATACATTGGTTATTTCAAGCACAGAAACAAGATGTTTGAGATCGGAGCTGGAAAAATCGAGAGGATCGCTACGAGGAACTCGCTTAGGAGTTTGTTGTCCGGAGGAGGAGGAGGTTCGTGTTCGGATTCTTCATCGGAGCCTCTTCATCTTTTACCATCGGCGTATATGACGATCAACACTAGCAAATCGCCTGATTTTAAGAGAGCTCATGGGATCCATCAATGGTGGGATCCTATATTCTGTGGTGAATATGTCTTGCACCAGTTTAACCAATGATTATTATGCTTGAAATCTTTTGAATTTTTGTGTTTGTTATTATTGTAATATAATCTTTACAAGATCAAGTTTGTGCAGGATTTAAAGGAAAATAGAGAAGTAGGAATAGAGTGAAATAACAGTCATTTGAGTTTGTATGTTCGTCGAATACTTGAAATGGAAAAAAAATCGCTTGAATCAAATATCAAACAGATTGATCCATAGCAATATGGTCTAGCAACTCCAATTTCGTGAGTTAAACTAACCAATAAGAAAACAAACTGTGACAAATTTTAAAACACATAGTTATATATTATAAGTATAGGACTTGTTCATCATCCTGAACTGAAATAAGAATGTGAGATTCCAAACGTTATTGAACCCAAAACACAGAAGCATGTCGATTGTATAAACCCACACCCATCGAACCGAACCGCTGTGATTCAAAAGCTAAGGTTTGAGTTCAAAGACAGTGACACTTATTTATTGTTATGGACACTGGATATACACCTGTGTCATGAGTGAAATCTTGAGGTTGCGATAAAGATGTTTTTTCAGTTCTGAGGATACTGGTCGAGGCAGCGATCCATAATGGCAGAGACGGTGCTGATAAACTCTTCTTCGGTTGTCTCTGGGGACGCTATGGCTTCTGCGTCGTGGATGATTTGTTCGATCACAGATTCTTTCTTGAGTGTTTCTCTGCACATTATGCTTCCGATGGCGAAAGGTGTGAGACCCTTTGCCGCACCTTTCTTGAGAAGCATGGTTGATATGCGGAGGACACGGGCGCATGCAGGCGGAATCTCCCAACCGTGGAATCTCAGAAGTTTGATGTCTTGCTCGGAGTCCAAGGATTTGATGTATTCCAATGTCTCTGAGGAGTATGGCTCTTTTGCTTGAGGCCAGTATAGCCATTCGAATGTGCAGTCCTCAAACTGGACAAGGTAAGGTGGTTTTAGTGGAAATATTCTGCAGCTGATTCCAATTATTGTTTGGTTTCGAGATTTTGAAACCAAAGTATGAATACTGTCGGAGTTTGTAATTACCTTATTTGGGAAGCAATAGCCGTGGTCGATTGGAGTAAGCACGATCTCACCATCTTTTCCGTCTCGGCTAACCAAAATGTTGCCACCGTGACGATCTGCATTAGCCAGCCTAATGTCTAGAACCGAAATCTTGTGAACCTGATCAGCTGGGAATACTCGGTATCCCATATCTTCACAAGTTCCAACATTACTCACAAACATCTGGAGTGAACCCATCTTTGTGTTCTCGGGAGAGAAACTGTAACCATTGGGATGGTTGAAGTCTTTGTGCAAGCAGTTGACCATTGTTGTAGGTGGAACTCCAGCGAAACCGGTTTGGTCGCGAGGAAAAGTTTGTGGTCCAGTCATGGGATAGTCCAAAATGTAGGCTGCTACTTCTCTAAGAGCTCCTTCACCAACCCGTGTGCCTTTCTTTAGTCCTTCCCCGTCAACTGAAACAGGGAGTCCGTGCGGGTTGTTCACAGCCATAGGCTCCTCGTCAATGGGCTTGAAGACAGAGACATATTTGTTTCCGGATAGATCTTGCATGAAGTAAGCTCCTCCTGATCCATCAGTTGATTTGATCGGGCCATGTCCCTTCTCCAACCCCTCTATAGTGGAGCTAATAAGATCTTTGAGCAATGAAGGCAGTTCAATTTCAGGATTAACAACGACAGGCTCCACGACAAAATCTTTAGGTTTTGCTTGTGGTGATATGTATCTTTTTCTACCATCCACCGAGTCGTGCTTGTGAGTTACATTTTCGATAGAAACCTCAAAATCCTTCCCCACAGGTTTTGCTCTGACTTTAGCGGATTTCCTAATTATCAAGTGAATCACATCCTCTCCGTTTCTACAGAGATCAGTGACGAGCCTCTGGTCATCTAGCTCTTCACCATCTAACGTGAGTTCACCATCCCCGAGCTCGTTTTCCTTGGAAGCTATTTTCTGCTTCACGTAGGCAACATTTCTACTCCTCTCAACAAAGAGCTCAAACTCCTTCCCACCAAAAGTCTTTACAGAGATGGCTTGGAGATCCGAAAGCCTAATAACCAAATGCAACAGTTTCCCATCAGCAAGACCACGATCTCGAACTCGGGATTCATTTCGAGCTAGCTCTCTACCATCATACACCAGCCTCTGCTTCTTGACAAAAAATCCCTTGATACTCTGAATCCTTAGCTTCACGGAGGCTATAGAATCCGACTCCATGACCCGCATCGGGTTCAGAGATCCCGCAATGGTCAGGAATATCAGGATTGGGTCGTCTAAGTTCAAACCAAACCGTCCAATAAAACCTGGAAAGTTCACAACTTCTTCCAGGGCTGGACTAAGAGCTACACTAGCAACTGACATTCCAACTGTACACTTCTACCCTAAATCCACAAGATCCCTGGGAACGAAGAAAAATTATAGGAGCTCAACAGGAACAAAAGGCTGAAATCCCAGAACTCAACCTTTATCTTCTTCCGTGAGCTTTAAACAAGGCCAAGTTCCTGCACGGATTCAGGAACTTTGAACTGAAAGGGCTTTCTAACTCACATCTTGCCGACCATTATGTCCCAAGTATTCATTTTGAGATTAAGAGTAAGCCGATCCCAAACCACCTAACGCCAAGAACCTGAATGACCAATGATCACAGGAATCAGTCATGGAAAGACAATATTCATTGATATTTCAAAATAGTTCAAAAAGATCAATCACTATTTCTAATTAACCACAGCTTATTACAGATGTTAAATGATCAAATCAAACACAAAAGATTCAAAAAAAAAGAAAAAAAAGTTTACATTCAAGCCAACCTCACCTCTTGTATGGATGATGAACAAGCCTCTAATTTTATCTTGGTTTTGAACTATATAACCTCTTACAACTTTTGCTCGTATCTATATAATTAGAAATCTTCATAGCTAAAATTAGCTCAAAGGCATAACCAAACAACGGCCACAAATCAGTTTCAGGTCAACGTCTCCTTCGGTCTTTATTATCAAAAGCCAAACAGGCTGGCCTAAGTTCTCAAACTTTATCTGATAACAAAGTTAATTTTAGGTTTGATAAACGAAATGAAAAAATTGGATTTAACTATCAGTAAACGCAGAACGCTAAACAAAAAGTTCAAACAACAGCAACCGCTTTAATTCTTAGTTTTCTTATAATTTTTCTAGTCTCGGATTATCTAACGAGTATCCAGAATATGGAACCGCTACAGAAATCTCCACAAATCACAAAAAAAAAACAAAAATTGAAAACTGGTCTCCAATTTTTACTCACATTACCGATCATCGAGCAGAGACTCATCATTCATGATCGGAAGAGACACCAGCGAGAAAATCGAAAACGGTAAACAAAAGGATTCTTCAGAGAGATCGAAATAAAATTAGGCCGTACCTCGGAATCAAAATCCGTGAAGTGATGAATCAACTGAGTCCTAATTCTCGGCGATATCGGGAACGGGTTCGTTGGAACTTATAAGAGAATCCGTAAACCCTCTCCAATTTTTTGCCGAGAAAATTTCCAGCTTTCCGAGAAAGAGAGAAGGAGGAGAGAGAGACGAACAGTGACAAGTCTTCTTTGAACAGCGACGAAAATCGCGGAGATGTATTTATAGAATTAGACCTCGCTGACTTTTGACGGAAGTTTTATGCGATCTCTAACGTCGTGAACTGCTCTCCACGGCAGATACCGTTTCCGTAACGGACGCCGTTTCAGACGACTCCATAAACTCCAATAAACCCCATTAGGGCCTTTGGTGGGCCTTAGTGTTCTCTTTTCTTCTTTTTAACAAAATGGACCAAATTTATGGCTCAACCCAACCCAGATCCGATTCAATAAATCTTAATGAATTAATTTTTTTGATTCTAATATGTTGATGGATTAAATAAAAGCATTTGATGCATAAGTATAAAGCATTAGAGCAACATATTAACGATTCTTACCACATCATTAAGCTTTAATCAATAAGTCTAATAAATGGAATGTTAACTATAAAAATGATGGAGTTCATTATCACGGAAGTCGCAAGGTAGATCCTGAAAATTTGGAGGCTCAGGTCTTACATAACCGTTAAAGCCTTTCATCTATGTTATCAAAAATGTTAGGTGAGTACTCGTATTATAGGCAGGTTTTAATTTTGTCTATTTTATCGAAGATTGATTAAACCCAAAATATTTTGCACTCTCGATTAGAATCTTCGACAATCTCACCGTTTTTTTATTCCACCTAACTTCTCCAATCACAACTTTTACATTGAACTACTTTTGTACAGTTTTACAGCTACTTTATTACTTGTTCTCGACCATTTGTTGTTGTTAGTGTTGGACCTCCAGTGGACTTGATAGAATTCTTCACAATCTCTTAAAATGTTGTGTGCGCTCACAACAACGAAGTCACGTGGGTACCTTTCTAGCTTTATATCCGTAGTTAATCTTGTGAGTGTGCAATGGCTTGGTTAACCTCTATAAATTTATCATATAAGTTAATTGGTTCAAGAATATCTTCTGCATTATATCAATTCATTCAAGTAAAAAGCATTATCGGATCTACATTCTACATTTTTCAATTTAATATATTGTATTATGATGATTGTATTAGCGTAAATTTGTAATCTTCTTCAAATCCTTCAGATTTTTGGGGGAACAAAAGTTGAAAAAAACCATTTAACTCATTTGATTTAATTAGTTAAACCGAAAATCTTATTAAACCATTAAAAACAACCTTCCATCCGTGAATAAATTCGTTGAAAGGTCTCAAACATTCAAAATTTTAAAGATTACACAAACTGATTTACAAAAATGAAAAAGAGAACTACATTTGCATGGGTATATAATTTGAGGAAAAGAAAAGGAAGAATGTATATTAATGACATGAAATATAGGGACTAAACTGAAAGAAAATAATGACATAAATATACGCTCGCGGGATCTTAAAATATGAATTTTGGTCCATTGGCTCAGATAAGGCTCATTTTAAAATTTATAACCACGGAGAGGTCTACATCATTATTTTTTCTTGTGAAAGGAAAAACAAAAAAAAAAGAATGAGAAAAAGAAAACAAAAGTTTGTGAAAAGTAGTAGCTTCATAAGCTCTTGTCTATAAACTCCCATATCCTCTGTTCCATATAAACACGGTCCTTCTCCTTCCGTGGCATATGCCGTTCATCGGGAAATATCAACAGCTCATACCTCTTCCCGGCTTCAACCAGAGCGTTCACAAGCCTAGCCGTGTGCCTGAAATGCACATTCTCATCAATCATCCCGTGTACTAACATCAGCTTCTGCTTCTCCGTCAAGTTCCCGACGTGGTGCATAACCGAGCTCTTCAGGTAGCGCTCCTCCACGGGGAGACCCATGTACCTTTCGGTGTAGAATGAGTCGTAGCCATCCCAAGATGTGACGGGAGCACCCGAGACAGCGCAGTGAAAGATCTCAGGGTACTTGGTCAAGAGCGTAGCTGAGAGGTACCCACCGTAACTCCAGCCGTACACACCGATGTGGTCCGGTTTAGCCAGGCCTTGCTCTATCAGCCATTTGGCCCCCGTTACTTGATCCTCTGCATCCACATTTCCACAGTTATGCTTGATCCAAGATTCAAATTTCAGCCCACGCCGTGAAGTTCCTCTGTTATCAAGCTGCAAAAATCAGTGGAAAATATATCAACTCTAAAGCCTCATCTTTGAGTGAACCTTGACATGGTAAACGGATAAAGAATTTGTAGAACCTTCCAAACCAAAACGCCTCTGCTTCTCAGGTACTGTGTCCTCATGTCGACTGTGTTGATCCAAGAATCATGGACCAACTGAACACTGGGACCTCCATAAACGTTGATCATCGTTTTATATGGAGGAGGACCGAATTTCGAGCTGTCCGGTTTGTAAACCGCGCCGTACAGCGTTGTCTTTCCATCATTCGCTTGTATCTGAACAAACTCAGGAGGCTCGAGCTTAAGCCTTTTCAGCATCGGTGTAGGTGATGTCTGCTCGTACAGAATCTTGAGTACAGTCCCGTCGCTCAAAGAGCAAAGAGAAACCCGTGGAGGCGAATCAACTGAATCATGAATGTCTACGAAGTTCCTCATCTGGTGATCGAGCACGACGATGTGTTTTCCTTTCCCATGAGTAAGCCTCAGCGGTTGTTGTTGACACTGAGATGCTTCCAGTTTCGTGCAGTAAAGATTAGTTTCAAGCGGTCCATCGAGAGTTGCAGTGAAATAAACCAGAGACATTGCCTCGTTTACGCCTGCGATTTGCTCAACCATCCATTCACCGCTAGTAATGGCTCCAAGGCATGTCCCATCTGACTCATAAAGATACAAATGCCTGAAACCGGTTCTCTCGCTGGCCCATATGAATCCTCCTGAACGCCTCGACGATGAAGGGACCTTCTCCAGAGGAGTAAAACAGTCATGTAAGGTCACCCATACATCGGATTCTTCCGTCAAGATTATGTTTCCTTGACCAGTCTTTATGTCAAAGCTGATGATCTTCAGTTTGCCCTGCGACCTGTTCAGAACCTGCGCCGTGAGAACGTTCCCGGGCATCCAGTTGACTCTACCAAGATACTCGTCCTCCATGTTGTTTTTTCCTCCGCACACAAGATTCATCCAAGTCGTATTCCCGCCGCCGGCTGAAGAAACTACCCCGAGACGGACTGTGGAATTGAGAGCTCCTGCGAAAGGATAAGCATGATCTTCTTGTGCCTCTGAACCAACCGAGCTTTTTCCCTGATGCATTATTCTGAACAGAGGAATCTGTGAGGAGTCGACTTCTGTATAGGCGATGAACTTGCTATCTAATGACCACCAGTACCCATTCCTCCGATCCATCTCCTCCTGAAACAGAATAAAGTTTTCAAGAACATGTTTCGGATATAACATATAAAATTTGTAACATTAAAAATGCGGAAGATTCCTTCGGAAAAGTTTCTCACCTGAGCTATGTACTCAGCAAGGCCATGAGTCTGCAGCAAGAAAACAAATCAAACTTATTCTCCCGAGAATAAGTGAAAAAAGTAAGACCACAAGAACAGTCAAGTAGCAAAGCTTTACTTACCAGAGTACTTCCAGTGGCACCGTTTGTTAGCTGTTGTGTCTGGGTTTTTAACAGATTGAGGACATGCAACTCGGAGTCTCTTACGTATGCAAGCAATAAGCCATTTGGAGATAGACGAGGATCGATGATCGGAGAAGTGGGTGAACTTGGAACTATGAGCTCCGGATACGGTGATGAAGAAAGCTCCTTCATATACACCTAACCATGGTCACAACACAAAACAAGAAAAAGTAACCCAAGCAGAGTTAGATTATCTTCAATATTCTACAGGAAGAAAAGATCACTAATGCAGCTGATAAGATTCAAACTATGGATTATAAAGAACAAGAACAAAGACTCTTTATTATTTTTTCAATCAATCAATCAAGAACAGATGACCAAACTCTAAGAATGAGCCCAAAGTATCTAACTTTCCCAATGCCAAATGGGCTCCCAGCTAACCAGTTGGCCAAAGACCCTAATAAATAATGTTCTCATTCTATTGCCTATCAACAGCTTGCAAAACCATCTATTTTCAAGTTCAAATACATCTGCTTGATTTTAAAAAGTGACAACTTTTATAAAATTTTCCAAAAGGTTGTATTGATAATAGAAGAAAGGGAAGTAAAAGAACTAACCCCTGCAGGTAAAGGCACCATAATGAATTTCATCTTCAGGTTTGTCTTGACCCATTCATACCGAGTTACTCCTAACCCACGCTCACGCAGTCTCTCCCTTCTCAGCTTCTCCTCCGGTGAAATGTTGCTCTCATCAACTCCTCCATCAGGAGGACTAAAAACCAAACTTGATTCTCCTTTGTTCAAATCAAAAGCGTACACCTTCCTATTCAAATTCTCTTCAGGGCTAAACAAGTAAGTGACCAAAGAGTCGTCAGGGCTAAAGCCGACCGCGGTTGGGGCTACATAACCTGGTAATGGCGTCTGAACAATATCTTCCACCGTGAAAGGAACGTCCTTTTCGAGCATTTCCGCCATAAAGGAGAACTCTTTTTTTGTTTGCTTCTCAAAGGAATCTGATTCGTTCAGCGCCTCGATGCATGCGACGTAAATTTCAACAAGCTGCAAAAAAACAACCGTAGTTATAAAATCTCCAGTGGGAACACCACGAAGAAACTGAGAAATTCAAAAACTCCAAGCATCAAGCTTTCTTGATCACAAAACAAAATTGGCAATGTATATCAACCCTGTGCATTTCACTACATTTGGCTACATACACAAAAATAGTGAACTTCATATCGCTGATTAAAAGCATTTGATTGTAATAGAAAGGCAGATAAAGCCTGCAAATCAATCAAATTTAACACACAGTGAGCTCCATCTTGATGGATAAGATTGAATTTGACCTAAACTGCGTACAATCAGTATTTACTTAATCTACCCTTTTAATCAGTATTTACTTAATCTCTGCAATTCCTCGAGACCAAACAAGAACCAATTCTAAACATGCGCGTGAACAGAGAAAAATCATCTTGAATTGAAGTATAAAAGAGGGTCAATCGATCGAAACCATACTGAATGATTCTTCGTTGTTGACCATAAACTTTGTCAAAACGTGAAAGAGGAAGAATGAGATTAGAGTTGAAGTTGGTGGGGGAGACCCAAAAGAATGAAGCTGATGAGAGAGAGAGAGAGAGATTCGCAGATATCACAGCTCAGCTATCTGGGATATAGAGAGATTCCTCTTCGGTGTAGTTACTGAAATTAACAGGAACTTATATTATTATTTTTGTCAATTATTGGTATATTTAAAGATTTTATTTTAAAAAAATTATTTTAAAAAATTTCTTCAAATGCACATAATCTAATTTTTTATTTCATATATATACTAACACTCTAAAAAATTCTTTTCATAATATTTTGTATTATATTAAGAGAAATTCTCTCAAATCCCCTTAATCTAATTTTTTGTTCCATATATACACTAATACTCTAAAAAAAATTTTCTATAACATTTTGTATTATATTAATCTTAGTTAGACAAAACATTAGTTAGTAAAAAAAGAAGAAAAATAATGTACAAACAAATGGCCAAGACTGATCTGAAATCGAATCATTTGTTTTGTTTAGGATCACTCTTCCCATTTAATTGTGATTTGTGATTGTGAATTTCTTAGATTTTTGGGGTTTTGTTTATGGAAAAGTGATTTCGGGATATAAAATTCAAAATCATATAATGATAGATAGATCTGATATAATTGGGTGAAAACCTCAAGAAATCCGAATTAAAACAACAACAATGGTGAAAAAAAAATCGGTAGAAATTAGGGTTTGGATGTCGCAGATGTGAGAAAGGAGATGCGCGTAAATTTAGGAAGATATTCTAAAGTTTTAGGAAAACTTTTCTAAAATGTATAAATTAAGGAAATCATTATATGTATTTAGGAATGCTTTCGTAAATCGTATAATTGATTATTATTTTTGTTAATTTATACAACTCAAATTCAAGATGCATTTCCACAATTCAGGAAACCCTTCCACAATTCAGAAAGCTCTTCCACAATCCAGAAAATTCTAAAAAAATTAAGAAAACTTTCCTAAACCATATGAAACGATGTTAAAATCTAGTATTTAGAAAACCTTACTAAAAAACCACGAAACATTAACAAAAAAAAAAACATTTAGGAGACTTTTCTAAAAGATAAAATCGGAAAACTCAAATGAAAAATGTTAGAGGTAGAAAAATTTTAACTTCCCTATTATATTTGTCCCTATTTATTTTTACTTGTTCTACCATTTTTGTAGAAAAAAAAATATTATGGGTTTACCAATTTGTATTGGTAGTACTTTGTGGTAATTATCCATTTAAACTTGTCTATAACACATTTTTCCCTGTAAAGGCTTGCACCTAAAAGTTTGTTCATAAATGATTTACTTGTAATTTATTTAAATGTATAAATGTATTAGTAGTTCATGTTATATATACTTGGATAAAACGTGTTTAGCAAATTAAGATTGTTTTAGTAAATACAAAAAAAGTTACTAGAATGGATTTTATCATCAAATGAACTAATTAGTTAGTATATATAATATGATATCAGTATAATGAACTGATTTAAATGTTAACTACTATATGTCAAATGGAGAATCAAATGTTCCACATAAAATGAAGGATCAAAACTAGCGAAGTACGCAGAAATATACAACACAAGACAACTCCAAGATCCCTTGTCAAGATTGATTTATTGCAGCTATTTGCCGATTTCCAAATCCTAACTTATATCTCTATCGTCCTCTTTACGATTTTGTACAAAAATATTCAAAAAGAAAAGCAGAGAAGAAGGCCAGAAGTTTGGGGTTAGAAATATAGGTTTTGCAACTCCAAATCTTCGTCTTCGCTAGATGAAACGAAACTTGGAAACGTCCCCTTTATGTCCCTGCATTGTTCAAGAATCTTATTATCACAAGTTTGTCACGTATTACTTGGAGTTTGCGTACATATATGATTAACGGGTTTTTGTTTGAGCAACCACTCTATTATATCTTTTACGTCAAAAGCTACACCGAAAAATAAAATTATTAAAGTATACAAAATATAAACTCACTTTAGATACGGCAAAGTCATGTTCTTGATGAGCGACGGATTTTTTGACACAAAATCTTTCCATTCATCTATGTCAATTTTCCCGTCGTTCTTGCGATCTGCTTCGATAAACGCCTGCAAGTATATATACCACCATCTCCTTATATAAATTATTTATCATTAAGATGAAAATCTTCAATATCGAGGTAATATATATACTAGAAAGTCAACAATTAGGTTACGGTATGAAGTGATGGGACTACCTTATCTACCATTACTTCGATCATATCTTCGGAAAGAACAAGTTCAGATTCGTGAAGAAGCGCGATTACCATCTCTTTCAACTATATTGCAAGAATAACACACAAAGTTATGGTGATAAAAATGTAAATTTAAAATCTTGCGGGTTCCAAAAAAATATCCGAAAATGGACTCACTTCTTCTCGTTCGATGAATCCAGTTTGCCGTAAATCGTACAATTTGAAAGCAACTGCAAAATTCATGGTAAATCTCATTGTTAGTTAATTAACTTAAATAGAAGATGTGTGTACTTAACATAGAATGAATGTGAACTTTGAGGGTTAGAAGAAGAGACATTTGATTTTTTCATGGACAGGTGCATTTGGATGGAAGACGCCTAAAGACCTAACAAATTCCCCAAACTCGATCACTCCATTTCGCTTCACATCAAATACGTCAAATATCTGCGGATAACATATTATTCAACGAAACTTTATTTAGACATACATTTGTTTTATATAAATGTGACTTCTTGTAGGTAATTAATATAAATTAAAGTACCCGATCAGCGAAAAGGTTCTTCCGTTTCCTATTTCTGAATAAAGCGAGCTGAAATTCTTCCTACAACATCATGCTTTAAACTCTTATAAAGCCATATGCGAATATAAAAGATCTAAAAAAATAAAAGCAGGGACTCTGTTTCGATAATATTCGAGTAAAACGGATGAAAAGAAAGAATAAAAGAAGAAACCTTATGAATAAGACCGTCGTCGATAATTGAGCTGCTTAGCTTCATGAACAGTTCATACAAAGCCTCCACTTCTGCTACCGTAACTATTGTCCCTCCCAATATCAAAAGTTGAATAAAAATTAGAGTTTTGTCCCAAAGTATAGAACATGTATTTTGTAATTATTAAGAGTATATAAGATAAAAAAAAACTTAAAACTGACACGGCGTAACGGAGGCAAGAAGGTCAGGATCCTCATATCCTGGCGGTCGTATTGCATTCTTCTTCTTCTTCTTCGACAGAGAGCAGCCCATACAAACACACCTTCTCTCAACTGTTATTAGTCTTTGCTTTTACTCTACAAACCAAATCTTGGGTTTAGAAATGGTATGGTGAATTAATAATATCCATCGGTCGTTCGTTTTACAACAACAACAAAAAAAAGAACAGTCTAAGAACAAACCAATTATAATCGAGTGCAATTAATCATATTCAATAGAAGTCGACGGCTATATATGAACGATTATTTCGTTGGTTTGTAAATAATAAATACATCAGATGTAGTTGGCCAAGTTACCCATTAAAATAAAGATCGTTGTAGCTTTCTCGACAGCTATATTAAGCTCTCCCAAATATCAATTCACGTTTAGTATACTAATCGAATAGCCAAAACTATAACAAAACGACCTTTTTCATATTTAATCTATATATTTAATAACTATACCAATAAACAAAAATGAAACCAGCACAAAAACAAAAACTATATATAATTCATATAACCACAAAAATGACGTATGAACAGACGTATATATAGATAAGAGAGAACTTTTGTTTTTCTTTCTCCTCCTAGTTATCTTATTCGTAATAACAGAGATAGCTTATCAAAGTCTCCTATGGTGATATATGCATAGATAATACAGGTAACAAGATTTTGGATCAAATTTAATCGGTGTTGGTCCACGACTCCACGTATATATATATGCATGAATCAGTCAACTGATTTATAAAATATACAAGTGCAACATAATTACAAATTACAATAACACTTTTAAGCGACCAAGCGCATATATAGATCTCTAAAAGTAGTATACTAATTTTACACAGGAAATCATATGGAGCCTAGATAGGTTTAATTAATTTGCATGATGAAGATAATTTTTTGGGGGAGCTCAGGCATCTTAAACAAAAACCAAATTTAATTCTTGAAGAATAAGAGAAGTGGAATGTTTTTGAATTGTAGGTAAAGAGACTAAAATTGTTTTTTTTTTTTACGAATTATAGTTAGAAAGTTCAAATCTGAACGGGACCGTTTATGCAATAATACAAAAGGTCTGATTGGTATGTCAGATGAATAACAGAATAGCAGAATAACTGAAAAATTACTAGCGGAATGAACTGAACAGAATAATATTTTAGCTGAATAATTGTGAAACGCTGAAAAGCTACTTTTAGTAGATTAATCACGTTTTGTTTTCTTAGTTATATTTTTAACAAGCTAGCGGAATCACGTTTCAAAAACATAAAAAAAAACATAAAAACGTGATGAATAAAAAATAACAGAATCAAATTTCAAAAACGTGAAAACATGAAAAAGCTGCATATCATTCAAATTCAAACCCAAACCCAAAGTAACACTTTATTAAAAATCACGAGATCGAGACAACTTCTTTTTGCTTTAATTCAATAATTGTAGGAAAGGAAATTGTATGTGTCTTGTCTTACTAAAGAAATTAAAAACAAAAGAGGTTTAGTTACACTGCTGTCTAGCTAGAGTTTTCCATATTATGTGCCTGATATTGACTCCTGAGTACCATACAAGAAAATAAACACACATATATATAATACATAATCATACTCCATGTATAAACCAAGTTGCACATATATAGTCTAGATGCAGCGTTTTCATCTCGTTGTTTACTTTTCTCAATCTCTGTGTGTAATAACAAAAAAAAGGTTAAATATTTTGGTTGCTTATTCAAACCGGCCATGCAGCAAAGAAATATGATGTTAAGTCTATTAATTAATTTCTCTACAAGTCTTTGGATAGTGAAGTAAATACAACTTGCAGGTGTTGACTTTTAAATTATTTGTTATATGTATTCACTCTTGATACAAATACAGGTACGGCGATTGCTTACGCATTAAATAAACACCCACCAACCCCCAATTCGATATCCTGGTTTAAAGGTCGATACCGAATCGAACCAAGCTTGACCATACAGTCTACCCCCTAAAATAATTGAACCTAATCTAAAACAATTTAATTTGGACAGAACCGAACTAAAAGTCTAAAACCAAAGTAAAACCATATTTTACTGGATTTATAAAATGGACACTACACTCAAAATTGGACGAAAAAGATAAATATTCAAACGGTTCAGTTCAGCCGATCGCACTATAGAACTCAATATGTAGTCATATTGAAGAATGTGTTAATTTTTTTTTTTTAAACATTAAACCGACACGAGATCTTATAACTAGATTCCTTGAGAACCGGACCTATATTTACTCAAAAAGGAGAATAAACTTCAAATTTGAAAGCCTCCATTTTTTTAAAAAAAAACCTTTTTGTTTCTTTTAAATTCTGAGTCTGATTGGATCCCTTAAATGTGAACTAAAAATTGTATGGGAACTAAAAAAAGCCATTGGAAAGAGAAGAAAGATTATCTCAGCAGCTTCTGTTTGAAAAACACAGTTGAAATTTTATTTTCTCGGGGAAAAAGAAAACAAACAGAGGCAAGACAGTTGCATTTTGTCATGGTCAATCCAAGAAAAGAAACAAAAAAATATAACTAACCCGAGAATGTGTCGAATATATATCTTGTTCTTCTCGCCTTTTAGCCTCTTGGATCTTGCAAAATTTGGGTGTGGAAGAGGAAATGGCCAAAATGGAAGAAATTAAATAGTGTGTTGGGCTTCGCAACATCGGTTCGGTTTGTATCTATCCATGCGTGGTGGATGGATCGCGATGTGATGTCGGTTTTCAAATCTATTTTATAGTATTGTTTTATCAACCCTTCCTTTTATAACAAAATATAAAAGAGTACATACACTATAGTTTTGATGTCCCACGAGTCACACCCTACTTTGTCCTTTCTCTTTTCCTTATGCTTTCTCCTTTTTCCTTGTGACAGCTGTGAATACTGACAACAAAAACGGATTATATTTTTGTGAAAACGATTTAAAATGTTAATAACACATTACTCTGTAGCTCCTATAATTTAATTTAAAACTGAATGCCGATATATATTTTTGCAACGGATTAATTTTTTTTTTTTTTGTATAACTCAAGAAATTTCAAACCTATAGAAGGGGCTAGAAATAGATTCCTACTATTTTGCAGAAAAAAAGGCATGACAACACTGAAACTACACATGCCTAACTTTTGTAATTTTCGTCATGATCATTGTTTCTTTGCATTCTTAAACATATATTATATATAACTTTGTTTATGTCTCTCAAACAAAAATTAGGTTGCGAAAATTCGTTTTATCTCTTTCTTTTTTCTTTTCCATTAATCTTTACTTTTTTTTGTCGGACTAATTGATGCGTAATAACGAGCAGTAGAAAGAAAGGTAAGTTTGCTATGTTTATGTAACTGTTGCCAAAAAGCAAAAAAGACTGTGTGTATAGTTTAATACTTTTATTTGATAGGAACTATTTATCATTTATAATATTATGTTTCCATAAGTTTATTATACTAATAGATTTGAATTACGAAAAGTTGATAAAAATATACGAAACATGCTGATGATATAAACCCCTAGAAAAATTAAATAAATCTGTGCTACAATAAATTAGCTTTGCTTATTTTCACAACAAAATACCCTTAACCAAAAAAAAGGAAACCTAAACATTGAGAACCCAAAAAACTACCCCAAACCAAAACCGCTACACTAAGCCATACCAACTCGTAAAACAATGTTTCATCATCGTTGTGGGCTCGGTTCAGCTCATAAAAGTCCTTCAAGGGTAAGCAGCTCTCAAAAGAAAGTTTTGTTGCATTTGTCATATCTTTCTTTAGTCTTGTTCATTTTTTTCTCTAACTTGAGCAACGAACACCTCTCCTCCTCTATCTTCCTTACCACCATTTTCACTCTGTCTCTTGCTGCTTCCCTTTCTCTCAGCTTCTCATCTTCATCTTCCCTCACCGTTATCGGGAAATGAATCTCCGGTTTGCTGACACCCAAAAACCAATAAACCAAAGATCGTATCATCATCATCAACATACCCAAACGCTAACTTGAATAACAAGAAACGAAGATAGGGATACAAGGTTCAAGAAATAGACACGTACCTGCACCCGGAATATATAAATCCGTTTCCTTTGGCGATAAAGCCATCTAAAGATACAGCGCCATAACCACTGAGGTGTGGGAGAGCTTCTTCAACATGTCTTTGGGTCTCATAAACCTGTAATTTCCCAAAGAGACCATAGAAGAGCGTCTCTCTAAGCCCTCGACCATCGTATGTTTTTAGGAACAGCTCTTCAGGTGCCAATTCAATCATATTCACCGCATAGCCTTTGAAACCCGGTATGGGATCTCCATCGGGCAGCTTCGGATCATCCATGGCTAATTTCATCTGAGGATCGATCTCCATAAATTTATCCGTCCAGGGTCTATGTGTTTGGCAAAGAACACCACTATTATTCTTATAACTCTATCAGAGACAACATCAAAGGTTTGGCAAATCCAAAACTACTTAAAATGGTTACCTCGCTGCATCAAGACATAAAACATGAAACCGTTTAGTGATTGATCTTCCGAGCTTAACTGCTTCGGACTGAAGCCTGAGATACTCTGAACTATTCGATCCAAGTCGTGACGATTTGCATACCAAAGCCAGCATTGTGTCTTCCCCCAAATACTCAGACAATACCCTGTGATACTAACTTAGGTTAATAAAGTTTTGTCCCAACAATTATGATCATCAAAATTTTTTTCGCTAGAAACTGATGTCACCTGCTAAGGGAGGTAGGCAACTGAACCTAGAAGCGCCACGAGGCCAAAAACTCCCTTCGTTGCCAGAATAAAAGACTTCGGAGTAGGAGCATTTCTGTACATACAACAGAAAACCGCTGCTGCAGTTTCATGGTGCTTCTCTTCGATGTGTTTCATCATTGATTCTTTCGTGGATAGGCATTCTGGAAAAGCCGCACCGAGATGTTCCAGAGAATCTGAGATTGAGGCAACACATGAACAAGACTATGTTCTACTAAACATTTTGTCAAACTCTTAAACGAAGTTTAAAGTGGTTTCAGAGTCAAACAAGCAAGAAACGTTGCAGACACCAAAATGTTAAAGTGGCATCAATGCAGCTTCAAACCAAGATAATAGTTACCTTGTAAGGTACTCAACACTTGCTCAGCCTGTTGTTGTTCAGCTTCCAAACGCTTTAGACACTCATCTATTTCCACTCTGCGTTCGCTGTAACTATTGAGCTTTGCTTTAAGCATCTGCAGGAAAAAAGGAGCATTTTCAAACACGGAGCAGAGGCGAGAGCTAAGGAATACAAAATACATCATTCTTGATTTATGCTTTCACTTAGAAACAAATGAAATATAAAGATTCAGTATGTGTGGAGCTTATAAAATGGTGATGATCCATACGTCAGCGTACTGTGCCATATCCAGTGGGACAGTTTGGCTACTCAGAGCCGATGACAATTCCCTACTGGACAGAACACCAAACTCTGAGCATGGAGTCTTTTGAGTTGGAGTCACCCATTGATTTGTGGTCGAACCCATCTTTGATTGAGGTGTTTCACACATCCTTGGGAAAGGATCAGAACACCCAATCTCATCTCTTTCAGATGTTTGAGCAGAAGTTAACTGAATCTGAAAATTCAGGAAATGAATATTGAGAGGGAGGAGATGTTATCAACAGCATGCGTTTTCTTCTTTACTTAAAATGGAAACATAACGCAGGATACCTTAAAGCTCATATGAATGTCGGGAAACCGAGAATGGAAAGCCTTGAAAGAGAAGACACCCTCGGTCTCAGGTAGTGAGAGTGAAACAACTTTGCAGCAACCATGGACAAAGGCATATCTGATTCCACTCTCAAAGGTGCTTGAATCAGATTCAATGGTCATGGTGTGGAAACTCCCGGATTTTTCGTCGTGATGGATGTTGGTATCCAACGAACCGTCTGGTTCCGTCACTTTGAATATGAGGTTTGTAAGATTTGAACCAGCCTCACAGTACTCAGGCAGCTGATCGAAACACAACAATTTTCAGAGGAAGAAAGGATTACAAAACTTGACAAGTGTGCAAGCAGAGAAGATGAAAAGCAGAACTTCAGAACAAGAGACATATTTTACTGAAACAGTTAACCTATATTACAGAGATTTACCTCCGTTAAGAGCACGAGGTCTCGTTTCTCAATGAGAGACACTTTCTTAAAGATCTCTTCATTATCATGCATCACAGAAAGTGATACTACAGAGACACAAAGACAGTAATTAGTACTACAGAAGATATCTGTTGTTACATCCTTACAAAATTATGGCACCAGATGTTACCATATTTCCCGTAGCCTGCTGTGACTTTGAGAATTCCAGAGAGATCAATGCAGCCATTACCATCAACCTATGAATATGAAACGATAAATAACTCACTGTATTAATTGCATCACGTTACTCACTCACCAAATAAGTACAACTGTTAACTAACTTGTACATTAAATCAATCCAGAATAATGGTAAGAAAAAAGCTTTTGATCAATATAATTTTAAGTAGGTAAGCTTCTCGTACCTTTCGATTAGAGGACATAGAGTCTTGGATACAAAAGCCATCAATACTTATAAGAACATTGGTACCTTCTGCAACATGGTTATTATATCCATCCATCATCTGCATGAAAAATTGTTGTTCGCAGCTTGATCTAAAGGAAACATTCGTTATTGAACAAGTAAATGCACATGCTTATATTGTATAATATACCTGCAAGATAAAAATTTCTACAAATGAATCTGGAAGCAAATTTTCGAAAGCTTGTGGATTACTTTCTACAACAGACTTCAGAGGCCCAGGTTTCACTGAAAAATGAAAAGCTCGTTACCAGATTGATAAGTCCTTTGTGTATCTTACTACCAGATTTTGAAGAATGTTACTAAACAAAAAAATGAAAGCAGTACGCTTACTTTTACAAGCAACTGAGAGGGAAAATGGTTCATCCTTTGAGTATATCTCTAAGGTTGCTTTGTAATCTGGTCTGATGTGATCTAACCAATCAGCCTCAACGAGCATATTCTGCACCAGTATCAGAGATTTAGGAAAGTTATAGATTTTTCCAGAAAATAAACAGCACTAGTTCTTGAATAATGGAAGTAGTTAGATACCTTGACTTGGAGAACTCCACGAGCTATCAGGTTAGCCTCAACCTCATCGACCCGGAGTTCGAATCCCGGACTGGCTCTCAGTTTAACTTCCAGACTTGGAACACAAGTGAATGGTATCGGATTCTCATACTCATCAAAGCAAGCGATAGAGCAAGGCGGAAGCAAAGATCCCACCCTAAAGATTATTGTTACACCATTGTATAGATTAGGATTTGATAAGAAAGATCAAGTGAAGGAACAAGATCAGAAAGATCTGCATTTACGAGTCTTACCGGACATTAATGGTCTCCAGATTAGAAGCAAGTTTCCAACATCCCACCTTTGAAGATGGTTCAACAACCAACTTTTTTCTATAAGTAATCGAATTCCCCTGAAAAGGAAAGTATTCGGAAAATTTTAGATCATATGATGATAACTTGTAAAACTTACATGGCAAGTAAAAGATCATGTAGCTTTTACTTACAACAGAGAAACAAAGATTGTAAGTCCCAGCTTTCTTGAACATGTTGGGGAACTTGGACTCAAGTGGGAAGATGTAAAGACCATGAAACCCTCCACGTGATGTGGGAAGAGAGCGAACCGAATACATAGGCTGTGTGTTCTTCTCCCTTGATTTCATGTTTTTGTCTTTTGTAAGCTCTACTTCCAAGAGCATCGCTCCATCCATTTTCACAATCTGTTTTTGATCAAACTTTTTCAACTGCTTTGAAGACGAGAAGCTAGCAGGTCGAACAACTGCAACAATCTGTTGCGGCGGAGTTTGTCCAGCGCACACTGAATCACCAATTGTTGATTCCTATAACATTTGATCCAAAGACAAAAAGCTTAGTTATTTTCATGGAAACATCAGTTTGAAAAAAAAGAAGACTAATCTGACTCCTCTTTAGTAAGAAGGACAACGGTTCTTACCCCATCAAATTTCAATGCTCTGCAGTCTCTCTCATCAAGAACATCAATTCTTGATGGATCCTTTTCTTTTTGCTGCTCAAGTTTTTTGTTCCATTCATTCTCATCTACAAGTACACACTGTACAAAAACATATCTCAGAGTGAAGTTGAAAAAGAGTATATGCAGAAGAATAAAAAAAAAAGTATGGTTTCAGCCTTTTCAGGGTTTAGTGATTGACCTCATTAGAATCGATAATACTGATAGGGAAAGATGAAGAACTTCGAATTTCCAGTCTCATTCCGTTAATAGTTGAAAGCATGCATCCCTCATCCTCAGAGATATTGATTTGCCTAAATTACAAAAACAAAAATCAGAATACAACTAACAATACTAGTGAAGTCAAGAACAAGAACAGAGTCACCTGCATATAATCCTGGCATCACCTACATAGAAGACACACAAGAAGATCTCAATCCACACAAATGACAGACTAAAATGGTGCAAGTCTAAAATGATATGAAACTTACCCCCTGCTTCGTCCTGGAAGTTCTCTATGAGGAAATAGTCAATAGTGGCGTAGACATTGTTCTTGTGAGTTAGTTTATATGCTCCTTTCAGAATCTTGATCTTCTGTCCACGTTCCCAAGTAATCCCTTTTCTCTTCACCACCTTGTGCACCCTCACAGCTATAGCTCAAAAGCATTTCAGTTACAAATAATTTATCTAAATCAACAAGTTTTTGCAAAGACCTATATATGTACCTTCACAATCAGGTGAAATGCAAAGAGCTTTGTGATCCAAAGATTCAAAAACAACGATTGCTTCATCTGCGCCTGAAGCATTTTCTTCATCATAAGATTTATGCATCTTAAGAACCCATTCCTGATAACTCTGCTCCACTTCACCAATTCTCAAACGCTCTCCTTCTTTATGAATCTCGATACTGACATCTGATAGAACCGAGAATTAAGTCTATTCTAGTCGCTGGAAGAAAAGCAAAAGCATGATTATAAAAATGTATATTTGAACTGACCGTTATGCTTCTCCTTCGATCTACTACCAAAGCTTTTCAGAGCCACAGAGAATATGTTTTGGCTTGCAAGATCAGTCTGCAAATAAGCAAGTTCAGTAACCGAGCAGAGAAGGTACTCATTACATTAACTAATATCTAGGATAGTGTGTAGCTCACTTTTGACGGCGTTGGGTTGAAGCCAGCATCCAAATCTGTAACCACATGAAACATACACTCATAAAACACAGACATATGTACAATAGACAATGTATGAGGGATTCATACCGACAAAGCATTTAACTCTTTGGCAACATCTCTGAAGAGTAGTGGCTCTGGCTCCTCTTTCCATAAATGGAATTGATGCCTATACACAGTTATTGATCTTCAAGTCCATGGTCTAGCAACAGAAATGTGAACAAACCCTAAGAAGACCAGATAATGGGGACTAAAAGAAAGACTAACCCAAGGGACTTCTGGGAGTAGACGACCAAGCCTTCTTACGGAAACACGACTAAAAGTTTGACTGATTTCATCAGAAACTCTGTATCCTTTATTCTCTAAGCTTTCCATAATTGTATCAGTGCTCTCTTTTCCCTGCAAGAAGCAAAGTTAAGAGCTTCCAGAGTGTTTGAGTTCAAGAAAGGTAACCAAAAGGTTGTCATACCTGGACGATTGGAAAATAAACAAACTTAAGACGAGCGTTTGCCTCTTGTGATGTCCCTGAATGACAAATATATATATGTGGTCACAGAAACTAAGCAATGAGATAAACTTATCTACAAAATGATGAAACAGAAGCATCTTCAAGGGTTCCTGTTACTACTACCTTTGCTTTTTTCAGTGAAACGAATCTGAAACCAAAATTCTTCACCCTTGGAGTTTAGGTTGGTGGTGGCAACCTCTCCACCCACTATCTCAGTTAAACCCTCTCCGTTAACCTTGAAAAAAGGGGGAAAAAATGAAAAATTGAGCAAAAAAATACAAGCAACTAAGAGCACCAGTAATAGTCTAATAGATAAAGAATGATGATTAATATCAAACCTGAAACTCTACAGGCCTTAAAGTCCTCCTCGTCTCGGAGATTTCATCATACTACAGTTTGACAAATATAAAATGAAAATGAAAACTCCGGCCAAGAAACATCAGAATAATGAGATTGTCACATATTGTATTAATATCAGGTAAAGAATACCTGGATGTAAGGAAAATATATATCCTTAAGTTTGCATTGAAGTGGATATATTCCTGGGAACTTGCATTTGGGTTCAAAGATCTCCACCTGGAAAGAAAATAGAATAGCAGTCACATCATCAGGAGAATGAAGAAGCAAAGATGAGGATCACACAATAAATAAACAAAGAATCCATAAAACAAACCAATATAAATAGATTTTGGTTAAAAGTTAGCTACATAGAAAATGGATATGTACCTTGGTGAAGCTTCCATGAGGAGATAGTTTAATTTCTTCATCATAAGGATCCCTCATTCCACCATCGACCTTTTGAAAAAAAAAAAAAAATTCAAATCTACTAGTTAAGAACAGAGACTACGTGCATGTGAAGCAATAAAGAAGCTACAATTGAGGGTTGAATGTATTGTATTATTACCTTCCAGTTTTTGCCAGAGGTAGAACGACTTTCAATCAAATCTTCTTTATTTAGTTGCAAGGTGAAGACTTTCTTGGACTGTTTCGTCTTTGAAGACACCAAAGTACGCCTGATCATGTAAGTGTCAAGTAAAGTAAAACGCAGGGCACAATCATTGGTTGACTTCAAGAACAAGAAATGAGATTATCACCTTCCCAAATGCATACAAGCAAAAGCTCCTCCATATCCAAACATCCCAAAGAATGGCTATACAGCAAAACAGTGAAACTTCATCAGTAGAATACTCGGTTTTGACAAGGATAGAACAAAATTTATTACAGACTCATGCAAGAAGATAACATTCTTTAAGCATAGAGTCAAGTACCATAAGGTATGGTGGTGTGCCTCCAATAGCTTTCGATTTGTGAGACCTATGTATTGAAGCCCCTATCTTCCCCCTGCACAGATTCAGAAAAAAATGAGTAAAAAAAACCATTTGATTGTAAGAACGTGTGATTGTAAGCATTTGAGTAAAACTGCTGAAAAGGCTCCTCACCATCTAGCAAGGGAATTTTCCTCGCTGCTGTCCATTCCAGGACCAGAATCAAAGAGTGAAATCCGATCGATGAGAATATCCACACTGCAACAACAATCTCGCATGAAATCAATAGATTAAAAAAAAAAAAACAATGGTCAGTCTAACCTTTGTTGACAAGAACAAACCTAATCAATCTTCGATCATTGGGAGAACAAGACCATACAGCTTGCAAAGAATTATCCTGTGAATATTAAGCAGAGCATGAGAATAACACAGCCAAACCCAAAACAAACAAACAAAAATTCCATAAAGCAATTATATATTTTCAGGTAATGCTCACTGAAACACTTACAATGAGATCTGCAAGAGCTGTGTCAAAGCTATAGTTTTCAGGTAGTTCTTTGAGCAATTCAGTATCAGGTGTCAGATCCCACATATTCTGCAAGATAAAGCAAATATTATAGTCACCATTACTAAACAAACTTAAGGAGATAGTTATACATATAGCAACTTTCTATATGATACTGACCTCATACATCATGGAATCTTCACCAGACCCATCCTGATCCAGAGATTATATTTGAAGCAAACATTAAATTTAGAAACTCAAAATTAGCTGAAAATTAACGTGTAAAGACAGAACTAGTGAGAGCAAAAAACAACTCACATCAAGGCGTATTATATTACACAAATCATGCTTAAACGTCTCAAATCGAACGGTTCCTTTCATCTTTTCACCGTTAAACTCGAGAAATGATTTAGCAGCGAGGTTCCAATCAACCTGTTTCTTCTTCTTACCGGAAAACTCACAATTTTTCCGAGTTTTCTCGTACTCCTCTCTAACCAGATCAACAAAACTCTTCAATGTCATTTCGGGTTCTTTGTTAGTGAGTGTGAGTGTCACACTTGTGCTGTTTGGTAAAAGAACTTTGAGCCTGTAAAACTTATCTTCTTCTTCATCATCATCATCTAGAATCAATACTCTCTTTAATGATCTCTTGTTACTCATCTGAAATGCAAAGACACGAACCAGAAGAAGAAAAGATACCAAAAAGACTAATACTTCCAGATAAACAGAAGCATCGACTTCTTTCAGAAACCATAAATTTCACTAGGGTAACGACTGTAAGTTGTAAGAGAGAGTAGTCAAGACGAACAAGGTAAAGTTGTATAAATTACCTTAGAAGCGGAAAAAGCAGACAAAGAAACTGTAAACTCAACCAGATGAAAAGAAAGAGAAAAAGGTGTGTTAGGATTCGAAACAGTGAAGATGAAGAGACGAGGAGTGAGGGGAGAAAGTGAAGAGCCTCCTAGTTTATAGAGAGTTATACAACACGCTTCCTCTTTCAGATTTTTTTAAAATATAGTATAATGTATAACTTTAACAAATAAAATGTGAATTTATTGGTTTTTCATTGGGGCTCGATTTCCCAAGAGAAGCAAACTATTTCATTTGGTGTTTTTAAAAATTATCAATTGGTTTAATTAGGTGTGAAGTTTTGGGTTGCCGGCGGGAAGCTTGCTCCGGCTATGCGATCGGCAGTTGCAAATCTCATGGGTGACGTCACGTCTGATTCCTAGCGCGTGTCCTCTTGATGGGCTTAGGCTTTATACAGAAGTTATCTTTTTGGTGCATTTGGGCCTCACGCTTGGGATTTTAATTATCCGATGTGTTTTGTTAGTTAGTTAGACTTAAGAATAGTATATGATACCCAGTAAAATAATTTCAGATTTTTGTATTCACAACAGAATACCCTTAACCAAAAATAAGGGCAACAAAACAATAATAACCAAAAAAGCTACCCCAAAACAAAATCACACAAAATCCAAACCGATTACCCTAATTCGCCATACAAACTGGTAAACCTAAGTCTGCGTTAGCTCTTTAAGGAAAGGTTTGTTGCATTGTCATACATTCCTTTATTCCTTTTTTGCTAAATGGTATTCAAGTTAAATGCTAAATGGTATTCAATTTAAATGACAAATGGTAATCAATTTAAAGGGTAAATGGTATTAAATTTAAATGCTAGAAAATGTTCCAAGGTTTGACCCATATAGTTTAGAGAGTAAGGCAAGAAAAGATGTTTAAACTTTAAAGCTAAAGATGAGTAAAAGCAAAGACGAAAAAAACCAAACATTCATAAAAAAAAAGACGATCAGCCACGACCAGCACCACGGCCTCGTTTCTCTCGTCCTTGGCCTTCAGCCATGAGCATTTCTCGAACTTTCAGAGTTGGTTTAATAGTTCTCCCACCTCGGCTCCTTTGTGATGATGAACCTTCAGGCATCAGGTCAATTCGAGTTTGATCCACACTAGCAAATGGATTATCCACTCTTCTCACACGATCTTCTGCATCGTCAAATCTTTCCTTATTCTTGTTCATCTTTTCCTCCAACTTACGCAGCAAACACCTCTCCTCCGCTATCTTCTTCTCCACCATTCTCACTTTCTCTCTTGCTGCTTCCCATTCTCTCAGCTTCCATTCTTCATTTTCCCTTACCGTTATCGGGAAATGAATCTCCGGTTTGCTGACACACAAAAAAAAACCAAAGACCATATATACCCTCATCAGTCACGTACTCAAACGCTAACTTGTACAACAAGAAAAGAAGATAGGGATCAAGTTTCAAGCTTTGCTTAAGGAACAAGAAAAGAGACACGTACATGCACCCGGGATACAGAAACCCGTTTCCTTTGGCGATGAAACCATCTAAAGACACAGCGCCACAACCATTGATGTATGGAAGAGCTTCTTCAGCATGTCTTTGGGTCTCATAAACCTGTAGATTCCCAAAGAGACCATAGAAGAGCGTCTCTCTTATCCCGTGACCGGAGTTTATTTTTATGAACAGCACATCAGGTGCCAATTCAATCATATTCACCGCATAGCCTTTGAAACCCGGTATGGGATCTCCACCGGGCAGCTTCGGATCCTCCATGGCTAATTTCCTCTGAGTATCGTTCACCAAAACTCCATCCATCCAAGGTCTATGTGTTTTTGCAAAAGAATCACCACAAATACTTTTTATAACTCAATCAGAAACAACATCAAGGTTTAGCAATCCAAAGGTACTTGAAATAGTTACCTCATTTCATCAAGACATAAAACCTGAAACCGTTTGGTAATTGTTCTTCCGAGCTTAGCTGCTTCGGATCGAAGCCTGAGATACTCAGAACTATTCGGTATAGGGAGTGACGATTTGCGCACTAAAGCTAGCATTGTGTCTTCTCCCAAATACTCAGACAATACCCTGTCATACTCATACCCAAACAACTTTTGAGTTAGTAAAGTTTTGTCCCAACAATATGATCATCAGAAAAACAAAAATGTGGCTAGAAATTGATGTCACCTGCTAAGGGAGGTGGAGGGTACTGAAGCTAAAAGCGCTACGAGTCCAAAAACTCCTTTCTTTGCCATAAAAAAAGATTGCGGAGGAGGAGCATTTCTGTATATTGAGCAGAAAACCGATGCTGCAGTTTGATTATGCTTCTCTTCGATGTGTTTCATCATTGCCTCTTTGGTGGATAGGCATTCCGGAAAAACCGTACCGAGAGGTCCCAGAGAAGCTGTGATAGAGGCAACATGAATAAGACTACGTTCTGCTAAACATTTTGTGAAACTCTTGAACAAAAGTTTAAAACTGGTTTCCTATAATAGTTACCTTGCAAGATACTCAACTCTTTCTGAGCCAGTTGTTGTTCAGCTTCCAAACATTTTAGACGCTCAACTACTTCCTCTGCGCGTTCTTTGTAACTATTGAGCTTTCCTTTAAGAATCTGCAGGAAAATGAGAATTTTCAAACACGGAGCAGAGACGAGAGCTATCTAAGGAATACAAGCTACATCGTTCTAGGTTTATTCTTTCACTTAGAAATAAACGAAATATAAAAGATCAATATGTGTGGGGCTTAAACGGTGATGATTATACCTCAGTGTACTGTGCCATATCCAGTGAGACAGTTTGGGTACTGAGAGTCTGTTGAGTTGGAGTCAGCCGTTGATTTGTAGTTGAATCAATCTTTGATTGAGGTTCAGAAGACCCAATCTCATCGCTTTCAAGGGTTTCATCAGGAGTAACCAGAATCTGGAAATTCAAGAAGTGAATATAAAGAGGAGATGTTATCAAACAACATGCATTTTTCTTCTTTACTGGTGGTAGAGACATATTGCAAGATGACCTAATTCAGAAATTACTATACCTTAAAGCTCACGTAAATCTCGGGATGCTGAGAATGGAAAGCCCTGAAGGAGGAGACACCATCGGTCTCAGGTAGGGAAAGTGAAGGCACTTTGCAGGAACCATGGACAAAGGCGTATGTAACTCCACTCTCGAAGGTGCTTGAACTGGACTCAAGGCGCATGGTGTGGAAGCTCCCGGAATTTTCATCATGATGGATGGTTGTATCCACTGAACCATCTGGTTCCGTCACTTTGAATATGAGTTCTGTAAGAGTTAAACACTCCCCACAGTACTCGGGCTGCCGATCGAAACACACAATTGCAGAAGGAAGAAAAAAAATATTATAAAATAATCTTGATAAGTGTGTACAGACAGATGAAGATGAAAGACAGAAGTATAGAGCAAGAGACACAATCAACTTATGTTACAGAGATTTACCTCTGTTGAGAGCACGAGGTCTCGTTTCTCAACGAGAGACACTTTCGTGAAGATCTCTTCATTAGCATGCATCACAGTAAGTGATACTACAGAGTAACAAAGACATTAATCAGAACAACAGAAGATATTTGTTGTTACATCTTACAAAAAAAAACTATGGCACCAGATGTTACCAGGTTTCCCGTAGCCTGCAGTGACTTTGAATATTCCAGACAGATCAATGCAGCCATTACCATCAACCTATGAAATGATCAAAAGAGCTTAAATGAGAATATGCAACGATAATTAAGTCACTGTATCAAATGCATCACTTTGGTTACAGTGGCAAATATATGCAGCACACACTTACTTAATAGACATCAATTAACTAGGAAACTAAACATACCGTATTCTACAACTATTGACTAACTTGTTCATTAAATCAAGCCCTTAATTCAATCCAAAACGTTGGTCTGGAAAAATGTATTTTACTTAGTTAAAATAATCATGTACCTTTCGAAGAGAGCCCACCGAGTCTTGGATACAACAGCCATCAATATATATCAGAGCATCGGTGCCTTCTGCAGCATGGTTATTATATCCATCGTACACCTGCATGAAAATAATTGTACTCAGCTTCATTTGAAAGGAATATTTATAACTGAACAATTACATTAACATGCATAGACCTTTATTATATATATATATATACCTCCAATATGTAGTTTTCAATAGTAGAATCTGGCAGCAAATTTCTCATTGCCCGTGGGTTCTTCTCGACAACACGCTTAATAGGGCCAGGTTTAACTGAAACATGGAAAGAAAAGAAAACAATGCTCCTTATGGAATATATCATTTATACACAAAAGTATCTCATAGCATTCCCTACTGTTGTCAAAATTCTAAGTTCCATTAACAAAACATTCTGATCTACGTGTAAGCAAATCTTGATAAGTCCTTCGTGTATACCACAAGCTTTTGCAGATAAGACAAATGGAGGGTGCTACTATAATTAATTAAGCTTACCATTACAAGCAACTGAGACGGTAAACGGTCCGTCATTTGAGCATATCTCCAAGGTTGCGTTGTAATCTGGTCTGATGTGATCTAACCAACCAGCCTCGACGAGAAGATTCTGCAATATTGTTTGGAAAGTTATAGACTTTTGCCAGAGATTCAACACTCTCCTAATGAAAGTAGTTAGAGATATACCTCGACTTGGAGAATTCCAGGACCTATCAGGTTGGCCTCAATCTCATCAATCCGGAGTTCGAATCCAGGGCTGGTTTTCAGTTTAACCTCCAGGCTTGGAACAGATGTGAATGGTATCTGATTCCCATACTCATCAAAGCAAGCGACACAGCAAGGCGGAAGAAAAGATCCCACCCTATAGATAGATATACACCGTTATCTCGATCAAGATTTGATAAGAAAGATCAAGAGAAGTGTATTGCATTCATGAGTCTTCTTACCGAACAGTAGTGGAGTTCAAAAACATTTCGCCAAGATTCCAACATCCCACCTTTGAAACATTTCTCTGGTTACTCATCTGAAATGCAAAGACACGAATCTGAAGAATCAAGAAAAGTTCAAATAACAGAAGCACCAACTTCTATCATAGAGTAACGATTATAATTGTAATAACTTGCAAGATAGTAGCCAGGATGGACAAGATAGATTATAAATTATACCCTTATCAGCGGAAATGGCAGAGAGAGAGAAACTGTAAACTCAACCAGATGAGAAGAAGAAGGAAGTGATGAAGAGAGGATAAGTGAGGGACTAAGTGATCTGAGCCTCCTACTTTATAGAGTTACACAGCACGCCCCCTCTCCCAAATTCTTTGCAATTAGAATGATAGATTTCCCAAGAAGTAAACTATTTTACAAAAAAAGTAGTCAAAGAAGTAGTCAAAGTTTTTTTTCTGTATATGCCATATTTACTCAAAAACATAGATTTGTTACTGTATTTGACATGTTTACTAAAAATATATGTTGACTGAAAAAAAAGTGGAAATTTTAAGAAAACCCACTTTCCTTATATCAATATTCAAAACTACTACATTGCTTTTTTCATTTTCTTCAGGACCAGACTTTTCTTCCCTTGTAGCTTAATAAGTCTACTTTAAATATTGGAAATAAATTTACGAATAATAAACATGCATTGGAAGAAAAAACCCTTCTATAAACATGAGAATATTAGAGTGAACAAAACAATGCATGCAGTCATGCAGATGATGATATTCACAACGGAACTGCTCTTAACTGAAAACAGGACACAAGATGAGAGTTTCAAACTAAAGTTAACGATCCCTAAAACACCTTAATGTCCCCATATATCTTTCATCTGTCCTGAAAGTCTGCCATAGCTGTAAAATGTTGGTATTTTTTGGTTGTCTTCTTCAACTTTCTCTGTAGCTTCCGCAACGAACCATTCTTTTCAACTATCATCTCCTCTGCTTTTCTCTTTCTGTCTCTTGTTATTTCCAATTTTATCAAAGCTTTTTCTTCCTTCTCTGTCACTGTTATCGGAAAATGAATCTCCGGTTTGCTGTATCAACCCAAAAACACAATAAGCAAAGATCATTCAACAGTCACAATAATCAACGGCAGATGCAAAGCAAAATCTACAAGGTTTGCAAGTCAAGTCTCAGAGCTTTAAACTCCAATAATAGAAATGGTTTTGATGATAAAGAGAAAGCGCACATACCAGTATCCGGAGTATATAAACCCGTTTTTTTTGGAGATCCAACCATCTAGGGACACAGCATCTGCACCATTGATGTAAGGAAGGGCTGCCTCAAGATCCTTTCCGGTCTCGTATACTTGCAAATCTCCAAAAAGTCCATAGAAAAGGGTCTCTCGAATCCCGTGATCCCATTTTGTTTGTATCTCCAGATCCTCTAAAGCCAACTCGATCATGTTCACAGCGTAGCCTTTGAAACCCGGTATAGGATCTCCACTGGGTAGTTCAGGGTCGACCATGGCTAATTTCCTCTGAGGATCATTTCTCACAAGTCCACCGTTCCAAGGACTGCATCTTTTTTCTTATTAGAACACCAAAAACAATTGGCTGATCAATATTCAGGAAGAGTCTATATTACCTGGTGTCATCAAGACAAAGAATTAGCAAAGGGTTAGTTATAGATCGCCCGAGCCTAGCTGCTTCAGACTCAAGTCTCAGATACTCAGCACTCCTGGGTCCAAATTGTGATGACTTGCATACTAACGCAAGCATTGTGTCTTTCCCCAGATATACAGATAATGCCCTGTAATATTAGATAGCTTGAGAAATTGATGATCTTCCCCAACTGTAGATACTACGATCAGAAAAAAAAAACTAAGGCTACAAATTGATGTCACCTGCTTAGTGAGGTGGACGCAACTGAACCGAGAAGTGCTACTATGCCAAACACTCCTTTATTTGACAGAAGCAGAGACTGCGGAGTCGGAACCTCTCTGTACAAAGAACAGAAAACCGATGCTAACGTGTCATGATGCTTCACTTCGATTTGTTTCATCATCGACTCTCTCGTGGATAAGCATTCTGGCAACGCCGCACTGATAGGTTCCAGAGAGGCTGAGATGAAATTCATATGAACAGATGAGGATTGCCGGTTAATATTCAACAGAAAAGTGTTGAAATAAGACTATGATCTAATAGACATTTTTTGAAACTCCTGGTTAAGCTTAAAGTAGTTTTAGAATTAAAGATGTAGGCAAAAAAAAGATGTCATATCAAACTTCAGGAAAGAGTGTCAAAGAAACAGAATCTACTCTTAACAGAGATAATAGTTACCTTCCAAAGTAATCAACTCTTGCTCAGCCTGTTCTTGTTCAGCCTCCAACCAATTTAGGCGCTCATCAATTTCCACTTGTTGTGTTTCGTATACATCGAGTTTATGTTTTAAACTCTACAGGAGAAAGGAGCATTTTTCAAACACGCCGTTGAGATGAACTTGGAATACAAATGTTAGATCATTCTACATATCGTATTGCCTTCAGTACTGGTAGATGAAAAAAAAAAAAAAAAAAGATCAATAGCTGTGGCTTAAATGGTGAATGGTGATGATCATACCTGAGTGTACTGCACAACATCAATCAGTTCATTTTGGCTACTGCGATCCATTGAAGATGTCCTAATGGCCAAAACTCCAAACTGTGAACATGGAGTTTGTTCCACCCCTATATTGGGAGTTGGAGTCTCCCCTAGACTTGTGGTTGAAGCCATCCCTGATTGAGGTGTTGTAGTCGTCCTTGAATAAGGCGTTGAACACCCAATATCATCTCTTTCAAATGTTGGAGCAGGCGTTAGCGGAATCTGAAAACCGAATACAAGAGAATCAGTGTGAAAAAGTGCATTAACACGAACATGAACTCAAAATCAAGAAACATAACTGCAATATATCAAATTACTACCTCTAAATTCACATGAAGCTCAGGATATCGAGAATGGAACACCCTGAAAGAAAAGACAACCTCGTTCTCAGGGAGGGAAAGAGAAGGAACTTTACAAGACCCTCGTTCAAAGGCATATCTGATTCCCCTCTGAATGTTTCTTGAGTCGGATTCAATGCTCATGGTATGACTACACCCAGATTTTTCGTCATCATGAATACTATCATCCGTAGTACCATCTGAATCCGTGACTTGGAAAATAAGGTTTGTAAGGTTTGAGCCAGCAATACAGGACTCGGGGAGCTGATCAAAACATAGAATTTCAGGATGAGAAGTCAAAGTGTGTAGGAAGAGAGACAAGTTCCTGACAGGAGCTTGAGCGTGCGGAAGAAAACCATAATAAAAATAAAAAGAGCCTCTTACCTCTGTTACAAGCCTTAGCTCTCGTTCCTCGATCTGAGACTCTTTCCTAAAGATTTCTTCATTACCAGACATAACAGAGAATGAGACTGTAGAGAACAAACAAAGGCACTAGACCATCAGAAAACAATCGTATAAAGGAATAATGACTACCAGATATATATAGAAACTGATAAGATCATGTTACCAGATTTCCCATAGCTTTTTGTGACTTTGAGAATGCCAGAGAGATCAGTGCAGCCACGATCATTAACCTATCAAATTGATCAATGAAACTTTTAAGAGTAATTGAAACCCAAACCCAAGCCATCTAAGAAACTGCATCATCCACATAGGGAATTCTATACTTTACTAAAAATAAGTTTTTCACACCTTACGGTTGACGTCCATCCAGTCTGCGATACAATAGCCATCGATATGTAACAGAACATCGGTCCCTTCTGCAACATGGTTATTGTAGCCATCGAACAACTGCATGAAAATTATGGTCAGCTTTGCTTGATTTGAATGAAAAACTGATTACTGTATTATAACGTGCATAGTCCTATAATATATACCTCCAGGATAAAATCTTCAACAGTAGAGCCTGGGAGCAAATTTTCCAACGCCTGAGGATTATTCACTTCAACACGTTTCAGAGGTCCGGGATTCACTGAAATGTCAAATAAGAAAAGTTATTACTTCATTTTCTATATCCTTACGATGTCAATATTTACGAATAGATACAAAGCACAGACCAGCTCTCTAATTTCATAACTATCAGAAATCCTCAATTTTCTCAATTCCATAAAAAGTGCAGAAATTACAGAAAGCTTTTGCAGAAAGACTTAAGAAGACCAATACTATAGAATTAAAGCTTACCTTTACAAGCAACCAAGACAGAAAAAGGTTTGTCTATTGCGCGTATCTCCAAGGTTGCGTCATAATTTGGCCTGATCTGGTCTAACTCATCAGTCTCAACGAGAATATTCTGCATCAGATTCATAAAATCACAAAATTATGCAGACCTTTCCAAATAAAATAACCACCGTGAATGGTAATGTTTAACTGCCTACACTACGGACTGTGTTTAGTATATGTCCTCGCTTAACAATAACCATGGAAATAGCAATATACCTCGATGATAAGAATTGAACTTTTTTTTATCAGGTTGGCCTCAATGTTATCAATCTTGAGTTCGAATCCAGGGTTAGCTTTCAGTTCAACTTCCAGGCTTGGAATAGAAGTGAACAGTATCTGATTCTCATACTCATCAAAGCACGCAATACGGAAAGGTGGAAGAGAAGAACCAACCCTGTAGAAACACAATAATATTGATCAGATTCGACAATCTAACATAAAAGTTGAAGGAATGTGAGAAAGGTTATATGCATATATATGCCATTTTTGAAGGGTTGAGTCTTACCGAACATTGCACAGCAGGGACTCCAGATTATCCTCAAGTTTCCACTTTGCTGCCACTGAAGAAGGTCTAACAACAACCGTTTCTTTGCACCTCAACGAGTCGCCCTGAATGTTTGTGTAATTACATTATAAGATTACTCTAAAAAATTAACGGGGAGATAAAACTGCGAGTGGAAATAGTGACTTACGATAGAGAAAGAAAATTCGTAAGTGCCAGCTTTCTTGAAAAGGTCCGGACACCTTGACCCAAGTGCAAAGATGTAAAGACCACTAATCCCTTTACAGGATGTAGGAAACACGCGCTGCGAACACACGGGTTTGGCACTCTTATCACTTGATTTCATATTTGAGTCTTGCAATTTTACTACCATGACCATTTCTTTCTCTTCCATCTTAACAATATGTTTCTGGTCCAACTTCTTCGACGGTGTTAGAGATCTGAAGCATGCAGGCCGAACAACTGCAACAATCTGTTGCGGGGGAGCCCTCCCAACACGCACAGATTCACCAACTGGTAATTCCTGTAACATATTGATTCAGAAATGTTACTATCTGTGCTAAGCTTCAACGCAAAACTCTACAACTTAATCTGATTTTACAGTTTATACTAGATAATGACACGTTCCTACCCCATCAATGTTCAGTTCTCTGCACTCCCTCTCCTCCAGCAAATCAATTTTTGATGGTGCTTTTTCCTGCTGCTTCTCAAGTTGTCTATTCCATTCGTCCGCGTCTGCAGGTAAGCACTGTTCGAAAACATTTCTCAGATTAATAATATCATTAGCTGTATGCAGAAGAGGAGGATGAAGAAAAAAAGATGGTAATAGTTAAGTGATTTACCTTTTCAGAGTCGATTATAGTGATTGGTAAAGACAAAGACCTCTTAAGTTCCAGTCTCGAAATTCCATCAATGATTGAAAGTGTGCATCCCTCGTTCTCGGGGATATTGATAGGCCTAAAATTAAAGATATAAGATACAGAACTGGCAACGAGTATTTTGAACAAGTCAGATTAAAAATAATCACCTGCATAGAATCCGAGTATCACCTGCTCAGAAAGCACATAAAAAAGAAAGCTTTAGCCACAGCGAGTACAAAATATGGTTTTATTCGTAGTTTAAATGATGGCGTAGATTGTACTAACCGCCTACTTCGTCCTCGAACCCTTCTATTAGGAAATAGTCAATGGTAGCATAGACATTATGACTGTGAACACCAGCATAAGCTCCTCTCAGAATCTTTATCTTCTGACCACGTTTCCAAGACATTCCTTTTCTCGCAACTTCCTTGTGCACCCTCACAGCTAAAGCGCAAGACCATTGAAAGCATAAGTAGCCAATTTAGACAGTGAGATAAACTTGAAAATGTGGAAAAAAAAAAATCATTAAAGGAATCCTCAAGTATATTTCTACTACAGGCTACAGCATCAAATGTTAGTAAGAAATTATAGATATAATTAAATGCTAAGTAAATATGCATTTTGAGGCGATAGCTTTCCAAACAAAGTTTCTTAATCTTCCATGAAAATCTACACATACCATCACGCAAAATGCCAAGAGCCTTTTTATCCAAGGATTCAACAATGAGAGTAGCTTCATCTTCACCCGATGTAGCTTCTTCATCATGGGTATCATGCATCTTCATGACCCAATCCTGATAAGTCTGCTCCAGATGTGCGATGCTTAGTGGTTTTCCTTCTCGGTGAATCACAGTTTTGACATCTGTAAAAACAAGAGTTCATTATAATCGAAGTACCAAAAGAAGAGAAAAAATTGCAAATGGATTTTAAACTGACCAGTAGTATCCTTCTCCGTAAATTTACTCCCAAATTTTTTTAGAGCCACTGAAAAAGGATTTTGGCTTGCTAGGTCGGTCTGTAAAAAGCATGTACAGTGATCAGATGGTAACGCACTAATTACTTTAAATAATCTAGGATGGTGTGTAGCTCACTTTGGAAGGTGTTGGGCTAAATCCAGCATCCAAATCTGCAACCACAGAGAGTGTACATTCATAAGAAAATAATCAAGCAGAGGTTCATATACAACTGACTATACAGGAGCACTTCTTACCGACAAAGCATTTAACTCTTTGGCAACATTTCTGCAAAGTAGACGCTATGGCTCCTCTTTGCATAAACGGTATTGAATCCTTCACATTTATTGGTAAAATCAACGCAAAATTCATATTCTTTCTTTCAAGCACATTCGAAGAACTTTCATGTTCTCCACACCATAATTAGCATGATAAGGTAACAAGAGAAGACTAACCCAACGGACTTCTGGAAGTAGACGACCAAGCCTTCTTATTGAAACACGGCCAAAAGTCTGGAAGCTTTCCGAAACTTTGCATCCTTCCTCTTCTAATCCCTCCAAAATTTTCTCAATGCTTTCTTTTCCCTGTAGAGTGTTCAGTTCAAGAAGGTAACCAAAGGTAATGTTTGCCTATTTAGAATTCTTAAGAAAGGATTGTCATACCCGGATGATTGGAAAATAAACAAATTTGAGGCGAGCATTTGCCTCTTGAGGTGTCCCTGGAAAACAATTATATAGTCAGACTGCAAACAAAGGGCTAAAATTTTGTTTCTCTTAGGATCGCATTACAGCGTTCCTCTGTACACAGTAAACACATGATATGGTCTCTCTAAGAATTCCAGAGTGAGAAAATAACGTATGTGTTTGCCTCCCAATAATGACTGCTGTTTCAATAGAGTGGGCTTGAGCAAACTTTCCAATTCATCGCAAACAAAATATCTCTTTATTCGAAGATACCAACCATAGTTTTAATGAAGACGCGGCTAACATATACTAGCAAAAGCAGCCGAGAGCGTAATTGATAGAAGAAATCTTGATCTGAAGAAAAGGTTTTTACCTTTTCGTTTTTCAGTTTTTTCACTGCTAAGAGTGAATCGAATCTGAAACGAAAATTCTTGACCCCTGGAATTAAGGTTGGTAATGGCAACTTCTCCACCTATTATCCCAGCCAAATCTTCTCCATTGACCTGGAAGGTGAAAGAGGACTATGTATCAGACCTGAAACATAATTATCTAGCAACAAATGATACTCTTAGATTATATCAAACGAGGAACACAGTTATTTAGATGACAAACCTGAAACTCGACAGGCCTTTCAGTCCTCCTAGTGTTGGAGAGTTCATCACACTACAGGTTGATAAAGCAAAAGAACAGTGTGAAAAGCAGAACTATTAGAAAACATATATTAGCAAACAGAATTTCATGCATTTTTCCTATTTTTATGGCACAGATGGACCCAAGTAGATAATAATGTACTCTGGTGAAGGTTAGCATGCTACAGGAACCTAAAATTCCATCAACAAAACTCTGAGCAATAAACATGAATTATGACATTGTATTGTTGATATAGCCCAAGAATACCTGAATGTAAGGAAAGTAAATATCCTTAAGCCTGCACTGGAGTTGATATATTTTTGAGACGTCAAATTCTGTATCAAATATCTCAACCTAAAAAGAATATAGAGCATGAGTTTCAGATGAGCAATTGATAAGATATCATAACCTGAAATTTTTATGAGCATAAATGTGCAAAGCTGAAATATTAAATAAAGGGTGAACCTTTGTGAAACTTCCATGAGGCGATAACTTAATTTCCTCCTCCGACGGGTCCCTCATGCCACCACCAGTCTATACAACAAATTCAGGATGTAGCGTCTAGGACAACAAGCATAAACATAAGCAAATTTTAACAAATGATGAATCATATTACCTTCCAGTGTTTTCCAGAGATTGACCGGTTGTCAATCAAGGCTTCCTTCTTGTATTCCAAAGTGAATACTTTCTTGGACTCTTTCGTCTTAGAAGACACCAAAGTATGCCTAACCAGGGAAGAGAGTTAAACGCAGCAAGATATTACAGAAAATCATAGGTTGGATGAACAGAATCTGAAGACGCACCTTCCCAAGAACATACAAGCATAAGGACCTCCATATCCAAACATTCCAAAATATGGCTACATAGAATAAGAGTGAATCTTCAATAGATCAGTAAAATAGTATTGCTACAGAAAGAACAGTCCAAGCTGACAAATTTTGACCCAAGTCCCCAATTATACATCAAATATTTGTAAAACAAGATTTATAAATTGCAAGAAGAAAATGAACTTAAGCTATGTGCGACTAACGAAAGTACCTTAAGGTATGGTGGCTTTCCTCCAATAGCAAAGGTTTTTTGAGATCTATGTAACGATCCCCCTATTTTTCCCCTGCATAGTTTAAGACAAGGGTGAAGAAAGTTCAAGTCGACACCAACAAATCAATCGGCAGTATCAATCTTAATATATAAAATATGTGAAGTCATGTTATTTAGAACAGTTTTCAGTTCATAATCATAACCCATTAGTTGTCCCGAGTATTTGTATGGGTTCCCGTATCTTCCATGTTTATTCAGCATTTTAATGAAACTGAGGAATAAATATTACCATTTATCAATAGCATTTTCGTCACTACTGTCCATTCCTCTCCCAGTATCAAAGACAGAAATTCGATCACCAGAAACCTCCACACTGCAAAAATAGTCACATGAATTAAAGCATCACATTCAATTTAGTCATCTGACCTCTTATAACAAGTACAAACCTAATCAGTCTTCGATCTCCATTTCCATCTTCTCCAGAACAAGGCCACACAGCTTGCAAGGAATTGTCCTGTGAATTACGCAAAAGAAACTTTAGGATTCACTATCCTAAGTATTGAACTAACGAGAAAACTAAACAGATGCAAAACCTAATTTCATCAACAGATCCAGAGAAATAATGTAAAAATCATGTTAGTATTCGGGACTAAGTTATACTATTTACGAAAAGTTGTCATGTTTCATGGGAAACAGTGTGTTTGATTACAGAAATCAAACAAGCAGCCATAACTTTTAGTTGCAAACACAATGCAGAGCTAGCCAAATCCAGAAGAACAATCCTAGAAGTAAAATTTTCATGTGAAACTCTTAGAAAACCAAAGTCAAATCATTTGCGTCAGTTTACACAACATGAATAAGAAATTGTGCATCAGTTTATATCAAGGCACAATGCCCACTTTGAACCAACATAAACACACATAAATTTTCCATAACGCGTTCTATTTTGAAGTAATTATACTGAGACACTTACTATTAGATCCGCAAGAGCTGTCTCAAGGCTATAGTTTTCAGGAAGTTCTTTTAGAAGATCAGTGTCAGGAGTCAAATCCCACAAGTTCTGCAAAACCAAGAGTGAATCATCACATACCAACCTAAGGAAACAAAGATATGGCAAGTTATATGTTTCAGAATCGTAATGCTCACCTCGTACATTGTGGATGTTTTACCAGAACCGTCCTGAGGTAGAAGTTGAGATAGAGAACGTTGGAAGAGAGAAATAGTTAAGTGGTTATTCTCATGAAACAAAGATATTATGAACGAAAAGAAAACTCACATCAAGACGTATTATATGGCACACGTTGGGCTCAAAGGCAGCAAAGCGAACCATCCCCTTCATTTTTCCACCATTTGACTCAAGATGGAACTTTCGGCCCAAGTTCCAGTCAACCTTTGTCCTCTTAGACATCAACACACAATCTTTCCGTGCTTTATCGTACTCCTCCTTCACCAGGTTGACAAACTTCTCCATTGGCATCTCCTGGTCTGGGTTAGTAACTTTGAGTGGCACACTAGTGCTGTTAGGCAAAAGAACCTTGAAGCTGTAAACGGTATCCTCGTCTTCATCATCGTCCATAATCAATGCTCTCTTGACCAACCTCCGGTAGCTCATCTGAAATGTGAAGACAAGTTTCATGAAAAGTCTTGAAAGTAACAGGCCAAATTCTGCAGAAGCGCAATTGCAAATAACGCCGAGAAAGACTAGAACTTTACTAATAACCCAATAAGAGAGGCATAAGCTTCTTCCTAAAAGCAGCAATTTCAGTAAGAGAGGTGCGAAAACGAGGAAGAAAGAAGACAATTTAGTAAAGTACTCGCATTTATATACACTGCAGTGTAACGTGTACACATTGACACTACCATTCAGGGGCATAGAAGAAAACAGAAATATAGTTGGGTATTTACAATTCTACCTCGGATTAATTTATTAGACTCTATCCTCCAACCCAAGACAAACTTAAAGCCATTCTTAGGGTTTGGTTTTCTCAATCAATTTCCGATCAAGAGCTTCGATAAAGAGAAAGTCACATTCAAAGACTCCCTAATCCTAAGGAACCATAAACCCAGCAACACCACAGACAGAAAAAAGAGTGAGAACAGTACCGTAGGTTCGTTGACTGATATCACTCCGAGAGACCCAGCAAAAGCTCAGGAAGCAAAGTCTAACAGAGAAAACAAAAAAAATTCGAAGAAGATATAGCGAATCAGAACGAAGAAGAGAAAAATCCCAAAATCAGAACCTTTTTTGGTTATAGTGCGAAATAATGTGTGAATACTCACGATTTCGATAACTCTCAGTGGTGATTTGATTTCCCTGCTTAACCAAAAACCAAAAAAAGTTCACTTTTTGTTGGGGGAAGGAGATAAAAGACAAAAGTTTTCAGCTTTTTTTTTCAATCGTTTTTTTCCAGTATTAAGATGAAGATGAAAGACACATTTCTACAGATTGATTTAAAATCGTGGTTTCCCGAGCAGTTTAAAAGCATGAAAGCATAAAACCCGGAAAGAGAAAAAACCAGAACACAGTTTTCAGAGCAAATGCCTACCATCACCGAGTTAGAACAAAAATCAAAACTTTGAAAGAAGAAGAAAAAAAAAATCCATGTTTTTTTCTTAACTTTGAAAGCCTTCTTAAGAAGAAACGATGGAGAGATGATGAGACATTTTACCTTTTGAGCGGTTCTGTTTCTCAAAACCCAGAGAGAAATGTGAAGAATTTTGTTCTTAATTGATTTACAGAGAAACGTTATGAGAGAGAGAGAGGAAGAGTCAGTGAGAGAGGAAGAGTCAGTGAGGGTAAAAGCTTCGGCCACACGCAGTTCCTTTTGCACACCCCTTCTTACGTCATCGCAGTTCTTGCTTTGAATTTGTCGTCACATCAATTTCCCAAAATATACTATTTCCATTTAAATTTACCCATTCATTTTGAATTTGTTTCTTATATACTAAGTAAAAAAAGTCAAAAAAAGCTTTACAATGTATAATCGTTATTATTAAGCTTACGTCATCGCAGTTCTTGCTTTGTGTATTTGTCGTGACATCAATTTCCCAAAATATACTATTTCCATTTACATTTACCATTCAATTTGAACTTGTTTCTTATACTAAAGTAAAAAAAAGCTTACACTGGTAATTTGGTATAATCGTTATTATTAAGGTGACACAATTTATGTGTAATGTGGAGAGATTTACATAAAAAGATATTTTGTGAGTTTTGGTTACAAAAAAAAAACACTTTGTGGGGAAGAAGCATTTTGACAACTGTTCATAATATGTTAATCTGATTTTGCATTTTATCTTTACTTATAGTTGTCTATATATGTTCATCCACGTGATCGGCATATTTTAGCTTTTTGTTATAATATATAAGTTTTACAGAGTTCATCCACAATAAGATATGAAAAATAGATATACAAAATCATATTTAGTTGTCCACAAAGGTTCATCCACGAAAGACATGCAATATGGATAGATAAATTCAAACAATACATGTTTGGTTGTCCATGAAGGGTCATTCATGTGAGCATGAGCTTCATTGATCTCAAACTAGTCTAGTGAACGTATGAGGTTGTCCACATATGTTCATCCACGTGGTCAAAATATTTTAGTCATTTGTTAAAATATACAAGTTTCACAGAGTTCATTCACAAAAGATGTGCAAAATAGATATACAAAATCATATTTAGATGTCCATGAAGGTTCATCGACGAAAGACATGCAAAATGGATAGACAAATTTAAACAATACATATTTGGTTGTCTATGAAGGATCATCCACGTGTGCATGAGCTTCATCGATCTCAAACCAGTCCAGTGAGCGTTTGAAGTCATCCACGAAAATTCATCCACAAAGATTGATTATGATGTGTTATGGTTATCTACAAAAATTCATCCACGTGGTCTAGCGGTTCAGAACATTTGATTTTGTATGAAAAATGATAAAATGGTCATTTCGCATGATGAAAGTGTCTCTTCCTTTCTAAATGTCTTAATTTGTAATTTATATTTCTAAAATTGCCTTAAAATGTAATTTTCTCGTGTAATATGTGTGTTGATCAAAAATACAATCAATTTTCCAAAGAGTAGTGATGACTACTGATGAATTAAAAAGAAAAAAATCCAACTATAAACCAAAGAGTTGTTTTTTCTGATGAAAAACTGTTAACCGGAGTTTAAACTTTTAATGGAACGAACCGTTGAAATATCTGTTTGGGAAAAAATGGTATTATGAACTGTAAGAAAATAGAATAGATAGTAGTTTACAAGGAACAAACAATGAAACATGAAAAAACAATTCACCATATAAAAACAAGTTCATCATCACTCATATAAAAATAAAATAAAATATATTGTACACGCAGTAGTAACTAGTATATATAAACCTCGGCGATTGAAGATCATTTAATCCAATTATCCAAGAATAGAGTTAGTTTTAACTTTTAACATTTTAAAAGTCCACTTTGCATATACCAAAAGAAAGAAAAATAGATTTAGTGATTAAACAGAAATATACAACGCTGGTCTGACCGGTTCACAGATCCTCCTTTTCACGACATTAAAAGGAAGTAAACCGATATTCCTCTGGTTTAGTTCCATCGAATGGTGAAGTGATGCCGACCCGGTCTAAACTAAACCAACCGAGCTTCCCAATATACTTTCCCATAATATCTCCGACAACGTATGAAATCCCGGAAGAGGCAACAACGATAGACGTATAATAAGCCGCAGAACTGAGATAAGATTTAGGCGATTCACGTACGTAGGGAGGCTTGCGGACATAAACCTTGATCATACCGAGCAGAATTACACAAACCAGAGAAACCGAGAAAACCGAGACGAGCTTGTAATTCTTGATTCCGGTTTCGTAGAAGGAAAATGCGTAAACCAAAGGAGGAATTAGGCCGAAGAGAATGTAAGACAATACCGCAACTAAGTTATGCATTCGGAAATTAGCACGTCTCCCCAACAATTCCTCGTATCGATCTTTTTCTTGCTCTGAATTGTTTCTTAGATCTTGAAGCTGCAAGCATAAAATGGAACCGGTTAAATCAAGAAACCGCTGAAGCAATTTGTGGCAAGAGAAAAAACGTTTTTAAGGGCGTTGAGTCGTTAGTTACGTTTTGAGCGAGGACGATGAGTCCACCAGCCAAATTTGCGACCGTAAGAGCCAAGATATTCCCTGAAACAATCAAAGTTCTCATAGATCAAGTCATTTATATACAAGTTATCATTTATCATGTAGATTAAGGACCAATCAGACGATTAGCCGATTACTAAACCTTGCATCTTTTTGCTAAATAATAAAAGAAAGTAAAAGAAAACGTTGAGTAGTTACGTACCGGTGGAGGATCCGGAGGCAGAGGCGGAAGATACAACGCCGAGGCTGGTGATGGTCTCGGTGAGACCGCCGTAGACGGTGCTCTTCAATAACTCAACGGCGAATCTGTCTCGGTACGGTTTACTATGAGGCTGTAATTCTGTGGTGTTACTACTCTTCATTTCCTCTAACTGTGCTTCAACTGTATAAAAATTGTAGATAGTGTGATTGCTGCTACAATTTTATTCCATTGTGTGTTTTGCAAGAAAAAATTGGATGCAACTTATACCAAAGATATTGTTTCTCAAAAAACACGTACTACAATTTTATAGTAACTAAAATGTTATTGGTATGTCTTGTTAATAATATTCTTGATGATCAAAATTATTTAGTTTGATATAATAAATTTTTATGGATACAATATTTTTTTTTTTTTGCATCATGGCTACAAATATTTAAAAATGAATAATTACATAATCTTCTCTATAAGTTTATAACCAGAGCTCTATAATATAAAAGCTGCATATCATTATCAATTTTGCATCTAGGCTGCGCAATTGGTTATGCATCCGGACGCAAATACGTAGTTGGTCAAACGAACAACATCTTACTATCTTAGTGCATTTACACCTAATTCTATTTGCATCCGAATGCAGAAGAAGAAGAAGCCGTAACTATATTCGAATACCGAAACAACGTAGCTAAGTCTATAAATATTATAAGTTAGTCTAGTCCGGTTTAGGTTATAGGACGAACTTTAAAATTCTTTCAAGTCATGATAACGTACCTGGCTCCTCAACCGGTTTCCCCCTAGCATAATCAAGTCGTAAGAACCTGGCTCCTGAAATTTAGAATTAAGAACCGGGGTCAAATTCAAAAACCAAGAAAAACTAAAGAGATAATTTAAGATGAAACCAGTTTAGAAACAGTTTGATTCACCTAACCGGAGGAAGTCCTTTAGACAGGCCAAGCAAGTAAGGATATAACCCTCCTCTTTATCTTCTTGATCATCGTTCCCAATATGTGTCTCAGCGACATGAATGTCGCTTGATCCATTAACAACCGGTACATTGGGTTTCAGATCCGCAGGTAAATCAACGAGCTTCTCATGACTCCATTTCTTGACGATCACATTTCTGGTTATACACGAGCTACAGCTTGGACAGTAAAGCTCGTATTTTTCTTGCATCGCAAGCAACTTCTCTAGGTCTGACTCTGATAATGACCTCTCGCGGTCTTCATCTTTTTCGTCTTCTATCTCACCTTCTAGTTCTTCATCTTCCTCTTTTATCTCACCTTCTTCTTCTTCTTCTTCTATCTCACCTTCTTCTGCGTTCTGTTGCCTTTCGTTCTCTACATTCGGTAAGTTTGTGGAGTTCGACTCTAACCAATTAAAATCGGTTTCTTCGTTTGAACCGGTTTCGCTCATGGTATCTAGTATTATTGGATCTGAATTGGAAGATACCGATGCTGCGCTTTCATGGACAGACGTGTTTCCTACGAGACCTATTCAGACCAGAAATAAACGAGACATTGGTCTATGCAGGATTGTGTCCGGTTAAAAAATTGGGGGGTAATTTGAAAATTTATAAAAGTAGTAGCCGCAATTGAAAACTGAAGAGATTTAAAGGTGCCATGCCATCATAGTAAATATATATATATATCATTAATGAAAATGACAAGTTGACTATACCTTGAGATTCACCATCGTCCTCTTCATCCTGCAACTCGGTGGTGTTGTTCGCCGGCGCCACTGCCTTGAATCGAATTTTATCGGCGGGAACATTATCTTTACCAAATCTATAGGTCTCGAGAAGATCCACCAATAAATCTGCATCTACAATTTCACCCTCACCAAACCAGCTTCGATTAACTGGCCGGTCCAATTTTTCCATATAGACCCCAAAGTAATGAAACCGAAAAAATGTTCTTTATTTCGCTAAGAACTGCCAATTGTTTTGAGAGACGAAAGAAATTTCAGATTTGCGACTTTTTTTTGGGTTGATTGTTTGATATAAAACACATTTGTGCCTTTTATTTCTCTTATCATCTTCTGTATATATACACACATAAATAATTCCCACGAGGGAAGCACGAGGCGTTAAATAGTTGTTACTTATCATCCCGTAACGAATTACTTCAAGTTTCTTCTTTTGGATTTCAAGTTCCTCTCCATAATTCTTAGAACTTTTTTGTTAGGATAATTTTGTTTATTTACTTGAGGGAATATTCTCACACAACTTTTAATTTTATGAAATTATGTACAGTATGGTGGTACGTTAACATTTTTTTTTTACATTAAAAGCTATATAAATACTGAATTTACCCATACTAGTTTCACAAAATTGATTTAGAACTCACCCACACCCACGTAAGAGATTTGTTACATGAGTCGCACAAAATGAATCTCACACATTAAAAACAATCTTAGGATGTGTATGGTCAACTCCCTAACAACTGATAATGAATGACATGGTGGTGTACCCCAACGTTCGAGTTAGTTGGTAATTAACTAATTATTATGAACCATATTCAACACGTGTAGAAACGACTGTTAAACGGCCCATTAAAAAATGTTTCTTATGAGGGGCCGATATGTACAAAATAAGCCCATATAGGAAATCGAGTTTAAAACTTTTAGGCCCATCCTAATAAATACTGTCTACAAACTGGAACGGAGCCCACTAATATCCACGTGGCAGAACGTGAGGCTTCAATTTCACATGAAGTGTGATTAACGCGGGGTTGTGATCTTTTTACTCGTCCTTAATCTTCGCGCTTTTCTGATAGATCCTTGGGAAAATAAAAAGTACTAAAATAATGGAGTTATTAAAACTTAAGAAGACGAATAAAATTCGGAAATCCAAACGAAATTTCAGGAAGTTTTTTTCCAAATAAGCGAAAGGATTCAAATTATTTTTTGCTGGTTTGAGTTTGGTTTGAGAACGAAATTGTTTTAAGGAATAAAATTAATTTTGATTTTGTTTCAGTTTGAGAAGGATAATATACCCAAGTTTTGTCCTAAAAGATCTAAAATTTGAGGGAAAAAAAAAGGTTTTTTTTGGACAAGAATAAAGGTTTAGTGAACTACTTTAAAGTTTTGGAAGCATGTCGGCGAAGTTCGAAGGATTCTTTCCGTAGTAGATAGGCCACAGGTGGTTTCAATTCTCCTCAGGGAACGAGCCGAATTCCACAAATCAGCATTGTCGATTTCTTTAGGTTTTGTTTTTTTTTGCTCTAAACCGAGAAGATCCCTCCCTCTTTCACTCGATCAATAATGGCGTCGCTTCAGATCAGCGGCTCGGTTAGCTTCGAGCCGCTCGTCGGATTGAACCGTACCAGCTATTTCCGTCCGATCGGTAATCTCGGTTTCCCTCATTTCCGCCGGAGATTCAGTATCGGACGGCCGTTGTTTCTCCGCCGTTCTTCCTTCTCCGGCGATAAAATCGATGGCTCTGGCGAGTCTGCAGGTGGTGATGACAAAGGTTTCATCACAGACGCAGAGAGAAATGGTTCTGGCTCTGTTGTTGGGTTTCAGCTCGTTCCTCCTGGTACTTTCTTTTAGCTCGTGGTTTGATTCCTTCTTAGTGGTTCTTTGAATTAACATTTCATTTTTTTTTACACTGATGTGTATAGTTTAGGGATTCTGGATCTTTGTTGTGGTTTTCTCAATGAAACTCACTGAATTTACTATTCAAATGTGTTTATATAGTATGTTTATGCTATCAATTGTCAAAAGTGAATGATTCTCTTGAATATTGCTTGTGGTCCTCCGATTTAAAAGCTTCTCGTCTCACTAAAAAAGACATTGATTTTCAAAACATCTGAATCGATTTTTATCCGACAGGTGATCAAGAAATCCTCGGCACTAGCACTACACATCACGAAGAGAAGAAAGAGGCCACTGACGAAACAGAGATGGCTGGTTTCGGCGTACCTGGAAACAGAGCTGTTGAAGAAGGAGCTGCTGAAGTCGGGTACACGAGAGAAGTGGCGGAAGTTGTCAACAACCTCGTCTTCGTTACGTCAGAGGCGGCTCCTTACTCGAAGACAGGAGGACTAGGAGATGTTTGTGGTTCTTTGCCGATAGCTTTGGCTGGACGTGGGCACCGTGTTATGGTCGTGTCTCCTCGGTACCAGAATGGAACCTCTGCAGACAGTAACTACGCCAGGGCCAAGGATTTGGGGATCCGTACCACCGTTCATTGCTTTGGAGCTTCTCAAGAAGTCTCCTTCTATCACGAATATAGAGACGGTGTTGATTGGGTAATCTCTTCTTGCCTTAAGTCTTTGTGAATGTTTATTAAAACCACCATTGGCTTTACAAGCTGTTGTCTTTTTTTATAACTGTTTTCAGGTTTTTGTTGATCACCAATCCTACCATAGACCTGGTAATCCCTACGGAGATAGTAAAGGAGCATTTGGTGATAACCAGGTACACTAGTGTTGATCAAAATACAGTTTGACATTGTCGAAATAATGAGTCTGGTCTCCAATTGTAACTCTTCTCTTAAATGTGTAATATGTTGTGACTCACTTTCTTTCGTGATTACAGTTTCGGTTCACGCTGCTATGCCACGCAGCGTGTGAAGCCCCTCTCGTGCTGCCTCTTGGAGGCTTCACTTACGGAGAGAAATCTCTCTTCCTTGTCAATGACTGGCATGCCGGACTTGTTCCCATGTAACCATTTTCTTCTTCTCTTTACCTTAATACTTCAATATAAAATTGGACATTTGATCTGTGGATGTTAATTTTGTGAATCCCGCTTTGATTCCAGACTTTTGGCTGCAAAGTATCGCCCATACGGAGTTTATAAGGATGCAAGAAGCATTCTCATCATACATAACCTCGCTCATCAGGTAAAAAAGCGTAAAGCATTTCCCTGGCTGGACCTCGAATATCTCTTCTTAATTAAGTTGAAAGGTTGTTTTTTGCACATTTCGTAATTTGGTGCTTTGACACTAAAAGGGAGTGGAGCCAGCAGCTACTTACAGCAACTTGGGACTGCCTTCGGAATGGTACGGAGCGGTCGGGTGGGTGTTTCCAACATGGGCAAGGACTCATGCTCTCGACACCGGTGAAGCGGTTAATGTCCTCAAGGGTGCTATTGTCACCTCTGACCGTATCATTACTGTGAGCCAGGTGATGAAACCCTTTAGTTGTTGTGACCACATTCACTAAAAGTGGTGTTTCAATATTAGAAAGTTGGGTGAGTTGGTTGTTCTGATTATGCTTTATTTTTTCTTCTTCTGCATTTTTTTTCAGGGCTATGCGTGGGAAATCACTACTGTTGAAGGTGGATATGGTCTTCAAGATTTGCTTTCGAGTCGGAAGAGTGTTATAAACGGTACTGTTCCTATAAAACCGACCCGTCTTTTTTATCGGTTAAAATGGTATTTTTCGGAGCTGATATTGCGGCGATGCTTAACAGGGATCACGAATGGAATCAATGTTGATGAGTGGGATCCAGCCACGGATGAACACATTCCTTTCCATTACTCTGTTGATGATTTATCCAATAAGGTGATGTGATGTAGTAGGCTTTTGAGTAAAAGGTGCCAAATTTTAGCAAATCCGATGCTTTTTTGGGTATGGTGAGTTGACATTTTGTGTGTTGCTTTTGCAGGTCAAGTGCAAGATGGCACTACAAAAGGAACTGGGTCTCCCCATTAGGCCTGAATGTCCAATGGTGTGATTTCAAAAGCCAAACCTTTTTAAAAAGAAAATCGTATTATGTTTTGTCTTATATTCAGACTCATGTAGCTTGGAATGTCTTAAATTTTTATACAGATTGGGTTTATAGGAAGACTTGATTATCAGAAGGGCATCGATCTGATCCAAACCGCCGGTCCTGATCTCATGGTGGATGACATTCAATTCGTAAGTGAGTCTTTTCAACGGATTTAACTGAACGCACACAGTGACTGGTGTGACACATGTTTTTATTTTATGTCACCTATCATCTCCTGTCTTTAGCAGCTCAAACATTACTTAATCCCGAGGCAGAAATTTGGAACTATGGTTTGGCTTCCGTAGTGGTTCTTCTGATATTCATATTGTGGTTTGGTGTCGTTGCAGGTCATGCTTGGTTCAGGTGACCCAAAATATGAAAGCTGGATGAGAAGTATGGAGGAAACATACAGAGATAAGTTCCGCGGTTGGGTTGGGTTCAATGTTCCCATCTCTCATCGCATCACGGCCGGGTAACTAATATTAAAACTTTAGCTAAACTCCATAAGATATGGTTGAGGAAAGAAACGTTAACGAATCTTTACTTTAACCTGTTAGATCAGTTATTTGGATTATCATATGTTTCATGCGAATGAGCTGTTGTATAAAACCTTGAAACTGCCACAAACATGACACTGAAATGTTGTTTAAAATTTCTATAAACAGCTGTGACATTCTTCTGATGCCATCAAGATTCGAGCCCTGCGGTTTAAATCAGTTATACGCGATGAGATACGGAACCATTCCAGTCGTTCATGGCACGGGAGGACTCAGAGTGAGTATCTTTAAATCTTCAAGAACCAAACTGTGTTCATCATAATCATAGAATGGTTTGCAAGCTATGATTTATTAATTGGATTGTTATTGCTTCAGGATACGGTTGAGAATTTCAATCCTTATGCAGAAGGTGGAGCTGGTGCTGGTACAGGGTAATAAAATACTCTGTTTTGATTCATAAACAAAATTTTGTGAAAGATCAAATTCAAATGATTTTATAAATCTTTTTGTATTGTGGGTTTGATGTTTTTCAGGTGGGTTTTCTCTCCCTTGTCGAAAGATAGCATGGTCTCGGTAAGTTTATCTAAATTAATTTCCCCCATTTCTCTCTTTAAGATTTGTATGGTGAAATGACGAAAATGACCCTGTTCTGTGACGTGCTTGCTTCAGGCCTTGAGGTTGGCTGCAGCAACGTACAGAGAGTATAAACAGTCATGGGAAGGATTGATGAGAAGAGGAATGATCCGAAACTATTCTTGGCAAAACGCTGCCGTTCAGTATGAGCAAGTCTTCCAGTGGGTTTTCATGGACCCTCCCTACATCAAATAGTTCCAAACACACAACACCGGTTTGATCCGAACCAAACCGCGTTGGACTGTGGATCAGGCTAGCCCGTGCCTGACCTGACCAATCAGAGGAAGAAAATGGCTCCTTTGACCACTTGTGGAACCTCTTCTTCCGGTTTATCGAGAATATCCACAATAAACCGTGTATTTGTGTTATCTATTATCATATAATTACTCTTATGGTTTTTTTTGTTTTCGGGAGGTATAGAATTTTGGTTACGAGGCATTAGTAGTAATTTGTCTCTTTTGTCGGTTATGGGGATCTGCTTTTCCCAATCATCTGAATTTGATATCTATTATTAGTCGAGAAATAAGATAACATCGATCACCAATGATGAATGATAAATTGATAACTAATTAATAATGATGATTATTCGCAACAGAACTGGTGGGTTCACTTCCTTAAAACTAATAATTTGGTCAAGCTTAATTATCATGGGACTAAGTAGGAGAGCAGTAAGTAACACACACAAATGAACAAAACGTAAAATACAGCCTTAAGTCCATTAGACGTGCTTACCTTACTACCCATTCAAAACCGAATATTACAACACATCAACTCATTTCTCAATGATTCTGAAGCATCAACGAAAGAATTCATTAATCTTATAATATGGTTATCATTTTTTAACTGGTTAAAATGACCGATCAATAATATATCATCTCTTCTTGATCTCTCGGTATATATGAATCGTATAAAACCTTTTTTCTGTCATTGACAACATGTAATCGCATAACACGTTGAGGAAATAGTCCATTAGTAGAGTCTCTTAATTATTCTTTTGTTTATTTGGCAGTTATAATGTTTCGTTGAACACGTTATAGTTCGAGCACGCACGATACTAATCCTCTATGATTATCTTATAAAGAATACTAGTACTATATTTGTAGTTTCACATTCAATAAAGCTTTTCTTTTAGCCAACCAACCAGTTCACATTAACATTTGACTGTTTTGTTTTACAGAAAAAGTAATGAAGATATTTCTGATAAAATATTAACTTTTAATTGAAAACAATACCGAATGGTGTGGTTAGTATATAATCCGTCCACTTTATAAACAGTTTAGAAAAGAAAATTAGTAAATCCTCCTCTTACATTATTCGGTTATTTCAAGGTGTTTGGACAAAAAAAAATCTGTAAATTAATTACATCAAAAAACAACACATTTGAAATTTTGACATGTTTGAATACTGATATGTTTTTTTCTCTTGTTAGACAAAACTCTGAGTTTTAATTTGAATAAAAAGAAATGATGAACAAAATTAGACCGAGGGTTGCTCCGGAAATGATGGGACAAAAGTGGGCAAGTCAGTGGAATTGAGGTTTCTGATACCAAACACAAACCCTTTTTTCCTCACTTTCTCCCTCTAAATTACTCTCTTCGTCTCTCCGCATTCTCACTTTCCCTCTTTTGTCGTACCTGTAAACTTGCCAAAAAAAAAAAAAAAGTCCTTTTGGTCTTTAAATCCTCATTGTTTCAATTCTGTTTTTCGAGCAATATAGCTGGAGGAATCAAAAGCGAGAGTCTTGGAGTGAGAATCTCAGGTTAATTTTCCATGTAATCTCTCTTATGCCACAGTCCCATTATCTGTGTGTTTCTTCGTTTTGTCTGAAAAGTCAGTCGAAAGTTCGAGACTTTGACGACTGTCTTCTCTTTTATTGTTTAAAAAACCATTTCTGGACATAATCGGTAAATTCGAATTGGGTTTTGGGAGCTCCGTTCGTATGGTAGAACAAGTTGAAGCTTATCATTCTTCTTGATTAAGGTTTTAGGTACTTTGGGTTTAACTGTTGTTGACAACTTGAACTGGTCTTTCTGTGTCTGTCCTTCTGCTATGTTAAAAATCTTTGTAGTTCCTGAGACCAACCATTCTAAGCTAATATCATCTGGGTAGGTTGAAAAGTCGATTTCTTTGGTTTTCATTTGTTCGTTTGTAGACAATTGCTGCTTTTCGTACAGTTTTTTTTTAATGTTTTTTCTTCCTTCTGGAGTTTTTGTTAATTTCTTATAGACTTTTCAGAGTATTGTTGAAGATTCAGACAGAATCTGTTTGTTTCTGATCAAACTGTTTGGTTGCTTTAGAGCTGTGGATTCTACTTCTTGTCTGTTTGTTATTCTTTATTAGATTAGTTAGCGTGTTGTTGTTACCTTAAAAACATCCCCAGAATCAGAACATCTTTGGTTCAAATTCCTATTAAAAAATCTTTAAAACGTTAGATTCGCTGAGATCTGTGATCCAACAACTCTCAAGAACTTCTTGAGTGGATGATCATTCCCTGATTTTAATTCGGTTTGGACTAATTGGTCTCCTGCTTTCACATGGACCCTAAAAGAGAATCTTTAGGTGCTTTAATTTCATTTTTGATAGCAGCTTGAACAAATCAAATTTTCAGTGATACCAAGTCTTTTTCTGTTATTGTTTTATTTCCATGATGGTAACAAGTACAGTTCTGTAAATTTGTTCCCAATCTCAGCTTCAATCTCACTACATTATTCTACACTTTAGAATACTACTCTCATATTTATTGCAAGGCCCATTTGTTTGTTTTCATTGTCTGAAATCACTTTGCTTAGATCTTCTATTGTCTTCTGATTGTGTGAGTTTGAATCAGTTTTCCTTTTTTTTTGTTCATATCATATGTTATAAAAAATGTGGCTTTCAAGTATTCTTACAAGCACTCCCACTGAAGATTGATCATTTCATCTCCACAGTGAAAAGAGAGAACAAGATTTGAGATTCCATTGTTAATCTTTGAATCAAAATGAGTGCAGCGGCTACAATGCCCATGCCCCGAGAAGCGTCTAATTACGATGAGATCTCTATGCAACAGAGTATGCTCTTCTCTGATAGTCTTAAGGTAGATTCTCAATCTTGAAGTTGAATAATCTTAATAGGTCATGTGATCATTGCCAAAGATCTCTACGAGAAATTAGCAAGATAAGAGGATGCCTAGTGAATATTTTTGTGATATTTGATTTACAGGATCTGAAGAATCTAAGAACACAGTTGTATTCAGCAGCTGAGTATTTCGAATTATCCTACACAAACGACGAACAAAAACAGATGTGAGTGAGTTTACTCTCGCTACTCCTTGTTCTGTTTCTCAATGATCCTACTTTACAGCTCAGATTATAAGTCATTATACTTTTTTCAATTAAGTTTTGACGTGTTGATGCAGAGTTGTGGAGACGCTGAAAGATTATGCGATAAAGGCACTGGTGAATACAGTTGACCATTTGGGCTCTGTTACGTATAAAGTCAATGACTTTGTTGATGAAAAAGTCGATGAAGTAGCAGGCACCGAACTACGAGTATCTTGCATCGAACAGGTTTCACTTATTTCCTCATAAACTGGTGTTACTTTAGTTTGTTTTACGATCATTTTCTTATTTGAGTCACTGAGTTTTTCTTATGTATATCTACTAGAGGCTACGGATGTGCCAAGAGTATATGGATCATGAAGGTCGTTCGCAGCAATCACTCGTGATCGACACTCCAAAGTTCCACAAGCGATACATTTTGCCTTGTAACTTCTTTTTCCACTCTCTCTCTCTCTCTCTCTCTACGTTTCTGCAAACTTTCTTTCTCTTGTTTCTCACTACCAAAAGCTAAATTCTACATCAGCGGGCGAAATCAAGAGAGGTGGCAACCTCGCAAAGCTCAAGAGTGTTGAAAGTAGTTTTGGTGAAGAAGATGAGTTGAACCAATTCCGAAATGGTATAAACTGCCAGTTCATCTACTTCTCCAAGATTTAAGATTTCTTTCAAATTCTGATTCTTGATTTGATCTGTTTCTTGTTTACTAAAGCTGTTCGTTCTACGATTCGGGAAACGCCTCCACCAGCAGCCCTTAGGTAAACTCCGGTATTCATAGTTGCTTCCATTGTTGACTGACCGGAAAGTATTAAACTTTTTGTGTGCCGGTTTATTGCAGAAAACCGATACTTCAGTCTCCGCCTCCACGGAAACCTCAACGTTCATCAACCTTTTCCTTCTCCTCTATCTCCACGCAACCAAAGAAAGAACAAGGTAAAACAAAAAAAAACAGCTTCAGCTTGAAACGCCGTTTAGGGAACTTGATGAGAATTTACAAAAACCTTTAACTGTGCGTTTGGTAAACCAGATAAGCGAGCAGTATCACCGCATCGGTTTCCGCTGATAAGATCTGGTTCGGTTGCTATCCGACCGTCATCAATCAGCCGGCCAACGACCCCGGTCAAGAGTAGAGCAATAACTCCTAAACGGGTAAGCAAGCTTCGGTTACATTTCAATCACTCTCTTATGCTTAATCTTTACCGGTTTTGGAACGTTTTTTTTGCTTGACCGGTTTTGATTCTTTTTTACGGTTCAGTATCCGTCAGAACCGAGAAGATCGGCTTCGGTCCGGGTTGCGTTTGAGAAAGAAGCCCAGAAAGAACCAGAGCAGCAGCAGCAGCAACAACAACCAAGCAAAAGCAAACGGCTGCTTAAGGCGTTGCTTAGCCGACGCAAGACCAAGAAGGACGATACGCTCTACACTTACTTGGACGAATATTGAACAGAGAGGCGCTGGTTTTGGACGTCTATTGGTAAACCGGATATTATATCCAATTCTAAGTGCGTTTTTCTGTTACATAATATCAACCATGTATGCTCCTGTGAATTTTTGTATACCGTACCACTATCAAAATGTGAATGCAATATTTTCTTACAATTTTTTTTGAAAAATGTGCAAAGAATAGCGGTCTTCTTAATTATACAAACTGTTAAAACTACGAAACTGACGAAAAAAGAATGTGATGATAAAGTTTACGAATGTTTTGAAGTTTCAATTCTGTTTGCGTAAAAGTTACTGTACGTTGACAAAAATTAACTTTCTATTTTGATTTAATTACTGTTCGAGTTATATCTATGTTTCTTCAGTCGTAAGGTTTTACTCGGTTTTTGAGATTGATCAACAAAATTGAGATTATTCTCCTTATACATTTTTGTGTTTATCAAAGGTATTTGTACAGCCAATCTTTCGTGACTTCGAGTAATCAATGGAAAGATGGTACTATAGTCTTTCGGCTGTATTAGTTACAATAATGACAAATAATGTAATACTTTAATTTGAAAAAATACACTTTATTGTCACCAAGAATGAAGGCAGAACAAACGATGAACACAGATACTATAACTTAAAACATTGCACAGCTCTTAGAAACATAAAACCAACATCAGGACAAGCCATTTCCCAAACATGACACCAACTTACGAATCTTCTCCACGACCGATACTCATCAGTCATCACTTAATGGTTTAGATACCGGTTTCGGATTCGTCTTCTCCAGCTTTTAGTTTTTTTGGTGGTGGTGGTGGAGGCGGTGATCTCTGGTAAAATTCTGCACCAAGTGATCGGTGAGAAGAAGGAAGAGAAGCTTGACGAGAATCCATCGATGGAGGATCGAAATAAGATGATGTTGGTGTGTTGTCATCGGCCTGTGTGTGGAGAATTTTCCGGTTGGTTTGAGCCTGCACGATCATGAGTATAGCTAGGAGAATGCAACATTTCAAGAGATGATTCCGAGAAGCCATTTTATTTTTATTTTCTGGTGATCACCAATGTTGTGACTTGTGATCGTCTATGTATATTATTAGCTCATATAATAGAGGGTTCCCACTAACTCTTACTAGATTGTTTTTTTAAGATTGCTTATCAATAATTAATTGATAAACCTGTATAAATTTGGTATACAGATCTTAATTATACAATTAGATGGAAGAACAGCACGGATTATGATCATTAGATATAATCTAATAGAGTTCTTTTGAATATGTTCCAGCCACTAATATTTTTTCAATAAATAAAATCCGTTAGGTTAAAAAGAAAAAAAGATTTACAAGTACTAGAATCGCGGCAAAAAACGTTTCCTGCAACAAACGCATGGAGACTCCTAATTTCGGCCGCTGGTCGGAGCTCCCTATGGACATATTGAGATCGGTGTTCGAACGTTTGAACTTTGTGAATTTCCACCGTGCTAAGATGGTGTGTCTGAATTGGCATATGTACTCGAAACAAGCGGTGCGGCCAAAAGTCGGACCTCCGTTGCTGATGCTGTCCCCAGAAGATGACGTTTTTCGTGTGTACAGCCCAGAGGAAGATAGGGTTTACGAGACGAAGAGAGACTTTTCAGGGTATCGATTCCTTGGAAACTCGGGTAAGTGATTCCTTCATCCTTGTGGTGGGTTCCGGACTACATAATAGATGTGTTCAGCGATGAGAGGATCCATCTTCCACCTATAGAGTCAATCCAGGGTGACTTGGCAAAGATTAAGCGATTTGGATCAACGCTATATATAGTGATTATATAAGTTTCTCTAGAGGGAATCAAACAACTGTCGATGATCTGAGAGGTCTCTTGTGGGTAGACGACAAGAGTGGAGACTACGTTGTTGTGTGGCAATTTGAGAAGAATGGATATTTAGGGTATTGCAAGAAAGGCGATCATCATTACCGCGAGATTGAAACACGGTGCCGCGATGTTCGCAGGGAGTTACGAGGCCTTAGCGATATGGTACTCAAAGGTTGTATTCTTTACATCTTCACGGACCGTCTTTTCATTCGACGCCTGGATTTGTCTGGAGAAGATGGTTTCAAGGATGTGTCCGTGAACCATAGGCATCCAATGTGGACACCACGTGAGACTAGAGATGAAATCGAAAGAATGAGAGCAATTAAACCCATCTCATATACCAGCAACATAGCTGTTACAACATCAGGTGAGGTTTTGTTTGTCGAATGCAGACCTTACGAGTCAAATTATGCAAGACATATGATGTTCCGCGTGTACAAGAGGGATGCTAAAGACCTAGACCCGAATACGTACGACACACGCCTCGTTAAGGTTGATTCTCTAGGTGATGAGGCCTTGTTTCTGGATTTGGGCTTCACTGTTCCTGCTGACAGCACCCTTGGTATTGAGCCAAACTCCATCTATTTCACGCGTGGTGACCGTATCTGTCAGGATAAACAATCAGACCTCCACATCTGTGTGTACAATCTTGCAACAAAGACCATCAAAGACTTCCCGGGTCTCTCCAGCTTAAACCTCAAGGATGCTTACTGGTTTCTCCCCTCTTGATTTGTTTTGTTTTGTTGCATATGTTCATCTTTGATGTTATTGAGAGATTCTCTTTCGTTATTTTCGTTTCCCCCTCGGTGACTCCTTGCTTTGTTTCTTTCTGCTGCACTCTAAACTCTGCATTGTTATTTAATGACATTGCCACTGTTTAAATAGCTTAGACTTATGTTCCAAAATTCAAACCATCACACTCGTTGAAAGCATTAATAAAGAGTTCAAGAAGATAAAAAGAAATATGCCTTTGTGAACGTAAGAGAGACTGACGTTCACGTTAATTAAAAAAAGACTTGCACCAACAGAGCAAAGGAAGAGAGAATGAGACGGAAGGAGAAGGAACGGTTTAGTGGGGGATTTAATCTCCGGTTAAGTAAGGGGTGATTTATTTCTCTAAATACCGAACCGGAAATTATTAAACCGAACCGGAAATAGTAGATATATATAGATTCCGGTTCTATCTAATTACCGAACACTGTAGGCTGTGTCCATGGCGTCCTTCACCTGCTCTTCGATTTTGCCTGTAAATCTCTCTACTTTTTCTCTCATAATCCCGAGGAAATTTTCTGGAAATTATGTGGCTTTCTAGCATCGTGTCGATTTCCATGTGATTGGTCACTTTCATTTCGTGTTTCAGTACAAGGGTTAAACGTAAATTCGATTTTTGCGTATTCAGATTGGTGATGCGAGAAGCGGGAACTCGCGAGCTCCAAGCTGCACATTCCAGCCTCAGGTCTGTGTGGTTGATTTTTTGTTGTCGTTACATCTCTATAACGAATTCGCTGGGAAGATTTTGATTGAATTTTTGGTTGGTTTTCCAGGTTTGTTGCGGGATTCAAAGGGATGATAATGGACGCCGTATTTGGCGAAGAAGAACATTGGTAAGACATATGTGTTCTAGTTTCTGAATTAGTGAATGAACTGGTGACTGATTATTAGTGGAATCAAAATCTGAGCTTAGCTTTGCCTTTTTCTCTTTCACCGCTTTGAGACACTGCTTAAAAATCCAAACTTTTAGGAACACCCAAAGAAGCAATGTTCTAGTGTTTACTCTTCTTGTGTTTTGTTATATCAAATTCTAATCAGTTAATCTCTAGTCTGGATTTTAAGTTTTATCTTCCTATAAACTGAGGAAGATAAAGAGAGATGAAACAAGTGTGTAGGGGTTTGCAATGCTAGTGAAGCAGCTTGTAATTTGGCTTTCTACGTTTTGCCCTGTTTTTTTTGTGTGTGCAGACAAAGAAGGACGATATGTTGCGTTACAAGCTGCAGAGAGTTCCATTTGTGGAAGAACAAGTGAGGAAGATAAGGGAAGTTGGGAAGGTGATGACGATGGATATAGAGCGGTTGCTATTGAGCGAAGACAATCGCTTTGAGTTTGTCAACAGTGTAGCAGCTGAAGCAACAGAGTACGTGGAGAAAAACAGAGACGAATATGGAGGTACCAAAAAAGCCATCTTTCATGTTCTGAGCAACCGTGTGAACGATCTCGGCTTTGATCGCCCTGAAGCTTATGTGGAATCAGATCCTTACAAACCCGGTCCTGGCTATTTGAAGGAGTATTACACATGAGTGTGTTTATTCATAACATTTTATTACAAACCCGGTCTTCCTTGTTGTATTACTATTACCAAATCAGTCAATGCGTTTACATTTCACGACAATGTCCATCTCCACATTGATCCTTACTCCATTCGTTTAAACCAACCACTTGGTCTTTTTATATCATTGAATATATACTTGCATTTGTGATAAAATACAAACACATTTAAAAATCGTGGAAGTTGTTGATATGTCATGTAAGTTATTGATATACTTCAAAATATTTAGTTGGTGGGATTATATATAACTCATCAAGTGATATTAAAAAAAAATAAAAAATAGTTATCGATTCAATGATAGACTTACATTAAATATCAAAATATTATCAAACTAAAGAAAAAAAAAGAATCATTACGGGTACTTTAAACAATTCATATAGTAGTATTTATATTTGATGGTGGTCCTAAATTAACATATTGAAAATGTTTTCACAATCATATAACGCACCGAGCATAAAAGAGTTGCCTACCATAATCAACATAACCCAAAAGCAGAACACATCGGCGAAAGTCATGTCAACGGTAGAAACGATGATCTTCATCTCCGTCGTCGTCATCGGAGTCGTCGTAGCTCGTGTCACAAAATTCCCATCTTCCCCTATCGATACTTTTGTCTACTACCACCATTGCTCGCAACCAAAGTACTTTCCAGGATCCTTCATATTTTCCTCCAATTACTCTCCAGGATCGTCTTACGAGTCAGATGTCAAATTTCTACTCAACTCGCTCGCAGACTCAGCTTCACTCTGCACCTACAACCATTTCATCGTCAGCGGAATCTCCGGGATGTACCAGTGCCGCGGTGATCTCTCCTCCCGCCCCGGCGATTGCGCTAGATGCGTCGCGAGAGCTGTTCGTATACTCCCAAATATCTGCGGCGGCGCGTGCGGTGGCGCGTTGCTGCTGGAAGGCTGTTTCGTGGAGTACGAGAAGGCTGCGTTCCTCGGCGTGGCGAATAAGACGGTGTTGGCTTGGATGTGCGGGACACCGTCAGGGTATAACTCGGGCGAGTTGGCTCTGACCAACGCGTTGGTGAGTTTCGTAGTGGCATATAGCGGTAAGCTTTCCCGAGTGGCGTCGTCAGGGGAAGCACAAGCTGTGGCGCAGTGTACCGGAGATCTCAGCGCGAGGGATTGTCAGGAGTGTCTGATGGAAGCGAAATCGGTGTGCGGGACAAGGGCTAGGGGTGACGTCCACTTAGCCAAGTGCTACTTGCGTTACTCCTCCCGTGGAGCAACCGGCCACGGTAACGCCTTCTCTTCCCTCACTTGCTTGTGAATTAGTAGTGAGTTAGTTCCATGGTATATTAGTTAGAATATTTTTTGACTTACCTCTGAACACTTTTATGAATGACAACACATGAGCTTTTTTTCTTTGAATTTTCTTGTTGTGTCTCTTCAATATAGGATGCTATAACTACAGTTTGGATTTGAATTTGATACTCATATTTTTTGAATATAGGGTACAAGAACTCTATGCTGGCACCGACTCAACGCCTATCCATGGACGGATCCAATATCTTATTTTATCGGATTCGGGTGCAACAGTTTCTAGTAAAAAAAATTAACTCATTATCGTTTTACGCTTTTTATGTGTTTTTATTCCTTTTTATGTTATATATCTATTTTATTAGTTTTTAGATTAATGAGTGATTCTAGTACTTAAAGCGATTTACCTAAAAAGTTAAATATAGTTACAAATTAAATCACTTTGCAGTTATTTAATATTGTTTCATGATTTATGTATCAAATTTACATTTTATGAAAAGTTGTAGTTAAAGCTTATTGTCCACAATTTATGTTAAGACGAGTGTGTCCACTGTCTTTATGCACTTAACCATGTATGCAAATCTATATGTGATTATATTGATTTTATGTTTATACAACTTTATCCACCATTTATTCATGTATTTATACTAATTAGCTACTTGTAAATAATAGTAGTGTTCATACAAGCTGTGAGATGGACGAATAGAGTGGGCGAATGGATGGATGTCGAAAAATATATGCATGGACAGTTAATTGATTTATGGATAACATGGTGCAATGGTTTGTGAGTTTTGAAAAATTTAGTAAGTGGACAAATAGGAATGGATAAAATTATCGATGGTATGTTGACATGGTGTGGATACGAATCATATGATTAATAAGCATGTTCCGGATACACTATAGTAATTTAAATGTGCGTACATGAAATACATTAGCAAGTGGATTAGGATGTACCTATATATAGGTGGTGTAGTGTGACATGAAAACTTAACAATTGATACGATGTTAGTTACATCTATGGAAGTAAACATGGAAACTGGAATATGGATGAATGGATAGAATTAGGATGGACAATATAAGTGAACAGATGGATGGAAGTTGAAAAATATGAATGGACGAGTAATCGTCGATAGCATAGTATGATGACTTATAATTTATGAATAATTTAGTAAACAAATGCATGTTGATAATAGGTTTTTTTTTTTGACAGTCAAAGAAAACTATATATTAGTTCAGTGGTTCAAATAGTGTAGCTATGTGGGCTAGCCAGTCTGGAACCACTGTGCTTATATGGGAGAAAACAATTTCACGAGCTTGAGTCCCTTTTGTAAGGGTATCAACTCGGATATTATAAGTACAAGGTAAAAAGGATAAAGAAAACTATGTAAAAGCAGAACGCAAATGATTAAATTCTTTTAATTCTGATATGAGAATCAGTCATTCCTCATCTCTACCAACAAGCTTAGTAAGCTGCAGACAATCTGTCTGAAAGTGAATAGAAGTAATACCAATCTGTTGGACAGCACGCATTGCCCACAAGATTGTTTCCATATCGGCATGAAGCGGAGACTGCCGCGAGTTTCCTGCAAAGGCTCCAAGCTGCTGAAGAGTGTCATTATGGATAATGACCAAACCTCCTCCAAAAAGTTTATCCATACCTATCCAAGAAGCATCAACCTGACATCTGAATTCACTATTTGTAATTGTCGTGTCAAGTGGCCCTGGTGCTTGGGTTTTCATATCTCTAATCGCAGCTTGAACCATGTTAGTCATTTCCCAGTTCTCGGCTTCCTGTATAACTAGCTCGATCGTGTCCATCGGAGAGACATCTTTTCCGTTGAATATCTTGTCGTTGCAGATATACCAAATAATCCATAGGAAGCTTTTTATATAGGCATATGTGGACTCATATTCTTTTGTTCTTGTCAACAAGTGATCTATGTTACTGAAAAAACTTTCACACGGAAATATGTCGGGAATACATGGGATAAGAGACAAAGCCCAAACTTGTAAGGTTAGAGGACGTTGAAAAAATAGATGATTTATCGATTCCTCCTCAGCACCGAGATAATTTACCAGATAAAATGCTTGATTTTTTTTTGATGTTTTAAAGAACCAGACTTTGCTCTTAAGAGCATCGTACTGGGTTCAACGCCTTCTATGGATAATAGGTTATAGATGATACACATGTGGATAAACATAAATATATTTTTATCTTTTTAGAAGGCCAAAATGACTTCTAATGACTTTTTCTGATATTATATTTTCCCAGAATGACTTCTGCTGTAATTTTTTTTTGAATTTATTAAGTCTTCACTTTTCTTGGTGGTGATGGTGGTTGGTCGGAAAATTTAGGGGGGCTATGATGCGGCTTAGAATAGTCCAACTCCAGATCGATCCTTCCTCCATTCGTCACCACTTCTTCAATCTTTTTCAAAAACAACAGCTTTTCATTATTATTATGTTATGTAAGTATATATCGATGCATTTTTGTAATCAATATATGTAGCACTTTTGAATTTGTGGTGGTTCATATTATACCTCGTAGTGGGCGTTGTCAAGATGCGAATTCTCAACGATCCCTGACAAAATACGAACCATATTAAGATTAGCATCATCAAAAGAATCTGAGAATTTTAAGCTTATCTTTTGAGTTATCATCGTACTAAATGGATATGAATAGCATCTAATAGAAGAACATTTTAGTAATAGACGTACATTTTGTTTTTCTGTCAATTCAATATATGACATACTTTTAAATCTATACTATATTACATTCTGATCTATACATGCTACAAGAAAATCAGAGTCCGGGAACGGCCGGGAACGGAGGAAGAAAACTACTAATTTAGGATATATATTAAAAAAAGTTTAGACAAAGAAACACAAGAAGAGCTATTTAATGTTCGAGATAATGCATTATGAAGAACACTGTGATTTGTACCTGAAGAAAACATTGGGAGTAAGAGCAAGAAGGATACTATGATTACCAGCTTCATCTTTTCGTCAGATTCTGTAATGTCTCTTGACTTTTGAATACGTGTACGCAGATATAGGATTTAACATTCTATAAAATTAGATATGATGATATCTTATTATATAAATTTAATAGAAAGATGAATCGGTGATTATGCCACTTGGTACGAGATTCTCAATAATTAAATAGCATTTAATACTAGAGTCTGACCAGAATTTATTGCATTAATTTCTAAAAACGTTACCTTGTGAAGTAATATTTGTAACACTAAATTTTTGTTCTTTCAGTTTTTTTTTGGAAAATTATTAATCCAAATAATTATTCAACCAAGTTAAAAAGGAACAATAAGGAAAAAATATTTATAAATTTAAAATATAATAGAAAGACAACAACCTAGTTAAATAATTGAAAATTGAAAATAATACATTTACATAAAACTTAAATAATATTATATTTTAAATTAATATTTCGTTATTAATTTTCAAAAGAAGTTTGGTTAAATTAATATTATGATTATGTTTAAATAATTATATATAAATTATTTATATAAAATATCGTCAACAATAAAATATAGAAAAACAACAACCTAGACAATAACATCGAAGTATATATATAAATTAAGAAGTTTTATTTAAATAATATAATATTTTAAATAAATATTTGGTTAAATTAATATTATGATTATGTTTTATTAATACCAATAGCTGATAAAAAAAAATATATATACATTAAATTAAAATTTTAAAATGAACTTCAAATTTAAACCCATATTATGGTTAAATTTTAATATTGAAAGTAAGAAAAGAAATTATATTAACTAGGTATTTACCCGCGTTATGCTGCAGGATATTTTCTAAAATTTGTATATATTTTTAATATAATAAAATTATTTTTATAATGTAAATGAGTATTATATTTATTTTTTATTAGCTTAAGTTATGTATTTATATGTTTTAAATCTGAATAAATATTATATATTTTTTATTTATTTATTAGGTTTTAAAATTATAATTTTTTATTAAATTTAGTTAGCTAACTAATTATAAATGTATATATAGAAATAAAATATATAAGAATAAAGCAATACATTTTTAGTATCTTCATGCTAATGGCAAATGTAATATATTTACTCCAATAAATTACCACTTGATCCTCATTTGTAATTATATAAAGCAAAATGCTATTTAAAAAAAGATTTATTAACTAATATGATTATTTTGCTTTATCAAATATTTTATTATAAGCATATGTTTCTATAACTACCAAACTATTTGTTTATCAAATATTTTATTATAAGCATATGTTTATCAAATATTTTATTATAAGCATATATTTCTATAACTACTAAATTATCATATTTTGAATATTAAAAAAATATTTTATTAAAATATTTAAAATATTTACACTGTTTTCAATCATATATATCTATGTCAAATAAACAGATAGCTAGATTTTTGTATTTATTTATTTGTTGTTATTTATTATTTGGATTTGGTTTTGGCAAAAAAAAGAAAACAGTGATTTAATTTTTGTATTTATTATTTAGGTTTAGATTTGGCAAAAAATAAAATAATAACTTTTTATTTGCTGTTATTAATGATTTGGGCTTAAGTTTGGTAAAAAATAAAACAAAAATTAATTGAAAAAAATATTTAGATTTTTAATGGGTTTAAGTTTAAAAATTAAAATAAGTAGATGAGATGTATTAATAAAATGTTTTAATTGGTGATTATTTTTGCTGAGGTGTTATGTATATAAAACTTCAAAAAGCTGAGGTGTCAAGTCATAGAGAGACTTTAGTGTTATTGTTGTGTTGATTTCATTTTAAAATGATTTCCAGTAAAAACTGTTTTATATTGAAATGAGTATATATATATATATATATATATATTAATTAACAATGGCATTTTTTTCATTTTTTTAAATTACTTATAAACTCAATTTATTAAGATGGTATCATTTGTAACAATTATTTCAACCCTAAATGTGCAACTTATATATCTTCGATGAATCGAACCAGAACCCAATATTACATTCCACGAGTTTAAGCTGAGTTAATAAGCCACCAATTTCGTGGGATACATCATACAAAAAAAAACACTTGTGTGTTTTCATGCGATTATGCGAAGGTACCAGCCTGATATTCACAAATTCCATAGCCTGCAGAAATTAATTAAAAACCCAAACATTACAATATAAAAATAGTTAAGTTTCCAAATATATTTAAATCTAAAAAACATACTGGGATCCATCGTAGTTATCTCTCCGGTGTTGTCGAAGTCGCAGTCGAACTCGTGTTTCCCCATGGTCTGGTAGAACAAGTTCATGGCGTACGCTGAATGGGCGTCCACTGTGTTGGGTAAGAAACAAGACCCACCTGTTATAATGGGCCTACAGTCCAAGCCCAGCCCACATACGTAGTCTATGTTCCTTTGTAAAGCCACCGTTTCTGCACCGGACTTTGTGACGCACCAACGCTTCCCCGAAGCTCCTCGAACCGGCGATCGCGGATTGTTCTCCGGATTCGATGTTCTAACCTGTCGATTTCCAATACTACAATCGTAAAAAAATCATACAGTTTCTTAAACAGAGCAATGTGGCGGCGCTTACCGTTGGCCGGAGGATTCCGATGTCATAGATCGGTGTCATATCGGATCGGAAAAGGCCGAAATTACGCTCGGACGTCGGTCCTGCTTTGAGATTTTCGTTGAAGAGCGCGAAAATGTACGTCTCGAAAGTCCGATTAGGCATCAATGGAGTTCCGGTACCTGAATTTACACGCGCCACCAGCTTCTTGTTAAACTCGGCTGCGGTGTCGACGTCAACACCGATCTGACCTCTGTCTCCGTCCGACGGCCATCCGATTTCTCCCACCACGATCTCGACGTCTGAAAACCCTAGCCGATCCATGGCGGAGTAGACGGAATCAAGCTGAGCATCGAACATGTTGGTGTAGTGAAGCTTCGAATCGTGGTCGAATAAGCCTGGGTTAGGTCTAAACAGAGCGAAATCGAGCGTATCGGCTGAGTAGCCGAAGAACGGGTAAGGATTCACAACGAACGGCGAAGCAATAGTCCGGAGGAAGCTGAGGAGAGGCTTGAGCACATGCGTGTCGTAGCCTTGGCGGAACTTAGCAGAAGAAGGAGGGGTGGAATCAGAGAGAATTCCCAATGAATGCGGCGTCGAGATCTGGATGCGACGGTGGAGAGAGGCGGAGACGAGGGCGGTGTGAAGGGACTGCATCGCCGGGACTAGATTTCTGATGAGGAGGTGATTGGCGGTGGATATGACTTCGTTTCCGACGAGGATGCGGATGATGTTGGTGGAAGGGAAGTGAGGTTGGATGTGATCGGAGATCCATTGTTGGGCGAAGGATAGATTGGTGAGGTGTGGGATTTGGTCGTTGGGGACGGTGACGGTGACGGCAACTCCGGTATGAGCGAAGGCCCGGAGAATTTGAGGATCGGCGTCGAAGAGGCGGATGCGGTTAATGACGGTAGAATGGAGGAGGAACTCAGCCACTTGACGCGGCGGAGGGAGATTGTTCGCGAGTGTGCCGTAGTTCACACCAATGCTCGCATTAGCTCCTGATCCTGACCATAACCGTTGATCAACATATGAAACTATCTTAAATTTTTAAAATCAATGCAGTGTAACAAACGCTACATATCTTTATCCCCTTTCAAAATTCATTTCTTTCGAACACTGGTTTGGTACTTTTATACTTACTAGAAACGGAGAAGGTGGGAGGAAAATTTGGTGATATTTTAAAAACGGTGTTCACAATTTAACTTATTGGCAAATTTTTATATAAAAGCCTAAAAATGATCAAATGAAAACTACCTGTCGAAAAGATGATAAGAGCTCCAACCATAGTAAACATACTAATAGGAGAAATAAACGAGGAACATGAGAAATATAGTAGCATGGTTAAGGTTTTAAGAGTCAATAACCAGAAATCCAGAATGGAGAAAGAGAGATAATGTTCCAAGAGTTTGGTATTTATGAAGAATGTTTTCACAATTGTGCTTTGCTTTGTCTTTGGGAGATTGTCAGAGGTCGAATCGATTCAGTCATCGGCAGGCAAAGATAATTTACATTTCTTTGTCCAGCGATTTACACTTATTTTTCTTTAAAGATAATACTTCACTAGACTACTCTACAAGTAAAGCCATTACAAACAAAACTAACATAGATGAAATCTAAATATTACTCCATTAAAATAATAAAACAGATGAAATTCTAAATATTTTTCTCAGCAAACTTAAATAGAATGATTATATTTTTGTTTCTTAAGCAAATTCCCAAGAGAATCAATTTTTTAATCTTTTTTCACGTTTGGAATTTGGAGAGTAAATTATGATTCAAGTATTTCTAAGACCAGTCTATACTCTATACTCTATTCTGTACCAAAAAAATATTGTAACAACGAGAAAACCATAGTATTTACACGAAATAAAGCGGGCCTCAGTTACATTCCCTATATATTATTACTTACAACAAAAAAAGGTATAATTTACTAGTAAATTTTTACGATAAAAAGGGGCAAAAATCTGAGTTTCCTACCTCTGAAGCAATTCCAAACCTTCAGCTCAGGCTAGGTTCGAACCTGGTGAGAGACACAGCTACAACAAACAATCGGATCAAAAAGCAGGCCAACGTGTTAGGCCCAACCTTAGGGCCCGTACAAACCTCCTAAACTTCACCACGTGTTAAGACAGGTGGATGCGGAGTATGTACGGCGACGTTTGACAAGGAGCGTTTCGTAGCCGTTGGATTTCAAACGGGAACCGGCAAACCGTAGTTGTGAAACAATCTGATGCGTCCATCCCACCCGCCGGTGACTATAACCAGTCCCCAGAGATGAGACGACTCCGACGTTCTCCGGCACGAGGATCGTAGGAATCTATAGTGCGATCTACGGATCGCCTTCACCGGAGAAAACGAGCTTGCTAGCTTCTCCTCCGGCCAAGTCGCAGATCCCTTGGGAGAATCGAGAACGTACTCTCGTCCCAACGAGAAGAGCGACGGAGATAGCTCGGACCCGCCGGACATCACAGGGGCGAACCCGCACCACGGGATAGCGACCGAGACATCTGCAGAGAATTTCTCAAAGGATCGGATCTTAAGCCGTTTCGTGTGGGAGAAGAAACTAGGAGACTGTGGTTCGGGATCATTTTCGACGCAGTTCCAGACGTAGACGGAGGAATCGTCACACGCCGATATTATATGCTTCCCGTCTGCTGTAAAAGATGCCGATATTTGATTCCCGGCATTTCGAGAACCTACAAGATACACACATTCACACATTTCAGAAATCTGCATATTCTTTGTTGGATCAGTCTCAGTCTCTCTACTTTCGAAGCATTACCTTTGTATTTATGGACAACGTTGCGACCGCTAATGATCCTGACTTGAGAATCTGCGGACGCCACCATGACTCTGCTTGGGTCGGTTGAATCAAACTGCGGAAGAAACTAGTTGAGTGAGTATCATGAACAAAAAATATTGAATAATTGGGTGACAAATTTGTATAATTTGAGAAGAAAAATGCACCTGAAAGCCGATTATTCGTTTATTTGACGACTTCTTTTTGGTATGCAGACATATATGACCATCGAGCTGGAGGTAGTGGTCTGAAGAAAAAAAACGTAAGAGTTCGTGTTTTCTAAGCCAATCTCACGTGTGCGTGTGTAAATCATAGACTAATGAGCATTACCTGATACATTGTAAAAGCGACATTCGCTCGTCAAGGTTCCAACAATCCCTGCCTGCCCGTCTGGGCGATAACAAACTGCGGTTACAATGCCTCTAGCGTCTGCCCAATCTACAACTTGGCACTGAGATATCGACCAGATACGAACTTTTCCATCTATCGAACCGCTGATGAAGTGATCATCATCAACCGGGTTGAACTGAACCGATGTAACTGCAAAATCGCAAAAAAAACAATTAGAATGGTATTCTGATTGAATTGAAAAGCAATACAAAGCAATTCTTGCTGTACAGACGGAGATGAACCATTTACCATAGTTACTGTGAGAGAAGATTCCAAGACAATCCTCACGGCCAATCTGCCAAAGCCGAACGCTATTGTCTACTGAAGCTGACAACAGACGCTGCCACCAATATCACAGAATGAGCAACTCGGTCTAGTTTTTCTGTTCAAGATTACACATACAGGGACTGAATCTACGTTCTTGCGTTTTAGAGATCTCAAAACATAACCAAACATACATTTGAAAAAAAGGGGACTCTCTAAGATTCCTGAAGCTATTTAAGACGACAAGCCTTGAGCAGGTCAACCTAGAGTTCGGTTCAAAGCATTAATGTAAAAAAAAAAAAAAAAAGAGAAGTTGCAAAAAGCAAACTCACATTGTTCTTGGACCATGAGATGTCAAGGATATCACCACTGTGACCGAGAAACTCGTGAACTGGTTCCTCAAGAACCCGGAAAATCTTTGGGGGAATAATAACACAAGCGGACTCTGTCGCCTTCCTCGGACTCATCAGTGACCCACTCATGCCGTCCTTTTCTACTGCCACAGGTCTCAACTCAGAGAGGTTGCTCACTTCAAAGTATATACAAGAAGGATCGATCTTGGGAACGTCGTGTTCTTCACACCTTTCGTCTTCAACAATGCTCCAAACCCGCAAAGCCATGTCTTCACCAGCACTTGCAAGGTACCTCCCATCAGGACTAAACCTCATAGCGAGAATCGCCCCTTCGTGAGCTTTTATTTCTTGACCCTTGAAAAGAGCAGTGAGCTCCTTAGCCTCTTTCTTATACTCTTTCACCTTCACTCTCTCGATCCTACTCGCGACTACTTCACCAGCAGAATCTCCTGGCTTCTCCTTGCTACGCGCTCTGTGCAGCCGACTCAACCATTTCTCCTTCACCCTCTTCATGATCCCGCCTACATCCCGTTGCTCCACCGACTTTGGCGACTTAGGCTCAAAGGCTTCGCCGTTTTGCTTCAGAAGCCTATCTGTTAAACCCGATGCAGGTGATCCAGAACAAAGGCTAGAGCTAATACCATCATCATCAGAACACAGATTCCTCAAAGCCATTCCACTACTTGAATCCCCAACATTTACATCTTCTTCCTCTTTACACAAACTCTCCTGCACAATCCTATCTACATTCTCACTTGGACTAAACACAGAAGAATCACACCGACAGGAGCTAAACTCGTCGTCGGATCTCGAACTCCTCAAACCCAAACCCGCCGCTTCACTAACCGAGCTTGAGAGACGATCCACATTGCTTGATTTAGGTGGCTCCTCGCGATGAGTTTGGCTCACAGTTACACCCATCCAGCTCAAGAACTTCTCTCGACGCTCCTCGGCGTTTCCTGGGCTTTTGATCCAAACGTCGTACTGGAAATCGCCGGAGATCGACAATGGAGCTGCGTCGTACTCGATTGCACTGGAACAGGATGCGATTTCTTCGTGTGCATCGAAAAACCGAGATTCTTCGGCTTCAATTAGGGATTCCATTGATCTCCTCTCAATTGGGTTTCTTAAAGCTGCCTGGAGAGAACCGAGAAAGTTTTTAAAATTTTCATGAAGATGAAGAAGAAGAGAAATTAGTAAAATAATCAGGGGAAGAAGAAAACATTGATAAATGGAAAACATATGCAGTATTTATATAAAATAGAAAAATACATACATACCTAGAATCAATCGAACAACATAGATCCCGATCAAATGTAAAGAATCGAGAAGTAAAATCAAAGGAAATCTGGATCGAAAATCGAAAATCGAGTTCCAATTAAAAAGCATACAACCTCTAATGATAAAATTTGTAAGAATCGAACCATAAGTAATCGGAAACTAAACAAAAAAAAGTCATTTGAATTCAGAACGAAGGGAGAAGACATGCAGATCTTGTTTAAGAAAAATTCAAATCGTCTTTTCTGTCTAATTTCTTACATGTGAAAGGGATTAATTTCTGCGTTCTACGAGGTTTATTCGATGCTGGGAAGCTCACGAAACGAAGACAGCGAAGAACAAGAAGAGCCCATGAGACATCTAGAAGTTCTTTTCACTCTCTTCTCTGGTTTTGCGGAATTTTGGAATAAACAAAACAAGTTGATTTTGATTTTTTTGGTTTTTTCTTGTTGTCAGACAAAAAGAAAAAAAAAAAAGAAAAAAAGAAGCGTAAGATTGATGAAGGAAATGAGAGAATCTGTGGCACAGACGAAGAAGGAAATAATTTTTAAGTTTGGAAGATTGTCCGAATCTGATTTGGGAGGACATTAATTTCACATATTAATATGTGCGGTCACATTAATAATATTATCGCTTTTTTCTAATTTTATCCACCCTACCGTCATTTTAATTATTTTATTTTTATTCTATTCTATCCTTCTTTTCTTTTTCCGGCAAAAATCATCCCATCTGTTTATTAATTATTCCAATACGAAGCAATGTTTTTTGTCACCTTTCAATACAGATAGACGAAAATGTGGAATAACATAAGAATGCTATAACAGGGTACTAATCTCTAGTCAAACCAGAAACAAAAATCACCCAAATTAAATAACCCTTAGGAGTATAATTCAATGATCCAATAGAGAGACAACAAAAATTGATCAGGATTAGTTTAATTATTATGTAAACAAACCTACTTAGATATTGACTGAAATTATGAGATTATTATTTTATGGGACTATATAAATATTCAATTTCCTGTGGACGTGTCTTTATCTTGACTTTTCCAAAATTCACAGAAGGAATGTAGGAACTAGGATATTAAAAGTTATAAATTTAGAATCCTCCGTTATAAATTGTTTTCCCTTGCTTTTTCATTTTTACTGTTAATGGTAAATTCAATACAGTATATATGACATGTTTTGGAAGCGATATTCAGTCATAAAATTAAATCCTAGATTCGTAACAGTTTGTAGAAAGTGGCTAAAATGGTTTATAAACCACTACACTTTCAGTAGGTGGATTACTAAACTATAAAAGATTATTAAAAACATAGTATATAATTCATGAAATCATAGTTTTATTTCCGTGTGACAAACGCGCCTTCACCAGTTCACCCCACAGCAGCCAGCACTTGTGTCGATCGCACAAGACTTCCACCTCATCGGACCTTTTTCGCATAGGCTTCCTATATATTCTATATCTTGAGCTGTTATTTTCACCAGTGGTGTTGCCAGCAGATTTCATCATGAAAACTATATATTAGTTGTTTTTATTATTATTTATAAATGTATAAACATCAGTTTTTGTTATTGATTATGATAACAACTATGAGAGTAACCTGACAAGTGACAGTACGTTGCGGTATTTTTCATACGATCGACATGTTTTAATACCATGCACAATGTACAAGTTTATGTTTGATAGATATTTCATTCTGTTGTGATGTATACATGGGACTGCTTTCACTTAGCGTACGTGACAATAACCTTATATAATAGGGATAATTTTTTTGAAATAATATATCATGCAAAAAAGAGAGACGATATTTTAGACCTTTAATAAGCCCTTTTTATAAAAAAATATTTAGACCTTTAATATGAGGTAGACTGGTAGTAAACATTTTTATCTGCATGCTACTAAATTATAAACAGTTTCATTTTATTTAATTAAAGAAACAAATATATGAATATATAAACCAAACATATTCATATTACAATTAATTGATATTATCCATCATATTTGTTTCTGTAGACATACATTGCTACTCACTACAGCAGAGTATATATTTTTAGTAAATTATATAAATAAATCTAATAAATATACTAAAATATATAAATAGATAGATATGATAAAACCAAACCCGTACTTGAGTTTCACTAATTATTTTTAAAGAAATGTTCGTTTAAAGTTTAATATTAATTATAATATTTATGGATATCAGATATTATAAAACTTAAAGTTAAACAAGAGGCCGGTGATGTGTTACAATTTTAAACAACTTTGTAGTGATATGATATCATAAAATGAAATATTTATTTTTTGGAATAAACTAAAAATAAGAAATCAGATACATAGTATTAAACAGTGAATAGTGGTACTTTAGACAATTTTGGGTTCTTTAACGTCAACTAATTTCTTTAGTGGAAAAGGGTGTGATCGTTTGTACAAACAAGAAATCATAGTACATAAGTATATAATATAAACATCGTCGTATCCCCTACTTTGTTTCTTTGACAATCAGATCAGGAGCTTTGTTACATGTGCGAGGAGGCACCCATACTATCTCCGCATTGTAGAACTTCTTCTACCATTTCACGAATTCAGTTGTGGAGCCTAAAGTTCATCTCTGTTCCTACAAAAAAAAGGCTATTTCACTTTATATAAAGATTATATCACAACACAAATATATGCTTTCCTTTTGTCTATGATTAGTGAAAACTGTAGATCATTTTGGTATTACAAAGTTACAAGGTGAATAATTTGTTTTTATATATCATCTTAGGAATATCGGATATTTGAAACTATTTTCGAGTATTTAGTTTTCAGAAAGCGAAAAGAATGTTGGTTTTTGAAAACCTTCAGTGAAAAAGAAAAGATTGTTTGTTTTAGTAACTAAATAGGTACGGTATACGCATAACATCGAAGGTTTTACGTGAAAAATATAATAAACATGGTGGGGTTTAGGTGCTTCATGCTTGCATTTACTATTTTCATGTAAGCGTTTTTTTCCAAGCTTAGTTAATTATCATGAAAAAATTACGGAAAATCTAATCAAACTATGCCAAACAAAAACTATTAATACTCATGTAGAAGAGTTTATTTATGTATATCTTCATGGGTTGTTCAACTATTAAGTAACGTTTGAAACTGTTTGAAACTTCAAAATATAGATTTCATATATAACGCAAATATGTAAAAAGTACAGTAATCTAGGCGATATAGTACTACAGCTACCGATTCAGCTCACTGGAATATTTCTTGAACTGATATTTTAGTATATTTATTAAAAAAAAAGAGAGTTTATATTTATTAATATATGTTTGCGCGTGTGTGTGGCTATATATTTTACATATAAGGTAAGAGACAAATATGAACATTTAGGAGCGGAACAGAACAAATTATGTGCTCATAAGATTAGTCCTTTTTACTATTACTATTTTAGTAAAATTAGTTTTTGTCTCCGTTTGAGCCCGACATAACTGCTTCTGGTTTTCTTCTCTTTTTAAAAAAATATTCGTTCGTTTTGTTTCTTCCGGTAACTAAGGTAATTAAAACGACAAATGAGAGTGGGTCGTTACTTTGGACTTTACCTTAGTTACCTTAGAGTTTTAAGAAAATGTTTTTGAAAATTAGATATGCATAGGACCATAATAATGTTATAATGCTTTATAAAAAGTGGTTCCCTATGAAAATCATCTGGCTAACTCGAGTTTTTGTTTCTAGTCTTAAAAAGTCAATACCACTGGCAATTGTGTCAAGCATCAGTGAAAATTATGTTAAATTATTCTAAGTTTTGTTATGTTTGGCCAAACCCCATTAAGCAATGTCTACATTTCAAACACAATCATAATGCTTTTTGGAATATGATTACACGCAACCGACGTTGGCGATTTAATTCAAAGACCAAACACGTATAAGTATGTTTGATCAACGGTTTACAGATTAGTTTAAAGAAGAGAATAGTAAACGTCGGTAACCAAATGGGACCAACTCCCACCCGTGGACACATTATTGTCATCATTAACCTTAATCAACGACATTTACACACTTAAAAAAGAAAGTGAGAGAGAGAGGTAAAAGCAAAATGAAATTTAGAAAAACAGTCAGTTACGTTTAATCATTCAGTAATATGAGAAGTTGAGAACTATTCTACAAGAACAAGTAAAATATAATGTGGATCAATCGAACTAGTAGTTTAGTCGATCATCCATCGATCGATGAATCAGATAGCAAATGATTCTGTATTTTTACTGAGTTTAACGTTTTGTCCAATATTTTGGATGGGTATAACCTATCGTATGTAGCAATTAGAGCTTTATCTTTTGTAAAGAAGGAAATGATTATGATTTTAATTAGATATCTAAAACGTAGGGACAAGAGGGGGAGACACTGATTAGCGATTATAACCCTAATTAAAAGACATCCTCGACATTAATTATTTAATAATCAAAGTCGCACGGATAGACATTGTTTTCAAAGCGATAATGATACTTTGCCTTTCTAATAAGGAAACAAGAGAAATAATGATGTCGGTAATAGTTGGTTATTCTGATAACAAAAGTCCCAACAACAATTTTTTTATTTACTTTTGTTTACTTTACAATTTGAAACCAACAAATGTTGGCTTGTCTTTAATTTCAGTGGTTGAACAGTTGCTTTTCTGCTCTAATCGTCGAAAGAATAGACTAAAAATAGCCCCAAAAAATTGACGAAATAGAATATACTATCAAAAATAGTTAACAGAAAAGCCATAATGAAATGATAGTATTTGTTCTCATGCCGTCACGTCGATTAGAGAAAGAGTAGCGTCAATCACGTGAGGACAATATCCAATGAAACTCGCCCAATAGCCATTTATATATTACTTCATTTATTTCAAAATAAGTATAATTTTGACACTTTTCATATAAATTAAAAAAATATAAAAATTATGTTTTATTTTTTGTTTACACATAAAATAATATTTTCTTTCTATTTAATAGATATGATTTTTTTTAGAAAATTGTATTGAAAATACAAAACGATACTATTTATAAAACAAAAATAAAATTCTAAAACGACACTTATTTTAAAACGGAGAGTTTTACACATTTGATAACAAAGCCTTTTGAATTGCTTACCATTTTTATTCCTCATTTTTTAATGGAAAACATATTATCTTGTATAAAATTACAATTTGAAAATTTTAACAGTGCAAAAGAGTAAGGAGACAAAAATTAGTGGGGGTGAAAAGTAGCTTATGTAAACAATCATCATTTCTGTCTCAGGGACGAAGCATGCACATATGGTTCTCGTTCTCTTAATTATGTGTACGATCCATACAAAAAAGACTAGATAAATTCGTTGGAGAATGTAAAAAAAAAAATGAAAAATGTGAAGCGTGGGGCCCAAAAAGAAGGTTGGATACCTTAGTGATGTGCAGAAATCAGAAAGGAAAGGGTTGATGCAAACTCTCAAAGTCTTTGAAGGTACACTGTCAGAGTCTTTACTCTTAGGTGTGTGTTTGGACCATACTACACTATTACTACTACCTTCTCTCCTCCTTTCATTATTTCTCCTCTGTTTTCTTGTGGTCCCTTTC